ATAAGAAATAATGTAAAATTAATTAATCCATTCCACACCCCCCAAAAATACTAACTTAAAAATACATTTTATATATAATAATACTCATTTTGTACTACTGTATGTATAAGTATACTGTATCTTATCTTTATTGAGGACTTTTTTGGCATATGGAAGACTGAGGAGGGGGAAGGAGGCGGTGGTGTGTTAGTGTTTGGAAGGGGTCTCCTTCCATTATAACATCTGGCAGTGATGACATTTCTGGGGGTACTCTCTCTCCTACATTTTGCAGGCATACCGCTAGGACCAAGTTGTGGCTCACTGCTTGCTTGTCTTACCAAGAATCTGTCTAAATACATTTCTTTTCCCTATGTTTTAACACTTGTCTTTAGTGAGACATCACATTCATTCACTATGAATGACATCTTGTTTTTCTTATATCATCATCCTCAACTATTTTCTTAGGTTGAACTTTACCACTGACTTGGGACCCATGGTGTGATATATTATAATTAATTTTATATTCAAAAACCACAAAGCACAAAAAAAAATGAAATTTTTTACAAAGAATTCAAGCGTGGTCATCACTAGGCAGGACACACTGGTAAACTAAGGCATGCCATGCACTATCGATCAATACGTGTATCAACAAACTCGAAGTGAGACAAACCTCGAATACGTAGTAGATTTTTACAAAGAAACCAAGCTCGAAAACCGAAAAATTAGAAAATGGTGGAATTCGAAAATCGAGGTTCTACCGTACACTGTGACAAAAAAGGTTGGTCCCAAAATGGACCCCTATGGTACCCCACTTACCACATTTCTCCAGTCAGATTCATTCCCATTTTGCATGACTATTTTCTTTGTTGTAACATTGTTTTATCTATTCCAGTACACTACCATTTATTCCCTGTGCCTGTAATTTCCTTGCCAGTTTTTCCATGTGGTACCTTATCAAAGGCCTTAGCAAACTTCATGTATACTACATCAACCAGAAGTCCTTTGTCTGAATAGCTGGTTACCGTTTGCAAAAATGTGAGCAGGTTAGTGAGGCAGGATCAATTTTTAACAAACCCATGTTCTGTTGATTTTACAAGATTGTTCTCTAAGATGTTGGATGATTCCTTCTCTTATGATTCTCTCCTTGAGCATGCAGATGTGTGATGTCAACTGATCAGAAGGTGGTTCTCTGCCGAGCTCTTTCTGATGTTCTGGCACTGTACCACCACTGACTTTCAAAATCAGAGTCAGATGTAAAACTTGGACTGGCTTCAGGAGGGACCTCCAGACTTCCTGTTATTTCAGTAGAAATCTTGTTGGATGACTTTCTATAAGTCAGTGGTGGCACACTAATAGAGTATACATTGCATTGTATACTCTATGCATTGGTCGCATGTTCTTATCACCTCAGAGCCCCAGTGGATATTCTCAATATATATGGTTTTAACAAAGAGAAAATTGTGTTTTGTCGAATCTTGTGTCTGACACGCGATGATTTGATGAAGTTATTTTCCTTTGTTAAAACCGCGAATATTACTATGCTAGGGTGTATTAGCTTAGGTTAGACTGTATTGAGTTGGGCTGGGTTGGGCTAGGATGGGTTGGGTAGGTGTGAAAATGGGTTGGGGGATCATGTTGTGTATGACGTAACTTGCATGTACCCCATAACCCTGGGGTGAAAAAGCATCTCCTGGAGGGAGGAACCTCAACACAGTCCTAACACACACACACACACAGGATGCGTGTCCTCAACAAAATGAATTACAACATTCACTTATTTCAATCTTTGTACGTTTTTAAGCATATTTACATCCATTATAAGAACATAAGAACAAAGGTAACTGCAGAAGGCCTATTGGTCCATACGAGGCAGCTCCTATCTATAACCACCCAATCCCACTCATATACTTGTCCAACCCGCGCTTGAAACAATCGAGGGACCCCACCACCACGTTACGCGGTAATTGGTTCCACAAATCAACAACCCTGTTACCGAACCAGTATTTACCCAAGTCTTTCCTAAATCTAAACTTATCCAATTTATACCCATTGTTTCGCATTCTGTCTTTTGTTGATACTTTTAATACCCTATTAATATCCCCTTTGTTAAGAACAATCAAGTGAGTGTGTATTTTGCAGCGAGAGGTGCCATACGCACAATCAGAGAACACTGAAAACTACAGAGGTTTTCGGCTGTATATATATGTCCCGCCACCCGCAGGATGTTATTCCCTCTCCACCAGCTATAAAGGTATATCAACTACATTAACTAACATATCTAACTAAACACACAGCCCCCTTGTTTAACTCCCTAAACATGCTAAACATAATCTCACTCCACAAATTCTCTTGTGTCAACTACATTTACAAAACCCTGTTCTTAAATGCAAATCCTGCTCTGAAACTCTCCCTGGACAGATGTAATAGGTCCCATTATCACCACACCAGAAATAAATATCTCTTTGATATCCCCAGAGTTAAACTTAATCTGTGTAAACACTATGCAAATAAAGGGACCCAGATTATGGAACTCACTCCCTACTGAATTGAAAAGCTGTCCAACTTATACATCATTCAAAATCAATACTAAAAAGTACCTAATTTCATCTTCATAGTTTTTCACTTTTTGCCTTAAAATTGCACTGTATCTATTGCTACCCAATCTCCCAACCTTTATGTTCCCAATTTGAACATCTTTACTATTGTGATCATAATCATCATATGTGCTGCCAATCTGCTGTATGGTGTTTATAAATCTTGTTTATCTGTATCTTTTGCTACCCAGTCTCCCAATCTTTATGTACCCAATCTGAACATCTTTACCATTGTGATCATTGCTGTCTTATATGTGCTGTCAATCTGCTGTATGGTGTCTATTAATCTTTTTTAAATTACTAATCAAGCTGTCAATGTAATCAGAGCTTTAATATAACAATGTGCTTTAATATACTTATCTCTCTCATCTCATTTTTCTCTTGCAATGTATCTTTATCATTTATCAATTCTGATAGAAATTACCTACTTAAAATTATGTGTTAGATTAAGGACCTGCCTGAAACGCTGCGCGTACTAGTGGCTTTACAAGAGTGTAAATACTGTACTATCCAATGTATTCTCACAAACCCAATGTACCTTCTTGTATATATATAAATAAATAAATAAATAAATAAATAAATAAATAAACATTTGAGATAATGAAGCAGCTACTAAACTGGTAAATTTGAACGATTACTTAAGAAACAACAAGAATAATTGTATATACTTATTCCATAAGTATATACTTATTCCATAAGTATGTACTTATGCCCCGCGGAATATACACAACGGATCAATTTACTTTGTTCTCTCCTAGTTATGTTTGAGGGGGTTAAGCTTCGGCTGTTTGGTCCCGCCTCTCAAGTGTCAATCTACTGGTGAACAAGCTCCTATTGAGCTCCCCGTCACTCCCTACCGCATCCTGTTTGTTTAAGGACTCTAACCCTAACAAAAAATATTTCTAATGTCTCGAGGTGTTCTCTCTCTCTCTCGGTGTCAAGTGACGTGCTCTTAAGTGTGTATAACATGGCGGCCCTGACCTGTTAGTAATCATATATGGTGTACACTGTAGAGAGAGACGAGATGGGCGGGACCACGTAGTACCGGAAGCTCTTCCTGCTCTACAGTCTGCTGCTCGCTGCTCCCTGGGCCACACTGCTGCTCGCTGCTCCGCACTCCTCCAATTGTACAACCGTTTCGGACACCCTCGGTTTAGTACACAAAAAAGCCGTTCGTTCACATACAAGTTTGTATACACGAACCCTTTCGTACATACATATGCGCTGCCTTGTGTTTGCTGCTGTTCTCGTCTTCCAAAACACTATTATTTGCATATTTATTTACTTATTTATATCCATAAGGTACATTGGGGGTTAAGGGAAAATGATGATAGAAATAGAAATGAAGAACAACAACAACTTCATAGAAATGAAGTTGATTTTACATTCTTAAGAAGTAACTTAAAAGTAATTGTAGCGAGTTTAAATTAAATTAAATATAAATTAATTAAATTAAATTAAATTTTTTTCAGGTAAGGTACATACATACAAGGTAAGATACAAAGTTGATGGATTTATAGAGCTAGTATATACACTATTATAAAGCCACTATTACACAAAGCGTTTCGGGCAGGAATAATTATATATATATATATATATATATATATATATATATATATATATATATATATTATATTGTGACGGTAAAGCGTTGGTGTTCGCCTGTTTCAAAAGCTAGGGGCAGGGCCTCGTCACATGAGAAAAAAAAAAAAAAAGAGAGAAAAGTTGGTCCTTTCGTCTGTGGTAAGGTAATGGGAAGACACACAAAACACAAGTATATAAACAATGAAATTTTAATTACTCTAGAAAACAAGACATGAATAAAGGCAATCTCATAAAAATATGCAGGATAAGTCAACAAACAAAATAACATGAATAATCACTGGCAAATGAAAAGTTACGCTAAGACAAGTAAGTTACAGTGATAGCAAAATAAAATATGAGTGCTGGAATACTTGCTTCGAGCTGCCACCTCCCTTATTACACGAAAGCTAAGGCTTAGTCTACCAGCGAGATATGTCAACTGCATGGAGCACTGAGCTATACTAACGAGACTTGCGCACTGCAGCCCAGACGTCGACTTGTGGTGGTGGCGGAGGGCAGGGGCGACGAGACACCAGCCAATCAGCAACAGGCAGGCAGAGGATGAGCAGTTAGCTGGTTACGGCGGTGGCCAGGTGTGCTGGGTACGATTTGCTCTCTGGGCAAAACGTTTGGCGATACTTGGTGAACGTATCTTGTATTTTGACGTAATTATGTAGGGAAGAGCAGGCTCAATCTCTCTTGAAAGAGATTATCGTCACAATATATATATATATATAAAATTTATATATATGAAACGTACTAATGTTGTGTGGTTGTGGGTTGAGGGGGGATGATTGGTACAAATACATGTGTACGATGTGAGGAGTGTACCAAGTGGTGTGTTGTTTTCCCCTTGGGAGGAAGGGGAGGGGGAGACAGCTGTGTGTCACACCTGACCGCAGGCGGGCGGAGCGGCGGCCCACCTCTGATGACTCTTACACTCTATACTACTCTCAGGACAAATGTATTCCTTACAAACAGTGTTCCTGACAATAGTGGCCCTCTACTACGTCATCACCAGGTAATGTAAATAATTAGTATTAGTGTGGTGATTATTGACGCCAGCGGTGAATAGTTTAATGTGCATCCCCCATACTGAACTTGTCACTTCTGTACTGATATGTTAGAGGTATATACATGTACAGATATACACATATAATTATACACACACTATGTATTTACCTGAATTTACCCGAGGGACACTATATATATCAAAGACAGGGGTCCGTCTAATTACCACAAGCTACACAAGCTTCACAAAGCTTCCTGGCAATACGTTAGTAATGAATAAATATGATAGGTTAGGCTGACCTAACCTAACCTAACCTAACCGACGCTGAAGTTGGGTGCTGAAGTTGAGTCTTGTCTAGGAATAGGCCAAGAAACTTGACATTTTTATTACTGATGTTAATGTTGTCTATCTGTAGCTGAATTGCATTTGATGATTTGCTTCCAAATAAGATGTAGTAGGTCTTTTCTATGTTTAGTGATAGTTTCTTAGTTGACATCCATAAGTGGACTTTTTTTAATTCGTTATTCACAACATTATTTAGTGTATGTGGATTTTAGTCTGAATAGATGAGGGTAGTATCATCAGCAAACAATATAGGTTTAATATGTCCCGTAATATTAGAGACATTAGGCAGATCATTGATATATATAAGAAATAGAAGAGGTCCCAAGATGCTGCCCTGTGGTACTCCAACAGTTACTCTCACAAGTCGAGCCTGGCCTCGGGCCGGGTTTGGGGAGTAGAAGAACTCCCAGAACCCCATCAAGCCGGTATCAAGCAGGTATTGGTAGAGTGGAAGAGGTTGTATCATTGATGGCTACACATTGGTGTCTGTCACTAAGATAGGATCGGATATAGTCCAAGGCAAGGCCTCGGATTCCATAATGCTGGAGTTTAAGTAAGAGGTAGTTGTGATTAACAGTATCAAAGGCTTTTCTTAGGTCAATAAAGAGTCCAATCGGAAACTCATATTTGTCAAGGGCTGAGTAGATTACATCAAGGAGACTAATGATTGCATCGTTGGTGCTCTTTTGGCCGGAAGCCAAACTGGCAGGGGCTGAGTATGTCGAATTTTACGAGGTAGGAATAGAGCTGTTTGTAAATAATTTTTTCAAATATTTTTGATAGAATGGGTAGATTTGATATTGGTCTATAATTGTTTGTCCGCCAGATTGCCTCCTTTATGGACTGGCGTTACAATTGCTTTTTTAAGGATATCAGGGAAGATATGACACTCTATGGATTTGTTGAACAGTAGAGCTATGGGTGGCGCAAGGGCATGGGAGGCACTCTTGTATACAATGGACGGAATTTCAGTGGTGTTCCCTGGCTTGGTTTTTAGTGAGTGTATGATGGACACAACATCTGCCAGGCTAACTGGTGAAAGGAGAAGAGAGTTTGGATAGTTGCCTGAGAGATATGTTGATATGTGTCTGAGTCTGTGGGATTTTTCTGGCAAGATTATCACCAACCGATGAAAAGAAGCTATTAAATTCATTTGCCATTTCTAAATCAGTTGACGGTGTATACCCATCCTTAGAGTTTTATTTGGTTATGTAAGTGTTGTTTAGTTCCTAGGATACTAGAGATGGTTTTCCATGTGCTTTTTATGTTGCCTTTTGCTTCACTGAATCTATTCACATAATATGAAAGTTTTGCCTTTCTTATGATACTGGTAAGCATTGATGAGTACCTTTTAACTACTTCCTTTGTAACTAGGCCAATCCTAAGTTTCTTTTCATATTCATGTTTCTTGTTGATTGATTTGAAAATGCCACTTGTGAGCCATGGATTGTTTTATCTTTTGTCAGTTACTTGCTTGGTAAGGAGGGGACAATGAAGGTTGTAGAGGCTTAGAGTTTTGGAGAGGAAGAGGTTAGCTAATTAATTTAGATGCTGAGTATTATTGAATTCAGAATCCCAGTTAATATTGTGAAGTGCATTTGTAAGATTGCCTAAAGCTGATTCACTGTGTAACCTGAATGTAAGTTTCCTGCTTTCTGGTGGTGTTATGTCCATGTTCACTATGAGAAAGGTAAGGTAGTGGTCAGTTGTTCTGTCGCAGATTATGCCAGATACAAGGGGAGCTGTTATGTTAGTCCATAAGTGATCCAAGATAGTGGCTTATGTTTGAGTGACTCTGGTAGGTTTGGTGATTGTGGGGATTAGCATACAGGAGTTCATGCTGTTAAGGAAATAGTCAACTTCAGAGCAATTTTGTTGACCCAGGTCAGTATTGAAGTCTCCTCCCAGAATGATGTAGTTTTTGTTGAGATTGTTGTTTATAATAAGATTCCTTAGGTTATCTGAGAATGAAGCTATGTTAGTATTGGGAAATCTATAGATGGCTCCAATAGTCAAGGAGGATTTAAGGGATTTAATTGTAAACTGAGCAAAAGTATATTCATAGTAGTCATCTCTGTCACTAATAACACTGTTGCAGATAAATGTATCTCAGTAATATGTAGCTGTGCCGCCACCTTTTTTATTAGGCCTACAGTTGTGAATGGCTTTATAACCAGCTAAGTAGTAGAGTTGGGTATTGTCTTTACTTAGCCAAGTTTCTGTTAAAATAATGAATGATAAGTTAGTACCTAGTGCTGTGAGTAATGCATTTATATCGTCAAAATGTTTACCAAGTGGTCTAATAACGATGGTCAGCTTTCAGCCTCTGATTCTGCTATTGAGTTCAATAGGTTCTTCTCTTCCATTGGTTCATCCCTTGCAAGGGGTCCATCCCTTGCAGACATTAAGGACTATCTTTCAGGTAACTATCCACAGTCTCTGTACCTAAAGCCTATTAATTCCACTGACGTCAATGAGATAATCCTTTCCCTTAAAATCAAGTCTGGTGCCCTTGAGGAGATACCAACTTTAATTTACAAAAAAGCCTCCAGATGTTTAGCCCCTGCTATTGCTTTGCTCTTCAACAAGTCACTTGAACTCCAAACCTTCCCAGATATTCTAAAAAAAGCGAGAGTAACGCCTGTCCACAAATGTGGTAATCTCACAGATGTTAACAACTACAGACCTATATCTATCCTGCCAAACTTGTCAAAAATTTTTGAAAAACTAATCTATAAGCAGCTTTACTCATATCTAGCCAAACTCAATATACTTAGCCCTTGCCAATATGGCTTCAGACCCCAAAAAAGCACTAACGATGCACTTATTAGTATGCTTAACTCGATTCATACAGCTCTTGATAAAAATGAGTTCCCTGTTGGGTTGTTTGTGGACCTGCGTAAAGCTTTTGATACTGTCAACCACCAAAACCTTCTTCTTAAATTACATCATTATGGAGTCAGAGGACACTCCCTACAATACCTCAAATCCTACCTTACTGACAGGCTCCAATATGTTTCTGTGAATAATACAATTTCTCCCACCCTACCCATCAACATTGGTGTTCCCCAGGGCAGCATACTTGGCCCTCTCCTCTTTCTCATCTACATTAATGACCTTCCAAATGCCTCACAACACCTCAAACCAATTCTATTTGCTGACGACACAACCTTCATTTACTCCAGTCCTGATCCCCTTGCTCTAAATGCCACAGTAAATACTGAGCTAAATAAAGTCCATCTGTGGCTAACTGCCAACAAACTCACCCTTAACATTGACAAAACCTTCTATATTCTGTTTGGCAATAAATCCTCTAATCAAATAAATCTCAAAATAAACAATACCCAAATTTGTAACAAATTAGATGGCAAATTCCTTGGCATTCTCATTGACCACAAGCTGAATTTCCAGGGACTCATACTAAACATATCAAAAAAAGTTTCAAAAACTGTGGGCATTCTTTCTAAGATCAGATATTATGTACCACGCCCTGCCCTGGTGACTCTCTATTACTCCCTTATCTATCCATATCTCAACTATGGTATTTGTGCTTGGGGCTCTACTACCCAAAATCACTTACGTCCTCTAATTACTCAACACAAAGCTGCTATTAGGACAATATCCAATTCTGGCCCCAGACATCACTCGGTACCCCTACTCAAATCTCTGAATATGTTAGACATTAAGTCACTGCACATTCTCTCATGTGTAGTATACATATATAAAACGCTAAACTATTGCCAATCCTGATCTCAAAAGCTTCATAGAAGGTTGTAACAGAACCCATGAGCATCACACCAGAAATAAATACAGTTTTGATATTCCTAGAGTACGTCTTAATCAAACTAGAAATGCTCTACAAATCAAGGGGCCCAGAATGTGGAATGACCTTCCCAACCATGTTAAAGACTGTACCTCTCTCAACCAGTTTAAGTTAAAAGCGAAGCTATACCTAATAAATTCCCTGTAACCTACCTTACCCTTCTATTGTCAACCAATGTCTGTGTTTTTTCTTTAAAGAGCGCTGTTTGTCGACATAATTGTATTTGTGCTGCTTTTTCATCTATGCTTTCATTTCTTGTTTTCATTCTACTCATTATGCTCAATTACTGTAGTATTAAGCTTGTCATTTAAGTTTATCATGCCCGAAACGCTTTGCGTAATAGTGGCTTTAGGCATTGTATGTACTAGCTCTACCTATAAGTCTACCAATCCTTGTAAAAATTTATTGTATGTATGTGCCTTACCTAAATAAAATTGTATTGTATTGTATTGTATTGTATTGTATTGTATTGTATTGTATTGTATCTAACATATTAGTTGTAAACTGATAAGCAGGTGCTATTTTGGAGTTTGTTTTTTGCCTGGTATGCTGTGAAATACTTGCAATAATGATGATCAATGTGCTGGTTGGTGTAGATATGAGATAGAAGATTTAGATCAGGATCAATATCAGTGTGCATGGAGATGCAGAGGAATCACACAGTTAAATACTAAATCTGCTGTAAAAACAAAGTAATTATAGTAAAACACAAGAATAGAAGCAAATTCACACAAAATAATAACAAATTAGAAGTAAAATAAAGATCCAATAGATAGCCAGGAAGGACACAGAAGTTAGATAAAAGAAAAAACAAAAAATCAGTAAAGACTGACAGTATAAATGTAAAATAAAAACTAATAAGAAAAATAATAATTATAAAGTAAAATGATCTTAAAGATAATTAGCTTAATAATGGATAATTAAAATCCTATAATTAGTATGAACCTAAGAAAACAAAGTGAGCTCAGATAGAAAATTCCAAAAAAATTACATATAAATCTAAGTAAATCTAGAAATATACTCTAATATAAATCTAAGTGTAAAAATAAACAGGGTGAGATTATATTTATGTGTAAGATTTTACTATGATACTGAGGTAGATGCTTACATAAACAATTATACTATTAATTAATTCCAATAAATGATTACTAAGAAACAAATTCCAAGTTACTTTAAATATAACAGGGTAATAAAGAGCCCTAGGTTTAGTGACAAGAGGGTTAATTAAGAACAAATAATTAGAGTAAAAAACAAGAAATGTCAACAACAAAGATGACAAATTTAAAAAAATAAACTTTGGAAAGGAAAGGCAAAGCTTAAGTACACTTAAGTAGTATATGAGATTACAATTTATGTTCTGGTTATTCAGCTGTTATCCCACAGTCATCCAGGAAAGAAGTGAGGTGTGCCTCAGTAGTTATGACATAAGTTTTTCCAGTGTCAGTCTTCCTAGCTATTATTTTACCATCTCGCACAAAACAGTGTTTACACAATTTTGCATTGCATTATTTTGCACAATGAGACCCCCCTATTCTGGTTAGCTCCCTGTAGCTCCTTGTGTGTTTGTTATTTGTAGAAATGTTTGTAATTTGCTTTAAAACAACCATAAATTTTGAGATAAATAAGAGGACAATTTTTTTTCCGACCTAGATTTCATTCAAAGTTTGAAATAAGATACCGATTTTTGAGGGTACATTGTCTACTGAGAATGTCGGTTATTAGTACTTTCTTAAGTGTTCATGGACTGGTGACTTTACCCTAACTTATTTCTTTACTTTTGTTTTCTTTAGGGGCTTCCCAAGACTTCTTTCCTGGTTTATTGTAGCCAAGTACCAAACTGAAATCAAGATTGGAAGGATATCTCTACTTCGACTTAGTTTTGAAGATGTCCTCATCAAGAAGTCTGGTCTTAGTATTGTAAGTTACTAAGAGTACGATTTTAATGTATGGCTAATAATATATATACTGTACTATGCAGTACAGTATTTCTGAGCCTCTGTAAATTCCATATACCATACATATTTTATTGAATACTGTATCATTCATTTAACAAATATCATTTTAATACACATGGTTATAGTGTTATCTTGCAAATTTTGACTCTAAAAGAAATGAAATATTTTGTTTGTTGCTGTACTTCAAGCTTAAAAATGCATTAGTTGACACTTTTATATGAAATATTTATCTCATGAAAAGTATATTAGTGTAAAACATGTACTGTATATGATTATAAATTTCAGAAAGTTGACAGGGTTGGTGCCACTAGCAGCCTTTTTAATCAAGAAGAAAGAAAAATTTTTGCCATTAAAGTACACGACGTTCGGATTGAAAAGGAGGTAAGAAAAAATTGTGTATATATTGTGAGTGTGTTTAGATAACCAGTGGGATATACTTACCTTACCTTGAGTATATGAATGTATACAAGAATGTATACCTTGCCCCTCATAGGTATACATTCTTGTAGCCTATCTCACTAGGCCTTTTGAGTCCTATGCATTGCCTACTGGGATCCAATACCAGAATCTAGCTCACTTATTAATGACTGAAGCAGAAGGAAAGAGATCAACCACAAAAGCAGAGAAACTTACCTGAAAGCATAGGTGCAACAAAACAAGCAACAGCTTGATGGAAATTAGGCATCCTGAGGTAAACAAAAGATAAACATTGTGCTGTAGGACTGCCTTGTGTGCCTGACTGCCACCAGATGGCAGTCCAGGTTTCCTAAGGTCTCAACCAGCCTGTCCCCTCATTCTGGAGCCATCTGTGCAATGCCCTGTAATCCCACAGGAAAGAAGGGACCAGGCCAGGGATGGAGCACTACTGTGAATCCACCAAGAAAGAATACTTCATTAAATTTAATGTTCGATTCCTATTACTTTTCGGGTACTCCTAGAGTTTACATATAACAGTGCCTCAATAGGGCACTAGAGAAGGGCAACTTTTCCAAAAACAGTAAAGGCAAACTGGGCTGACCTGTGGTGAGATGGGGGTGGGGGGAGGCTAGCAAGAGTAGAATGTCTGGGGCTAAGAACAACACGTGTACCAAACATCTAAGAGTACACGAGTGCAGTTAGACAACCAACAGGGAATGAGAAGTCACCGTCAGAAGGACTACCAGAAGCTTTGATCCTGAATGGCAGCCATTAACCAAATGGTAAAGAATGTAAATAAATGCAGAAAACACCACATATCCAATGATCATGGACAAATAGCCACTTGGCTGGCCTGAACTACAATGCTCTATGCCTGAACTATTATACTCTGAAGTTTCATTTTACGAAGATGCCATTGATAAATGTATAATTTGGGATATAAATGGCTCACAGAGCACAGAAAACTTATAAATATATTGATTGGAGAAATGATTTTTGACTTACAACCTTTCTCTGTGGTATAAGATATTGGGTTTATAAGACTCTTGAACTATATCTGCCCAAATTATCAAATTCTTTCCAGAAAATATTAAAAAATAATTGTGCGGGGATATATATATGTGAGCATTAGAGACAAGATACAGAAGGAAATTAACACTTTCGCGCGCCCGGCTAAGGTTAAAAAAAAAGCGGTATGTGCGCGCGGCGTTTTTGTCGCTTAAGCGTCAAAACAAAAATGTGTATGCTCTTTTTACTCTCCTGACCTTAGTTCTCGAGCTACATATTTCATTTTGGTACCAACGTGTTCGCAATAAAATTCTCTAGAAGAACATCAGTAAAAAAGATCACGAAAGGTATAGGGATACCAGCACCAAATAAATAACTACGAAGATGACTCGCCGTGAGCGCCCAACAGCAACAAAATGTTTTTACTCTTGGGATTGTTATCACCTCCACACGTGTCCTACAGCGTTAATTTTGGTATCAATGGACTCGCAATGAAATTCCCAACACGGTGATATGAATATAAACGTAGAATAATGGTCGCAGTCCACCCGCAAGAGTGTAGGAAGTGGCGGAACTGTTACCCAGTATCGGTGACGCGACGACACGTGCGATACGGCGCTTTGAAAGTTTATACTTATTTCACTCTCCTGACATTATTATTCTATGTACGTCATTCATTTTTGTGCCAATGTGTTCGCAATAGAATGTTCTATGAGCCTGTAGGTAAAAAAGATCAACAAATCGTAAGATAGAATAGCGCCAAATATAAAACAACGCTGGAACATATCAGTGAGCGTCAAACACACATGAAATGTTTTTACTGTTGTTATGTTTGTCACGTTTATACTTGTTGCACACAGTTATTTTTGGTTGTACATTGATCGGAATAAAATTCCCTAAAAAGACATATGCATATAATACATGATATGGGGTTAAGGGTTAAAAACAAGTCTTACCTGGGTCATGGTGGCCCCGTCTGTGTCAGCTAGGTGTTCAGGTATTTAGCCTACCTCGATGACTAGTTAGTATGGGCTCCCAGCCAGTTCACCTGTCTGCTCGCCATGGGTTTGGTTCTTTCCCAGCTCGCAGAGTTCAGGTTCCTGGTGCACTAACGGAAGTCCCATTTTGTTCCGTCCCAGGTTCGAACTTGCCTGGGCCTGGTCTGGGATTCTCGGACAGCGTGCATGTCTCTTTCTCCTGGGGCATTGCTCCAGCTGCAGTCCTGCCTTCGGTAGTTTTTGAGGGGGTCCCGGCTCACTCGTTGGTTGCTTGAACATCTGTGTTGGAATTTAAAATTTGCCATGCTGGTTTACCCGCTGGGACAGGTTTGGCTTCGGCATCTGTTCTGGTTCCTTTGGGGCCTTTCTATCTGCCGCTCTCGTGATCGTTGGATTCATCTACTGGGAGCATTGTAATGGTTGACGAGTCTCCAGCTTCCTTTTCTGGTTTTTCAGGGTTTGGTGTCTTGGCGCCTTCCATGAAGTGAACCCTCGCTCGATGTGTTCACGGATGCCTCGGCGTGTTCTCGACTGGGGCTTGGTGCCCAGTGCTCACCATGCCGTCTAGGGGCGGTGGGCTCCGTTGAGCTCACAGCATGGTGCGGAAGTTTGTGGCGGTGTGGCTTTTGCCGCTGCGGATTTGGCTTGTTCGAAGCTCTTATGATCCGGCTCCATTTGGACTGTGTCCCCGTGGTTCATTGCCTGAACCGTGGGGGTCTCTTCGGTCCTTCGTTCTTTGGGGCTGGTCACTTCGAGTGGCTCTTCTACCGAGTTCTCAAGGTTCAGCTCTCTGTGGTTCACATCAGGGACATGTCCCTTCCTTCCCCCTTCTGGAGGAAGGCAGAGGATGATGATTTGCTTGTTACCCTGTTGTTACGGCCCTCTTGGGCCGCAACTGGGTTCTTTCTCTGATGTTAGTAGAGTTTGGGTATCCGGCCCCAAGCTAGTAGTGGCTTTCAAGAGGTGTGTTCCGTAACACAAGTAAATTAAAGGGGAAGGGATAAAACTGCTCAAAATTAAATATATATTCACCGCCACCAATAAATAAATATATAAACCGTCACATGCGGTTACTATGACTACACGTGTGTACAATCACTTGTCTTCCTCTGAAGACTCTGGACGTTCATGGTGCTCAAGACGAGTGGTCCTGGTTCTCTTCTGGCCTCACGATGAATCCTTTAATTCCCTCTGCGAGTCTACCCCGGCCACAGGCCAGCCAAATCACAGTCCCACTGGGTGCACCGTCGTGGAGGCCTTCAACCACAAATCCAGCCTGTAGCTGGCAGGTTCCAATCAGCTACGCTGCATAGGCCACTCCACGACCGATACTAGGGTTGCGAGCCCTAGGCAGGAGCCTCGTGTGATTACACAGATCACTCTCCTCACCACAACACCCCAGTGGCTAGTCTTCTCCACCAGTCAGCCCCGGGTACGACAATTCCTCAACTGCCACGTCACAGGCAGGCTAACACAACAGTGTTCATCCAGGGGGTGACTCACAGCTTCTGCAGCAAACAGGTGGAGGTACTACAGCTGCCTTGGGTAGACTGATCCAACTTCCATTACAGCAGTCCCAGGTCGACTCTGTAATCAGACACGTCATCAGTACTAGTTACACTCTGGGGCACCTCACTTACAGGCTTAGACACAAACGCCCACCTATCCACTCCATAGATGGCGTTGCTGTCTAAGCGTCACCTCACCAGAGGTCAGCAGCGGCTGTGTTATGAGCTGATCAGGACGGGAAACCAGCCCCTGTGGCAGGTATATCCTGTCCTCACTAGATGGCGCTGTCCATTTGGAGGGGGTTTCGGGAGCTGACCCACAGATGGCGTGGTCGTCACAGCTCCGTGTTTGGACGCTGGGCTCGGGTCCGTAACACCTGTTTTTCTTGAACTCTACTCATTCTTGAGTTGCAATTTTCTACCAGTTGGGGTATGTTTTGGGGTGCCTACCTTTGAGTGCCTAACCCCAGTCAGTGGTAGACATGAATATACTCTCAGTGTGAAGTTTTCATAGGCCATTGCTTCCTTTGCCTCTCTGAGGGAACCAGGTTCTGGCTTGTGGTTCCCGATAGGCATAAGTACTCCATATGACCAAAGCCCCAGACTAATGTAGCTAATAACAGTCCAATAGCTCCAGAAAATGGCATTTCATTACATTCAACACTGGTTTTTTGAGATGTGGAGTATGACAGGTACGCAATCCAAACCTATGAAGGAGCGGGAGTGATGTGGTGTTATAGGCGAGTGCCAGGTCTGTTTGAGAGTATGAGGTCAGGCTGGCCAAAGCCATTGTTCACATAGGATGTGTGGAAGTCAGGCCCTAGAAATGTTATTCGTTTTTGGATGCATAGCTGGTGAAACTGCAGCCCGTGTTGGTCTTGGGTGTTGTGGTTGAAAGTGGGGTGTTTTGCATTCAGGTCTGCTATCAGGTAAATGGTGAGGATGGTGTAGTTGAGTCTGGTCAGGTCATAGTGAGGTATGTTGGCTTAGGGGGCACCAACAATATGTGCCCCAACACATATGGTTGAGGTATGTTGATAACAACTGATTAGTTTTCAATATTATTCTTTTCTTTGCTTTAACAGTTTTTGTTTTGCCTAACCTTTCTGGGTCATTTCCTCATTTTTGGCTATAACTCCAACCCTTAGGTTCCCCCTCACTTTGTAGAGTGGGAACCAGAATCACTTTGATTCTGGCTCTTGGTGGGCCTTGGAGTCTTCTGCAATCCTTAGGCTAAGTGATACAGTACCAGCAAGTAAGCACCAGAACTGAGAAGCTGCTGAGGACACACCAGAAAAATAAGTTTCATTGTATTCAATCCTTAATTTTCATCATTGCATATAAATTTTTCACTAATCAATTGTCCTAAGACCTGTGGTGTCCATTCATGACTACAATAGTCAAGGTGGGGACACAAGGAATTTATATAACAGTCAATTAATTGATAATTTTATTATCTTCTATTTGTATATTCTAGGTATACAGTATGTACATATTTATAATGTATTTCAAACTTTAAATTCTTTTTGTGTTATGCAGTAATGCTAGTTATGCCTACAAATATATATTTTGTTCATTATCCTTAAGGTATGTGATAAACGGAGAAGAGGGACTCGAACAGAAACTGTAAATAATACAAGTATGGAGTCCGCATATTCTGCAGCAGGAGCAGACAACTCATCTACACCAGTGGAGCCACACGTTATTAAACTTAGAATTTCACCATCTGTTGTGACTCTTGCACAGGTAAATTCAGATATTTTTGAATGGATTGCTAAATTAGCAAGAATTATTCACATAAGTCACATATTCTGTAATTACAGCACCTTATCATTAGTTATACTTGGTAGTGTGTACCTCTTGAAAAGAGGTAGTGAAAACCTCTTGTTTTCTGGGAGAAGCCCCGTCGGCTCCCCGGAGCTTTACCAGGCTGATATGCTAATGTCAGACTTAGGCATCAGTCATGTGTATGGAGTTCTTAGGGCCTACCGGGGACCACGGCCAGAACCTGGCCTCCTCAGAGAGGCAAGGAGAGCAATGCCTGTAGAGACCCCTGTGTGGTTGGAAGCATTCTATGTCTGCCATCGACCGGGTCAAGCATCCAGAAAGGTAAGCATTCCAAAACAAACCCCTATTCTGGTGAAAATTGCTACCAAAAGCCAAACTAGTGGATAGAACTCCCCAACAGAAAACAAGCAAACTAGTATGACGTCACACATCACCACGCCGCTGTCTGCGCAGCTCCCCCCTCCCCGGGTGGAGGGAAGGGGGAGCCCCAGACCTCTCACGCCGGCTATCCACCCATCAGTTCTTCGGCTGATGCTAAAGGCACTGGTTGTGTGCTCCGGCTCCAGAGGTTGTTTCAGCACTGTACCTAGAGGGTGGTGTCTTGTCTTCTAGGTGGTGCGTGAGCCAGGAGTGAGTCTCCAGTACTTGGGCTGCATGCGCCTAGGGTTCCCTTTCCTAGGTGCCCTGTAAGTACTGCCCTTGGGGCTTGGGGTTACCTTCCACAAGTTCCTTGGGTCCTGCTTCTGCTAGGCCATTTACTGTTTGGTTTTCGGCCGCCCTTTGTGTGATAGAGGGTTCTGTCTCCCTTGTTTGCTTAAGGGTAGGGGGCAGTTTGCACTGGTAGGGGCTCAGGGTACTGCGCAGCTTGTTTTCACCAATCATAGTGGCCGGCTCAGATCCGCCTAGGTACGAAGTCCTCTAGTGGGGTTTTCTTTTACTTTTTTGTTTGTATACCTGGTGGGGGTCTGCCTTTGGTTCTTGCCCCCTGTGTACTGAGTACTCTTCCTTCTTCTGGTGGTTTCCCCTGGGGACGCTAAGCCCCGGAAGCACCTCAAGGTAACCTCAAGGTAAGGTAAGCCCCATTCCTTTGATTTTTTTTTTTTTGCTTTATTTTATGTTTAAAGGTTACAAGATATACATTGGTTGATACAAAGAGATCTTAAAGGTTATGGATCTCTTGAAGCTCCTCCGCTTCAGGACAGGAACCGAGGATGCAGCAGGCGTTTCCCCTCTGGATTGCCACACTGAGGCGCTGAAACAAAAAACTGGCAGCTCTTGGGTCTCTGGTGACGTCAATGAGCTTGGAGCCCAGTTCCTTGAGAAATCCCAAGGCACTCTTGCCCCAGGGGCCGTGCGTCTCAGACGCTATGGGAACAAAGGTGTATTGACCTTCCAATCGCTTGTATTTGGCTGATTTTGCTATTTCCCTGTGGTTGGCCGCCCCACCTGCTTGATCAGCTCCGAGGTGTACATAGGTGTCAGCCAGGGTGGATACACAAGTGTAGTCCCACACCAAGTGTCTGCCCCCCTTACAGGAGTATATGGTGATGCCATCAGGGTGAAGTGCGGGGAAATCCGGGTTTTGGACCCCTAGGATATGAGGTTCTCTCTCCGCTAGGCACTGAGGTGAGACGAAGCTCCTCTTGATAATGTCGTTGACCTCGTTGTGTTTCGCATGCCAGCCCTTTGTGCTTCCACAATGCAACCCATGCAGTCCATATTGGTCTGCTTCCACCCTGTTGCAAATACACTTGTATTCAGTGTGAATTGGGGCACCAAGGCGGAGGGCCACTGCTACACGAAGGGATTCTGAATCTAGACGCGTGCCCATTGCCGACATGGGTACTGCCAGGAGGAAGACTCCTGCATGGGGGGCAGGCACTGCTCTGAGGCGGGCTTTCTCCTTGTCTGATGTTGCGGCTCTGAGCATGGCACCAGCTATTTTTTCTACTAGTGGGTGGTCCCAGCTGGACTGTTTTAAGTTTTTTTGTAGCTTCTGTGATGGATGCTGGGGGTGCAAGAGCATCCCACTGATATGAACATTCAGTAAAAGCAGGATCGTGTATTCCTGCTGAATTTCTCAGGAATTCAGGTACTGTATATATATAATGCTTTGCACAGTGTCTCTAAAAAAGTTTACTAGAGCATATTTTATCTTTCAGTTCTTTGGAGTGCACATTATGAGCGTCAGTGTGATGTACCTACGAGAGAAGTGGCCAGAATGTCTTCTTCATGCTTCAGCTGAGAAAATAACTTTGGAAGGTGCAACCTTAAACCAGTCTAATGTAGCTGTAAGTTCATTGTTATTTGTAATTATGTACATTTTGTGTAGTGTATTTCATTTTTTTTTAAATAGTAAAATTTTGAGCAACCGGGAGTGCACTTCTAATTCTATAATATATATATATATTGTAACGAGAAATGTAGGTGTTAAGGCAGTCTTCTCTCTGGCTGGTGGAAATGCCAATCACATTAGAAAAAAATAAAAGAAAACAAAAATGTTGACTGCTTGGCGGTTGTCTTCCTGTGGTAAAGTGAGAGGGAAAAACACGCAAAACAAATCTTATAAATAATGAACTTTAATTTACTTTAAACAAATAGAAACAAAATAAAGATAATCCCTTGACCTGCTACGGTCAAGCAGGTCTGAAATGACCTGCTACGGATGTGCGATAGGTTTGCCTTAAACCAGCAAATAGTAGAACCAACTAGGAAGGAGAACACGCTGGACCTCATTTTCACTAATAATGATGAGTTGATCGGGAACATAATGATTACAAATACCTGTTACTCAGATCACAACTTAATTGAGGTACTGACAACCATGGGGAATGGACCTCCAAAACCAGTCCAGATTCCCGGTGGAGGAGATTTCAGCAAATTCAACTTCAATAATAAACGGATAAACTGGGAGCAAATAAACCAGGACTTCACAGAAATAAACTGGGAAGAACAGCTAGAAAATGCAAACCTGAACCAGTGCCTGGAAAAAATAAGCTCAGTAGCACTAGAAATATGTTCAAACCGCATACCCCTAAGAAAAAAGAGAAAGAGATGCAGATTGGAACGGGAACGTCGTTCCTTATATAGGCGAAGAAAACGAATCGCGGAACAACTTGAGAGTCGCACCCTATCTCAAGAACGGCGAAGAAGGTTAGGTAGAGAAATAGAAACAATTGAACTCAAGCTACAAGAATTATACAAAACCCAGGAGAGGCAAAGAGAGCAAAAGGCCATCAGTGAAATAGAGAGAAATCCGAAATATTTTTTCTCCTATGCAAAATCAAGATCAAAAACCACATCTAGTATCGGGCCCCTGCGAAAGGGAGATGGAACTTTCACAGATGACAACAAAGAAATGAGCGAGTTACTGAGGAAGCAGTACGACTCTGTTTTCAGTGAGCCATTAAATGCACTAAAGATTGATAACCCAAATGAATTTTTCATGGATATGATACCAACATCAAATCACATATCAGACGTCGCCCTATCCCCACTAGATTTTGAAGAAGCCATAAACAGTATGCCTATGCACTCTGCACCAGGCCCGGATTCTTGGAACTCCATATTCATCAAGAACTGTAAAAAACCACTATCGCAGGCCCTTCACATTCTGTGGAGACAAAGCCTAGATACTGGCGTTATCCCTGACATACTAAAAACAGCAGAGATAGCACCACTCCATAAAGGAGGAAATAAGGCAGAGGCAAAAAATTACAGACCGATAGCACTAACATCGCACATCATAAAAATTTTTGAGAGAGTGCTAAGAAGTAAGATCACAAAATACATGGAATCACAGCATCTCCATAACCCCGGACAACATGGTTTCAGAACAGGGCGCTCTTGCCTGTCGCAGTTGCTGGACCACTATGATATGGCATTAGATGCTATGGAAGACAAACAAAATGCTGATGTAATTTACACAGATTTCGCAAAAGCTTTTGATAAATGTGACCATGGTGTTATTGCACATAAAATGCGTTCAAAAGGAATTACCGGGAAAATAGGCAGATGGATCTACAATTTCCTGACTGACAGAACCCAATGTGTAATAGTCAACAAAATAAAATCCAGCCCATCAACCGTGAAGAGCTCAGTCCCCCAGGGTACTGTGCTTGCTCCAGTACTTTTTCTCATCCTCATATCGGACATAGACCAGAACACAACCTATAGCACTGTATCATCCTTTGCAGATGACACTAGGATTTTCATGAGAGTTGGCAACATAGAGGACACGGCAAACCTCCAATCAGATGTTGATCAGGTCTTTCTATGGGCTACAGAAAATAATATGGTATTCAACGAGGATAAGTTTCAGCTCATGCGCTACGGAAAAATTGAAAACATAAAAACGGAAACCACGTACAAAACGCAGGCAAATCATAACATAGAACGAAAAGGCAATGTAAAGGACCTGGGTGTACTCATGTCGGAAGACCTTACCTTTAAAGAACACAATAAAGTAGCCGTCACAACTGCAAGAAAAATGACAGGTTGGATAACAAGAACTTTTCACACTAGAGATGCTATACCGATGATGATACTCTTCAAGACGCTAGTGCTATCTAGAGTGGAGTACTGCTGCACAATGACAGCCCCTTTCAAAGCTGGAGAAATTGCTGACCTAGAGAGCGTGCAGAGATCCTTTACTGCTAGAATCCACTCGGTAAAACATCTAAATTACTGGGACCGACTAAAGAGCCTAAATCTGTACTCCCTTGAGCGCAGGCGGGAGAGATACATAATAATTTACACGTGGAAAATAATTGAGGGGCTGGTCCCAAACCTGCACACAGAAATAACACCACATGAGACCAGAAGACATGGCAGGATGTGCAGAATACCCCCGTTGAAAAGCAGAGGTGCAACAGGTACTCTGAGAGAGAACTCTATCAACATCAGAGGCCCGAGACTGTTCAACACGCTTCCACTACACATAAGGGGCATAACTGGCAAACCCCTCACAGTGTTCAAGAGAGAACTGGATAAGCACCTCCAAAGGATACCTGATCAACCAGGCTGTGACTCATACGTCAGGCTGCGAGCAGCCGCGTCTAACAGCCTGGTTGATCAGTCCAGCAACCAGGAGGCCTGGTCGACGACCGGGCCGCGGGGACACTAAGCCCCGGAAGCACCTCAAGGTAGCCTCAAGGTAGGTAGCCTTGGCTATGTACAGTGCAGATCAAAAATATACACAAAGACAAAACACAATATAAAATAAAATAATGATTACAATACTCTACAATAACTCTTCTTAGATAGAAGCGTCAGCTCTAGAGCACGAGAATATTCTGAGGCCAACTGCTCGTGCGAGACTATATAGAGACGATGCAGATGGTGCTGGAGTCGCGTGAAGTCGCTGATTCACCAATGGGGAGAGCGTTGGTTTGAAGTGGTCGCTTGGTGATCGGTGAGGTGGTGCGCCGACAGTGAGGGAGGGGGGGTGAGGAGTAGGGTAGTGTACTCCCTGTAGAGATGTCTGTTATTCCACTTCTATAATATTCTTGAATGTGGTATCTTGATGTTGCAGACGTAAAGAAGTAACGCGATGTAGGAAGGAGCAGGCTAAATCTCTCTTGAAAGAGATTACTGTCACAGCTCTCCCCCGAAGCCTGCTCTTACGGGTTAAGTTACTTCATTAGACGGTAGAGTGGTAGGAGTAGCTGCCTCTACCTCGTAGACTCTGGAGAGGGCGTCGGCTATGATGTTATCCGAGCCCTTAATGAAGAATAATATCTCCAGGTTAAAGTTCTGCAGGTACAGAGCCCAGCATAGATGTTGATTGTTGAATTGGGCTTGTTGCAGAAATCGTAGGGGATTGTGGTCCGAATAGATGGTAATGGACCTATTACCTTGTAGGTAAGGTTCGAAATGTTGAAGGTTCAGGACGATAGAGAGGAGTTCCTTTTCTATGGTGCTATAGTTCTTCTGATGAGGCTTCAACTTGTAGCTGTAGTAGCTGACAGGAAGAACCTCTTCGCCACGTTGTTGCATCAGGACGCCCCCGATGCCGGTGCCACTTGCGTCAACATTGATGATGAAGGGCTTCGTAATATCTGGAGAGGCGAGAATGGGATTAGAACATAGCAGAGACTTTAGTTATTCAAAGGCAACGGTCTGTTGAGTGGTCCAATGATACCGTTGCTTGGGGCTGGTCAGATTAATCAGTGGTGTCGCTAACGTACTGAAATTTTTTACAAACCTACGATAGTAAGATGCAAGGCCAAGGAAGTGCAGGAGCTGCTTCCTGGTTGTAGGTTGTGGGTAATGCTGAATGGCTTGAGTATGAATGGTTAAAGGAGCTAGGCTGCCACTTCCTATTACATGACCACGATAATGCACTTTACCTTTAGCAAAGGTGGACTTGCCCAAGTTGATGGGAAGGCCAGCTGTCACGAGCTTGGAGAACAATCGTTGCAGCTGGAGCAGATGTTCGTTCCAGGTGTCAGTTGCCACAACAATGTCATCCAAGTAGGCGTGGGAAGGCCAGCTGTCACGAGCTTGGAGAACAATCGTTGCAGCTGGAGCAGATGTTCGTTCCAGGTGTCAGTTGCCACAACAATGTCATCCAAGTAGGCGTAGGTGTGATCTAGGCCATGGATGACACAGTTGACAGCTCGCTGGAAGGTGGCCGGGGCATTATACAGTCCAAAAGGAAGGCGTTCATATCTGTACAGGCCAAAAGGAGTGGTGAAGGCAGGTATTTCCTTAGCTTGCTCTGTCAGACTAATCTGATAGTAGCCCTTTAACAAGTCAATCTGGGAAAGATAAGTAGCATTACCTACGGCGTCAAGGATATCATCTATACGAGGTAAAGGGTAAGCATCCTTGACGGTCACGAGGTTCAGTTTCAGTTCTGGTTACTAGGTACGACATATATATATATATATATATTATTTTTATTTATTGCTAGAAAGAAAGAGGAGCCTCAACACAATTTTTCTCTCCTTACAGCTGAAAGTGTCCATAAGTGGAGCTCACTTCAAAGTACTTCAACATGTTAGTGAAGGAGATGTGAAGTCAGCAGTGAGAGGTACTGCATGTGCTGGACAAAACCAAGATCCTTCACTTATAGAATGTGCCATCTCCCTCAAACTTTCTATTGAGGCTAATGCTGAAACAGTAGCAGCAATGGAAGTAAGAATAATATATTTCAGGTTCAAGATTATAACCTTCCCTGTTCCCATTTTTAGTTTCATTGCAAAATAATTTGTTTGGTCAGTTTGTGTTCATAATGGCTTATGTTAATTTCTCTACTTTGAAATTAATTTTTTATGTAAACAAATTTCTAGGTTCCTGTCTCTCTTAAACTACATCTATACTCCTTTAATCTCAAACAATTTGAAGTTATTGAGTATTTCCAATTGCTTTACTGGGACACTTTTTCATTGCAGAATATCTCGGTGCATCTTTGCCGACCACAAGTTACAATACGAGAACGGTTATTTACATTCCTGGAGCACAATGCGCAGGCATCCACACCTATAATCAATCCGTCGGCTTTGTCTACAAAAAATAATACTTCAGTGCATAATTTGCTGCACAGATTCTGGCTATTTCTTCCCTTGGTGAGTCTAATTGTTATTTCCAAGGAAAATGACTGCTTGTTATGATATGAAAGAGCAAACTTAAAAACTCACTCCTTTCTAAAAATAAGTGAAAGTACATAGAACATCAGTTAATTCTCTGCCAACTAGCAGTTCACTGTATATTTATATTACTATTCTGACCACCACTAAATGGCAGCTGCAACACACCAAGACACGCTTGGAAGAACTAGCTACACTCACATTTTTCTGGGGGCAGCCTAGTAGGCTTCCCAGAGCTATCCAGGCTGAATGGATATGTTTAACTTTCTGGCATCAGTCAAGTGCAAGGAGTTCTTGCCTACCGGGGACCTCAGAGAGGCACGAGGAGCAATGGCCTGTAGGAACCCCCTTGTGGTTGGGAGCATTCTACATCTGCCATTGACTGGGACAGGCACCCCAAAACAAACCCCTATTCTAGTGAAACTATTGCTACCGAAAGCCGAACGAGTTGACAGAACTCCCCAAACGAAATTAGCAAACAAGAATGACGTCATTATGTTGCCGTGCTGCCGTCTGCGCAACCTCCCCATCCCTGGGAGGGGTATGGGGGAGCCCCAGACCCTTCACGTCGGCAACCCAACCTACAGTTCTTGGCTGATGGGAGTCTGGTGCAGTCGTGCCTCTGGCTCCGGCCTTTGTTTCAGTTCTGTGCCTTGTGGTGTGGGCTGTCCCCTCAGGTGGTGCGTGATCCAGGAGAAGTATTCCACGGTACTCGGGCTGCATGCGCCTAGGGTTCCCTTACCTAGGTGCCCAGTAAGTACTGCCCTTGGGGCTTGGGGCCTCCATCCACAAGTCGCCTTGGGATCTACCTCCCCTGTGTTGTTTACTTCTCTGTATTTGGCCGCCCTTGGGGTCAGCTGTTTTTTCTTGCCCTTGTTTGTCTCTGGGTAGGGGGTAATTTTCGTCACTGGCAGGGATACGGGGTACTGCACAGCTAGTTTCCACCCATAACAACGACCGGCTCTATTCCGTTTGGGTATATTGTCCTCTTGCGGGTTTTTTCTCTTGTTTTTGTTTTCAGCCTGGTGGGAAGGTCTGCTTAGTGGTTCCCGTTTGCTGTTCTAAGGGTGTGTGTGTGTAATTACCTAAGTGTAGTTACAGGATGAGAGCTACGCTCGTGGTGTCCCGTCTTCCCAGCACTCTTTGTCATATAATGCTTTGAAACTACTGAGGGTCTTGGCCTCCACCACCTTCTCACCTAACTTGTTCCAACTGTCTACCACTCTGTTTGCGAAAGTGAATTTTCTTATATTTCTTTGGCATCTGTGTTTAGCTAGTTTATATCGATATGACCTCTTGTTCTTAAAGTTCCAGGTCTCAGGAAATCTTCCCTATCGATTTTATCGATTCCTGTTACTATTTTTTATGTAGTGATCATATCACCTCTTTTTCTTCTGTCTTCTAGTTTTGGCATATTTAATGCCTCTAACCGCTCATCGTAGCTCTTGCCCTTCAGTTCTGGGAGCCACTTAGTAGCATGTCTTTGCACCTTTTCCAGTTTGTTGATGTGCTTCTTAAGATATGGGCACCACACAACTGCTGCATATTCTAGCTTTGGCCTAACAAAAGTCGTGAACAATTTCTTTAGTATATCACCATCCATGTATTTAAAAGCAATTCTGAAGTTAGAAAGCGTGGCATAGGCTCCTCGCACAATATTCTTTATGTGGTCCTCAGGTGATAGTTTTCTATCTAGAACCACCCCTAGGTCTCTTTCTTTATCAGAATTCTTTAAAGATTTCTCACATAATATATAGGTTGTGTGGGGTCTATGTTCTCCTATTCCACATTCCATAACATGACATTTATTAACATTAAATTCCATTTGCCAAGTGGCGCTCCATGTACTTATTTTGTCCAAGTCTTCTTGAAGGGCATGACAATCATCTAACTTTCTTATCCTTCCTATTATTTTAGCATCATCAGCAAACATGTTCATATAATTCTGTATACCAAATGGTAGATCATTTATGTAGACAATAAACATCACTGGTGCAAGAATTGAACCCTATGGTACTCCACTTGTGACATTTCTCCAGTCCGATACATTGCCTCTGATCACAGCCCTCATTTTTCTGTCAGAAATTTTTTTTTTCCTTTTCCTTCTCTTTGGGTATGAAGCTCCAGGGAGCCGTAGGGGCTCCCCACAGAAAACCAGCGTTGAATGTAATGAAACGCCATTTTATGGGTGAGCCCCGGAGGCTCCCTGGCAACCCTCCCTCCCACCGGTCAGCGGTTTTTTCACGTTGGTTGAAGCTTAGCTTCCGAACTGAAGCTTGGCAGCCGGTGCGGTAGATCCGGGGCTCCCCCCTCCACCTATCAGGGCGGGGAGGGCTCCGCGGACGATTGGCACGGCTGTAAAGTGTGATGTTTGCTTGTTTCCTTGTGAATGTAGGGAGTTTCTACCTCTCTGTTCATTTTTTTGTTTTAGTTTTTTACCATGTGGGGTTTGTTTTGTTATGCCTACCTTTCTGGGTGCCTGACCCCGGTCAATGGCAGATAAGGAAAACCCCAACCACAAGGGGGTTTTCCAGGGCCATTGCTCCATGAAACATCTCTGAAGGGGCCAGGTTCTGGCGATGGTCCCTGGTAGGTCTGAACTTCTTAACTAATGTCCGGGTCTAATATAACATACATTAGCCCGATAAGCTCCAGGGAGCCTCTGGGGCTCACCCAGACAATGGCGTTTCATTACATTCAACGCTGTTTTTTTTTTTGTTTTTTAGAAATTTCAGGTAAAAGTTGAAGACATTGGAATAAGGTTAATGAATAACCTCAGTCAAATGGCATTACAAGGATCTTTGGTTGGCATCGATCTTCAGACTCACCTTAATCGTGAAGGAGGATTAGGTAAGTGTTGTTGACTTGCATTTACTGTATTTAAAAATTATAACAAATTCTGAATAAACCAGGTCTATGGTTTTTTCCTTTCCTACACCATGACTATATTTCTACTCCATTAAAAATTATTATACAGTGCAAAACATACTGAAATATTTTCTGATAACTAAACTGTAAATTGCACTTGTCACAGTTGTGCCGACATAATTCGTCTTCCTATTCTGCTTAGATATAATTTAAGATTATTATATTTTTATTTATTTATATATACCTGTACAAGAGTTTTTACATTCTTGTACAGCCACTGGTATGCATAGCATTTCAGGCAAGATGGTTCTAAGGATCAATATCCCCACTGCCCGACCTCAAATCAGGCCTCCTGTTTGGTGGTTTGGTCAACCAGGCTGTTGGATGCTGTTGCTTGCAATTTGAAGTATCAACCACAGCCTGATTGATCAGGTATCCTTTGGACTTTTATCAAGTTCTCTTTTGAATACACTGAGAGGTCAGGTAGTTGTCTCCTGGGAATTGTGGAAGAATGTTCAAAAGTCTTGGGGCCCTTAATGTTGATAGAAATGTTTCTTAACTTATTGTACCATTTCTTTTCATTGAGGCTATTTTGCACTTTCTGCCATTCCCCCCCCCCCAATCTCTCAAACTTTTTTTCCATGTGCAATTTTGGGATCATTACCACCAATATTTGCCAAGTGTAAATGATTATGTATCTTGCATGGTTTAAAAAAAAACCAGCATTGCACGTAATGAAATGCCAATATCTGGGTTACCCCCGGTGACTCCCTGAAGCTATTACACTGATTCAGTGCCATACTACTAGGTGCCATCAGTCATAGAGTTCTTATTGGCCTACCAGGAACCATGAGCCAGAACCTGGCCTCCTGAGAGAGGTGCAGAATGCAGTGGCACTATGTAAACCTTTTATGTCAAATTATTCATGTCTGCCACCATCCTAGGGAAGGCACCCAGAAAGTCAGCAAAACATACTACTGTGTGGTTAGAAATGAGACCACAGCCTCAAAATTGCCAAAACAAGATAAACGAACCATAGAAAATTTGTGAAACAAACATGCACTAGAACACACCACCCCTCCCCCCCCTGCCTAATTGAGGGAAGGAGGGAGGCTGACCTGGTTAGCTGGCTGCTCCACCACCAGTTGTTATGATGATGGAAACCACCCTGACCCCCTGGAGGAGGGAGGATGTCAGGGAGCCACCAGGGCTCACCCAGAAATTGGCATTTCATTACATTCAATGCTGGTCTGGGGGGAGCCCTTGTGGCTCCCTAAAGCTATTTACTCATGGAGAAGGAAGAAAGGGCACACACCAGGGAGGAAGAAGCACCACAGGTATCAAGACAAAAAGAGCCCAACAGCCATGAAAAACGATCCAAGGCCACACAAAGCCGCAGAAGACATGGAACGTCCACAAGATATCCGGCTGCTGGGACCCTGTTCGACCGCCAAAACACTGACGCCTGAAGAATGACCAAAGACACAAGGACAAAACGCCGAAAGATCAGCCTACAGAAGCACATCAATGGTACAAGCATAAACCGTAGGCTGGATAGAACATAAATCACTGCAGGTGACATGAGAAATATGAGCCCTGCTACATGGAACCACAGAGAATCACAGCGAGACCACTGAAACAAAACCGGTGACATGAAGGTAGCTGCAAAAAACCACCACTGACATAGAGCATCTTGCACCCCTGGCAGAAATAATCAAGCATCCACCACCAGAAGGTCCCACTGGAAGCCAATCGACTCCTTCCCAGCCAGAAAAGGTGCCAGCAACAATCTGTCAAGGTGCCCACAAGGGCCAGAAGAACAAAATCCCCAGTACCAAACCTGGTCAAGAAGCACCCTCACCTGGCAACCGAAGTTCCAGAGAAAACCAAAGAATGCTTATCGAAACAAGGTAGGACTGAAGGGGCCACCGGAAATGTAGTTGACAAAAGAAAAGAAAGAATCTGGTCAACGGACCAGGCAGGCTCAGACAGCATAGGAGCAGGGCGTAGGTGAAACAGCATGTGAGAAAGCATGCAAAGCAGGGCCTGCAAGCTAGAGTGGTTCCGCCAATGCAGGAAGAAGAGAGGTGACGACAGCATATAGCAGATGATGTTGAGCAAGGAAACACATCAATTACCAAATCATTATTTCTGGCACTAAATTATTCACTGTAAAGATCCTATATGAATTATATGGAAATCAGTAATAATCTTAGATAAATTTGTACGAAATAAATGTCTTATCTGCAAGACGATTTCTGTAACGCCATTTCATCATTCATCCTCGTAGTCACAGGATCCCAATAAAGAAAGAACCTGAGGTGAATATCACGAATGATGAGAATCAACTTGTCGACTCCTCGTATACACGCTGAAATCAGAGAAATTTAAGTAGCATTTGATTAGGCTACGAATTATTTCAAATATTCATGAACACTGAGAACATGTGGAAAATAAACTAACGTTGTGTATTAGGTATTCTTGCTGTATAACGACAGACTACCCACAAGTATACAATCTAGGATGATGCATCAAACGAGAATGGTATACTTAACATGAGTGTATCAAATCATTAAGGTGCAAGGACATCATCCAAGAACCTGCATTTAATATAAGGTTAACGTGAGCCAAAGTCATCATGTAGAAGGTAGGATAGGGAATGAAGCTGTTCAGTCCTGGAAGATTGAGAATATACTGTAGGTCTGCCAATTCCCGCTTGGGGGCCCGGGGACACCCGCCAAACAGACAAGGAAAGTTTGACCATGCCCGAATTCAATGACATTGCAGTATCCTTGCATAACTGAAAGGATGATCCCTGACCTTACAGCCAAGAAATGGGGAGGGAATGACTAACTCCACTGAGAGCCAAGGGAGATGACCCAGGAAGCTCTCAAATCTTGGGAGCCAACAGGCAGCATGGTGGAGGTAAAGAGGATGATTGTTGACCAGTAGTAAGATTGAAGAGCACCCTTCAAACTCGCATGTCGTGAGTGCGGACTCAACGGGTTGATTAATGTGCCATGGCCCTAGACCCACAGGAAAATTACCAAAGCCTGAAAGTTACTAGCCAAACAGGACATCCAAGTACTAGGAACACTCACCGAAAGAAGACCCTGAACACATCCTATAAAAACTCGGTTACGAAGGATGTCCATGTAAGCAAACACATACTGTATGTACCCTAGTACATCTCTCACAACCAAATAGGATGCCTTAATCCCAGGGCCAATAGTGAGTAGTCAGCGACCCATGCACTGTTCAAGGTGAAGCACCCCACCCTGGTGGTTAACCCCTCAGAGAGGTGAACTCCTGAATGCATCAGAGAAGCAACTGTCAGTGCAGGGACAATGCCAAACAAGCACCTAGAAAAGGGTTGCCCTGAATACATGCATCTTAAAGCATAAAAATTGCCAAGTCCCCACAAGATTGCTGGGGGAGAAAAAGTTACACGTGAAGCAATAGTTAAAAAAAAAAAGTGGAACAATACAACAAGTAATTGGTCCCCAAAGGACAACGTCGAAATAGTGTGTGGCACTTATCTGAGAAGCCGTGGGACCTGCTGCGACAGTTTGTGAACTGAGGAGAGCACTATTAGTTTAGTCAGAATCAGCGACAGGACTGACCTGGGAGCTGGCTAGGGGCCTGTGGCTCCTGGCTGTCTGGTGGTGACTAATGGTACTATTGGGTTCAATGAAGCAATTGTTTGCTGGGTTATTTGGCTGTTTCAGTGCTTTTTTTTTTTTAACCTTGCAGTTGTCTCTAAAATTTTGCTGATTCTGAATGCTTTCCTGGTGAGGGTGGTGATAATTATTCCCATTACCTGCACCTTGATGATAAGGTGGGGCCAGGTTGTGGCTCTGGTCCTCAGTAGGCCGAACAGGACTCCTGTGATTAATGTTGGCCCCCTCCTGTGGGGGGCCAACTCGGCCAGATTGCTTCTTGAAGCCACCAAGGGGCTCTTCCTAGAAAATGACTCAAAATTGACTCGGAGGGGGGGGGGGCCTTATATATAGATTACATAAAGAAATTATGCAAATAATGTTGGCTTGCTTTATTTATAGAGAACCTGCCAGCCCTTTTGCCAGACTTCAGTACAGAGTTGCAGGTGGACAATACAAGGCTGCAATGTATACACGACTCTTCAATTTTCCTCAATAGATTTAATCTACAGACACAGGTAAGAGCAAATTTATTTTTGGTGCATATCCTAAGTAGTGTTCCTCGTGTTCCTAAGTAGGCCTACAGAACTCCATACATGTGACTGATGTCAAAGCCTGACATTAGCATATCAGCCTGGAAAGTTCCGGGAGCCTCTGGGACTCATCCAGAAACTGGCGTTGCATTACATTCAACGCTATTTTTTTCCCGTGATCAGGGAACACAAATGAACATTTTTACAAGATGAAATATTTATTTTTCCTTGTGCCTGGGCGTGTTGCAGGCTATAATTGTAAGAGCAGCCCAGGGGTTAAGGGTTAGTTATGACAGTTTCTCTTGTTCTGTGTGAATTGTTTGGCAGTTTGAAGGCTTTGGTCTTTTATAACCATCTAGTTGTATGTAAAGCTTAGTTGACTTTCTGGATGCTTTCCGTGTGTGGTGGCAAATTGACATACTCTTTGCTCCTTTGTGGGGGGGGGGGGATCAGGTTTTGGCTCTGGTCCTGTAGGTCAAACAGAACTCCAATATCTGATGTGATCCATTTGCATGGATCTATGACAAGCTCCGGTGCTTGTTACGATTAGTAAAGATATAAAGGCAAAAAATCAATGCATAAATGTTCAGAACAAGGCAAATAGGATACCAGGATCTGTTTCTACATGCATAAGTAATTAAACAAATAATGTTATTCCTCACCTGTATCTTGCTCTTATTAGTCTCCATCTAGATTATGCAGTTCAATTTAGGTCACCATACTATGGAGTGAACATAAATTCACATGAATACATACAATGATGGATGACAATGTTAATCCCAGGAATTAGAAGTCTTCCATATGAAAAGAATGAAAAAGCTTAATTTACATTCCTTAAAAAGGTGAAGAATAAGGGGTGACTCGTTGAATGTATATAAGTGCATGAAAGTGTAACAAATTGAATAAACTGTAACTAGATTTTAAATATATCAACACAAAACAGAAGTTAAACAATTGATGCAAACTGGAGAAGTTTAGATTCAGGAAAGACCTAGCGAGATACATATTTGGAAATGTGGTTGTTGATTTTTGGAAGAAATGACCAGGTAAGATTATAGGTGTGGGAATGCTGAATTGTTTCAAGACATGTTTATGAATGACTTTTGGTAGATATAAATAGGATCTGACTTGTATGAGCCATTAGGCCTTATACAGTTTCATTTATTCTTATGTTATTATCTCTATATAGAACTTAAAGTAAAAAAAAAAGTATTTCCCTAACCCAGCAGATAACATAATAATAATAATAATAATAATAACAATAATAATAATGCTAATCAATTTAATAGATATGTGGAGGATCAGATTACAGTGGTTTCTTTGTATGTACATACAATGTAATTTGTATATTTTATTAAGCCACTAATTATATGACATTTCAGACTGTGTGTGATTCAGCAGACCTTCTTTTATCCCTTTCTCGTGTACTGTATTTACAGTTTGTTGGTGACCGAGTTAACATGAAGAGTGAATTTAGATCTCTCCATTTATTGTACGATCACCGTGACTTAGGGTTATGGACCACCTATATGTCTCGACAGAAGCCTCTACCTCCAGCGTTGTGTTATGTAAGCTTATATGAACAATATGTGCTTTAATATCTCTATCCAGTTTATGGGATCATTAACCTTTACATGTGTTTTATGCATATACTGTATTCTCAAATACATTGTGTATTAGATTAGTTACCTTCCCTTGTTTCATATTAAAAAATATTAGTAGTAAATTATTAATATATCTGCAATGAATTTGTTGAATTACTGTAATTTTATTGTGTTAATTATTGCTTAACATGTTAACTCTGGTGACAGGTTCAAGAATCGAGAAACAAAGAAAAATCGGGTGCATGGAAAATTCTGTTACATCGGTACTGCATTGGTATGATTGTAGAAATGTGGGATGTGAGCTGTGGTGGTTCAGTGCCAGGCTCCTCATATGGCCAAACTAGTCTTCAACACGCACGTTTCAGTGCTGCAGTGTCTCAGTGGACTTCACAAGTTGCAGGAGAATTAATTCTGGAGTCATTGGTTTCTACCTTGGGACAAGTACAGCACAGCATTGCTCCAGCTGTGCTACCAGTTTCAGCCACTACAGCCCCAAGAAGAATTCATGTGTGGGGAACACCAGCATGCATTGGTCTCTGTCTTCTCCAGCTTTCTTCAGTTCCTGCTAGTAGTGGTAGAAGTAACAATTGTTTGCCTCCTCTTCAAGCTGAAGCACTAGTTGACAATATGCAGCTAGAATGGAGCCCTGAATTGGGTTCATTCATCACATCTCTTGTTAGGTATGCTATCATTTTAAGTAAAGGGAATATTAGTAATTGAGTGAACAATAATATACATGTAGGAAAAGTTGTGAAATGTCTGTGGTGTTTATTAAATTTTTAAATGGGATGCCACACAAATAATGTATATTGGTGACTAGTATACAGTAAATTGAAATATAGGTCCAAAATAAAAGTTGTCAGCTATTGTACATGGTGATCATTCTTTTGTTGTGCAATGTAATTAGTAGAATTTATTTATTTATTTATATACAAGGTACATTATGTTTATGAGAGTACATAGCACTGATGTTTCTGGGGGGAGCTCTGTCGGCTCCCCGGAGCTATCCAGGCTGATATTCTAATGTCAGACTGTCTAATGTCATCAGTCATGTGTAAGGAGTTCTGTGGGCCTACCGGGGACCATGAGCCAAAACCTGGCCCGCCTCACAGAGGCACGAGGAGCAATGGCCTATAGAACCCTGTGTAGTTGGAAGCATTCTATGTCTGCTATCGACCGAGTTAGGCATCCCAAAACTAACCCCTATTCTGGTGAAAATTGCTACAAAAAAAGCCGAACAATTGAATAGAACTCCACAAACAGAAATGAGCAAACGAGTATGACATCGCATGTCGCTGACTGTACGGGTTTTTGGTTGCCACCTCCTGAACTCAACGGGCGTTGCACGTTGAGTTCAGGAGGTGGCAACGCGCTAGGTTGTTTGCTCCCCTGAAGCCTCGTGGCTGCCCCGTTTTGATTGTTGTGACGGGGCTTGAGTGTGTTGGTTGCTAAGGTTTTGTTTCTGTTTGCACCCCTTGTCTTTTCCCTGTTGTGGTCTGGTCTGGTCCCTCCCTTCTTCCCTGCATCCAGATCCTCACTGTCTGTGGGTTCGGGGTCGGGGGTAGGGCTTCGATGGTCTTGAGACTCGGGCGGTCTCGGGGAATTCCCCTTCCAGGGTAGCGACGGAGGCATTTGAGCCTGTTTCTCCAGCCGTATTGTACGCGTCTGCCAGTGGGCTCCCTTCCTTAATACTTTTCCGGCTGCCTTGACTTTTTCTTGTGAGGCTGGGGGGGCTTTGAGGGGACAGTTCGGCCACGGGGCCTGCCGTGTGGGTTCCCGGGGCTGGAGAGGGGCTTACTTGGGGACCGCCTCGGGCCCCGTTGGACCCTGCCTGGGTTTTCTACCCTCTGAGCGGGGCTTGCAATTACGGGGAGTGGGATTTTTTCCTTTCCCACTTATACGTACGAGTTGTTGGGCATCGGTCCCTCCCCGGGTTCGGTTCCTTGTCTCTTTGGGTCCGTCGGTTTCATCCTGTCGGTGGGTACTCTACTCCGTTTACTCGCCTTTCTTCTCTGGGGCAGGACTTTTGTCATGTCAGGGGTCATGTTCCCCTCTTCTCATAGTTCTACATGAATTTTGGTCTTGGGTGCGACTGTACCTTTATGAGCCTTCAACCCGTTCTCGCAAATTCGTAAAGTCAATATTGACTTATTAACTACGTGCATAGGTGATATACTAAACATAATAGATACCCCTAAAAAGATTCATAGAAAACACCGACCTTACCTAACCTTGTTAGTATCTTAAGATAAGCATCTTATTGCTTCGTAATTACAATTATTACTTAACCTATACCTATTATAGGTTAGGTAATAATTGTAATTACGAAGCAATAAGATGCTTATCTTAAGATACTAACAAGGTTAGGTAAGGTCGGTGTTTTCTATGAATCTTTTTAAGGGTATCTATTATGTTAAGTATGTCACCTATGCACATATTTAATAAGTCAATATTGACTTATTAAATTTGCGAGAACGGGTTGGAGCCTTAGTGATTTTGTGCTTGCTTCTATGGGTTCTTGAAAGTTTGTGAGGTTTTCACTTCTTCCCGTATTATCCTGTGGTCCCGGGTTCGATCCCGGGCGCCGGCGAGAAACAGTGGGCAGAGTTTCTTTCACTCTATGTCCCTGTTACCTAGCAGTAAAATGGGTACCTGGGTGTTAATCAGCTGTCACGGGCTGCTTCCTGGGAGTGGTGGCCTGGTCGAGGACCGGGCCGCGGGGACATTAAAGCCCCGAAATCATCTCAAGATAACCTCAAGATAACCATATTTTTGAGTACAGCACTGATTCACTCATTTTATTATATAAATATATCACACTACACACTATTGAATAATATTACAGCAAAAAGAACTACGAAAAATCAATCAGACATATTGAAATAATTAGGTAATTATCTCTTTGTGGCAACTCCGGCCTGACAGCTGGCGAGCAAGAGACCGCCTGGGACGCATGCTGAGTCAGCGCCTGTTTTTTGCCAGACTTTCCCGCCCTATAGCGGGCAATATATGCCACTTACGATTTTTTTATTATTTTTCTCATGATCAGTGAACACAAATTAACAGGTTTAGAAGATAAAATATTTTTTTTTTTTTTTTTTTTTTTTTTTTTTTTTTGTATGCACCTATGGGTGACACATGCCAGCCCGTCCTCCAAAAATGGGGTGGTAAATGTAAGGAGACAAATAAGTGCAATTATGTACTATTCATAGCAGGTAGGAATTGTACTTATTTTCACTTAGTATTAAATCGTACTGGCAAATATATTGTGAATATTTGAGTTTACCCCAAAAACTGAATAGAAAACCACAACCTCACCTAACCGTCTTAGTTTTTGAAGATAATAATTGTATTGCTTCTTAATTACAATTAGTACTTAACCTATAGCTATATTGATATTACAGTTTTATAAAACTAATAAAACGAAACTAAAATATATCAATAAATTGTAAAAAAACTCAGGATATTTTAAAATTTTGTATAAAATCTATATTGTTTAATAAACCTGAAAAAGAAATTCCTGATATTTAAAACTTGTGTATAGCAAATTGAAATTGAAAACTTCATCCTAAAATTCTAAGTGTCTTAACAGAAAACGAGGAGAGTTAAATCGGGGAAGGGAGTTGGGTAAATGTAACAGCCCCATAAGTATGATTATGCACTGTTTGACAGTAAGATAATGTACTTATCACACTTAGTATTAAATCGTACTGTCAATTTGGAGGATGGGTTGCACATGCTAAATAGCCAGGCACCATTTAAGGGTTAATCTAACAGATAATTTTAAATAGGTAATATGTAGCAAAATTTAAAAATGTTAACATGTACATTGTAAGAAAATTAGTAGGTTCATTACAGTAAAATTGGAGGATTATAAACAGGTATATTGTAGCATATTTTGAGGATTATTTCTAGGTACTTTGTAGTAAAATTTGCATTCAACATAACAATGATATATGATGATAGCAGTGATTACAATGGTAAAGTTGTATGGCTTAAGCACATATATTGAGGGAGTGGGTAGCACAAGATACAGTGCGAGTTTGAAGCACTAGGCAGGAAACTAACGAAATTAAGTTCATTTTGGTTTTACTTTTGAATAAGGCATAGGTTAAACAGTCTTTTAATTTGTTAGGGAGTGAGTTCCATAGACTACTCCCTTTATTTGCATAGTGTTTGCACAGATTAAGTTTGACTCTGGGGATATCAAAGAGAGCTTTATTTCTGGTGTGGAGATTATGGGTCTTATTACATCTGTCAAGGAAGAGTTTCAGAGCAGGGTTTGCATTTAGGATTGAATTGTTTGTAGGGTTTAGAGCAATGTAGATAAATGAGAGTTGTTGCAGCATATAATGGGTGAGTATTAGTAAACAAACACTAGAATACAGGCTTCTTCAACACATGTCAAATTGTTGATGTTGACCACCTACAGATTCCTTGAGAGCATTTATTGCCAACTAAACTGCAGCTTTAGTTGGCAACAGTCCCCATTTAAAGTTGGCTGCTCCATATATAATCTTACCTGAACATTTTTTATGCTGCAAGAGTAGTAATTAAGAACTAGTGATTAAAGCATTTTATGACATACTGTATATGCTAATAAATTTTGTTATTTCTTGCAGATATTCTCAGGAACTTAAAAAGTACCCAAGAATTATTACAACCCAGAAAGTAGCTCATGAGATGCCAATTGCTTCTGAAGAAACCTTCAACAGTATTAGTGTTAAATGCACTAACATTAATATGTTTGCTGTAACGGAACACAAAGGTATGAAAACGCGCGTGTAAAATTATTGTTGTGTCTTCATCTGTACATTAAACAAACTGTGTTGTAGAAAAACCTCAGGGCCTGTGAATACAGAATATTGAATTTTAGGGTTATACGGGGAAAGTGATATGTTTGAGACCTCAAAAATTCTGCTTTTCCACACAACTTTCTGGATTAAATACCTGCCTTTGTAATATTTCTAAGTACTGTACTCTCACTGCTACAAATCTATACTGTAAGAGAGTGTGTGCATCTGTCAAAAGTTGGAGGCCAGATGCTTTGGGCCAGCCTTGCCTAGATATGTAGGGGAAAATGGTGTTGGGAATATGGGACAGACATAAGCTGGTTGGGGTAGGCCTACATTAAATGATTTAAGAAATATTAGTAATTGTTGATAACCCCCCTCTCCTATTTTCATGGAATCAAGTGTGGTCTAGTGTGAAGTATTGGTTGTGATGCCCCAAAAGTTTCTTGTGATCGTAGAACATTATTTTTGGTAAGACCCATATAGTAGTTTCATTGCTTCCTAATAATGTACATTCTGAGAGAGGGATGAGGGTTGAGGGTTGAAGTGAGAGGAGGGAAAGGGTGTGGAGGACGAGGTGAAGGGACGAAGAAGGGGCGCCACAAGGGGTGTGGGGGAAGGGGAGGGATAAGATACCCATATTGTGTTGGTGTTTCTTAATAATAAATTTTCTGTGAGAAGGGGGAGAGGTGGAGGACTAAGGGGATGTGGGAGGGGAGGATGGAGAAGGGAACCCAGTGATGGGGAGAGGAAGATGAAGGGGAGGACCAAGGGGTGAGGGGAGGGAGGATGAGGGAGGGAACAAAGGGGGAACCAAGAGGGATGGGAAACAAGGGGATCCAGGGAGAAGAGGGGTGAAATAGAGGGGGGGGGGATGAGGAGAAAGACTATCGCAATTACCTCGTAGTATAAAGCAAATTTGTACACTTATTGAAGTTGTAGTAGAGTGTAATTGCCCCTTTCTGCAACATTTACAGGGTACATTGATGCACGAATATAATCCAAAAAGTGCATGACACACATGATAATATGCACTAACTAATTGCAGTGAACCAAGACCTTGTTTTTCATTAAATTGTATTTTACTCTGTAAATTTACTTTGACAAATATGGAACCCTGTGGCTAGGACTACTTTTATCAAGATTGTAGTTGAAATAGTAAGTACTGTAAATACTTAATCATGTGATAATTAGGGTAGTAAAGGTAGTTCAGTTATAATTCCCTTATCCTCATTCTGCTTCTCCGAAAGGTAAGGTTTGCAGTGTTCTGAAGATGCAGTCAGGCAGGATCAAATACAGCACTATCACAAGGATATTTTCAAACTGTCGAAGCAGAGTCATTAACATGCTTGAGACTTTCTAGAGATTAATTAATCCAGCCTGGAATAACTCACTCGCTCACTCATACCCAGTGTTGAATGCAATGAAAAGCCTCTTTCTGGGGGATCCCCAGTGGCTCCCTGAAGCTATGTTGTCAAAATTGCACCGTTCTAAAAACTCACATCTGTCAGACATTCTGTTGGTCTACAGGGAATCGGAGCGCACATTGTCGACTTTGGCAGCCATGCACAGGATGTTCGCACCTGTCCTTCATGAGGCTGTGTCGGCATTTTACTCATCCCTCCTCGCATGTTGGCAGGCATAGACAGGGATATAAACTATAGTACATCATCTTTCAAAGGACATTAGAATTTTATTGAGAGTAGACAGTATAGAGGACACAGCAAACCTCCAATCTGAAGTCTTTCAATTGGCAACAGAAAATATCACAATATTTAATGAGGATAGGTTCTAAATACTGTGCCATGGTAGAAATGAAAACATGAAGACAGGACCCACATAAAACGCAGTGAAACCACACTATTGATAGAAAAGAAAATGTAAAAGACTTAGGAGTAATCAGGTCAGAAGACCTTACTTTTAACTCTTAAAGGGCGCAATACATAGACGAATGAAGTAACTGTCACAGAATGGCGAACATCATACATAGACGATTGAGGGTGCCCCACACGATTAAAGTGTCCCGCGGCTACACGGGGTTCACATCAACTTTCTCATGGCTCTAAAATGAGAGGTGTTTATGGTAGATATCTGGACTAATAGCAAGGGTTGCCATCTGTCCCAACCATGTTGTGATGGTGGTGACACCTAGTGGTAGTCAGTGTAGCTTTTATCTATTAACAAGTAGTGTGCAGTGTGATAATTGTATTCTTTATACTGCTATCATTTGCATTGTGTTAGATGGTCATGACTAGTTTATTTGTCTTGTACAGTATTATAGCAAGTTGGGCACTTGTTGTCTACACTTGTCACTCTCTCCCTTTTCTAAACTCATGATGGGACTACTTGCAAAGATACCCGTCATGATGGGACTAAGCATTTCAATACATAATTTTTTTACTTTTGTAAGAAAGATCACTTGATTGTTACATTGTCACATTTGTATATTTGAAACTAAGTATTAATGAATATCATATTTCCATCTTGGTTTTAAATCAGAGAAATTTAATATACTGTATATATTTTACTCTGTTAATAAGTTATTTTCTTTTAAAATATGCATTTTAATTTTGTTCTAGTTTCTTTGATGGTTCGAGTTGATAGCCTTGAGAGCCAGAAATCAGCGAAGAATTCTAAAACAACAATAGTGGGAACCAAACTTTTGCGGTTTGTGCCTTCAGGTGCTCAATATTCCTGTATAAAATCCTCCGAGATCAAGGTATATTAATGTATAGTACAAATGTTGTTTTATTTTAATATTATTAATTTTTACATCATCTCTAGTATATTTAGTGTTATTTATTGTTGATATTTGCAGTTTCTAGGTTACCTTTGTTTTCATATGTAAGAACACAACACTATGAATGTACACAAGGAAGTCACAATGACGTGATTTGTGCGAAAATCATTTAAAGCAATGTGGAAATTGAACCCGTGACCTATAAAACACAAGCCAAATGCCATACCCAAGGACACGACATGCAAAGAGTTATTCAACTTGGGATCCTATTGAATCCACTAGGAATTTTGGAGGCATTGAACTTGTGCCGAACCAAGTTTTCTGTGGGAAACCCCATACTTTTCCCTGAAGCTTTCCAAACTGACATGTGCAATATTAGTTTGGGTTCATCAGTCACAGGAGTTCTTTATGCCTACCGAAGACCACGAGCCAGAACCTGGTTCCCTCAGAGAGGTGCAGGGAACAATGGCCTATGAGCACTCTCCATTTAGAGTATGTCATACTTACCATCGACTGGGAAAGACACCCAGAAAGATAGGTGAAAAAAAAACACAAGCTGGTGAAAATGGCAATCTACATCTAAACAGAGCAAAATAACTCCTCCTAAAAGAAAACAAACAAGCAAATCATCATCCCACTAGTATGCCTGCTTTGGCGAGCCGGTGGCTATCCACTTCAATTCTCTACTGATGTGCATGGCGGTTGAAAGTCACCTTTGGCCTCTCTTTCCTGTCCTTCATTTTGTCCTGTGTGGCTGTACCAGTAGTGTGGTGGTGTGGTGGCCAGGTGTTTCTCTGTACACGGGGCTTCATGTGCTTAGGATACTTTTCCCTATGTGCTCCATAAGTACTGCCCTTGCGTTTCAGGGTTATCTTCCCTGGGGCATTCGTGACTCACTCCCGTTTGAGGTTTTCGTTGCTTGATATCGGCTTCACTCTTGGGGTTCGTCGGGGATCTTGGGCTTTCTGTCTTACCCCGGGTAGGAAGTGATTTGTTGCCAGGCATGGCGCTCTGAGGCCGGCACAGGTTGCTCCCACAGCGGCTGATGTTTCTTTCGGGCCGCCAGTTTGTTTGTGTTTGTGGCTTCGGGGTTTTGTTTTTCTTTATATAGCATTTTTGCTTTTTGTTTACAGAAGTGATCTGCCTAGCTTCTTACTAGGCAAGTCTAGGTGGTGGTGGTGGTCCTCCTCTGTTGCCCTGGAACTTAAACAACTACAACTGGTTGTCAGTTTGCCTGCTGATAGACAAGATTTACTGGCTTAGCTAACCCAGTTCCTAGGTTTCCTGTAGGGCTAACTTACCCTATGGTCCCAGAAAAACCTCATTGGGCTTGTGGATGCCTTGAGTGTGTCTTCCGTGTCCTCTCTCGCCTTGTGCGATGTTGAAGGTTGTTCGATGCCCCTGCCTCACGAAGACGATCATCTGTACTGCCTCCGTCATGCTGCCTGTTGGGTCGGTGACACCTACGATCCAAGGTCTTGCGGGACTTGTTTCCCGCTTGTGCTCCTCTTTACCCATTCTTAGTCTGAAGATCTCAGGGGGTTACGTGGCAGCTGCGTTTCAAGCTTGATTCTTTTTGTTGCAACCAGCCAGGTTGGTTGCCCGACTGGAAGCCCCGGAGCTGCCCTGCTTGGGATTTAGGGTCTAGGATTTGGAGGCGTGGGTCACTTTGGCCTTGGTTCAGTCCACGCCCCTGTTTCCTTCCCAGGTGGGCGTGATCCGCCCACCTCTGTTTCTCCGTCCCCTCTGCTCCTTCTTTTCCGGCGAAGAATAAGATGGCGTGTTTTTAGAAGGGTTCATTGATTGTGGATACTTGGGTGTTAGGCTAGTGATGTATCACGCACGCTGTCCGGTTTTACTCTGCTTCCTGCAGGCCACCTATTCTGTGTCGGTGGCCGAGCTCTGGGTTTCCCTCGTTTTCCTGCTTTTCAGTTCCAGGGCTCGTGGGTCTTGTGTTGTTTGCGGTGTCTTTATGTCTAGCTAGCCTGCGGTCGCCCCTCGTGTTGTCTGCGGTGTCTTTACGTCTAGCTAGCCTGCGGTCTCCCCTCGTGCCCCTCGTGTTGTCTGCGCTGTCTTTACGTCTAGTTAGCCTGCGGTCTCTCCTCGTGCCCATGATGTTCGGATTGGCAGTCTTTAGATGGTTTTCGGGCTTGCTGGTTTTGGGGGTCAATCAGGGCCCATGCCTCCAGTTCTCTCATGACCATCCCGGGCCCTCTTCTGCGTTGTGTTGCTTTGGGGTTTCTGTGGTGGACGGCTGTCTTTGTCAGGTTGCGCTCTGTGGATCTGTCACCTCCTGGGGTTCTTTCCTGTTTTCCTTCTCTTGGGGTAAAAAGCTTCAGGTAGTCGACGGAGCTTCCCACAGAATGCCAACATTGAATGTAATGAAACTCAAGTTTCTGGGTGAATCCTGGAGACTCTATGACACCCTCCCTCCCTCCCTCCGGTTAGCAGGTTTCACCATTCAAAGAACTGGATGGTGGCGGCCTGACTAACCTAGGCCAGCTTCCCCTTTCCCCTGTGGGGGGTGGAGCTAATGAGCGGGGAGTTAGTTGGACGATGTTTTTCTTGTTTGCTTGCTTTCTAGGAGAGTTCTTTTGTGCTTATGAGGACATAACTTGCGATTTTCAACCAGACAATGGTCCGTTTTAATTCACCTATTTTCTGCATGGCAAGATAACCTACTTTACATGTAAAGTGTAAAGTGTTTATGGCTATTGCTCCCTTCGCCTCTGTGAGGGGGCCAGGTTTTGGCTCGTGGTCCCTGATAGGCATACAAAGAATTCTGCGACTGATGGCACTTGATCAGCAAAATAGCTTCAGGGAGCCTCCGGGACTCATCCAGAAACTGGCGTTTCATTACATTCAATGCTGTTTTCTTTCACCATTTTTCTACCCTTGTCCCCTCCCTTTCCTCTTTCTATTAGAATTATCAGTTAACTACATGGGTTTATTTTTCAGGGTGAATGTGGACAAGTGAGTGAGGTGGTTGTGGAGATGATCAATGGAGAATTGCTGATAGACATTAGTGAGCAGCTTCACCTGACCTGGTCTACCACAACCCACATGACTCTCCTAACATTAACACAAGAACTGGCTTCTTTCCATATGGATGTCAAACCAGTTCCTGGTATGTAGTGGAGAGAGGTGAATGCTTAAAATTCATTAGTCATGTGCTAGTAATTTAATCAATCACTGCTGCTACTTTCGTTTATTTTTCATTTAATGTTTGACAGTAGAGAGTAAAGAACAAAGGTGGTTAACTAAAGCGTAGGAAGGCATGTATCTGATCATCTGATGTGATGTATGATGGAGTTCCTACACTAAAGTATAGATTTGAAACACTGGAGCATCATAACTGGGAACTAGAGCATTAGCTGTGGACAAGCTTTTAGTTTTGGGACAGAAAGCATACGAGTTAATATTGTTATGGAAACAAAGAAATTTAGCTATAATTAGGTCAAAAAACGTCAATTCCATGACCATTAGTAAGGTTTGATGAATGATTTGACTTCTGTTGACTTTTATAGAAAATTTAGTTCTCATTTCCCTTCCAAAAATCCTGACATTTTTGCCAGAGGCCCAAGTCAAAGATGGTTACTAGAGCTCACTAGAAAAAATATTTTTGAACCAGAGCACCTAGAATCACGTACAAAGGCACTTTTCTGTGGGGAGCCCCTACGGCTTCCTGGAGCCTATCAGGCTAATGTATGTTATATTAGACCAGGACATTATCTAAGGAGTTCAGACCTACCAGGGACCAACGCCAGAACCTGGCCCCTTCAGAGAGGTTTCAGGGAGCAATGGCCCTGGAAAACCCCCTTATGGTTGGGGTTTTCCTTATCTGCCATCGACCGGGGTTAGGCACCCAGAAAGGTAGGCATAACAAAACAAACCCCACATGGTAAAAACGAAAACAGTGGCCAGGTGTTCCTCATCAATACCGGGGCTACATGCGCTTAGTGTAGTCAGCCTGCGTTTTTTCCCTGGGCCCACGACGTTCGTAAGTTTGCTGCTTTGGCGGCTGTCTTTGGCAACATGTCTTGGGTGGATATTCAGGCCCGGGGTTTTTGGAGATCGAACAGGGTCCTGGCTGCTCGCTACCTGGTGAATGTTCCTGGGCCTCGTCGGGGCCTTTGTTGCGTTGGGTCGGTGGTTGCAGCCAGTTGTCTCGCCTTCGCGTTGAGGAGTGAGGACGGCCCGTCACCCGGGTAAGTCCCTGTTTTTCCTTATCTTTGGGTAGTTAGCTTCGGGGAGCCGAAGGGGCTCCCCCCAGAAAACCAGCGTTGAATGCAATGAAATGCCATTTTCTGGGTGAGTCCTGGAGGCTCCCTGGCATCCCTCCCTCCCTCCGGTCGGCGATGTTTTTCGTGTTTTTGACATCCAGCCTAAGAACTAATGGTTGGGTCGCCGACAGTGGGGTCTGGGGCTCCCCCCTTCCCCCTCCCGGGGAGGGGGGGGGTTGCGCAGACGGCGGCGTGGCGACATGACGACGTCATAAGAGCTAATTTTCGTTTGGGGAGTTCTGTCCACCTGTTCGGTCTTCGGTCGCAATAGTTTACCAGAATAGGGGTTTGTTTTGGGGCGCCTACCTTTCTGGGTGCCTGTCCCGGTCGATGGCAGACATAGAATGCTCCCAATCATAAGGGGGGTCTCTATAGGCCATTGCTCCTCGTGCCCCTCTAGAGGGGCTAGGTTCTGGCTCGTGGTCCCCGGTAGGCAAGAACTCCATGCATTGACTGATGCCAGAAAGTTATACATATCCATTCAGCCTGGATAGCTCCGGGGAGCCTCCGGGACTCGCCCAGAAAATGGCGTTTCATTACATTCAACGCTGTTTTTTTCTGTTAAGTCTCTATTTTGCTCTGTGGTTATTTAGTTACCAGGAGCTACCAAGGGGCTCTCCCAGAAAACCAGGCTAGAATGTAATGATATGCCTCTTTCTGGTGGAGCCCCGGTGGCTCACTGTCTCTCTCCCTCCTTTCTGGATTTGTTGGTGTGTTGGGATGGTTATCATCTGCTCCAAAACCAAGTGGTGAGCTGGTAGAGAACCGAATTCCGGGCCACCTGGTAGTGGCAATTGGTACTAATGGATTTGAGCTAGTTTTGTGTGAATTTTTTTTTTTTTTTTTTTTTTTTGGTTGAATCATTTGGGAAGTTGTTTTGCAGTTTTGAGACTGAGTCTTGTGAAACCAGAAGTTGCGTTAAAGCTTTGCTGATTTTCTGGATGCTTTCACGGGGAAATGGCAGAATGTCATTTGCTCACTGCTTCTCTGTGAGGGGGGCCCAGGTTCTGGCTCTGATCTCTTGTAGGCCAAACAGAACTCTTGCAAGTGATGTGACTTGTAGTATGGAGCAAGACTACAGGCAGCCATTGGGGGTCTACCAGTAAAAGGAGTTTCATTACATTCACTGGTGGGTTTTTTATGATTGTTTTTTTCCAGAAAATGAAGAAGGATCTGGCGTGGTTACAAATAAGGAGGAAGCAGAAGAGCAAACTGGCCTTCAACTTCAGTTGATTGCTAGAGGAGATATTCGAGTTGGGGCTGAGCTGTCAAAGCGTCATCAAATGTTTTTCATTCTTGGTAAGAAGTATGTTTACCTACAAATCAAATCTATCTTGCAAGAGCAAACTTTAAAACAAAAATAGTTACCTCAGCTCTCTTAAGTTGAGATTAGCATTTAGATAATACGTTTATGTAAATAGTCAGGGTTTGAGTGAATATGAAATACATTTTTTCTAAGAAAGACATTTTGATGCTTGTCATGGAAGAATTCATCTTGATCCCAAGAGTGGTTCATAACATTCAAAGTAGGGCAACAGAGATCTCTTGAAATATATATGTTGAATTATTAGACTAGTACGTTAAACATACCGAAACTAGAAGATAGAAGAAGTGATATGATCACCACTTACAAAATACTAACAGGAATAGACCAAATTGACATAGGAATTCCTGAAACCAGCAACTTAACAAACAAGGGGGGACAGATTTGAGAAAAGAAAACAGAGGTGCCCCCCAAAAATTAGAAAATTTTCTTTTGGAAACAGAGTGGTAGACAGTTGGAACAAACTGTGGTGGAGGCCAAAACTGTCAGTAGTTTGCAGGCGATGAGTCACAATAATGTGGGTAAAGTATGATGACCAGACCACACACTAGAATGTGAAGGGACGACGACGTTTCGGTCCGTCCTGGACCCTTCTCAAGTCGATTGTGATGAGGAAGTAGAGACAGGCAATAAATAGGCACGAGAGATGAGGAGCAAAGTAAGGTGTAGTAGAGGGGCTAGTTGTTGGAACTGCAGAGGGCCTATTGGCCCATACGAGGCAGTTCCTATTATAACCGCCGAAAGAGAAGGAGAAAATAATGAGAAGAGGAAAACGAGGGAACGTAGGAGAAGACAGTGAACAGAAAAAAGAGAGAAAAGAGAAAGAGAGGTAAATGGAAAGGGTAAGCTTATGTAAGGTCACGTTTGTTAGAAAGATTAGAGCATTTGAGTATATACTGTGAAAGGGAAGAGTCCACAGCAACAAAGCCAGGACTCAAGTTCATGTTGGGTACATTGTGTATTAGAGCCGATTCAACAAGATGGCGTCTGTATAGAGTAGAGGCAGGAAAGATTATTTTGGAGGAAGATCAATCAATGGGATGATTAGAATCCCTCACATGGCAGAAGAGAGCATTGTTAGTGTCTGCAGACTTGACACTTCTCTTGTGTTCTTTAAGTCTGTCATTCAGTGTACGGCCAGTTTCGCCAAAGTATTGGAGAGGACAAGACGAACAGGAAATAGAGTAGACACCAGGAGCATTAGAAGCAGGAGGAGCAGTGTGAACTAGATTGCTACAAAGTGTGTTAGTTTGACGAAAGGCGAGCTTAATGTCAAGAGGACGAAAGGTATTGGTAAAAGTTTTGAGTTCAGATATGAAGGGAAGGCATAGTACAGTGCTAGTGTTGGAAGCAGGTTTAGGATGAAAGAAATTTCGTTTAGCTTGAGAGTAGGCACAGTTGATGAAATGCAAAGGGTAACCAAGGCGAGAGAATGATTTGTAGATAAGGGCAATTTCAGAATCAAGAAACTGAGGGTCGCTGATGCGTAGAGCGCGGAGGAAGAGAGACGAGGACACTTTTCTTAACAGAAGGAGAATGGAAGGAAAAGAAGTGAATGTACATGCCACTGTGCATGGGTTTGCGGTAGACAGAGAAAGAGAACCCGGACGCAGAGCTGTGAACATGAACGTCAAGAAAAGGAAGGAGAGAATTAGATTCCCACTCAACTTTGAAATGGATAGAAGGAGCCAGATTGTTAAGAGAGGAGAGGAAAGGCTGGAAAAGACTAAGGTCATGAGGCCATAAAGCAAAACTGTCATCAACATAGCGAAGCCAGAGAGAGGGACGAGTATCAATAGAAGGAAGAACACGTATCTACATGTTTTATTTACCAGAACTATGCAATTAAGCCGGTATTGTGTCCAAACAGTACAGTGGCCACCATACACTGCATGAAAAATCACACAGCAGACGACGCTACGATTACGTCTCCTCCCTCACCAAAATAGCTCCTCTCAACATTCTCCTGTTGCTGTTCTTACACTATATACACACACTATATATACCCATGTACATATGTTTTGCCCATAGCGAACCACTAAGCTAGTATGGTGAGCAAAACAAGAGTGGCAGCCACACACACACACAGTGAGGCCACCTCAATTTTTATTAACTTTTAAATAACAGATAGCCCTCAATCTTGCTCGTTAAATTCATTCATAAAACCTTGTGCAAAGTAAGGTTAACTTTGTAAGGGAAAAATTTGGCTTCATTCCAGAGACCACCTAAAGTCTTATTTCTCCCCATTTTTATCTCATTGAAGCTGCTACCTGAATTTGATTGCTAAATTCTTCTGCCACTTTATGAACACAGTAAATATAATATAAAGTGCTTGGGAGGTGCCATAATGCCACAGTAATCTAGTTGTTTGATTCTTGCACACCAAATAACAAAGAAAAATCTGCCCATGAACTCTTCAGCTGTTTGTATTAATAAGAAATTGCACATGTCTGAATTTGCATTATCTAAACACAAAAAGATCAAGGATACCTGTAACTTGTTTGTAAATCTTCCAAGCTCTTCTAAATGATGTTATTAACCTTTGTCTATTCACTTAAAACATGTGTTTTGAAATTCATATTTTTCTAGGTGATCTAACCTACTTGATGGCTAATGGCAGAATATCCTGTCAGTCAGAAGAACTTCAGGTAACTCCATTTCTCAACCAGTTCGTTCCATGTTTTTTCATTGAGATTTTCAAATTAAGATATACCAGATATGGTAGTGCAATTACAAAATGTAGTTCTTAAACTAAATTTCAATGGTAATGAATCTTGAATATATTACTGTCTTTTTACAAATTATGCTTATTACATTTTGCAATAGATGTGCAAATCTAGTACAATATGTGTGTGTTTAAATGTTTTATCAATGCTTTTTGTGCATTTTTACTTAGCACTAACTAAAAGTAGTTATGAAGTAGAGCAATAAATTGATTTTATTGAAGTATTCTAATTTTGGGAAATTTTATTAGTACAGTACAGTATATAAGAAATTTCTTTCACTCAGATCCATTTTGATGAACACAAAGTAATGTGTCTAACTGGTGGCAAGCTCTCCCGGGCCCTCCAGTCGAGAGAAATCCGCGAAGAGCGTGAATCGATGCCGGAACTTAGTCAAAAGCACAATAAGGCATGGTTAGTACAGATTACTTTTATTTCTGGGAACCCTCTTAATGGCTATATAGAGCTAAACCTGACTCACTAGGCACCTGTGACTATCTCTACCTACCCAGAAATTTGTTCTTTCTATCAGAGAGATGGGGGAAATATATGAGGATCAGATATCAACCCACACTGAAAATAACTTTTACTCCATAGAGGAGTAAGGTGGTCACAGAAGCTCAATTACTCAGATGTTAACACAAATCACCAGTGCTCCAGCAAGGTGACCCACCTTTCTCACTCACCCGGTGCTCTTCTCACCTAACTTGTGCCTGCATACACCACACTTTGATTTCTGGAGACTAGTAGTGATTTGGCCTTTTGGTCCCCATGTAGACGGTCTTGAGTTGATCTCCCTTCACTTAAGTTTGTCACCTTGTGTATGTGACTGTCTACTTTGACCTTGTTCTGGATTGCTTTTCTGACATTGCTGGTTATGATCATTACATCCAAAGATATTTTTCTTGAGGTTTTATGTTTAGGGACTTAGAGGAAAGACCTGTTGATGGAGGGAAGTGATGTAGTTAGTGTGTTTGTGTAATTACCTTAGAGTATTCTATGCTTGTGGTGTCCTGTCTTCCCAGTACTCTTTGTAATATAACACTTTGAAACTATTGACGGTTTTGGCCTCACCATCTTCATGGGCCCGATGGAAGGATGGACCCCACCGCCCCTGGCCGGCCTGGTGAGCACTGGTCACAAAGCCCCAGCCGAGAGACGACGCATTCGTGAACACATCGAGCGAGGGCTCGGGTAGGCACCAAAGCACTGAACCCCGAAAAACCCAACGAGGAAGTCGGTGACGCAGCAGCCGACGCAAGGCCCTTTGGGGTCGAACCCAATGATCGCGTGAGAGCTGGAAGGGCTGCCCCCGAAGGAACCAGAACAGCCGACGAAGCCTAACCTGACATGGCGGGTAGGCCATCATCGCAAGTTCAGACTCCTGCACAAACCCTCGAGCAACCGAATGGTGATCCGGGAGCCCCCCAGAAACAAGCACATGCGGGACTGCAGCCAAAAGAGAAACTCCAGAGGAAGAGTCCAGGAAGCGGTCCGAGAGTCCCACATAAGACCCAGCCAAGTCCGAACCTGAGAGGGGACCAGATGGGACTTCCTCCAGTTCTCCAGGAACCCAAACCTGGCAAGCTGGGAAAGAACCAAATCCCTGGTGAGCAGCCACATGGACCGACTGGGAGCCCATACCAGCCAGTCATCGAGGTAGGCCAACACCCAAACACCTAAAAGATGCAGACATGCCACTGTGACCCGGGTAAGGTGTGTGAACACGCAGAGAGCCAGGTTCAACCCGAACGGAAAACAACGAAAGTGGTAACCGAGATGCCCCACAACAAAACCGAGCCAATCCCTAAACCCCCGGATGAATTGGGACGTGCCAATACGTTCTGGAATAGAGTAGTCATCCGAAATTAGGAGCAAGGGTTTCAGACGCGACAAGTCCAGAGTGAACCGCAGGTCTGCACAGTCCCGTTTTGGGACTGGGAACAAGTGAGAAACTTACCTGAGAGATGTCGTTGTTTCGACCACGTCCAAGTGCACCTACTCCAAGATGACCCGACAGAGCACAGGAGAAGAGGCCTGCCCCGTCAGCCCAGAATTCCCTAAAGGAGGATGGGCCACCCAATGCCACCGCAGGTCGTCGGAAACTAAAAGCCCACAAACTGTGAGACCAGGCATGAGCAAACAGAGCAAGCCTATATTATTAGGGTATATTATTACCTCAGTCTTGTGTAATTACCTCAGTCTCAGTCTTCCAAGGCTTGATTGGGCCGTGGCGGGGCTGCTATTGTTCTGCCTCGAGTCACTCACCTTCTGTTGGTGTTCGGGTGGCTTCATTGATAGTGTCACACCTGTGTGCTTCTTCTTGGTGGCAGTGTGGGTTTTTTTGGCAGTCCTTCCTTTTTCCTTCTGTCTCTTCTTAGGTAGCTGCATTGTTGGCATGGTCTTGTCCTTCTTTTGTGGGGGCTTGGGGCCATTATCTTGCCCCATCCTGTCGCCTCGTTTCGTGCAGTGCTGGCGGAGCTGCTTCAGCTTGTTTTCGGTATTGATGTTATGTCTGTGCCGTTTCGCAGGCTGTCTCGTGCGTTGTTTCACCTCCAGCCTGCTCATGCGCCGCCTGAGCCGTCCTGGTCAATGGACATGGTGCTCACTTTTCTTTTCTTCTCCACGGTTTGTTGTAGCCCCTTCGGTTCAGGACTGTTTCTTGGAGGCTCTTTTTCTGTTGGCATTGGTCTGTAGGGGTCGGGTCAGAGAGCTTCATGCTCTCCTCCGGCGCAGGGGTTTTCTGCTCCTTCGGTCGTGGCGTTAGATTTGTTTGTCTGCAGCCGTCTCCTTCTTTTCTGGCAAGGGATGTGACTGCTGCTTTCCGGAGGGGTCCTTTGGTTTTTGATGCTTGGTTGGTTGGGCCGGAGGTGAATCATGCTTTGTGTCCGGTTACGGCCCCCCTCTGCCGTTAATTGTGTGCCTCGGCCTCTGTGTCCGGGGATGTACTTTGGGTTGATCCGGTTTCCCTTCTTTCCTGTTCGCGGGTGTGGGCCTCCCAGGTCATCTGCATGGTTGTTTAGGCTAGCCAACCTGCAGTCTATCCCCGTGCCCATGACGTTTCCAAGTTCGTGGCTCTTGCCTTCGTTTTTGGTGACATGTCTTGGGTTGACATTCGGGCGTGGGGATTTTGGCGGTCATACAGGGTCCTGGCTGCTCGATATCTCATGAACGTTCCTGGGCCTAGTCGGGCCTGTGTCGCTTGGGGCGGCAGTTGCAGCCAGTTGTCTCGACTTCGAGTTGAGGAGTGAGCAGCGACTGCCTGCCGAAAACCCTGGTTAAGTCCCTTTACTTTTCCTCTGTGGTTAGTTAGCTCCGGGAAGCCGACGTGGTTTCTCTCCAGAAAACCAGTGTTGAATGTAATGAAACACCATTTTCTGGGTGAGACCCGGAGGCTTCCCGGCATCCCTCCCTCCCCCCTAGTCGGCAGTTTTTTCGCGTGTTTTGACATCCTGCCTCAGAACTGAAGGGTGGATAGCCGGGTGGGGGTCTGGGGCTCCCCTTCCCCCTCCCGAGGAGGGGGGGGGGAGCTGCTCAGACAGTGGCGCGGAGACGTGTGATGTCATGCTCGTTTGATCTTTTTGGGTGTTCTATCCACTTGTTCGGCTTTTGGTAGCAATTTTCAGCAGAATATGGGTTTGTTTTGGGACATTTACCTTTCTGGGTGCCTAACCTGGTCGATGGCAGACATAGAATGCCTCCAACCACACGGGGGTTTCTATAGGCCATTGCTCCCCTAGCCTCTTCTGAGGCGGGGGCCAGGTTCTGGCTCGTGGTCCCCGGTAGGCTCACAGAACTCCATACACATGACTGATGCCAAAGTCTGACATTAGCATATCAGCCTAGTAAGCTCCAGGGAGCCTCCGGGACTCACCCAGAAAATGGCGTTTCATTAGATTCAACACTGGTTTGTTTCCTTCTTCTTGGTATGAATTTTTGAACAAGTTCAGTGATGATCTTTTTGAAATGTTGCCATGAAGCTTCCATGTCTTGATTTCCTATAATAATAATGAGACATATGCAAATTTATAATGTCTCAATTTGTTCCTGATTTTAATATTGAGGTTTGATAATTCCTTCACAGGAAATTAACGGTGGACACCTGGAAGCTAACATTCTCATACGAGTTCAATTTTGCTGATGCATTTAGTGATGATCTGCTGTCTGTGATCAAGTGGATTAAATTGGTACATAATCATCAGCCAAAGATCTTCACTGCTGCTAGTCTACTTCCACCTGATGTAGTTATAAGGGTAAGAATATTATTTAAAAATATTTAAGGCATAATTTTTTATAGTAAAGGTTTTTTGTTTTTTTTAAGAGGTATTTACTACTGAAATTTTCCAGGACTCCAAAGCTGCTGATATTTCTAAACATAAATATAATGTATGGATTATTTCATCTGTTCAGAATATGTTATATAGGAGGCCATATTGAGTGCTGCACATGTCATCATTCTCATGCAAAAATCATGCTTTGAATTATTGAATAAAGCTATTTTATGAGTATGAATATCCAAGCCATCCTCCGAATTGACAGTACAGTTTAATACTAAGTGTAATAAGTACATTTCCCTACTGTCGTACATAGTACATAATTGCACGTATGAGGCTCTTAATACCACTTGTCTAGACATGAGACTGTTAATACCACTTGTCTAGACATGAGGCTGTTAATTTAATAATACCTGTCTATTCCCAATAGTTACATTCTGTACCTGTCTATTCTCAATAGTTACATTCTGTACCTGTCTATTCCCAATAGTTACATTCTGTACCTGTCTATTCACTATAGTTACATTCTGTACCTGTCTATTCTCAATAGTTACATTCTGTACCAGCTGAAGACAATATTTTAGGTTGCTTTTGGTTGTGGGGCCGCCTCCGGGGGTTGCTCCTTCCTTTCCAGCAGTTAAGGTAGTTGAGCTAGTGCTTCTTGTCAAGGATTCCATTCCTTCCTGGAATGGAATTCATTCCATTGCTAGTGCCTTCCATTCTAAGGGATTCTTAGAGTGCAGAATGTCCCTCATTGGGGGGGGGGGGGCTGACAGTCTCTTTTCAGGCATCTGATGTGGATCCTGGTTCTTTCCTCCAATTTCTTCGTGTTCTGTAGCTGAGGCCTCGTGGATTGTTGGGTCCATGGACCAAAGGAGGTCCATGGGTGCCATTCAACCCATCTTGGTCTTCTGAGGGGTTTTCCTTCAGCGTGGGGACTTTACTTACCCCATCTCAGTTTGATCTTCTGAAAAGGCTATAAAGAACTCTGATAAAGAAAGAGATCTAGAGGGTGGTTCTGGATAGAAAAATCTCACCTGAAGTACACATAAAGAACATTGTGCAAGGAACCTATGCTATGGTTTCCAACTTGTGAATTGCTTTGAAATATATGGATGGCGAAATATTAAAGAAATTGTTCGCAACCTTTGTGAGACCAAAATTGGAATATGCAGCAGTTGTAAGGTGCCCATATCTCAAGAAGTACATCAGTAGACTGGAAAAGCTGCTGAGACATGCAACTAAATGGCTTCTGAGACCAAGAAACAAGAGTTACGAGGAAAGGCTAGAGGCATTAAATATATAAAAGCAAACAAAAATCAGGAGAAAAAGAGGTGATATGGTTACTACAGTATGTATGAAATAGTAACAGGAATTGACAAAATTGATTACCCTGGAGCTTTACCAGGCTGATATTCTAATGTCAGACTTTGGCATCAGTCATGTGTATGGAGTTCTAGGGCCTACCGGGGACCACGGCCAGAACCTGGCTCCCTCAGAGAGGCAAGGGGAGCAACGGCCTATAGAAACCCCCGTGTGGTTGGAAGCATTCTATGTCTGCCATCGACCGGGTCAAGCATCCAGAAAGGTAAGCATTCCAAAACAAACCCCTATTCTGGTTAAAATTGCTACCTAAAGCCGAACTAGTAGATAGAACTCCCCAACAGAAAACTAGGAAACTAGTATGACGTCACACGTCACCGCGCCACTGTCTGCGCAGCTCCCCCCTCCCCGGGAAGGGGAAGGGGGAGCCCCAGACCTCCCACGCCGGCTATCCACCCATCAGTTCTTCGGCTGATGCTACTGGCACCGGTTATGTGCTCTGGCTCCAGTAGTTGTTTCAGCATGCGTGTTTTGACATCCAGCCTCAGAACTGAAGGGTGGATAGCCGGCATGGGGGTCTGGGGCTCCCCCTTCCCCCTCCCGGGGAGGGGGGAGCTGCGCAGACAGCTGCGCAGCAACATGTTACGTCATGCTCGTTTGCTTGTTTTGTTTTTTTGCGGAGTTCTATACACTTGTTCGGCTTTTGGTAGCAATTTTTGCCAGAATAGGGGTTTGTTTTGGAATGCTTACCTTTCTGGGTGCCTGACCCGGTCGATGGCAGACATAGAATGCTTCCAACCACATGGGGATTTCTATAGGCCATTGCTCCCTATGCCTCTCTGAGGGGGAAGCCAGGTTCTAGCTCATGGTCCTTTGTAGGCCCAAGGAACTCCATACACATGACTGATGCTAAAGTCTGACATTAGCATATCAGCTTGGATAGCTCCGGGGAGCCTCCAGGTCTTACCCAGAAAATGATGTTTCATTACATTCAACACTGGTTTTTTACTCAAATTTTCTAATAATTCTCGAATTTTTACTTTGTGTAATAATCTACAGGTACGACGCTGGTTAATGGAGATAGGTGATGATCCATTTGAAGTAAAGCTGCGTTACAACTATGAGCTTTTGGAAGATGAGTACCAGGAAAGCTGTAAGCGACTCAAAGCCTTGGATGCCAGGGTGAGTTGTTTACTTTGTTGGTATTATGATAAATCTAGTATGATGTCTTTTTACAACAAACGCTGTCACATTCTGAGCTTTAAATATTAGTCGCTCACTTTTGCAGGGGCTCGTTTTTTCCAAGACTCTGCGAATTCTAGCTAGGGTCATTGACCTCCTCCATCATTGTCGTCATAGGCACTTTTTTAAACAGCCCTCACTGGGCCATGTGTGGGGAATTGGGAAGTACAGAAGTTTTTCCGGCACGGGGTGAGGCTGCTGCGTTCCGGGGAGTGTCCTTGGTTTGTTGGTGCTTGGTTGGTTGGGCCGGGGGTGTGTCATGTTTTGTGTTAAGTTGCGGCCCTCTGCTGCTGTTTGCGCACTGCGGCTTCTGAGTCCTGGGCGCACCTTGGGTTGATCCGATTCCGTTCTTCCCTGTTTGCGGTTGAAGGTGTCCTGAGTCGTCCTCTGTGTTATTGTGGCCGGCCAGCCTGTGTTTTTTGCCCGTGGCATTCGTAGATTCACGTTCGTGGATTCACTGCTCTTGCTGTTGTCTTGGCGGCGTGTCCTTGCAGACTTCGGGCACGGGGCTTTTTGGTGGTCGTACAGTGGCCTGGCTGCTCATTGTCTCGTGTCGTTCCCTGGCCCGTACGGGGCTGTGTTGCCTTGGGCTTGCGGTTGGAGCCAGTTGTCTCGCTTTCCGTTGAGGGGTGCATGGTGTTCGTCTCCCGGATCAGTTCCTTAGACTTTCCTCTGTGGGTAGTTAGCTCCTGGAGCCAACGGGGCTTCCCCCAGAAAACCAGCGTTGAATATAATGAAACACCATTTTCCGAGTGTGACCCGAAGGCTCCCTGGCAACCCTCCCTCTCTCCGGTTGGCGGCTTTTCGCGGGTTTTGACATCCAGCCTCAAAACTGATGGGTGGATAGCCGGCGATCCACTAGTTTGGCTTTTGATAGCAATTTTCACCAGAATAGGGGATTGTTTTGGGATGCTTACCTTTCTGGATGTTTGACCCGGTCGATGGCAGACATAGAATGCTTCCAACCACACGAGGGTTTCTATAAGCCATTGCTCCCCTTTTCTCTGAGGGGGCCAGGTTCTGGCCGTGGTCCCCGGTAGGCCCTAAGAACTCCATACACATGACTGATGCCAAAGTCTGACATTAGCATATCTGCCTGGGTATAGCTCCGGGGCACCTCCGGGTCACACCCAGAAAATGGCGTTTCATTACATTGAACGCTGTTTTTTTTTTGGCCTTTCCCTTTGGCTTGAATCAGACTTTTTCTTCGTCCTCCCTCCTCCATGGTTTCTCATTTCCAATGATTGTGTGTGTGCGTCTTAGCCTACCTCATTGACTGTCTGGTTTGGGTTCCTAGACAGTATAGGTTGTCTGCAAGCCAAGGATCTGGCATTTGTTGGCCAGGTTTGGGTCCTTGGTCACCTGGTGGAAGTATGAGTTGGTCCTGTTATGGCTTTGGACCTGACTGAGCCTCATTTGGGACTTTCGGTCAGGTTCCTTAACCTTGCTGCATGTGGCGCTGCTCCATTTGGGCTTGTAGTGTCACTCGGCATAATCTCCTATCACTGTATAATGCCTCATGCCACTGTATATTATCTCGTACCATTGTACATTGTTTGGTGTGCCACTCTACATGGTCAGGTGCCACTCTAATGAAAGTTTTTTCTTCTCTTGTGCAGATAGATGAACTACGCAAAACCATGTTTCTCTTTCCAACTGGGAAGATTGAAGAACTTTACAAAAACCTACAAGAAAAAAACAGCGAGACATATATTAAACGGTCAAAGTTGGTAAGTGATGAAGATTTCTTTATAATTTTCATATAAAGTACCTATAGTTTTTTCTGCATTGAAAATATCCTAGTAAAATTAAATGAGTTTTCTCATGATATTGTTTTGATGATATAGTACATTTTAATACAGTATCAAATTTCCTATGACTTATGCCTCTGTATGTCTTAATCTTGCACGATAATTTAAATTCTAGTACATTAACGCTGCACTGCACTTTATAATGACATTAACATGGTATGCCAAAAGTAAATTGCTACAAGAAGAGTATTTGTTCTTTTGGTATTGTTAATTAGCACTCAGGAAGCACAAAAATCCAAGTACAAGGTCTCTATCTCTTGTAGTTTAGCCGTAGTTGCCAGGAGAAGTTTCATTTGTTTTGTAAAAATTATTAAGAGTTGCTGCATTGGATTGACTTTAATTGATTTATTTTCAATGTTTCTCACTTTATTTAGTTTTGTTGCTCTAATAAGTTGTATCTTTGTGTCGAAGATGGTGTTTATTATGTTTAACTTTGAAAATAAATACACACACACACACACTCACACAGGTGTGTGGAGGCAGAGACCGTCAGTAGTTTCAAAGCGTTATATGACAAAGAGTGTCACTCGCCAACACTTGTTTTCAGATGTACGAGTCAGCCCCAATGCGCACTCAATTGTTCACTTGGACAATGGAAGATGTGGTTATCTTTGCCATGGCTGACCCATCCTTTCATGGTACAGACAGAGTGGTACAGCACATGGTTGATATTGATCCCGAGTCGTGAGTACTCTATATTGTTTGGATGTTTGCTATCATAATGTGTAAGTAAAATGACTTGTAAATGAGATAATGACACAAGATTAGAAAAATAAAATATGATATTTAATTTTAAAAGATTATTAGGTACAATATCATTGGTTGACTTGCTTTAGTTATCCTGGCAATCCCCCTCAGTAGCTTACCTGAGCTTAACCCTCAAACTGTAGGTAAAGAATTTCAAGCTATCTCCAGTTACATTGAAAAACCAACATGAATGTAATGATACTCCAATTTTGTGGAGAGCCCCAGTGGCTCCGTAAAGCTATATTCTGAGATAGTTATCATCTACTGGGTCACATCAGCCATAGAGTTCGAGAGACCTACCAGGGACTGTAGCCAGAACCTGGTCCCCTTCACAGAGGTGCAGGGAGTGGTGACATTTATTTTTGCTACCTCACCGGAGAAGACAACCATAAGGTCAGCAAGTCATAACAAACTCTGCTGGATTCAAAAGAGAACAAGGCCTCAAAACTGCTGAAAGAACTCCCCTATGTAAACAGTCAATCAAATTCTCTCTGAACTAGTGCAACCTTATTTGTCCCACCTCCCCCACTCATTTGGGGAAGGGGAGGGGATGGCAGGGAAATAGAAGATGTTGTTAAAGGGAAATCCGGATATTTTCTCATGGGATTTCCTCTGCGGAGGTTTGAGAGGAGGTACTTACCTCCTGTGGGACCTGGATTACGCCACGGTGATGGAACCGGCTTCATTTGAGTTCGGTTGTTCTTCTCTATATAGGGTGCGTTGCGATGTTCTGGAGTCTTCCTGGCTGGCAGACTGTCCCTCCTCTCTTGGTGGGGCTCCGCATGCTTGAGTGACGGGAGATTACCACGGTGTTGCAGATGTTCTTGGGATGCTCTCTGGAGTTTCTCAATGATTGCCTCTTTGCCCATGCACTTCCACGTGAGGTTGGTCTGGTGCAGCTGCATGCTCAGGTCCCCACTCTTTTGGCGGCTTTGGTGGTCGGTAACTTTCGGACTCGTGGTCATTTGGCCTCTGCCTTGCGTTTCTTTAGTCTTCTGGAGCTGTCTTTGGATTAGCTTTCAAAGGATGCAGGAGTGCAGGGCAGGGGGGGATTTTGGCAGCTGCTCTTCTGACGGGCTTTTCCATTGAATTCGGCTTGAGCCCTGGCTCTTCAGTCGCCTTAGCCTTTTTGTCCTTTGTTGTTCCTGGAGGACTGTTTCTCAGTTTTTGTTGGCAGTTTCTGCTAGTTGCTGACCTATTTTGGACTTGATGGTTCTCTTGGGGGATGGGGGTGGGGCGCTTCTAGCCCTCCAGGAAAGGTTGTGCCAGGGCTCGGGCCTTGTTTAGTCGGAGTAGGCTCCTAGTGCCAGTTTCTGAGTCCATGGGTTTCCCGGTGCCTCCTTCGTCTATTCGGCGCAGTGTTCACTCTGTACAGAGGTCGGCATCGTGGGATTCGTGTCGGCCCTTTTGTGGGTCACCCTGTTGATGATGCGATGGGGAGGGGGTGGGGTGGCCGTCTGTTTTTGCGCACGCCTGATCCAATGGGCATTTTGGGTTGTTTCTTGCAGTTTCTGGTGGTGTTCTTTCCTTCGAGGGGACAGGGCTTGGGGAGCAGGCCTCTTCCCCGTCCATCTATCAGGTCATTTTGGAGTGGTTGAAACAACCTCGTCTCTCAGGTGGGTCTCCTGCCCATTTCCAGTTTCGAAACAGGATATGGCGGGTCTCCGGTCCATTCTGGACTTTGTCGGAACTGGTTGACTCCTTGCCCCTCCTTTCGGATGACCAAGTTAACCCAGGTCCGACACATTTTCGATCCAGGCACGTGGATGTTTGCCTAGACCTCAAGAACGCGTATTGGCACGTTCCTATCCATCCAGGGTTCAGGGATTGGTTAGGTTTTATGGTGGGGCGACAGACTTACCATTTTGGTTTTCTTCCGTTTGGGTTGAATCTAGCACCTCAAATTTTTGTTTGATTCAGGTTGTGGTGGCCCGTCTTCGTCTGCTAGGTCTTCGAGTCTTGGCCTACTTGACAACTGGTTTGTGTGGGATCCCAACCAGTCTGCTTGTCTGCTAGCCAGGGATCTGGGTCTTTCTCAACTCGCTGGGTTTGGGTTCCTGGTGAATTGGTGCAAGTCCCAGTTGGTTTCGTCTCAGGTTCGGACTTTGTTGGGCCTTGTGTGGGATTCTCGGACTGTCTCTCTTCTCTCCTTCCTGTGGCCTTGCTCCAACTGCAGTCCAGCTATTGGCTGTTTTTGAGGGGAACCCAGGTCACTCAGAGGTTGCTTGAGCAGCTGTGCGGGAGCCTTAACTTTGCTCTTCTAACTTTATCGTTGGGCAGAGTTTGGCTTCAGAGGCTGTTCTGGTATCTTCAGAGCAACCTCTTTTGCAAACCTGCAATTGCTGGGTTCATATCCCAGTGTCCTTGCTGCGTTCCTGGCTTCCACTTAGTTTTTTTTTTTTAGGGTTTGGTGCCATGGCGTCTTCCTTGTCCCTCATTTGATGTGTTCATGGCCGCCTCGTGTGTTGGCTGTGGCTTTGTGACCAGTGCTCACCAGTCCAGCCAGAGGCATTGGCAGCTGTCCATGCATCGGGCTCGCAGCACGGTGCAGGAGTTTGCTGCTGTGTGGCTGGTGCTACAGAGGATTCGCCTTCAAGGCTTGGAGATTCGGCTCCATTCGGATTGCTCCCCTGTGGTTCATGGAGACCAGGCAGGAGATGATACACGTGTGATCTATCTCTGTTCCATTCTTGCCCGCTTGCCTGTTTACCCACCTGCCTGCATGCCCACTTGCCTGCCAATCCACCCACCCACCTGAATGCTCGCCCACCCAACCACCTTTTCACCCATCAACCTGCACACCCATCTGCCTGCTCACCCATCCACACACCTGTTCATCCACTTTCCTGCCCACCCACCTGCCTGCATGCCCACTTACCCACCTGCCAATCCACCCACCACCTGTTCACCCACCTGTCTGATTGCCCACCTACCCATCTGTTCACCCACCTGCCTGCTCACCCACTTGCCTGCTCGAACCTGTTCACCCACCAAGCCCATCTGCCTACCATAGAACCACCCATCCAAAACCCACCTGCCTTAACCCACCTATCCCTGCCTGCCCACCCACCCACCTGCCTGCCCACCCACTTTCTCTGCCCACCTATCAGCTAGGCAGCTAACCACCCACCCAGCCTCACACACTAATTAGTGTGTGACAATTCAAATCATTAGTGTGGTATAAAAATTGTTGGAAATGGTCCCTTTTGGACTCAGAGGTGAAAAAGTACTCTTATCCTGAACACGTGATTATCCGGCTGGGGGTCCTTCCCATATAGTCCGGATACTCGAGTGGAGACAGTAATTGGACAGACTTGTTGCAAGGCAAGGAAGTAAATGAGATGTATGTCAAGTTTTGTGAAATATATAATAAAGGCACAAAAAAATTTATACCAAAGCAGAGATGCAGAACTATGAAACAGGATTGGTTCAACAGAAATTGCTAGAGGGCCAGAGACCAAAAGACACAAAAATGGAATCAATACAGGAAGAGGCCAAACCCCCAAACATACCAGTGATACAAAGATATAGCTTTTAAATACATGGATGATGAAATACTAAAGAAATTGTTAACGACTTTTGTAAGACCAAAGCTGGAATATGCAGCGGTTGTATGGTGCCCATATCTTAAGAAGCACATCAGCAAACTGGAAAAGGTGCAACAACATGCCACTAAGTGGCTCCCAGAACTGAAGGACAAGAGCCACGAGGAGAGGTTAGAGGCATTAAATATGCAAAAGCTAGAAGATCGTAGAAATAAAGAGGCGATATGATCACTACATACAAATTAGTAACAGGAATTGATAAAATTGATAGGGAAGAATTCCTGAGACCCAGAACTTCAAAAAGAAGAGGTCATAGATTTAAACTAACAAAACAAATCTGCCGGAAACATATAAGAAAAATCACTTTTGTAAACAGAGTGGTAGATGGTTGGAACAAATTAGGTGAGAAGGTGGTGGAGGCCAAAACTGTCAGTAATTTTAAAGTGTTATATGACAGAGTGCTGGGAAGACGGGACATCAGGAGCGTAGCTCTCATCGTGTAACTACACTTAGGTAGTTACTATCTCTTAGAATTACGTAGGTAAACAAAAAAAGGTAAAATACTTGTATACTCAATGTCGGTGCTGACTGTACAAGTAGAAAAAATCGTAATTTTATTTCAAAACGTACTAATTTTATAAGAAAATTCAACGTAAATATGTAGTAAGTTGTCACGGATAAGCTCCGATATGCCAACGTCGTGATTGGCTACAGCTGTAAGATAAAAAATGTTACATTTTCTCTGATTAGCCAAACTAAAAGCCTAGTATCATCTATCGAGACCTAAGTTAACTACTTAAGAATCTTCGTAAGTACAGTATACTTCTCTGAATCGCCCTTTGGTGCGTTCTTAGCTGGTATTTAGGAACCTTTGTAGCACACATACTTACAAAGAAATACATGGAGCTTCTGGAATCTAGGTCCAGGTTTAGGGTTGTTGGTAGATTGCATGAAAATAGCTTCAGTTAGTGTAATAGATCCTTCATGAGGCTTGCCCTCAGGGAAAAGAAGTTTCTTGAAGGAACAAGGAAAAAAATATTTGATTTGTTCTTTGTCATGATTTACATTTTGTTGTTTTGTAAAAATTTTTTGTTACTTACTCATTGTTATTTTTGGTAGACCCTGGCCTGAGGAGGGACAAGAGTTCTCTACTTTATGGTGCCGTATGGTGTCTGCCTCTTGTGCAGAATGGAAGTTCAGGTTGCGTGATTATCCACAATCCCTTCTTCACATGAAGGACTTAGAACTGTGGGGACGACTTATTGGTGCTGAACAGAAGGCCAGAAAGAGAGGTAAAAATTTAATTATAATGTCTTGTGGTTTTAATAATATTTAAATTTACATTTTACAGCATTTTAACTCTTAAATGTCGCAAAACAGGGGCCAGGAATAAAAAAATATTCGAATTATGTAAAAATTGCTTAAAAGTGTTAAACAAATCTCCAACATATTGGCTTCAGTGTCGTGAAACTTAATCAAAATATTTTCAGAAATTGATTTTAGACAAAAATTTGTTAAAAAGAAGAATGTTTTGTTGAAAGAACAGCTCCTATTAACTGGAACTGATGGATAATGCAGTAATAAAAGATGTAAACACTTGTCCAATGCACAAAGAAGAGGAATAGTAGTAAGAAGTGTCCACAAAGTGGATATGCAGCTGGTGCCTTTATAGCATTGCTGAGTAATACATAATAAAACAAATAATAATGAGTAAGTATGTTATTATGCTTTATTTTGTTATATAAATAAATTGCCAATGTTAATATCTGTTGCTTTCATCAATGTCTAAAAAATATTTTTTCTGGGGGGAGCCCCGTCGGCTCCCCGGAGCTATCCAGGCTGAATGGATATGTATAACTTTTTGGCATCAGTCAAGGAGTTCTTGCCTACCGGGGACCACGAGCCAGAACCTGGCCCCCTCAGAGAGGCACGAAGAGCAATGGCCTATAGAAACCTCCTTGAGGTTGGGAGCATTCTATGTCTGCCATCGACAGGGACAGGCACCCAGAAAGGTAGGCGCCCCGAAACAAACCCCTATTCTGGTAAAAATATTGCTACCGAAAGCCGAACAAGTGGACAGAACTCCCCAAATAAAATTATCTAATTAGCATGACGGCATCACGTCGCTGCGCCACTGTCTGTGCAAGTCCCCCCCTCCTCGGTAGGGGGAAGGGGGGAGCCCCAGACCCTCCACGCCGGCGATCCAACTGAAAGTTCTTGGCTGATGGAAGTACTGGCCAGTTGAGTGCCTCTGGCTCCGGTTTTTGTTTCAGTTCTGTGCCTTGTGGTGTGGACTGTCTCTACCGGTGGGGTGTGAGCCAGGAGTAAGATTCCAATGTCCTGGTCGTTAGACCTGGTGGTCTGTTTTCTTCTCCTCGTCATTTTGGTCCTTGGGTTGCTGCTTGGTTGGTCGGGCTGGGGGGGCCTCCTTGATGTTCAGTTGCGTTTTTTTTTGCTGTACTCTGCGTGTCTTGGCCTCTGGGGTCGTGGACGCATTTTGGTTGATCACGTTCCCTTTCTTTCCTCATTCATGTTCTACGGTTCAGGTCTACAGGGTCTTTGTTTCGTCTGTGGTTTTGTTTATTTAGGTTAGGGGAATGGCGTCTGCCTCCTGATCTTTGGTGAGGTAGCTCCGGGGAGCCGACGGGGCTCCCCCCAGAAAACCAGCGTTGAATGTAATGAAACGCCATTTTCTGGGTGAGTCCCGGAGGCTCCCTGGCATCCCTCCCTCCCTCCGGTCGGCGTTTTTCGCGTATTTTGACATCCAGCCTAAGAACTGCCAGTTGGATCGCCGGCGTGGTGGGTCTGGGGCTCCCCCTTCCACCTCCTGGGGAGGGGGGGGTTGCGCAGACGGTGGCGCAGCAGTGTGATGACGTCATGCTAGTTAGATAATTTTGTTTGGGGAGTTCTGTCCACTTGTTCGGCTTTTGGTAGCAATATTTTTACCAGAATAGGGGTTTGTTTTGGGGCGCCTACCTTTCTGGGTGCCTATCCCGGTCGATGGCAGACATAGAATGCTCCCAACCACAAGGGGGTTTCTATAGGCCATTGCTCCTCATGCCTCTCTGAGGGGGCCAGGTTCTGGCTCGTGGTCCCTGGTAGGCAAGAACTCCTAGCACTTTGACTTATGCCAGAAAGTTATACATATCCATTCAGCCTGGATAGCTCCGGGGAGCCTCTGGGACTCGCCCAGAAAATGGCATTTCATTACATTCAACGCTGGTTTTTTAGGGGAAATTATTTTTCTGGGGAAAGCCCCTTTTTCTTCAAGTAATAATTAATGTTGGTGCGACAATATCTGAGACATTAACCTGATTTTTTTTCTTCATTTCTATATACGTTTAGATATTTCGCATCATCGCGGTTTAGTTTCAGCTTTTCTCTGTCTTTCTTTGAGAGGTCTTGTCTTAATGACCAAAGTTTCCCACTCTCATTACTTTGCAATTGCATGTGTGAGAGTGAGTGAGCGAGTTAATGTTGGTAATAGTGTGTGACATCGCGTCATAAAATATATTTTTACTTATCAGATTTCAGGTTAGGTAGTGATGAAGTAATTTGTAATACATAGAATTCTAAGTATAGTATTTTCTTTCAGCAATAAGAAACGTAAAGGTTGAGGTTGGAACTCCATGGTCAGATGTCACAGTAGAACGAACTATGTCTGCACTCAAGTTCTATCATGATTTTTCCTGTGAAGTTAAAACATTTACAGCGGCTTATGGACCATGCTGGGAACCTGCTGTGGCACAGTTTAACATTGGTAACATTGGCACTAGTATTATTTTTCTCTTGTATCAAAACTAAAAAAAAAATAAAATTTGTTTATTTGTAAAAATAATCCTTATTAAAAGAGTATTCATGATGCTTAGAATGTTGTTTTTTAAATTGAACATGATTTTCAGCATTATCTCTGATCAACCAGCCATCCCGTGACCCTTCTATGCCCTTGCCATGGTGGGATAAGATGCGACTCCTCTTTCATGGGCGTCTGACTCTTATGGTAGAGCGCATGACTTTGCTGCTTCATGCATCGTTAGATCCCTATAACACCACAGAAGAAATGGAACTCACTTGGACTAATCTAACTATGGATTGGACTAATGGTATGTCACCCATATTTCAGTTCAGTACCTTCGCTGTAATTGTATTCTAAAAGCATAACTAACTGTATTTAATGTAAAAGATCTCGGTATTAAATGCACTATCTTTTGAGTAGTCATTCGATAAAATTCTATGGATATTTTAGCTACTACTGTAGCTAGTACCATATTTTTTCAAAATGGTTACCACCTACAAAGACAAACAAAATTTCAGTAGATAAAGTGTATATGGATTTTTCTGAAGCTTTTAATAAAGTACTACATGGCAGACTGTCACAGACTTGCAAGCACATGATTAACCCTTTGACCACACAAAACATATATAGATGATGGGAGTAAGTTTACCGAAACCGCGCAATACATATATAGACGATTGAGGCTCTAGTGCACGATTTTAAATGCCCCGCGAGGGACAGGGGCAGCTATAGTCCAGCCACGACCGATAGTGACCAGATACCACCTAGAAAAAAAAATCGTGGAGAACAGTCCCTGGTGTGAGAGCCTCGGTACTGAGTGAGCCAACAAGGCTGACACACACAGCATGAGCTCACAACACTGCTGTTCAGCTTGTGACAACAGCATCACCTAAAAATGTCAAAATATATATGTCGATGCTATTATTTAGAGATGATAGTATTACAGAAGACCCTCTGACTGATAAAACTGACCAGGATTCTGATAATAGCAGGATTGTGGTGATATTTAGCACTGTGGTCCATGGTGGGAGGAGTAATGCTGACGGAGGTGGTGTTGTCTTCTGACTGTGTGTGGCGACATTTCTATTGACTGGACTTACCATACCAGCTTAGTGGTTCACTATGGTGAACATAAATGGAAATACTTATATATAACGTGTGTATAGATTGTAATAACAGCAATAGGAGTATATTGGGAGCCGCCATTTTGGTGAGGAAGGTGCGTCGTCTGCAAGACATGTCGTGTTGTTTACTTGTGGCCGCTATGGTCTTTGGCCACCATACCAGCTTATTTGTACAGTTATGGTGAATAAAACGTGTAGATACATATATATAATATGTGTGTATATAGTGTAATGACACCACAAACAGTATTATTGGAGGAGAATTGTTAGTGCATCTGGTCTTGAACCAGTGAGGGAGACAGCCACCAGCTGACTGTGTGTGTGTGTAGCTATGTCTCTTATTGCCTGAACTCACCATACAAGCTTAGATGTATAGTTATGGTTAACAAAACATGTAGATACAGTACTTATATATATATAAAATGTCTGTATATAGTGAATAAAAAGCAAAAACAGTATGGTGGGAGGAGGAATATGTTGGCAAGTAAGGTGTTGAGGGAGGGAAGGTGGAGGTGTTTGCTGGTTGGTGTGTGGCAGCTGCTCGTTGGTGTTTTGACTCACAATAACAACTTAGCGGTTCGTTATGGTGAACAAAACATGCAGACACTTATATATAACCTCTTTATATAGTGTAATAATAGCAAAACTATTTGTTTATTGTTTTATGAACATAATAGTTGAATCACTAATATGCACATCATACTTTTGAGTATAACAATGATTCACCCCTTTTATTATATAAATATATCACACTACACATTATTAAATAATATAACTAAGAAAAATTAGTTGTCTCAATCTCAATATTACCTAATTATTTCAATGTCTCAGAGACATTGAAATAATTAGGTAATACAGTAGTATCTATGTGGCAACTCCCACCTGACAACTCGGGTGGAGCTGAGCGCCTCCGACGATTGCCGTTTCAACGCCTACATTTTGCCAGACTTCCTCGGCCTATTGAGGCCAAAATATGGCACCTACAATTTTTTTTATATATTTCCCATGCTCAGGGAGGATGCATGCAACCAGGAGGCCTGGTCGACGACCGGGCCGCGGGGACACTAAGCCCCGGAAGCACCTCAAGGTAGCCTCAAGGTAGGTAGGGAACACAAATGAAAAAAATTTTAGAAGACAAAATTTTTTTTTTTATTTTTCCTGGGGGGGTAGCCCTGTCAGCTCCCAAGAGCTATCCAGGCTGAATGGATATGTATATCTTTCTGGCATCAGTCAATGCATGGAATTCTTGCCTATCTAGGACCACGAGCCAAAACCTGGACCCCCCTATAGAGAGGCACGAGGAGCAATGGCCTATAGAGACCCCCCCCTCCCCTGTGGTTGGGAGCATTCTATGTCTGCCATCGACCGGGATAGGCACCAGAAAGGAAGGCGCCCCAAAACAAACCCCTATTCTGGTAAAACTATTGCTACCGAAAGCCGAGCAAGTGGACAGAACTCCCCAAACGAAAATTAGCAAACTAGCATGATGTCTTCATGTCGCCACACTGCTGCCTACGCAACCCCCCCCCCCCTCCCCGGGAGGGGTCTGGTTTTTTGCCAGACTTCCCTACCCTATTGCGGCTAAAATATGCCATGTACGATTTTTTTATATTTTTTCCGTGATCAGGGAACACAAATGAACACTTTTATAATTTTATAAGACGAAAGAATTTTTTTTTATTTTTTTGTCGCGCCTGTGGGTGTTGAAGCCATTTGGGCCCCTCGCAGCTTGAGGGTTAAATGAGAAGGGTTGACGTGTATTTATTTTATGTTGCAGTAATATTTACTGATGTAATCAATCGGATTAAATGATTGAGTTCAGTACGCAAAGGTACGCGAAATAATTATACTCTTTCATAAAGAATAATACTTAGAAAGAAAAAGCAATTAACTGGACTCGATAATATTTCCAACAAAACGTGGAGGATTTTATGTTTCAGCTTGACGCTGCCTCCCGGCATCATGAGGACTAGGAAGGATCTAGCAAAATATTGCCTTACTATAGAAACATTAATTTTGTTAATGCTATGTATTAGTGATGTTAGTAAATGCTAATATTAGTAGCTAAATGAGAATAAACTGTTGGTTATTTCCAATAGCCATTTCATTATATTCAACTTTTTTTTCCAGCAAAATTAATTTTTAAAGGAGAATTAAACGTGTTTGTTAGAACGGCATCCAAGTATGATGATGCCAGACTACTGCATTTGCCAAACCTTAAGGTAAATAAATCAGTCTTAGTTTCTCTTTGTTTTGAATTGCCAAGACAAGTCATTTGAGAAATGCAAAATTATAGTAGGTTAATTAGTAATACAGTATTGCATGTGCCTGAAATTTGAATATACAGTATAAATGTACAATATCTCATTCCATGATGTTTTCATAGATTTACTTCATCACACTGAAAATTGTTTTAAAAAATTGGCTGCTCTTTTTAGCTAACAGTGAAGATGAATTGGCAGTGCCATGGCAATCCCAATGACCACCACTCTGTCATGCTTTGCGCCCCAGACAAGCTACCAGAATACTCTAGCAATCAGGTAATTTTATTTTGCCACATTTATCATATTTCTGTATGATTTAATTTGAAGTTTTATCAAAATAAAGGGATGAATTTTTATCCCTGAACTACACACAAGTTTCAGAAGGCATTATCTGTATGTTCGGGAAATTAAGGAATTCCCAATTTACTTTTTCTGTTGGGGAGCCCCGTCGGCTCCGTGGAGCTATTGGACTGATATTAGTTAATATTAGTACAAGGCTTCAGTCACATGGAGTTGTCATGCCTACCAGAGACCACTAGCCAGAACATGGTCCCCTCAGAGAGGTGCAGAGAGCAGTGGCCTATGAGTCTCTCATGTATGAAAGTATTCATGTCTGCAATCGACCGGGGTTGAGCGTCCAGAAAGGGAAGCGCTCCAAAACAGACCCCTCGTAGTAGAAAACCTGCAACCCGAGACCGAACAGAAACTAGAAACTCCTCCAAGGAAAACAAGCTAACAAGCAACATTTCATCACACAATGTGCTGCTTGTTCGTGGGGGACAGGGGGAGTCAGTCCCTCCCCCCTCCCCCCCTCCCCCCCCCCCTATATTTCTGGTTCCCTTTAACCCTTACATTGCTCCAATTGCTGTATGTGATTTTTCTCATTTGGTTTGTTAAATATTTTTAGTTATGGGCACCTAGATGTAGAAATTTTTTAATAGTTGCACTGTTCATGGGTTAAGTCTTAGTTTTTGTAGATATGTAATAGTCCTTTTTACTCGAAGAACAGTTTGCAGAGAAGTTTCAAAGATAGAGCTTATATACAAAATATATGCTACATGAAGGGTTTTCTCTTTCAGGAACACGATTCTTACAGAGCATTTCGTTCACAGCACTTGAATATGAATATTGTCCTTGAAACCAAGACTATGAAGAAGAATGATGCAATTGTTAATCCAGTCATTGAGGCTTTGTTTTATGGGAGCACTCTCAGGTAAGAGGAAACAATATATTAATAAACTAGTAATCCACATTTCTTCTTACAACTTTGCCTGCCTTTATTCTCCAATACAAGTTATTTGTCATGCCTTCCACTCACTAGTACAAATTATCATAAAAAAACAGCGTTAATTGTAATGAAACGCCATGTTTTGGGCGAGTCCCAGAGGCTTCCCGGAGCTATCCAGGCTGAATGGATATGTATCTCTTTCTGACATCGGTCAATGCATGGAGTTCTTGCTTACCGGGGACCACGAGCCAGAACCTAGACCCCTCTAGACAGAGGGGTCTAGGTTCCCCCTAGACCCCCTCTAGACATGAGAAGCAATGGCCTATAGAGACCCCCTGTGGTTGGGAGCATTCTATGTCTGCCATCGACCGGGATAGGCACCCCAAAACAAACCCCTATTCTGGTAAAACTATTGTGACCTAAAGCCGAACAAGTGGACTGAACTCCCCAAACGAAAACTAGGAAACAAGCATGACGTCATCATGTTGCTGCGGTACACCCCACTCCCCGGGAGGGGGAAGGGGAGCCCCAGATCCACCTGTCGGCAAGCCAACCTACAGTACTTAAGCTGGATGTCAAAAAGCATGAAAAACACCGCTGACCAGAGGGAGGGAGGAATGAGAGGAGCCTCCGGGACTTGCCCAGAAAATGACATTTCATTACATTAAATGCTGGTTTTCTGGGGGGCTCCCCGGAGCTAACTACCCAAAGATAAGGAAAAACAGGGACTTACACGGGAGGCGGTCCGTCCTCACTCCTCAACACAAAGTTGAGACAACTGGCTGCAAACGTCTGACACTCTTCGAGGTTGGCTGAATCTCTTCCTGTGTGGGACCTTACAAAGGCATCTTTTCAAGACTACCTTACAAATTGATCTTTTCCTATAATCTTTTCAATTCTACCTTATGCTTTACAAGCTTGGCTACATACAACCTACAAGTACTAATGCCAAGGGTGTACGCGAGTGTGTTATTTGTAAGCACACAGAACGAAGAAACAGGAATCGAAGATCTATCTGTACCTGGTGCAACGAGAGCGAAGTCGCACCGTGTACCATGGATTACTTCGTTGATTATTACTCACTTTTGAAGTACTGAGTGTGTAATACAGTGTTACTGTGTAAATAGTGTGTTAAACTGTACATATTGTTATTTTAGTGAATTTTTAACAAGTAATATTACGACAATAAACATTGTGGACACAATACTGACACATGTATCACAGTTCCATGGAACATGATGAACATTCTATTGTATACTTATTGTAAAGGACACAAAGATGCATCATATATGATAAAAAAAATAATAAATCCGCATTGGAAATACATAGAACAAATAATTGAAAATATATTTGTGGCAACATCGTGTTGCTCGAATGGCCCGCCCGACCATGCCTGGGAGCTTCACGCATGGGTGACTAGCCCCTGATGACGTCACAGCGCAACCCGTTCTCGCAAATTTAATAAGTCAATATTGACTTATTAAATATGTGCATAGGTGACATACTTAACATAATTGATACCCTTAAAAAGATTCATAGAAAACACCGACCTTACCTAACCTACTTAGTATGTTAAAATAAGCATCTTATTGCTTCGTAATTACAATTATTACCTAACCTATAATAGGTATAGGTTAAGTAATAATTGTAATTACGAAGCAATAAGATGCTTATCTTAAGATACTAACAAGGTTAGGTAAGGTCGGTGTTTTCTATGAATCTTTTTAAGGGTATCTATTATGTTTAGTATATCACCTATGCACGTAGTTAATAAGTCAATATTGACTTTACGAATTTGCGAGAACGGGTTGCACAGCGCATCTTGTCCATGTCCCCACAGCCAAAGTAAGTGGAATTTAGTATTTATTTTTACATAGACATGTTCAGGGGTAAGAATTTATCATTTAAAAAGAAAAAAAAAATTTTGGGGAGCATTTGATTTCATGCGCACAGGGAGAATGTCAGAATAAACTCAGTGCATCACAATGGTTAAGAGTTAATGTTACCCATGAGAATGAATGTGATTTGGGCTCGATATTGACTGGCAAAGACCTGGTATAATTTTATGGATTTGGGGCTATCCAGACTGGCTAGAAGCAGGGAGCCAATTTGGGCCCAACATTTCAAGGGACCCAACCCAATAGAAAGACTCGTTTCATTACATTCAGTGCTAGATTTTTTTTCATTATTGTATGTTTTAGTCTACTAGTTGATAATATTTTCTTTCTCCTCAGATGGTTTGAAAATCTGAAATTTATTCTGTCTGGGGTTGCTCGGCCTACTCGGCGGGGTCCTCTTTTCAACAACACTAAAGCTCGCAAGCCTCAACTCTCACGTCACTACAATACAATACATCTCTCAATATCTTTCCAGGTGGGTGTGATATTCAATATCATTGTATTAAATACTGTTCTGTATTATAAGTACATGTGAATGTGATAAATGTATAAGAAATAAGAAATATAATATTTAAGTATTTGATCTTCTATATTGGCAATTTTCTCACCATCTAGAGGTTTGATGTCAGATACTGGATGTCTGTTGGTGTTAAGAAAGGTTTTCACCTCAGTGGGGAGCGGCTGTCTCTTAGTTCAGGTTAGTGTTTCAAACAATTTTGTTGTACCCTAAATTTATGTAGTTTATTCATGTATTGAAATAAGATTAAAATAAGATTTATTAATTAATTGATAATAACAGAACTCCCAATCAAAAACCGGAAAACAAACAGGACATCACCACGACCGCCTCGCATCCGTCTGTGCAACCTTCCCCTCCTCCCCGGTTGGTGGTGGGGGGTGGGGGGGTCCCAGACCTCCACGTCGGCAACTCTTCACAGTTCAAAGGCTGTTGTATTCACCTAGTTGTGCTTGTGGGGGTTGAGCTCTGCTCTTTCGGCCCACCTCTCGACTGTTTACTAACTACTTTTTCTGGGGTGAGCCCTGTCGGCTTCCTGGAGCTATACCAGGCTGATATGCTAATGTCAGACTTTGGCATCAGTCATGTGTATGGAGTTCTTAGGGCTTACTGGGGACTATGGCCAGAACCTGGCCCCCTCAGAGAGACAAGGGGAGCAGTGGCCTTATAGAAACCCCCGTGTGGTTGGAAGCATTCTACGTCTGCCATTGACCGGGTCAAACATGCTGAAAGGTAAGCAGTCCAAAACAAACCCCTATTCTGGTAAAAATTGCTACCTAAAGCCGAACTAGTGGATAGAACTTCCCAACAGAAAACAAGCAAACAAGTATGACGTCAAACGTCACCGTGCCGCTGTCTGTGCAGCTCCTCCCTCCCCAGGAGGCGGAAGTGCTGGGTTAAGTGCCCCATAGAGGTTATATATACTGTAGTATAATTACTCTGTTACATTGTCCCTTTAATACCACAACTGCTTGGCCATTATTTTTCATGCAATATTTTTGTTTTCAGAGCATAACTTGGCATTGATACCAGTCAACGATGGACTTCGACATCGTCCACGTAGCTGCTGGAGTATTGTCTTTCTTAACACTGAATTGTGTCATGCTCAGATCCGGCTTCAGAGTGTCTTGAAAGATTATACATGTTTTCCCAATGAAGAACAACAGGTACTCTTTTAGATTATTTTCTAGCATAATAAGAAATTTACACTCTTAATTCTTTGCTTAAAAGAATTTTTGGGGGTAAATATTTGTTTATTCACATTTTTGGGTTTAAAGGTTGACAGGGTTTGACATATTCGCAAGTTGTTTGATGTATTTCTTCATTCTTCTATATATTTTAAAGAAGGTCTGAGAGAAAATGATAACCCATATTTCTAAGGGGAGCCCCTACGACTTCCCGGAGCTTACTAGGCTGATGTGCTAATGTCAGACTTTGGCATCAGTCATGTGTACGGAGTTCTTATGGGCCTACCGGAGACCACGAGCCAGAACCTGGCCCCCTCAGAGAGGCAAGGGGAGCAATGGCCTATAGACACCCCCCCCCCCCCCTGTGTAATTGGAAGCATTATATGTCTGCCATCGACCGGGTCAGGCTCCCAGAAAGGTAGGCATCCCAAAACAAACCCTTATTCTGGTGAAAATTGCAACCAAAAGCCGAATGAGTGGATAGAACTCCCCAAACAAAAACGAGCAAAGTCGTCATCCGTCGTCGTGCCGCTGTCTGTGCAGCCCCCACCTCCCTGGGAGGGGGAAGGGGCAACCCCACCTACTGCACCGGCGATCCACACCCCAGTACTTGAGGCTGATGCTATCGGCTCGGTTGTGTGCTCTGGCTCCAGTACTTTTGCGGCGCTGTGCCTTGTGTGTGGCTGCTGTACTCCAGGGGTGCGAGAGCCAGGAGTTATTCCTCAGTACTCGGGCTGCATGCGCCTAGGGTTCTCTTTCCTAGGTGCCTTGTAAGTACTGCCCTTAGAGCTTGGGGCCACCGTCCACAAGTTCCTCGGGGTTGGCCTCTGTGTGTTCGTTATACTGCTCAGTTTCTCGGCCGCTCTTTGGGTACTTGGGGGGGGGGGGGTCTCCCCTAGTTAACCTTAGGGTAAGAGGCAGTTTTTGCACTGGTAAGGGGCGCAGAGTGCTGTGCAGCTAGTTGTCACCTATCACAGAGACCGTCTCTGTTCCTTGGGGTACGTTGTCCTCTTGCGGGGTTTTGTTTTTCTTTTTGCCTTGGTGGGGAGTTCTGCCCTATTTGCCACTGGTGTTTGGCCTCACCCTGATACTTGGTGGTGCCCCCTGCCTGGTCCCTGTGAGTGTACACGTCCCTGGGGTTCAGCTGTAGACAGTTTGTTTGGTAGTTTTGGGAGCCGGTTAGCAGTACCCTGCCTGGGTTTACCTGAGTGCGAGTCCTCTTTAAGTAAATGCTCAGGACCCTGGGAATTCCATAGGGGACGCGTGGGTCTGATGGATGTGACCCCGGGGTCACCTCTCGCTTCGTGTGAGTTTGAGGGTTGTTCGGTCCCCTTGTCTCAGGGCGACCCTCACTGTTTTTGCCTCCGTCATGCAGCCTGTTGGGTCCTTGACACTTTAGACCCTGAGTCCTGTACTCACCTAATTGTACTCACCTAATTGTGCTTGCGGGGGTTGAGCTTTGGCTCTTTGGTCCCGCCTCTCAACTGTCAATCAACTGGTGTACAGATTCCTGAGCCTACTGGGCTCTATCATATCTACATTTGAAACTGTGTATGGAGTCAGCCTCCACCACATCACTTCCTAGTGCATTCCATTTATTAACTACTCTGACACTGAAAAAATTCTTTCTAACGTCTCTGTGGCTCATCTGGGTACTAAGTTTCCACCTGTGTCCCCTTGTTCATGTCCCACCCTTGCTGAAGAGTTTGTCTTTGTCCACCCTGTCAATTCCCCTGAGAATTTTGTAGGTGGTTATCATGTCTTCCCTTACTCTTCTGTTTTCCAGGGATGTGAGGTTCAGCTTCTTTAGCCTTTCCTCGTAGCTCAATCCTCTCAGTTCCGGGACGAGCCTGGTGGCATACCGCTGAATCTTCTCTAACTTTGTCTTGTGTTTAACTAGGTATGGACTCCAGGCTGGAGCTGCATACTCCAGGATTGGACTTACATAAGTGGTATACAGGGTTCTGAAGGATTCCTTACACAAGTTTCTAAAGGCAGTTCTTATGTTGGCCAGTCTAGCATATGCCGCTGATGATATTCTTTTGATGTGGGCTTCTGGGGACAGGTTTGGTGTGATATCAACCTCCAGATCCTTCTTGTTTCTTGCTGGTGACTAAAATTTACCCAATCTATGGATGATAATCTTAGGGTACAGGCTGCTCTGGTGTTGAATCCTAGGTTTCGGTTGTTGCAATGCGCTAGGTTGGTTGCTCACCCAGATGCCCCGCGGTTTCCCCCGTTTTGCTTATAGGGACCCGGATTTGAGGGTGGGGGTCGCTTCGACCCTGGTTCAGTTCACACCTCCTGGTTCTTCCCTTCCTGTTGTTTGTTCTGGTCCCGCTCCCCTGTTTCAGGCCTCAAAATGTCTGAGGGTTTCAGAGTCGGGGCAGGGGTTAGTTGGTCTTGAGACTTGGGCGGCCTCGGGGGATGCCACTTCTGGTGTGGCGACGGAGGCATTCGAGTCTCCTCCCCCAACCGAAGCCTCTGGGTCTGACCAGTGGGCCTCATTCTATCCGGCTTCTACGGCTACCCCGGCCTTGTCTAGTGGGGTTGGTGCTTGTGGGGAGGTCTTGGGCCCAGGTCCTGCTGAAGAGGAACCTGGGGCTGGGAAGGGGCTGACTTGGGGGCCTTGGGCCCCGCTGGACCCCGCCTGGGTTTTTCTACCCCTCTGAGCGGGGTTTACTGTTACAAGGAGTGGGGTTTTCTTCCCCCCCCCCTGCGTACGAGTTGGATTTGGTGTCTGCCCCTCCCCTGGTTCGGTTTCTTGTTCCCCGGGTGCTTTGGTTCCGTTTTTCCGGAGGTTTTTGGCTTATCGCAATCAACCTGCTGCGGTGCGGGCGGCCCTTGCGGCCACCCGCATCGTAGGTCGTAGTAGTTTGGTTTGGAATTCCTACTTTTCTGGGTGCCTGACCTGGTAGATGGCAGACAAAGAATGCTTCCAAGTACACGGTGGTGTCTTTAGGCCATTGCTCCTCGTGGGTCTCTTGAGGGGACCAGGTTCTGGCTCTGGTCCCCGGTAGGCTTAGAACTCCTTCAATTGACTGTTGCCATGGTCTAATATATACCAATCAGCTTGGTATAGCTCCAGGAAGCATCCGGGTCTCACCCAGAAAATGGCATTTCATTACATTCAACGCTGGTTTTTTTATTATTATTATTATTATTATTATTATTATTATTATTATTATTATATTATTATTATTATTATTAAAACGTTGCTAGACTTAAAATTAAAAATATATAATAAATTTCAGGAACCTTTATCTCAACCAGTTGAAAAATTTTATTTCTTGAATGTGAGCAAAGTGGCCTACATGCGTGAGACCTTGACCTCAACCCCTTCTGGAACTAGCCATGATCCAGACCAGCGTGATACCCCAAATCACCGCCTTGTTGTATACGGCCTCAAGGTAATTTTTCCTAATTATTTAACCCTTAAACTGTTGACACAACCAAGAATGTTCTCTCCAATTATCCATAAACTACCTAACAGTGAGGGGTGTTTTAAGGTGCCACATAAGATTTAAAACTCCTGCAGGTACATGGGACTCGCATCTACTTCCTCAGGCCTCTAGTAAACAGACATCATCTTTGGAAAAAAAATTGTTGGTTCCTGCCTGGACTTGAAGACTTTGGTACTGAGAGAGCGACCATGAGTAGTGCATGCAGTAGTAGCTCATAGTACTGTCACGTAGCATGTGTCAACAGTACTGTTTCACTTAATTAACCCTTAAGTTGTGCAACACGTCATATGATGGGTTGAGTGACTTGCTATAAAATGCGCATCCCATCATATGATGTATTGGAGTACTACGCAAGATTTAAACGGTACGCCGATGCACGGGGTTCATCTCACCTTCATCAGGGCTCTTGTAAACAGATGCCATTTTTTTTTTTAAATCATGGGCCAAATTCACGGGTGTGAGGGCCTCAGTATTGAGTTAGCCACCAAGCCTGATGCACGCAGCATGAGCTCTCAGCACTGCTGTTCAGCTTGTGACCACAGCATCGCCTAAAAATGTCATAATATATATGTTCATGCTATTATTTAGCGATGATATTATTACAGAAGACCCCTGTAATTCTTTGTTTTCTTATTAATACCTTTTATAGTATAGGCAATAGGTATTTTTTTCCCCACGGACCTAGAATGTACTGCGCCTGGCCGTGTGACCGCATTGTTTACTGTTAACTCTCGCGGCTGAGAGCATTGTCTCAGAATATTAGCCAGAGAAAATCTGATTCAGACAAAAATAGATAAATTGATGATTTCAACGGTTCGTGAAAGCACCCACAGGGAATTCAACAAGTCATGCAGCATCCGCTGGCAACGAGTGCCCTACAAGCCATGCTGCACCCGCCGATGCTGAATTCCCATCAAAAGTCGTGTAGCCTCCACTAACGATATAAAATATGATGGAAAGGCATATAAATTACTGTAAGAAGTGTTGATAGAGTACAGTATTGTAAGTGTTAATGATTATTTAAGCCTTGACAAAAAGATACTGTACAGTGTGAATATACAGTAGAAATAATTTTCAATTGTGAATTAGAATTAGAACTCATGTGAATTAGTAATAAGGCTAGCTGTTGTGTGAAGTGAATGCCTGAAAATAAGTGTACATACTGTATGTACCCTGTATACAGTACTGAACAATATAAAACAAGCGCTGCAGAGGATGACGTAATCTTCACAGCTTCGTAATCTTCAGCTTCATTAAAAGTAAGTCAATTTACCAATTTTATTATAGTATTTCAACATATTAATTGTTTTTTCTTCAACAAAAACTACACATTAATCTCTGCAAATGTATATTCTATCATTAGCAGAGAAAAGGTGAACTCAAAATATTTTGTCTTGGCTAGCTCTCAGTGACAAGGCTCGATCACCATTATTATGGCCTGGCCGCCACAGCCGGTGTCATAACATTAAAAATACATTACCTGCACTGTTCAGGGTAAAACAAAACACATCTCTAAAATTTTATTGAGAAAATATTAACAATCACTGATTGACATGAAATATTTTGCAATACCAAGGAATGAACCCATTATTTCCCACCCATCTGGACTTGTTCAGACCGTGTTCGCACATCATCCATGCAGCAGCCACCAGCTGGCTTAATCGTCGGCATGGCACTAAATTGGAATGCAACAATTACACAATGAACTTTATTTAATTTTAGTTATACAGTATAAAATATATCCTACCTGAATGTTACTTGAAAAATTACCCGACTCGACTTAACTTCGGAAATAACGGAGCTCCGGCCGACGACCAGGGTACAGCCCCATATAGGCCGTTAAATTGAGTGGATACTATATAGTGAATAAAAGCAAAAACAGTATGGTGGGAGGAGAATGTGGGCGAGTGAGGTGTTGAGGGAATGAGGGCTGGTGTGTGGTGGTCAATCCTCGTTGCTTTTTGACTCATAATACCAACTTAGTGGTTCGTTATGGTGAACAAAACATGCAGATACTTATATATAACCTGTGTATACAGTACAACCTCGATTCAACGTACCACGATTCAACGAATCTCCGGCTAGTTCGCACACTTTTCAGGCCAGATTTACTCACCCGGTTCGACGAACAATGGTTCACCGAAGCGGGGGATGTTCGGATTTGCTTACGACGTTGAGACAGAGTTCACAGACATGTGGAAAACTTTCACATTCTATCACAGATTACAATTATTAATTCCTTCATATGACAAGTGGATCTTCGATCACACAAGTGGACCACACAAGTGGACGTCACAAGTGGTCCACAAGTGGTCCACAAGCTTACGATGTTGGGAAAGAGTTCACAGTGGTGGAAAACTTTACCATACCATCACAGATTACAATTAATAATTCCTTCATATGACAAGTTGGATCACACAAATAGACCACACAAGTGGACTGTGGACCACAAGTGGTCCACAAGCTTACAATGTTGGGACAGAGTTCACAGAGTGGTGGAAAACTGTCTCATTCTATTCTGTATCTATTTACAGTGTGTAAAGATACGGTGAAGGATTGATGTCATTTTTCTTAACAGCTTTGCCCTTATTTTTCTTTGCTGTTTCCCTATCTTCTCTGTTAATTACCTCTTCACTCATTGTAGGAAATGAGGTAATGATAATGATGGTGCTTTTAATCTGTTCCAATTTATTTTGTAATGTTCTCTTTTGTTACTCATCAGTGCATATTACAGTCACTGCCATATAATAATGCATTGGCATAATTTTCTAAAATGTGTCTTACCATTGCAGGGTGCATGGACAACCAATAATCGTGACATTGTCTTAGCACTCTATGACTCCTGGACCAAGTCACAACAGTTGCGTCGTAATCTCACCCCTGATATAATAAAGAACTACAATCCAGAGGCTTCAACACCTCAAAAGCCTCGAAGTCGCTCTCTTACTGATGGCAACACTTCTCAGAGTCTTACTTCCCCAACAGCAGCATTGCAGGTACTATCTTTATTGAGCTGTCTTAATTAATGTGTGCACTTTCTGGAGGGAGTCCCTTGTGGCTCCCTCAAGCTACCATCACTGATATTGATGCCAACTATTAGGTGGACTTCTCCATCCTACCGGAGGCCCAGAGTCAGAACCTGGTCACCTCACAGAGGGGAAGAGAGCTTTGGCACTTATATATTAAATTATTAATTTATGCCACCACCGAGAAGGGCACCCAGAAAGTCAGTGAGCCGAAATACACCACAACTGGCTGCCTCCAAGAACTGCAGGCTCAAAAACTGCCATAGAACTCCCTAAACTGTGAAAATAATTATCGAAAATATTATAAACCAGCGCCTGCTCATTCACCCCACTTTTATCATCCTTTGGAAAGAGAAAGGGGGCAGGCTACGGCTCATTGGCCACCCGACCCTCAGTTCAACAAATGATGTAAGTGGGTCATTCCATCTCAAATCACCAAAGTCACTTATGGCTCCCACTTGACCTTCTTCAAATGCCATGAAATTTTGCAGTAAGATAGCCCTAGACCCCAAATGACACTTTGCAAAATATTAGAGCTCGATCTGCTTTGGTTCTTAAATAACAGGTCCATATACAATGGGCTCTTGTCCTGTTAATGCGTAAATACCACAAAAATGACCAACTTTGGCCCTTTGCTAAATCACTTGTATTGCCTGTAGGAGTGTGAAATTTGACATTCCAGGACAACTTTTGGTGTAGAATAACATAGTGTAATAAAAAAAGCAGTATGGGTGGCCATTCAGCTATCTATCCATGCTAAAATCACTGTAAAATTTTGTCGTGAGAAATTTGGACCCCAATTTGGAGACCACTTACTCATCAGCAAAAGGTCTAAATGCCATGATCTTTTGCAATGATGTATAACAAGCACAATATTATGCAGTGATGCAATATCAACTCTGTTGTATCCATATTTCAGAGTCATTCATTCATTTTCTTCACATAACTGTATATAGGATTCCTTTCAGATTTCTCCTTTTCTGTATATTTTTTTTTAGTAAATATGCTCCATTCGTATCTCTGATGATGATTATGAAGATGTGTTGCCCTTAAAACTATTCTGATATCCTCAGGTCCCCCCTGTACAAGCAACACCATCACCTATGTCTCGTCTGCAATCAGGCCATGCTCAAGCAATGTTGCAGCAGTTGATTGCAGAAGCAGACAATAATCAGGTACAGTTCATTAAAAAATAAAATATCAACATGCTTTTCTATATATTTTTCTTGTGATATCTTGTACAAATGATCTACTGGTAAATAAATTATAAATAAAAAGATACGTGACAAGAAGAGAATTCAGCTGATCTGTCACCTACAGAAGAACTGTTATAGATAAATTGAAAGGAAATATTTTTTTATTTTCATGATTTATATTTTATCAATATAGTATATTTCTTCACCAGTATTACTGTATTATTTGTGAATTCGATTTTATTCTTGTATTTTTCATTATTTCTGCTTTTAGATGCATGCTAAGGCATGGTATATGTATTCTACAGATTTGGATGTTTGAATATAATTGAGCAAAAAATTGTCTCAAATGAGATAATCATACCAGCAGGTCAATTTGTCTAGTAAATATCTTTCATGTTACTTGTCATTAATGCTTTTGTCTTTTCAGGTGGCCTTCAGCGAGGATTGCTCAAACACAGAACCCCGAGATCAGACATTACATGGAGTCAAAGCTTGTACAACAGATGATGTTATTCACAAAAGGTGGCTCAGTAAGTACTGTCTAAGCTCACTTAACTGAATTATATGGGAAGGACCTCCTGCCTGATAAGCCAAGACATTCAGATAAGCAGAATTCTTACAGGGAAAGTCCAAAAATGACCATATTCACAATTATTCGTACAACCACCACCATAATGCTTATTTACACACACAATATAAATCAAAAGTATAATTTAAAAGAGAAACTTCAGCTTGTTGTAGTTTGACCTCTTGTGTGATACTGTAGATTTTGAAATGGGTTGTTCTTGAAAATTTATGTAACCTAATTGTCAGTTATCCGAGTTTCTGTTTGGATGTGGCGATGTTTGTGTGGGGGAAATCTGGCTCTAGTTTATATGCTAATAAAATGATAGATAATTCTAAGATGCTCGAAGGACCACTCCCTTTATGGGAGAAATAAATTAAATGTTTAAATTGAATAAATTAGAGAACCAGTGGCTTATGGATCTCTATGATTAAATGTAATTAAATTCTAAAAATTCTATCCTTATGCCATAATGAACTGTAAATTCTATGAAATTCTAGAACCGATTCCCATGACACATTTTGGAGGTCTTCTATGAGGTTAGTCTACGTAATGCATGTAATATATAATAAATTGCATACGTAATAATATAATAAATGCATGTACATAGATTATAAATTATATGAGTAATGGTTAGTTGAACGCAATGTAAATATTATGACATATTAATGATTAAATCATGTACAATGGGGCCTCGACTTACGATGCTAATCCGTTCCCAGAGACGGATCGTAAGTCGAAGCGATTTTTCCCATAAGAAATAAAGGGAATTGAATTAATCCGTTCCCCACCCTCCAAAATATTAACATACAAATACATTTTATATTGAATACAATGTTTTGTTTTAACTACAATACAGTACCAAAGTTTCTCTTACCTTTATGGAGGGCTCTTGATGGTGTATGGAAGATGGTGATGAGGGGGGGAGGAGGAGAGTTGTTACTGTTTGGAAGGGGAGTCCCCTTCCATTATCACATCAGGCAGTGATGTTTTCTCTGGGGTACTCTCTCTCCTACGTTTTGCCTGAATACCACTAGGACCTGGTTGTGGTTCAGTGCTTGTCTCACTACAAATTTGTCAAGAGACATTTGTTTTCCCTTCGTTTTAACATTTGTCTGTAATGATGCATCAGTGTCATTGAATAGGTTAAGGCAATGACCTACTGCAGCTTGATTTGGGTGAGTCGTTTCAGCAAAGGTTTGCAATTCTTCCCATGCTGCACACATTTTCTTAGTTGTTGAGGAAGAGACATTCTGTATTCTTGTTTCTGCTCTATGGTCATCCTTACATGGGTTTTCATATGTTGAGCCTTACCACTGACTTTCCTGGGACTCATGGCGTGATATATAATAATTACTTATTGTTCAAAATGCAAAAAATCACCACAAAAGCGGAATTTCTTATAGGCGCGATCGTCACTAAGCGGGTAGCTGTAGTAAACTGAGGCAGGTCGGCCGTTTGACAGGGAACTACGTGCTCGGTTCCGGAACACAAATTAACATTTTAAGATTATCTTGAGATGATTTCGGGGCTTTAGTGTCCCCGCGGCCTGGTCCTCGACCAGGCCTCCACCCCCAGGAAGCAGCCCATGACAGCTGACTAACACCCAGGTACCTATTTTACTGCTAGGTAACAGGGGCATAGGGTAAAAGAAACTCTACCCATTGTTTCTTGCCGGTGCCTGGGATCGAACCCAGAACCACAGGATCACAAGTCCAGCGTGCTGTCCGCTCGGCCGACCGGCTCCTGGGTACAGGAGTGAGTACAAGCCCCAACCAAAATACATATCCAAAAAGCTACAAGATAGGAAGAAGGCTCGTAGGTTACACATGTAAGGACAAGACCAATCCAGTGAATTTCTATCTAGTTTTAATCTGGCTCAAAATTGTGTATACTGTACTATGGACTTAACAACAGAAAATATTATAGTACCCCTTTTTGTAGAATATAATACTGTGGGTCAAACCAGACCGAAAAGTTACAATAAACGTGTTTAACTAATTTTGGAAGGTGGCTATAGCAATCTACGAAATACATGTCAAACTCTCAGTACTTGAACATTTCTAACAATGCTGCCAATGCTGGTGTTGCCAGTCATCTTGCTTTTGGGTTCGGTCGTGTAGTTTCTGCCTCCCAGGTTTGTCCCTCTTTTGTCCTTGGCTTTGGGTAGATAGCTCCTGGGAGACGAGGGCTTTCCCCAGAAAACCAGCGTTGAATGTAATGAAACGCTATTTTCTGGGTGAGACCTGGAGGCTTCCCAGCAACCCTCCTTCTTCCCGATCAGCGTTTTTTCACGTGTTTTGACATTTAGCCTCACACTGTGGTGTGAATAGCCGGCATGGGGGGGGGGGGAGTTCTGTGGGCTCCCCCTTCCCACTCCGGTGGAGGGGGGGGGAAAGAGCAGTGCAGACAAGCGGTGTGGCACGTGTGACATCATGCTCATTTGCTCGTTTTCAATTGGGGAGTTTTGTCCACTCGTTAGTTTTCAGTAGTAGTTTTAACCAGAATAGGGGTTTGATTTGAGGCGCTTACCTTTCTGGGTACCTGGCCTGGTTGATAGCAGACACGGAATGCTCCAAATCACATGCACTTCTATAGGCCATTGCCCCACCCCCCCTCCTGAGAGGGGCCGGATTCTAGCTTGTGATCCCCAGCAGGCCTAGAACTTCATTCACACTGATGCCAAAGTCTAATAATATACATATCAGCCTGGATTGCTCCTGGGAGCCTCCAGGTCTCACCCAGAAAGTGGTATTTCATTACATTCAACGCTGGGTTTTTTTACACGTACATGTTCAGGGAAGGAAATTTAACAATTTACAATGAAAAAAAATTGGGAACACTTTATTTTTATTGCACAGCCAGAATGTCACAATAAATGTGGCACATTACAGAGGTTAAGAATTACATTGTGGCAAAATACCAATTTAAACTATTGCACGGCCATATGCGGAAGAAAAGAATGGTATTAGACCATGTGATTAGACTGTAGGGACAGAGAGGAACACTTGGAGAATGACTAAGAAGTGTGTGAAGAACCCAACTACATTTTCTAGGAGCCATAAAGATTCTACAGGAAAGAGATGGTTGGGTGGCCCATTTCTATCTGGCCCCAAACAAGGTATTTGACAGTCCCACACAAGTAGTTGTTATGGAAACGAACATGCTGGACGGGTGACATGGATGAAATATTGTCTAACTGACAGAAAGATGAAGGGAGTAATCAGAGGTAAAGTATCTGACTGGAGAAGATGCAAGATGTAAGACCTGGCGAACAGCTAGAAGCCGGAGTCAGGCATCAATTACCTCACCCTACGCTTCGCCACTCCCTACGATTAAGGGGGTTAGGTGAATCGTAGAGTGAGGTGTACCCAAACTTATAAATGTTTTGATTTTTCCTTGTGAGCGGGGGAGACATCTCCCGTCCACGAGGCTAACCATAGCCCGTGCTTCTTGCCCCGCTCCTGTGCCAGGTAAGTTACGGGCTCACCATAGCCCGTGCTACTTGGAACTTTTTGTTCCTAGAAGCTGAATCTTAAATAACAACAACCTTGTGAGCTCTGTATACCTGTATTCACCTAGTTGAACTCAGCTAGTTGTACTTACCTAGTTGTGCTTGCGGGGGTTGAGCTTTGGCTCTTTGGTCCCGCCTCTCAACCTGTTAACCAACTGGTGTACAGATTCTTGAGCCTGCTGGGCTCTATCAAATCTGCATTTGAAACTGTGTATGGAGTCTGCCTCCACCACATCACTGCATAATGCATTCCATTTGTTAACTACTGTATTCTGACTGAAAAAATTCTTTCTAATGTGTCTGTGGCTCATTTGGGTACTAAGTTTCCATCTGTGTCCCATTGTTTGTGTTTCACCCATGCTAAAGAGTTTGTCTTTGTCCATCCCTGTCAATTCCCCCTGAGAATTTTGTAGGTGGTTATTGTGTGTCCCCTTACTCTTCTGTTTTCCAGGGACATGAGGTTTAGCTTCCTTAGCCTTTTCTCGTAGCTCATACCTCTCAGTTCTGGGACTAGTCTGGTGGCATACCTGTATCAGTTCATCAGAGTGTACTCCTGAAGATGTCACATTGCTGACAACAGGATGCCTAAAAATTCTACATAATTCTACTGCCAGAGTGTTGTTCTGCCTGACTGTGATCCTTGTCATATGACACCACAGTTCTTAATATAGGGAGCCACCGGGTGTGATATCTCAAAAAGGATATATTTTTACTTTCAGTGATAAAATATTTTGTATTAATTATTGTTGTTTTATTGTTTCAGTTGAGCTAGTCAATAGTCAAGTTCTGCTTAAAGGTTGTGAAACACAGGGTTACGTCATTCTGAGTGCAGCAAAAGCCCAAATTCTTCAACGTATCCATCGCCCCGTCTGGCAAGATCACTCTCTTGTTACCAAGACCACTTGGTTTGGGTCACTGGAGTGCATGCAGTACTATGCTACAGTTAATGCTGGAGATAAGGAGACACAAATGGGTATGATGAATTTCAAAATATATTAATCCATATTTGATTTATAGTTTTGGTATACAGTTTAAATGGAATGTACGTTATTTAATGGCATTCGCCCTCAGACAACATCATGTGGCTGACGGTGGACAACATAGAAGAAAAGGATGGTCAAGTAATAAATGAAGTGGCTGATATTGTTGGGAGTGGCCAGTCAGTTGGTGGTGTTGTGTCACAGACAGTTGGCTCAATGGATGAAAGTGATGATGAGCATCAGGTATGTGAACCCTTACTTTGACCTTCTCTGCTTCACATCACATCCCTCACAGTTTATTAACTCCAAAGTGCAGTCATCAGCATATGATGATTTATGGCAGGTGTCAATGTTTACATTGCATCATCTTTAAACATTGTCATTGCATTTACATTGTATCATATCCAATTATATCCAATTACTCTGCTGTTACATCATGTTAAATTATTATAATTTTGGTTTAATTGCAGCTGCAAAGAATTGTTTCACGTTGTCATTGTGAGTTTTATTATGTGTCATATGGAGAGACTGGCCTTGACTTGTCACTCATGGAAGAAGTTCAGCCACCACTACCAGAAGACGACTTATGGAATCGGAATGTTGAAGCTGTGGACACCTTCACTCTCATGCATCATGACCTGTGTGCTAGTACTAATTCCTTACAGGTGAAGTATTGTTTTAATTTATTGCATTCTCAAAATTAAAAAATATAATAAAACTCAGAGGTTTGAGATTTGTCTTTCCTGGAAAGGCCTTGTCAATAGCTACCTAAACTAAGCATTGGTTTAGCTTTGCTTTATGGAGCTGCATCAGGACTTTGAGACCTATTAATATTTACCACCAGCCACGACCAGCTTCCATCTTGCTGTATGAGGCCAAGCATAAGCACAACTAAACAAGCAACTTTATGAAAATTAAAAACTCTAGAGGTAATGCACCTGACCACTACTTACCTCTCAGTAGTAAGGGGTGGTCAGGTGCATTACCTTCGGATGCTTAAATTTTCCACCCAGGTCAACCATGGCTTCCTCTAGGAGGATAGAAATAGCCTAAGCTACTCCATTCTTTTGAGATGATTTGATTGCCTCAATAAACTTACTTGGACATGAGACACCAGCTCTTCTAGCTAGAGAGAACATCTCCTTTGACAAGGCTCACCCTACTGCTCCTCCCCACCCCTCCCCTTCCCCCTTATCCCGGCTCCCAAGCGTCTGAGGGTTTCGGAGTCGTGGCAGGGTAAGATAAGACTTGTGTGGCTTCGGGGGCTAAAAATGGCCTTTGACAGAGTTCCACATAAAAGGTTGTTCTGGAAACTGGAACATATTGGAGGAGTGACAGGTAGGCTTCTAACATGAATGAAACATTTTCTAACTGACAGAAAAGTGAGGGTAGTAATCAGAGTCTGTGTATCGAACTGGAGAAAAGTCATGAGTGGAGTACCACAGGGTTCAGTTCTTGCACCTATGTAAGTTCAGTTCATTGTCTACATAAATGATCTATCAGATGGAATACAGAATTATATGAACATGTTTGCTGATGATGCCAAGATACTAGTGAAGTTATGAAACTTAGACAGTTGTCATGCACCTCAAGAAGACCTAGAGGAAACAAGTGTATGCAGCATCACTTTGCAAATGGCATTTTATGTGAATAAATGCCATGTTATGGAATGTGGAATGGGAGAACATAGACCATACACGCCCTTCAAATTATATGAGAAATCTTTAAAGAATTCTGATAAAAAAAGAGATCTAGGAGTGGTTCTAGATAGAAAACTATCACCTGAGGATCCACATAAAGAATATTATGCAAGGAGTCTATGCTACACTTTCCGATTTCAGAATTGCTTTTACACACATGGATGGTGAAATACTTTCACGACTTGTTAGACCAAAGCTGGAATATGCAGCGGTTATATGGTGCCCATATCTTAAGAAGTACATCAACAAACTGGAAAGGGTGCAAAGACATGCCACTAAGTGGCTCCCAGAACTTAAGGACGAGCTACGAGGAGAGATTAAAGGCATTAAATATGCCAAAAATTAAAAGATAGAAGAAAAAGAGGTGATATGATCACTACATACTAAATAGTAATGGGAATCGAAAAAATTGATAGGGAAGAATTTCTGAAACCTGGAACTTCAAGAACAAGAGGTCATAGATTTAAACTAACTAAACAAAGCTGCTGAAGAAATATAAGAAAATTAACTTTCACAAACAGAGTGGTAGACGGTTGGAACAAGTTAGGTGAGAAGGTGGTGGAGGCCATAACCGTCAGTAATTTCAAAGTGTTATATGACAAAGAGTGCTGGGAAGACGGGACACCACGAGTGTAGCTCTCATCCTGTAACTACACTTAGGTAATTACAGTCCTTGACAAAAATGAGTTTCCAAATTGGGCTCTTCATTGAGCCAAGAAAGGCCTTTGATACTGTGAACAATAACTATCTCTTACTTAAACATCACCATTATGGAATCCGAGGCCTCGCCTTGAACTAAGAATCCTATCTTAGTGACTGACACCAATGTGTAGCCATCAATGATATAACCTCTCCCACTCTACCATTAACCATAGGAGTGCCACAGGGCACCATCCCAGAACCTCTCCTATCAATGATCTGCCAAATGTCTAACATTCTTAAACCTATTGTGACGTGAACTGGGATAGCGCAGTTACTATCCTGGCAGGTGTTGTGCCAATCGCATATTAATAAAAAAAAATTAAAGCTTTTTACAGTGTACAAATTGCAAGTGAAAAAACAAGAGAATAAACACTTTAAAATATTTAATTTAACAGACTTAAACAAAATTTACTTTAATCACTGTGATGAGCCAAGTTTATTGTAATTACCTAAGTGTAAATACCTAAGTGTAGTTACAGGATGAGAGCTACGCTCGTGGTGTCCCGTCTACCCAGCACTCTTTGTCATATAATGCTTTGAAACCACTAACAGTTTTGGCCCCCACCACCTTCTCACCTAACTTGTTCCAACCGTCTACCACTCTGAACAAATCCACAAGGGCCGTGACGAGGATTCGAACCTGCGTCCAGGAGCATCCCAGACACTGCCTTAATCGACTGAGCTACGACAGGGTTAAAAGTGTTGAAACCGAAGTTCTACTGAACTTACTGGATCCCGTAGCCTCTCCGAGGCACAAACCAGGCTTTTACACAACCCCCCCTGCACCCGAGCTATGTCAATAGGCCGTTCTCCCTCTTCGCCCTTACATCATCACACACAGAAATCACACTAACGGCCTGCTCAAAGGGACAGAGCAACCCTCAACTTGCACAAAACAGGAGGGGACGCAAGGGTCTCCACAATCGGACCCGAGAGCCCCCGGGGGTTTCCCAGGGCCCCTAGACTGGGTCTGCTAAGGGTTATCCCAGGTAGGGCACTGCTAACCGTCGCCCCAAACTACCAAGCAAACTGCTAACAAATATAACAGAAAAACCACACAAGTGGACAATGTACCCAGAGGGAACAGAGCCGGCCGCTGTCATAGGTGAAAACTAGCTACGCAGTACCCTGCGCCCCACCAGTGCTATAACTACCACTTACCCCAAGGCAAACAAGGGAGGAAAATTCCTAAACACTCGGGGCGGCCAAACGCCAAGCAGCGAAAAGCCAACAGAGGTAGACCAAGGTGACTTGTGGAAGGCAACCCCAAGCCCCAAGGGCGGTACTTACAGGGCATTCAGGGAAGGTGACCCTAAGCACATGCAGCCCGAGTACCTGAGAATACTACTTCCAGCTCACACGACCACCATAAGAGCAGCACTGCAAACAAGTCACAGCACTGAGACAAGACCGGAGCTGGAGCCACACGACCATGCACTATCCCATCAGCCCAGGAACTGGGCCGGGGATCGCCGGTGCAGGGGTCTGGGGCTCCCCCTTCCCGGGGAGGGGGGAGCTGTGCAGACATGCGGCGCGGCTCGTGTGACGTCATGCTTGTTAGTTCGTTTTCTGGAGGAGTTCTGTCCACTCGTTTGTCGATTTTTGTTGTTAAAAAGAATAGGAGTTTGTTTTGTGGCACTTACTTTTCTGGGTGCCTGTCCCGGTCGATGGCAGATATAGAATGCTCCAAATCACATGTGCAATTCTATGGGCCATTGCTCCCCGTGCCTCTCTGAGGGGACCAGGTTCTGGCTGGTGGTCCCCGGCAGGCCTAGAACTCCACCCACATTGACTGATGCAAAATAGTTAGGGTATCCATATCAGCCATGGATGGCTGATATGGAGGGAGGGATGCCGGGGAGCCTCCGGGACTCCCCAGAAAATGGCATTTCATTACATTCAATGCTGGGTTTTTTTTTTTTTGCCTGCTTTGATGTCCAGCTGAGATGTGGATGGCTGGCACAGGGGTTCTTGGGCTGCCCTTTTCCCCTCCCGTGGAGGGGGAAGCTGCGCAGACAGTGGCGTCATGCTCCTTTGCTCGTTTCTTTTGGGAAGTTCTGTCCATTTGTTCGGCTTTTGGTAGCAATATTTTCACCAGAATAGCCATTTGTTTTGGGAAGCTTACCTTTCTGGGTGCCTGACCCGGTCGATGGCAGACATAGAATGCTTCCAACCACACAGGGGTTTCTATAGGCCATTGTTCCATATGCCTCTTTAAGGGGGTCAAGTTCTGGCTCGTGGTCCTGGTAGGCCCACAGAACTCCATACACATGACTGATGTCAAAGTCTGACATTACCATATCAGCCTGGATAGCTCCGGGAGCCTCCGGGTCTCACCCAGAAAATGGCGTTTCATTACATTCAACTCTGGTTTTTTATTTTTAGTAGTTAAACATTTATGTACTGTATATAGTATAGTGTATATTTATTTTTCCCTCAGTACAATATGGTGGTAGACATACTAAATAACTTGCTACTGTATGTGGACCCAATGAAAAAGGAGGCAACGGAGGCTGTAGCACGAATGAGGTTTCAGCTACAGCTGTATTCCAGAGATGACCAGCGAAAACCTATAATTCGGCTTCAAAACCAAGTCAGGTAAATTAAGTCCAATTTTCTCTTCAGAGTTTAGCAGTTTCTTTTTGATTAATGCATAGAGGATATTATGCTGGATACATTTTATATACATCATTTCTGCAGAAAAAATGACAAGGAATATTGTAAAAATAGGTTACTGTATATATATATATACAGAGCACCACTTGGTTTCCACACTTCAGTTATCCGAAAGTTCCAGTTTCCCAATTGGGGTTGGTGAGTCACGCTACACGAACCAAGTTCAGGTGAGGAAGCGGGGTGGTGGATGGATGGATTGGTGGGTGGGAGTTGGTCCAGTTTACTCACTGACCCTGTCGGGCACCACCACTCTAGAGGGCCTTCTACCCTGTGACTTCACAGATTCATAGCCTATTGTTCCCATTGTTTTGATATATCACGAGGCTGGAGTGTTCATTCTGTGACTTTGTTTTACATATCTGCACAATGAAGGAACATCTGTGCACCATGTCCGCTCCAAATGTATGCATTGTATCAGTGATGGCTGACTGGTGGATGGGTGGGTGGGTGGATGGGGGATCTTAGGTGGGAGGCAGTATATGAGAGAGGGAGGGAGGGAGGCAGGCAGTGAGGGAGAGATGCTAGGAAGTAGGCTGGAACCTGTCCCCTTCAGCCCACATCAAGAGGATAACATCAGCGGCATATGCCAGGCTGGCCAACATACAAATGGCATTCAGAAACTTGTGTAAAGAATCATTCAGAACTTTTATACCACATATGTCAGGCCAATCCTGGAGTATGCAGCCCCAGCATGGAGTCCATATGCTCAAGGATAAGACTAAACTGGAAAAGGTTCAAAGGTTTGCCATCAGACTAGTACCCGAGCTGAGAGGAATGAGCTTCGAGGAGAGACTACGGGAATTAAACCTCACTTCGCTGGAAGACAGAAGAGTTAGGGGGGGACATGATCACCACATTCAAGATTCTGAAGGGAATTGATAGGGTAGATAAAGACAGGCTATTTAACACAAGGGGCACACGCACAAGGGGACACAGGTGGAAACTGAGTGCCCAAATGAGCCATAGAGATATTAGAAAGAACTTTTTTAGTGGTTGACAAATGGAATGCATTAGGAAGTGATGTGGTGGAGGCTGAGGTAGATATGATACAGCCCAATAGGCTCGGGAATCTGTACACCTGTTGATTGACGGTTGAGAGGCGGGACCAAAGAGCCAGAGCTCAACCCCCGCAAACACAACTAGGTGAGTACATAATATATATGTATATATGTGTATGTATACTTTTTCTTTCGGAAGGGGCTCTGTTCCCTTCTCTATTGATGGGGTGCTGGGGAAGCAGCTTGCTCTGTTGCCTCTCGCATGGTCCCACAGTTAGTGGGCGATTTTGGTTGTCTTCCAGCCTCTGATGGTGGCGGCGGACGGCTTCTTCCCCTTTGGGGGAATCATGGCAGGCGGGGTGGTCTTCTTCCCTTGAGCTTCATCATGTCATCATAGTGGGTGCGTTGGACGTGGTCGATCCGCCCCATCCTTCTGGGGTTCCCGTCTGCTCTGTGCAGGCACAGGCCTGGCGAATCTGCGGTTCTTCTGGACTTCTTCAGTCTGCGCCCTGGATTCTATGCCCTCATCAGAGGACTGTTGTCTTCTGTCCGGCTTCTGTTGGGGACGGGTGCCTGGATGGTGGCCCTGGACCTCCAGGTCAATTCTTGGCACGTTCCTCTCCAGTTTTCCGGGACTGGCACAGTTGGTGGTGGGGCTTCAGGCTTGCCGCTTTTGTTGTCTTCCCTATTTTGTAATTGGCACTTGGTGTATTTACGCATCTTTACCGGATCTTGGTGCCCTATCTGAGTCTGCTTGGGATTCGGTGTCTGGCCTACCTCGACGACTGGCTGGTGTGGGCTCCCAGTCGGTCCACTTGTCTGCTCGCCAGGGGTGTGGTTCTTTCCAGATCGTCAGGTTTGGTTTCCTGGTAATCTGGAGGCCGTTCCATCTGTTTCCGTCCCGGGTTCGGACCTGGCTGGGTCTTGTTTTGGGCTCTTGGGCTGCTCCTTGTCTTTCCCTCCAGAAGTGTTGCTGCGGCCATGGTCCCGCCTTCGGCTGTTCATGAGGGGGATCCCGGGTTGTTCGAGCAGTTGTGTGGGAGTCTGAACTTTGACGTGCTGGTCTGCCCGCGGGGTCGGGTTTGGCTTTGGCGTCTGTTTGGTTCCTTCGGAGACTTCCCTTCTGCCTCTCTTGCAATCGTTGGGTTCGTTCCTCTGGTGATCTTGTGTTGGTGAGTCACCAGCTTCCTCTTTGGGGTTTTCGGGGTTCCGTGCCTTGGCACCTTCCCGAGCCTTCGCTCAATGTGTTCACGGACTGGTCATCTCTCGGCTGGGGATTTGTGACCAGTGCTCACCAGGTTGGCCGGGGATGGTGGGGTCTGTCCGTCCGTTGGGCTCACAGCACGGTTCGGGAGTTCGTGGCTGTCTGGTTTGCACTTCGGAGGGTTCGGGTCACACGGTGCTCTACCATTCATCTCCATTCGGACTGTTCTCTAGCAGTTCTTTGCTGGAACCACAGGGTTTCTCTTAGGTGTTTGACCTTTGGGGTGGGTCCCTTAGAGTGGCTCGTTTTCTGGATTCTTGGGGTTTGGCTAACCATGAGGTTCATGTCCGGGGTGTGTCCTGTGTCCTGGCGGACAACTGTTTCGGTTCGTTCCTCTGTTCTTGGTTTGGCCAGTCGTCACCAACTCGTTTCGTTGGCTCTGCTGGACGTATGAACTCCTGGCCATGGACGTCTTTGAGTCGGCGTGGTCTAGGCGTCGCCCATTCTATGTGGCGCCCTTAGCCGCATACGACGCGTTCATGGTGGATGCCTTTTGGCAGGACTGGTCGAGGTGGGGGTACCTGTTCCTCTTCTCCCGGTCCAGCTGTTGCTTCGGGTTTTGCTCAGTTGGAGCCCATTCCCTCGAGAGTAGTTCTTATGGTCCCTTGGTGGCCGGCCCAGCTTTATTTTCAGACGCTGCTTGATAGGTGTCCGAACGCGGGGTCTTTCTGCGGCTCCGCCTCTTTCAGCAGGTCGGACTGGTCTTGTATGTGACTGGTTCGGCCTTCTCCTCGGCTCTTCGCGTCTCGTAATTTGACGCGGGTATCATCATCTCTGTGGTGATCAGGTGGCTTTGTTGATGGTGTCCTACCTGCGAGCTTCGTCTCAGCGACAGTTTGATGTTCCTGGTGTTTCTTGCTCTTCGTAGGTTGTCTTCTCTTTTGTATCGGGTTGTCTTGTCCTTTCTTGGGTTTTCAGGACTACAGTTATTTGATGTTTCTTACTGTCGCCTCGTTTTGTGCGGCGCTGGCAGAGCCGTTATGGCTTGCATTCGGGGTGGACGTCACATTTGCCCCGTTCCGTACACTTTCTCATGTTTTGTTTCACCTCCGGCCTGCTCATGCGTCGCCTAAGCCGTCCTGGTCCTTGATCAGGGTGCCTTCTTATCTTCTTCTCAGTTTGTGGTAGCCCCTTCGGTTCAGGTTTCTGCTCTTTGGTACTGGTGGTAGGTTTGTATGTTTGCAGCCTTTCTCCATCCTTCTGGCGACAGTCGAGATGGTTGCTTTCCGGTGGGATCCTTGGGTTATTGATGCTTGATTGGTTCGGCCAGGGGTGCGTCCTGTGTTGTCCGGCTGCGATTTTTTGCCGTTACCTGCATACCGTGTCTGGGGATGCGCTTTGGGTTGATCCGGTTCCCCTCGTTCCGTGTTTCAGGGCCCGGGTCTCCCAGGTCATCCGCAGAGTTTTTTAAGTCTTCCAGTCTGCGGTCTGCCCTTGCGCCCATGCTGTTCGGACGTTTGCAGCTTTCGCTGCTGTGTTGGTGACGTCTAGGGCGCATTTCGGGCGCAGGGATTTGAGGGTTGCACAGGTTCTTGGCCGCCCATTCTTTATATGCGTGTCTGCTCCTGTGCGTTCTTGTTGCCTTGGGTTGCAGGTTGCAGCCTGTTGTCTCGGCTTCGTGTTGCGGAGTTTGTGGCGGCCGCCTCTTGGGTCAGCCCTTTCTTTTCCTTCTTTTTGGGTATAAAGCTCCAGGGAGCTGTAGGGGCTCCCCACAGAAAACTAGCATTGAATGTAATGAAACACCATTTTCTGGGTGAGCCCCGGAGGCTCCCTGGCAACCCTCCCTCCCACCGGTCGGCGGTTTTTTCGCGTTGGTTGAAGCTTAGCTTCCGAACTGATGCTAGGCAGCCGGCGCGGTGAGGTCTGGGGCTCCCCCCTCCCGCTCTCAGGGCGGGGAGGGCTGCGCGGACGATCAGTGCGGCAGTAAAGTGTGATGTAATTACCTAAGTGTAGTTACAGGATGAGAGTTTGCTTGTTTCCTTGAGATTGTAGGGAGTTTCTACTTCTCTGTTCAGTTTTTTGTTTAAGTTTTTTACCATGTGGGGTTTGTTTTGTTATGCCTACCTTTCTGGGTGCCTAACCCCGGTCGATAGCAGATCAGGAAAACCCCAACCACAAGGGGGTTTCCAGGACCATTGCTCCCTGAAACCTCTCTGAAGGGGCCAGGTTCTGGCGCTGGTCCCTGGTAGGTCTGAACTCCTTGGCTAATGTCCGGGTCTAATATAACATACATTAGCCCGATAAGCTCCAGGGAGCCGTAGGGGCTCACCCAGAAAATGGCGTTTCATTACATTCAACGCTGGTTTTTTGAATTATCGTACTATAGCAAAGTATTTTCAGTAGTTTGGCTGTAACTTTAATAGCGGTACATAAATAAACCATGGAGGTAATAATATTTAAATTGTGGTGTGTAAATAGTCACACCTGTAATGTTTGTAAGATAGGATCTGGAAATCTGAGAGGTATGTTCCAGGTATAGGAAGGAATATTTTGTGTAATATCCTAAGTGTAGTTATAGGATTTGAGCTTCGCTTGTGGTGGTCCATGTTCCTAGTACTCTTTGTCATATGACTTTTGTAACTGCTAAAGCTTTGGCATCCACCACCACCTCACCTAACTTGTTCCAACTGTCTAACACTGATTGAAAAATGTGAACTTTCTGATTTTTTTGGCAGCTATGTTTCTGTAGCTTTAATCTATGACCTTGTTTTTGAAGTTCCAGGTTTCAAGAATTCTTCTGTATCAATGTTGTCAATTCCTGTTACTATTTTGTGTGTAGTGATCAGATTGCCACTTTTTCTTTTTTAGTCATGCTTTGGTATAACAATATTTAATACCTCTAGCCTCTCCTTGTAGCTCGTGTTTTTCAATTCTAGAAGTCATTTAATTGTAGGCCTTTGCACTTTTTTCCAGTATACTGATGTGCTTCTTAACATATGGGCACCATACAACTACTGCATATTCCAATTTTGGTTTCACAAAGGATGTAATTCACCATCTGTGTATTTAAAAGGGATTCTGATGTTGGAAAATATAGCATCAGTCCAGAAACTGGAATATACAGCAGTTGTATGGTGCCCATAGCTCAAGGAGCTCATCAACAAACTGGAAAAGGTGCAAAGACATGCAACAAAATGGCTTCCAGAACTGAAAGACAAGAGCTATGAGGAGAGGCTAGAGGTGTTCTATATTCTAGTTTTGGCATATTTAAGAAAAAGAGGTGATGTGATCACTACGTACAAAATAATAACAGGCATCAACAACATTGATACAAAAAAATTCATGAACCCTAGAACTTCAAGAACAAGAGGTCATAGATTTAAGTTATTAATAAATAATAAATTTATTAATCATTAATAAAGAATTGGTCTAAGTGGCACTTATACTAAGTATACTTATACTATGTGGCACAAGTACAGTATACTGTAACTGGATCAATATGTTCTTTAGGTATCACCTGTCACAACTACGAAGTTTGGAGAAAGAAGTATACTTGGTTCAGAGACAATTGGATAAGGATCCAAGCAATGAACAAAAGAGAAAAGAGAAACTTGATTTGGAGGAGCAAGTAAGTGTTTAGCAAAGGATTTCCATGTACAATAATTTTGTAACATATGTGTGATAATTGAAAAACAATTATGAGTCTTGGTTTAATGATCCTTTTCTAAATACCAGGTATCAGAGTGCAAAGAACAAGTGAATAGTCTTAGTGAAGAGTTGGCCATGAGAATTCACTGCTACAATGAGAACCAACTCTCAGCAAATCATAAATGGATGGCTTTGGGTGGTGATAAACAGGTTCAGTATTTAAAATGCACATTAGGTTTTGTGTTTTATTTTTTTTTTCTCATTTGCTAAATGACTATGACTAGAGTACTATACTGTAGTACAACTTATTTAAATAGTGTTGTATCTGTTATAGGTTAAGGTGATACGCATGAATGAGGTATGCTTCAGGAAGGCACAGTGGCGACTGACAGAGGCAGATGGCCAGCTGGGGATTGCTGACTTGGTTTTATCTAATTTCCTGTAAGTTGGAATGCTTAAAACTGTTGCTCACAATAATATGCATGCTATGGGCTTGTAATTATATTTGTATTTATGTGTTACTTTATTCAGATGTTCCCTAAGGCAAGATTTGTTTTGGTATATTATGTTATTGATAGTGTTGGGTGACATTCTGCATGAGTACAACAAGGATTCTTTAAAATGCCCTGTATTTTAAATGCTCTTTGGTCTTGCATCTCAAACATCAATTGACTGGCGTATACGTTTTTGAGCCTTTTGAGCTCTCATATTTACTGTACATTCAAAGCTGTGTTGGGAGTCTACCTCCAGCAATTCACTTTTTAGTACATTCCATTTATAATTTTTTCTAATGTCTGTGTGTGTGAGGGTATAATTTTCTGCAATGATTGCAACTGCATGCAACAGTTCCAATTCCAGTGGAGGTCGGTCTGCAGGCATTTAATGTCAGTTAGCAGACATGTGCAAGAGCAACCGCCAAGATTTGCTGTATCTATAGGTGGATACAGGTGTCGTACAACACCAATCTCCAGACGAGCATGCAGGTATCACTTGTCATCAGCCTTGCTCCTTTCTGTAAACACAATTCTATAGAAATGACTACAAGGGGGTTCTCACACCAGGTATATTATTTAGTGTTAGTAGGCTATGAGGTCTCAATACCTGGAGCTGGTACCCGATAATGAAGCTGAACAAGTGGGGGTGTGGGAAATTTACTTGTGGGAATATTTATTTATTAAATTTATTTAAATTAATTCATGATTCTAGTTAATGGTAATATATTGTTTATTTCTTGGAAAGTAGTGGACTATTTTCTTAATTCCTTGCAAATAAACTCTTTACAAGCTTGGAGTTTTTTTTATATAATAATTAAATCACTAAATTATGCATGCTATGCCATTAGCCGTCCCCTTGGCGTAGTGGTAAGATGCTCGCCTGGTGTTTCACGAGTGCTATGGCCTGGGTTCGTATCCTGGCTTGGGAGGATATACTGGGTGCCAATCCTTAACTGTAGCCTCTGTTCACCCAACAGTGAATGGGGTACCTGGTTGTTAAACGATTTGACGGGTCTTATTCTGGGGAATATTAGTATTAAAGACTAGCCCAAAACGCTATGCATGCTAGTGGCTGTACAAGAATGTAAGAACTCTTGTGCAGTACTGTATATAAATAAATAAAACTAAAATAAATCAGTAGTAAATTAATTCAGGTTATTGGTTACAATTTATAAATAATTTATTTGAAAACTGGAATAAGCATCAACTTTCCTAATTAGATGCAGAAGCTCTCGTCTGAACATGTCTGAGTCGTGTGGGCCTGGTCTCCTTCCTTGTGGACACTCTGGATTATGGCGTTGTTTCTCTGGACGCCGCATGTCTCAGGTTGAGGGGGACACGATACTCACAGTTTAACGTTGTCCAGACTTCTGCCTGCCAAATATTTACATTATAGAGTTGCACACTGACTTTATTATTTTAACTAGCTTTACCCGGCCACAGCAACCCTCCCCTGTCCCCCTGTCCTCCCCACCAATCCTCCCCTTCCCCCATCCCCTCGTCCTCCCCACCATCCCCCCCTTCCCCATACTCCCTCATCTTCCCCACCATCCCCCACTTCCCTGTCCCTTTGTCCTCCCCACCATTTTCCACTCCCCATCCCCTCGTCCTCCCCACCATACCCCACTCCCCCATTCCCCCTCGTCCTCCCCACTACCCTGTCCCCTCGTCCTCCCCACCATTCCCCACTCCCTCGTCTGATGTGTTTCCAAATGATCTGATGTTCCCATCAGAAAAATGGGAATATCAAATGATCTGATGTTCCCATCACTGAAAAATAAGAACAGTTATAAAAGCAAAATGAAAACAATGAAAAATTGAAAAAATAAACTATACTCAGAGAATGAACGGTATGGTAAACAACACAGCTCAATTCCTATGCAATGTCACACAAAATAATTAAATACAAATGAAAATATATACCGAAATCTATGAAAATTCAATTTACCAATGCAATCGGAAACAATGAAATGGAATCTAACATATTTAGTTTAGCCTTTGTTGTTTTTATGTGCAACAGATGACACTGTTTAAAAAAAAAAAAGTTTTTGCCTGTCACAGGTGTAGCATCTATATACAGTGTGTCCTCACTTGAACAAACTATATGGGGCGAAGCCGATTCGTTACAGTGCGGAACTCGTTCCATCCGTCCGGTCCCAATAACCTTCTTAAAAAGAAATTAATACATATACCAGGACACATTTGCATTAGGAAAAATTGCACCCGACTCACGAAGGAAGTCCTTGCTAGTGCTGGCTGCAGGTCCCGTAGGCCTACTGTGTAACCTTACCAAAAACTTTTGAATCATAATTCGTTTCTTCGTTGTGCGCTGCTTCATTACAATATCTTTCATGCCCTTTAGGTGTTGATAATAACTTGCCAGCTCTTCATCATCAGTCACTTCTCTGGCACCATCCCCCACCACTGACACGATATCTCACCACTGACAACACCATCTCCCCCACCACTGACAACACCATCTCCCCCACCACTGACAACACCATCTCCCCCACCACTGACAACACCATCTCCCCCACCACTGACAACACCATCTCCCCCACCACTGACAACACCATCTCCCACACCACTGACAACACCATCTCCCACACCACTGACAACACCATCTCCCCCACCACTGACAACACCATCCCCCACCACTGACACCACCATCCCCCACCACTGACACCACCATCCCCCATCACTGACACCACCATTCCCCATCACTGACACCATCCCCCATCACTGACACCATCCCCCATCACTGACACCATCCCCAATCACTGACCATACAGCAGCGTATCGAAATGTAGCTCTGAGCACCATCCTTGCCCACCTATGCTATGCAATCTCCAAATTTAGATGATACATAGATGAATCATTTTCTGCATTCAGTGATGATGCATCTGGTACAAGTAGCATAGATGAACAGTGTTAGCAGCTTCCATGGTGGTGTTTTCCATAGATATTTTCAAGAATACCTGAATCTCTTCTTGACTGACAGACACTCTTTAAGGCTGGCAGAATCTTTTCCAGTGTGGGACCTTACAAAGTGATCTTTCCCAACTACCTTACAAATTGATCTTCTCCTGTAATCTTTTCAAGACTACCTTACATTTTACAAGCTTGGCTACATACGACCTACAGGTACTAATGCCATGGGTGTACGTGAGTGCGTTATTTGCAAGCACACAAAACTAAGAAACAGGAAGCGAAAATCTATCTGTACCTGGTGCAACGAGAGCAAGGTCGCGCTGTGTACCACGGACAACTTCGTTGATTATTACTCACTTCTGAAGTTCTGAAGTATTGAGAGTGTAATACAGTGTGTTATTGTGTAAATAGTGTGTGAAACTGTACATATTGTAATTTTAGTGAATTTTTAACTAGTAATATTGCAACAATAAACCATTGTTGTGGAGACATTACTGACACATGTATCACAGTTCCATGGAACATTATGAACGTTCTACTGTATACATATTGTAAAGGTCACACATGCATCATATACGATAAAAAAAAAAACAAATAAAATCTCATTGGAAATACATAGAACAAATAATTGAAAATATATTTGTGGCAACACCCGGTGCTTGAATGGCCCGTGCGACAGTGTTTGGGCGAGTCATGCACGGGCGACCAGGCCCTAATGACGTCACAGCGCACCTTGTCCACGTCCCCACAACCAAAGTAAGTGGAATTTGGTATTTATTTTTACATAGACATATTCAGGGAAGGGAATTTATCATTTTACGAAGAAAAAATTATTTTTTGGGAACACTTTATTTCATGCGCACAGGGGGAATTGCACAATAAATTCTGCACAGCATAGTGGTTAAGTCTAGCCAGCCTGCGGTCTATCCTTGCGCCCGTGACGTTCGGACGTTTTGCAGCTTTGGCTGCCGTGTTTGGTAACATATATTGGGCTTATATTCGGGTGCAGGGATTTTGGATGTCGCTCAGGGTCCTGGCCACCCGTTATTTGGTGAGCGTATCTGCTCCGAAGCGTTCTTGTGTTGCTTTGGGTCACAGGTTGCAGCCTGTTGTCGGGACTTTGCTTTGAGGAGTCTGTGGTGGCCATCTCCCGAGTCAGTCCCTCTCTTTTCCTTCTCTTTGTTTAGGAAGCTCCAGGGAGCTGTAGGGGCTTCCCTCAGAAAACCAGCGTTGAATGTAATAAATGCCATTTTCTGGGTGAGCCCTGGAGGCTCCCTGGCAACCCTCTCTCCCACTGGTCGGCACTTTTTTTGCGTTGGTTGAATCTTGGCTTCCGAATTGGAGTGCTCTGCAGCCAGTGCTAGAGGTCCGGGGCCTCCACCTCCCCCTATCAGTGAGGGAAGGGTTGTGCGATGAGCGGCGCGGCAGTAGTGTGTTACGTTTGCTTGTTTTCTTGGAATGGAAGGGAGTTCTACCTCTCTGTTAGGTTTTTGTTGTTAGTTTCTTTCCATGTGGAGGTTTGTTTTGTTATGCCTACCTTTCTGGGTGCCTAATCCCAGTTGATGGCAGATAAGAAAAACCCATAACCACAAGGGGGTTTCTCCTGGAACCTCTCTGAAGGGGCCAGGTTCTGGCTCATGGTCCCTGGTAGGTCTGAACTCCATAGCTAATGTCCTGGTCTGATATAAAATACATTAGCCCGATAAGCTCAAGGGAGCCTCCGGGGCTCGCCCAGAAAATGGCGTTTCATTACATTCAAAGCTTGTTTTTTTTTAGTTTCTTGTGATCAGAGACTGCATTTTAACAATACTGTATTAGAAAATAAAATAATTTTTGGGAGAGAATTTATTTCCTGCACACCAGGGGGTTGCCATATTTGGAGGCAGAGCAGTTCAATTGTTAATGTGGGGCTGTTGGAGGGCAGTGTTATTTGTATATCTTAGTAATTTCTCACTACCACAACAGATATACTAAGAAGACCAATGCAGATGACAGTGGGGAGCATCTACTGGAGCTAGGCTTTGTAACTATGCGAAATCTTTTGCCAAACCAGCCTTATCAAGAGGTACTAATGCCAGCTGAGCTGCAGCTGAATATGCCAGTTGATCGACAGGTTGGTTTAGCATTATCATATTATCTCCTAATAGTATATCATGAAATTCTTCAAATATTAAAATGATGAATAATGACAGATAACTCATCCTTTGGGATAATAACAATCACCTGTGGGACCAATTTTTTTTTATCATATGAATTTGACCAAGTTATGACTATTATCAAACAAGTTGCTGTTGATGGAAAACATTTGAGTTAATACTCGTATTTCAATGTTTGTAATATTTTTCCTGCTTGCAGTGGTTTATTTGGGCGTTTGTATATAAATGTCATATATAAAATATCTATCAGTTAAATCATCTTAAAAGAATTTATTAATGACAGATATTAATTAATGTATTCACTTTATCGATTTTATGCAGAGAACACTAAGAATATTTTGTCGTGAAAAGCCCCCGTGTGGAGGGATCTCAATTATAGAACATTTTGAAATCAATGTAGTTCCCCTGAACATTGGTAAGTAATTTCCATATTAAAAAAATAGTTTCCTCATCTAGTATGCTTTATTTTTGCAATTTTAGTGCCTGAATAGATAAATCATCACTGTGCAGTATATACTTTCATCTTATTTCTCAGTTCCTTATATTGCCTGTTTTATCATAAACCTTTGTGCTACCTCACTTTTGATTTAGTTCTTCAGCTTTCTCATGCACTTTCTGCAGGGAGCCCCCAGAGGCTAACAGAAGCTATCCGAACTGATGGGTGCTATATTAGTTTGGGGTCATCAGTCACTGGAGTCCTAATGCCTACCATGGACCACGAGCCAAAACCTGGTTCCCTCAGAGAGGTGCAGGGAGTAATAGCCTATGAACACTTTACATTTAAAGTATATCATAATTGCCACTGACTGGGGACAGACCCAGAAAGGTAGGGAAATAAAAACAGACCATTGTCTGGTTAACCTGTGCAGTCTATATCCAAGAAGATCAAACCAACTCCCCTAGAAAGAAACCAAACAAGCAACCCTTCATGCGGCTAGCACATTCACTTGTTGGCATACACCCCTATATTAGCCTGTATAACCCACCACTGTTAGTCACCTCTGCCCTCAAGTTCCTGTTTTGGATTTTGCTCTGTGTGGCTGTACCAGCTGTGTGTGTGGTGTGGTGGCCAGGTGTCTTATTGTACACGGAGCTGCATGCGCCTAGGGTGAACTTCCCTAGGTCCCACGATTCGTGGGTGTTTCGGGTCGTGTCTTCCAGTCTGTGGTGGCATTGGGTGGCTCCTCCTCCTCAGGGAATCAGGTCTGGCGGGGCAGGCTCCTTCCCCTTCACTCCATCAGGTCATCTTGGAGTGGGTGCACTTGGGCGTGATCAAAACGACTTTGTCCCTCAAGTGGGTTTCTCACTTGTTTCCAGTGCTGAAACAGGACTGTGCGGATCTTCAGTTCATTCTGGACTTGACCCGTCTGAACTGCTGGATTTCTTGCCCCTCCTTTCGGATGACCACTCTGTCCCAGGTCTGGCTTCTCTTGGAACAGGGTTTTTGGATGGTGTTTCTGGACCTCCGGGATGCGTATTGGCACGTACCTATTCATCCGGGATTCAGCAACTGGGTAAGTTTTGTGGCGGGGCAGCAAGTTTACCACTTTCGTTGCCTTCCATTCGGGCTGAATCTGGCACCTCACGTTTTCATGCATCTTACCCAGGTCGTGGTGGCCCGTCTGCATCTGCTAGGTGTTTGGGTATTGGCCTCCCTCGACGACTAGTTGGTGTGGGTTCACAGCCAGTCTGCTTCTCTGCTCACCAGGGGTTTGGTTCTTTCCCAGCTCGCTGAGTTCGGGTTCCTGGCGAACTGGAGGAAGTCCCATTTGGTTCCGCCCCAGGTTTGGGATTCTCAGACGGTGTCCGTGCCTCTCCTTCCTGCAGCGTAGCTCTGGCTACAATCCTGCCTTCGGGTATTCCTGAGGGGGTCCCGCGTGATTCGGCAGTTGCTCGAGCAGCTGTGCGTGAGTATGAACTTTGCTATGCTGGTTTACCCGCTGGGTCGAGTTTGGTTTCGGCGTCTGTTCTGGTTTCTTCGTGGCCGCTGGTTCCTTCCATCGCTCTCACGATCGCTGGGTTTGTCCTCCAGGGGCCCTTGCATTGGTTGCTTCGTCTCCAGCTTCCTCTTTGGGTTTTTTGGGGTTCAGTGCCTTGGCGTCTGAACCCTGGACATGTCTGGCTTTCTAGATGGGTTCCGTGAACACATCCAGAACCCTCACTCACTGTGTTCACGGAGGCCTCGTCTCTCGGCTGGGGCTTTGTGACCAGTACTCACCAAGCCGAACAGGGTGGGCTCCGTCGGGCTCATAGCACAGTGCGACTTTTGCTGCAACTGATTCGGTTGACTAATGCCCCAGACTAATATATTGCATATTAGTCCAATAGCTCCAGGGAGCCTCCGGGGCTCACCCAGAAAATGGCATTTCATTTCATTCCTCTTTTTTTTTAACTATGTTAATTTGACAAATATTTTTAGACAGTATCATACATTTCAGCCCTAACGTACCAGTTCTTCAAGACAATGATGAAGTTCTGTTTCCCCGATAATGCTACAGAAGAAGAATTTTCTGGTGGGGACATTACAACAAGTAGGTTCTCACAATTGATTGTCTTTGTATTTCCTGGAAGTTTCTCTTTTAACTATTTAACTTACTATTGTATCTTAAATAACAATTAAAAGGCACTAGTTGTTTCTAAATACATATTCACTTTACCCGATTGATCTTTTATTGAGTTGGGGATTTCAGCTCAATGAAACAATACAAGTAATCTAGTAATAAAAGAATATGAATATTAACCCTTTAACTGCGCCGCCTCCAAATATGACACCCCCCCCCCCCCAGTGTGCAGGAAATAAATTCTCTTGAAAAAATTCTTTTGTTTTTCTGGGGGGAGCCCCTACGGCTCCCCGGAGCTATCCATGGCTGATTTGGATACCCTAACTATTTTGCATCAGTCGATGTGGGTGGAGTTCTATGCCTACTGGGGACCACGAGCCAGAACCTGGCCCCCTCAGAGAGGCACGGGGAGCAATGGCCCATAGAAATGCACATGTGATTTGGAGCATTCTATATCTGCCATCGACCGGGACAGGCACCCAGAAAGGTAAGCGCCACAAAACAAACCCCTATTCTGGTTAACAACAAAATCGACAAACGAGTGGACAGAACTCCCCCAGGAAAACGAACTAACAAGCATGACGTCACACGAGCCGCACTGCATGTCTGCGCAGCTCCCCCCTCCCCGGGAGGGGGAAGGGGGAGCCCCAGACCCCCGCGCCGGCGATCCCCGCCCACACAATAATTGACCACAAGTTTATTTTGAAAAGGAACCTAAAAAGTTGTTTGAAGGTTCCTAGATGGACGAAATAATGCTGTGGTGCTGTGGCTAGCGCTGTGAACATCGTGAACAGCATTGAATCACTGATATTTGAACATTGTACCCAGTCATTATCACACTCAGGCTCTTCTATCATACGATCATGGCTAAATAATACAGATAACAGTATATATATATTTTGACATTATTAGGCGATGCTGTGGTCACAAGCTGAACAGCAGTGCTGTGCGCTCATGCTGTGAGCGCCAGCCTTGGTTGCTCGCTCACTACTGAGGCTCTCACACCCGGGAATGTGGACCACAATTTTTTTAAAGATGGTGTCTGTTTACAAGAGCCCTGAGGAACCTGATGTGAACCCCATGTAGCCGCGGGAGTTTTGAATGGAACGTGAAATATACAAATGCCCCGAGGCGCATAGCGCAACCCAGACGTGGGCCTGCAGGCTCGTTGTGCAGTTAAAGGGTTAAATAATTAAGCTAAAAATATCATTCATCTATTCATTATGTAACTTACAATACCATATAAAGGATCACAGATACACAAGCTATAGCTTGGTGCTGACTGGCTGTAACAGAAAAAAGGAAGAAAGATAGAATACAGCAAGATAGTGGACCCAATCATACTGGTGAGGAAAGAGATAAGAAAAATACAAGTGTGTTATAGAAATAAGTTGTATAAAAGCTCGCTAAATAAATGAAGATGACATTGCAAATAAAGGAGTAGAACTGCAAGAATGGATGGCAGAAGTGCATCTTCATATCATCGCAGCTATGAAAACAAAACTGAAAAGTGTTAAAAGTGATTCGATATTCCCATGAGGATACTACATTTGGATGGAACTGGTTTTTGTCAGGCTTGCCCAAGTCTTAAAGGTATGGCATGATCAGAAGGCTTAGCTTAAGTTTAGGGGAGCTATTGAGGAACTGTTTAGAAGTGGGAATGTCATTACATTCAATACTGGATATTTGGGGGGGCTACTATACAATACAATACAGTATTTACCTTTTGATGACTGTCTTTCTTGTCACCTTCTTTTTGTATTCCATTAGATCAAAATACTCGAGGCAGCAAGAAGCAGGCATCTCTTAGGAAATCCCACAAGGAATCTAGCTTCTATGTGTCTCTGCAAGATAAGGATGATGTTGAAATTATGAAGGTAATTGTTATATAATGTAATTCATTCCAGTTAAATGTAAAATATATGCAGCAGTTCTTTCATGTTTGCATAAGTCTACTGTTCATTTAGAAAAGGCCTTGGAAAATAAAAATGCAGAGAACATGGCCTCCATGTATTCAAATGTGTAATGCAGTGCTGCATTTGTTAGATGTTCTCTCATCTATATAGAATTTTCTTCAGTAGAAGGCTAGTAACATTATCAATCTATAGTACAGTGATGGAACCAAAGAAATAACTAATTAGGTTTATAAATGTAGTATCATGTGCTGAAATAGTTGTGGAATAAAAACTTACAGGATACATGTTAAAATAGGCATTGGATGAGTCACAATAACGTGGGTGAAGATATGATGACCAGACCACACACCAGAAGATGAGGAGACGACAACGTTTCGATCTGTCCTGGACCATTATCAAGTTGATTATGTATCAGACAATTGACTTGATGATGGTCTAGGACGGATCAACATATTGTCGTTTCGATGGAACAAGGGACCATGAACCAGAACCCTGGGGCCCCTCAAAGATGCACAGGGAGCGATGCCCTGTGAACACTTTACATTTGAAGTTTATCATCTTTGCCACCATCCAAGGGAAGGCACCTAGAAAGATAGGCTAATAAAAATAGACTACTGCATGGTTTAAACAAGACTGCAGCCCAAAAAATGCCAAAAGAACACCCACTACAATGAAACCAAACAACGGAAATTTGGGGAAACTAGTTAGTTTGACCCCACCAACCCCTGTGCCTGGGGGGAGGAAGGAGCTGGCTTGGGTCTGTCGGGCCACCCACAGTTCAGTTCTATACTAATGTCCGTGCGTGATAGTCAATGTCTCTCTGGCTCTGGTTTCCCATTTTCTTTGGTGTTTTTGCCTTTAAGGCTGTGTTTTCTTGGGGGGAGCCCATACAGTTCCCCGGAACTATCCAGCCTGATATGGATACCCCTAATTATTTTGTATCAGTCGATGTGGGTGGAGTTCTAGGCCTACCGGGGACCACGAGCCAGAATCTGGCCCCCTCACAGAGGCATGAGGAGCAATGGCCCATAGAAATGCATATGTGATTTGCAGCATTCTATATCTGCTATCGACCAGGACAGGCACCCAGAAAGGTAAGCGCCACAAAACAAACCCCTATTCTGATTAACAACAAAAATCGAAAAACGAGTGGACAGAACTCCCCAAGAAAAACGAACAAACAAACATGCCGTCTGTCTTCTTCTGTCTTCTAGTTTTGGCATTTTTAATGCCTCTAACCTCTCCTTGTAGCTCTTGTCCTTCAGTTCTGGGAGCCACTTAGTGGCATGTCTTTGCACCTTTTCCAGTTTGTTGATGTGCTTCTTAACATATGGGCACCATACAACCACTGCATATTCCAGCTTTGGTTTAACAAAAGTCGTGAACAATTTCTTTAGTATTTCTCCATCCATCTATTTAAAAACAATTCTGAAGGTATAAACATGTGTCGGTGTTCAGCGCACTTTCTCCCGGGTTATACACTGCTCTCGCTCATCTTCTCTCTCCAGTCATCGCCTCCTGGTTATTGGGGTCGTTCTGGGTTATATGTGGGACCACATCTAGTTATTTCTCTACTTATGGGTGTGGAGGGGGCTTGGTGTGGCGCCTGCTCCACCTCTCCACTTCTCCTCTGCACCTGATCTCCTGCATGAGCATCTCTGGACATGCTTCAATAGCAATGCTCCCAGACTATTACACGGCTACGCTGTGTCATGACCCGATAGTGCTTCTGCTCTACATTGGAGATTATATGGTCTGGTGACTTTGTCAGCTGGGACACTGGACACTTCTTCATTGCCCGTCGTTCAGTGCCTGGCTGCACCCTTACATGTTCCAAACCATAATAATGTCTGACCCACTTAGCAGTTGGGTCGGCCCATATGTTGCATTTCCGCAGTTGTCCCCCAGGTTGACATCGGCGAGCACCTGATTTTCACGTTCAACATTCCCCCTTTAACTTGATGTCCCTATGGCGCGGTGGTACGACACTGCCCTAGCCTAACCTAGCCTAACCTAACCTGCCATTTCCTAAACTTTGTCTTTTTGGTTTAATGAGTTATCAAGATGTTTTCCACAATATTCTTGGGGCGTTCCCCAATTTTGCCTTGGGCGGCCATTGTGGGGGCGCAGAGTGTGGGTTGAACCAGTTGACATTCTGGTCGGTTTTTAACATGGGGTTCGACCATATGTACGTTACATATACACACACACACACATATATGCTTTATATATGTATGGCGTGTATATACGCCTTCTGTACCCCTTCCCTTCTTCCTATGGGTTGGAAGTTATGTTTCCTGCTCTGGGTTTTGGTGCTCATGTAGGATTTGCTTCTCTCATTAGCACTTGAGTTTGGGCGAATGTCTTGGTCTTTCCTCGCTAGATGTCTGTGTATATGGTTCATGTACCTTCTGTGGCCAATTGCTTATACTCTTGTCCATGGCTTCCAGTGCTTGGACTGTCTTTCAGGTCTTTTTGTTGCATTTTTACATCTTCCTACCTCTCTCCTACACATTGTTGTGTTTCTTGGTAGATGTATATTGGCTATTCTCATGCTTGTGCTACATTGGGATATGTTCTTGTTCAGTTTCCTGATGTAGAATAGGCCCAGTGTTCTGGTATAGCTCTGAGTTCTTCCTCTTCTCCTTCTGCCACTACCAGCTAATATGTTGCAATGTCTACTGGTGTGTGGCTTCCGATCACCCACTGCAGACCATACAGTTCCTTTTTGTTGGGGCAGGGGGTGCTTGGCTTCTGGCCCTGGCTACGGCTTTTCTTTGTGTTCCTTTCCGGACAGTGTGTTTTTGTTTTAGTGCAAAACATGTCTTGTCCCTCGGTTTTCGGTCTGTTATGACCATTTCCCTGGGGGTTCTGTCAGGGAGGTTGTGCTTTGCCTTTCTGTGGTGTTTCTCCGCCGGGAAATGTGGTGGTTTGGGCTCCCCCTGGTTTGATTCCGGGTTCCTTTGGGTTTTTTGGTTTCGTTCCGGAGGTTTCTTCTTCTTGGGCCCCCTTTGTGGGTTCAGGGGGCTTTGTTTCCTCGTGTGTGACCTGGTTCTGCCTTCTGGAGTTCCGGGGTCTTCCTGCCTTGCAGACTGATCTTTTTGGGTCTTGGCACATGTTGTGGTCGTGCTGGGACTTTGAGGTTTTGTTGTCGAGGTGGGCCTTTTAATGCAGTTTTGTGCCTTCTTTGCCTGGCTGGCGTGGTGCTCTCTGCCCACTGGTCGTTCCATCTAGTTTCCTGACAGCCTTGGTTCGGGCACTGCTTACTTGGTGTCGGCAACCAGGGGTTTTTCTCACGGCTCCGCCTCTTTCAGATGCCCGGTCCGGTCCGTTACGTGGCTGGTTTGGTCTTCTCCTCGAGTCTTAGCATTTGGTGCTTTTGACTCGAGTCTATCACCATTTGGAGGATGGTCGAGGACCGGGCCACAGGGACACTAAGCCCTGAAATCATCTCAAGATAACCTCAAAATTTGTTTGGTGATCAGGTGGCTTTGTTGATGGTATCCTACTTGCGTGCTTCGTCTCAACGGTGGTATGTGGTTTCCAGGCGGTCCTTCCTCTTTCTTTTTGTCTCTTTGTAGGATCACTGCGCTTTTTCTTGGGGGTGATCTTGTCCTTTCTCTCGTGGTTGTTCAGTACCATCATCTTAAGCCACATACTGTCGCCTTGCCTCGTGCATCGCTGGCTGAGCCACTAAGGCTTGCTTTTGGTTTTGATGTTTCTTCTGCACCATTTTGCAAGCTGTCTCGGGCGTATTTTCACCTCCGGCCGGCTCATGTACCACCTGAGCCGTCCTGGTCTTGGCCTGGGGGCTCCTCTTCTCTTCTCTTCTCTTCCCCTCGCTTTGTTGTGGCTCCTTCGGTTCAGGATTGATTCTCGTAGGTTTCTGTTCCTTTGGTTTCTGGTGTCCGGTTTGTTCGTTTGAATCCGTCTCTTCTTTTTTGGCAAGGTTGGGCTGGCTGTACATCCGTATCAGCTGGATAGCTCCAGGGAGCCTCTGGGTTTCACCCAGAAAATGGCGTTTCATTACATTCATTGCCGTTTTTTTATTTAATTATAAAAATGTACATATAGTTTTATTCATTATTATTTAATGGTTTACCTAATTCCAAGCTTTTCTTTCATCACACAGCAACGTGCAGAACAGAACAAATTGTTTGTTTACATCAAGATTCCGGAACTGCCAGTGCGTGTGAGCTATAAGGGCAAAAAAGAAAAGAACTTGGAAGATGTATCTAACTTCAGATTGGTTGTTCCTACCCTTGAGTATCATAACGTCACATGGACCTGGTTGGACTTTCTCATGGCTATGAAGCAGGACTCCAAGTCAGCTTTGTTATCACAGGTCTCGGCACCATTTCTTATCGTAATTTGTATTCTTAACTTTACACATTTTGTTTTGTCATATACCTGTTATTGTACTATTTCCAGATAGCTGTCTTTCCATAATAGTGTGAAACATGACTTAGAAGCTCAACTTAAAATTTCCCATTTCCGTCAGTCATGCAAGGTGAGATTGAGGAACAATTTTATCCCAAATCAGTCCTTTGCTCTATATTGTGGCACATGGACTTTATAATTCTTCATCTGGAAAGACCTGAGAACAGTATGAATCCATCAACACTTTTGCGGCCTGATGAATGTCGTCCTTTCTTTCTTGGCTTTTTCAGGACCATCATTTGATACCTAATACTGTCGCCTCGTATTGTGCGGCACTGGCGGAGCTGCTCAAGCTAGCGTTCGGGGTGGACGTCACATCCGCCTCGTTTCGTAAGCTTTTCCGTGCTATGTTTCACCTCTGGCCTGCTCATGCGCCTCCTGAGCCATCCTTGCCCTTGGACAGGGTGCTCTCATATCTTTCCACTCCTCGGTTTGTGGTGGCCCCTTCGGTTCCAGATTATTTTTCCAAGGCTTTGTTTTTGTTGGCATTGGCCTCTGGGGGCCGGGTAGGGGAGCTTCATGCTCTCCTCCGGTGCAGGTGTTTCCGCTCTTTTGGTCCTGGGGGGTAGGTTTGTCCGTTTGCAGCCTTCTCCATCTTTTCTGGCGAAGAAGAAGACGGCTGCTTTCCGGAGGGGTCCATGCTTGGTTGGTTCGGCCGGGGGTGCATCATGTGTTGTGTCCAGTTGCAGCACTTTGCCGTTACCTGCGTGCTTCAGCTGGGGGGGCTGGGGATGCGCTTTGGGTTGATCCGGTTTCCCTCGTTCCTTGTTCCAGGGCTCGGGTCTCCCAGGTTGTCCGCAGGGTTATTAAGTCTAGCCAGCCTGCGGTCTATCCTTGTGCCCATGACGTTAGGAAGTTTGCAGCTTTGGCTGCCGTGTTTGGTAACATGTCTTGGGCTCATATTCGGGCGCGTGGATTTTGGAAGTCGAACAGGGTCCTGGTCGCCTGGTACATTCACCAAATCGCCAGGTAATGTACCTGGTCGCCTGGTACATTATAATTTGGTACATTCACCAAATTATTATTTGGTGAATGTACCTGCTCCTTGGTGTTCTTGTGTTGCTTTGGGTCGCAGGTTGCAGCCAGTTGTCTCGACTCCACATTGAGGAGTTTCTGGCCACCGCCTCCCGGGTAAGTCCCTAATTCCTTCTTTTTGGGTATGTAGCTCCAGGGAGCCGTAGGGGCTCCCCACAGAAAACCAGCGTTGAATGTAATGAAATGCCATTTTCTGGGTGAGCCCTGGAGGCTCCCTGGCTACCCTCCCTCCCATCCGGTCGGTGGGGTTTTTCGCGTTGGTTGAAGCCTAGTTTCCAAACTGAAGGCAGCCGGCATGGTGAGGTCCAGACCCCCCCCCCCCTTCCCCCACCAAGGGAGGGCTGCGCGGACGACCAGCGCGGCTGTAAATTGACTGTTTGATTGTTCTTTAGGATTGTATGGAGTTTTCTACCTCTGTTCGGTTTTGGTTGTAGTTTTTACCATGTGGGGCTTGTTTTGTTATGCCTACCTTTCTGGGTGCCTAACCCTGGTCGATAGCAGATAAGGTAAACCCCCAACCATATGGGGTTTTCCAGGGCCATTGCTCCCTGAAACCTCTCTGAAGGGGCCAGGTTCTGGCGCTGGTCCCTGGTAGGTCTGAACTCCATAGCTAGTATCCTGGTCCAATATAACATACATTAGCCCGATAAGCTCCAGGGAGCCTCCGGGGTTCACCCAGAAAATGGCGTTTCATTACATTCAACGCTGGTTTTTTGTCTGACATAAGTGTACATTATATATGAAAACATGCCAGTCTAAATAGCCAGACAAAACATATTTATTAAATTATTTATTCAACAGGCCATCAAGCACAAATTGAATTTGTCACACTTCCGAGCAGACGATGCCTCTATGCCAAATGAAGAAGAAAAAGCCCGTCTACTACTTGGTAGTAAGTTAATGGTGAGTTTCGATAAGCCTTACTCTATGCTACTTTATTTGTAATTTTCAGGTATTTATGAATGTATTTATTTCATACTTATATTCAGCTATTAAAGAATTGGTGTGAACTCACTAGTGTCAACTTACCTGGATCTTACCTAGTGACGGTTCTGGAAGATCTACTCCTCAAGCCTAGCCTGGGCCCAGGCTTGACTTGAGAACTTGGTCCAACAGGCTGTTGCTTGGAATAGTCTGCAGGCCCACATATCCATTACAGCCTAGATGGTCTGGTGGTACTTGCAGAAAATTTTTCAATTTTCTTGAAGACTTTCACTTTTGTTCCAGCAATATTTCTTATACAGTGGAACCTCAGTTTTCATGTGCCCCTGTTTTAGTATTTTTCAGGTTACGAACCCAATTTCGTAATAAAATTTGTATCGAGTTACGAGCTTGCCTCGAGTAACGTAATTTGTTGACACGCGTATGGGCGACCGTGCTTCAGTTTACTAGTGGCTCCCACTTAGTGACAATTGTATTTGAATTCTTTGTAAATAATTATATTGTTTTTCATTTTTTGGGGGTCTTGAACATAAACGTAATTATTATATATCACGCCATGGGTCCCAAAACAAGTCAGTGGTAAGGTTCAATCTAAGAAAACACAAGTGAAGATGACCATAGAGCAAAAACAAGAGATCATTCATAGTGAGACAATGTGATGTCTCACTACAGACAAGTGTTAAAATGTAGGGAAACACAAGTGTCTATAGACAGATTCTTAGTAAGACAAGCAAGCAGTGAGCCTTGTCACATCTGGGAGGGTTTGTAGTCATTTTCTGTCACGCCTGGGGTGTGTGGTCATGAATTTTAAATGTTGTCAAGGGGAGTAGATGATTTTACTTGAGCCAAGGGGAATTCAAGGAGTAGGGAAACCAGCCAAGAACATAAGACAACAATTTATATGTTTAAGACACACTATATAGCATATGGCAATAATTGTACTCCTTACAACTCAAGGTCAATCTGAAGGTAATAACTTGGTTAATAAAACTCCCAAATGGGCTCTGGACACTCTACGGCTCTTAGGGGGCATTATTTATGGAAACTTAAAGTTGTACAATGTCAACCATTATTTTTTGACTAGTTGTATATGAAAAGGGCTGCAATTGTTCTAAGTTTCAGTACTGTAGCCTAAATAGTAAGGGAGATTTTTATTTTTTTTTTTCTGTGGGGAGCCCCTACGGCGCCATGGAGCTTATCGGGCTAATGTATGTTATATTAGACCGGGACATTAGCTAAGGAGTTCAGACCTACCAGGGACCAGCGCCAGAACCTGGCCCCTTCAGAGAGGTTTCAGGGAGCAATGGTCCTGGAAAACCCTCTTGTGGTTGGGGTTTTTCCTTATCTGCCATCGACCGGGGTCAGGCACCCAGAAAGGTAGGCATGACAAAACAAACCCCACATGGTAAAAACCTAAAACAATAAAACAGACAGAGGTAGAAACTCCCCACAATCCCAAGGAAACAAACAAACAAGCAAACATCATAGTTTACTATAGTTAGTTTGCAGAGTTTGTGGCGGCCGCCTCCCGGGTTAGCCCCTTCTTTTCCTCTTCTTTGGGCATGAAGCTCCAGGGAGCCTCCGGGGCTCACCCAGAAAATGGCGTTTCATTATGTTCAACGCTGGTTTTTTAATAAAACTAATTATAATTTGTTTTTAATATATGCTATTGTAATAGCTGAGAGTCATAGACTTGATTTCATTTGACATTTTTCTTTGATAGTCGTTTTTAACCATTTTGGAGAATTTTTGACACACAATTCAATATTTTTTTCTCCCTTCCTATTTATGCTACGATGCTGAGACTTGGACCAGATGAAACCCTTTTCATATACAACTTGTCAAAAAAGTTTGATTTAAATCGAACGAGTTTTCATTTATTGCATATTTTGTGCAAATTTGAAAGTAACGCCCCCTTAGTCTCAAAACTGGAACTGGGCACACAGCCACCACATCTGTCAACCGGTGTCACACGCATATAAGCCACTAGGAAACCTGGACTCTCTCATAAAACAGCTCTCTAGACTGCCTGAGTACTCTAACATATCTTGCAACCCTGTTAAGATAAAACTATGGCTTATCTGACTGCACGGCCGGAGAAAACCCCTCAGTAAACAAGGTCTGGTCGTCAACGTTCCACCTCTCGTCAGGTCAAAGATGGCATCCACCCCTCTTGCATCATCGTGCCTTAATACTCTAGTCTTTACATTTCCAATCAAACTCTTTACTGACTTCATTTAACATATTCCTCAAGCAGGTTTTCTGGGGGGGAGCCCCGTCAACTTCCCGGAGCTATCCAGACTGAATGGATATGTATAACTTTCTGGTATCAGTCAATGCATAGATCATAGATTTTGTTTTAGTTTTTCTTTTAATAAATTAATTAGCTAATAATTTGCATTTCCATTATTTCCATGTGTGTGTTATATTTATGTGGACTTGTCCTGATCACGTGGTCCCTACGAGGCAGAGTTGAATTGGGCGCCGATTCTAACACCAAATCGGAAGTCATCTTTACCGTTAATTGTGAATTAATTCCACACTTAAGATCCGAGGTTATAAGCTACGAGTGGGGATCAAGCCCCAAGGTTGATTAATTAGCATGATCGATCCAGACCTTGATCATTGCTCAGTGTTACTGGTCTGGTGGTGGCGGCGGAGGCAACTCTAGGGTTTTGCTCAAAGCCTATGTCACGTCATACGGGTTGTAGAATCCCAAGTCGGTCAATCGTCTTAGGACTACGTGGCATGGAGTCGGCTTTAGTAAAAGTTTTGGAGTCCCTTGGTAGAGAATAAAAAGTAAGAATACGGGTAGAGGGAGTGTAGGAGGAAAGATCATTCGAGATCAGTCCTGGTCATTGAACAGAGTGCTCTCTTTTCTTTCTTCTCCTCATTTTGTTGTGGCCCCTTCGGTTCCGGATTGTTTTTCGAAGGCTCTTTTTCCTGTTGGCATTGGCCTCTGGGGATCGGGTGGGTGAGCTTCATGCTCACCTCTGGCGCAGAGGCTTCTGCTCCTTCGGTCGGGGTGATCGGTTTGTTCGTCTGCAGCCTTCTCCTTCTTTTCTGGCGAAAAATGAGACTGCTACATTCCGGAGGGGTCCCTGGGTTGTTGATGCTTGGTTGGTTCGGCCAGGGGTGCATCATGTTTTGTGTCCGGTTGCGGCTCTCCGCCGTTATTTGCGCGCCATGGCTTCTGTGTCTGTGGATGCGCTTTGGGTTGATCCGGTTTCCCTTCTTCACTGTTTGAGGGTGCGGATCTCCCAGGTTGTCCACAGGGTTATTAAGGCTAGCTAGCCTGCGGTCTATCTCCGTGCCCATGACGTCCACAAGTTCCCGGCTCTTGCCACTGTCTTTGGCAATATGTCCTTGGCTGACATTCGAGCGCGGGGGATTTTGGCAGTCGAACAGGGTCCTGGCTGCTCGTTATCTAGTAAAGGTCGCTTTGGGTCGGGGGATGCAGCCAGTTGTCTCAACTTTGGGTTGAGGAGTGAGCAGCAACCGCCTCCCGGGTAAGTCCCTATTCTTTTCCTCTGTGGGTAGTTAGCTCCGGGGAAGCTGTAGGGGCTCCCCCCAGAAAACCAGTGTTGAATGTAATGAAACGCCATTTTCTGGGTGAGTCCCGGAGGCTCCCCAGCATCCCTCCCTCCCTCCCTCCCTCTGGTCGTCTTTTTTTCGCGTATTTTGACATCCAGCCTCAGAACTGGGGTGTGGATCGCCGGCGCGGTAGGTCTGGGGCTCCCCCTTCCCCCTCCCGGGGAGGGGGAGAGGCTGTGCAGACAGCGACGCGACAACGGGTGACATCATACTAGTTTGCTCGTTTTTGTTTGTGGAGTTCTATCCACTCATTCGGCTTTTGGTTGCAATTTTCACTAGAATAGGAGTTTGGTTTGGAACACCTATCTTTCTGGGTGCCTAACCCGATCAATGTCAGACATAAAATGCTTCCAATTACAAGGGGGGTTTCTATAGGCTATTGCTCCCCTTGCCTCTCTAGAGGGGGGCCAGGTTCTGACTCGTGGTCTCCGGTAGGCCCATAAGAACTCCATACACATGACTGATGCCACAGTCTGACATTAGCATATCAGCCTAGTAAGCTCCGGGGAGCCTCCGGGACTGGCCCAGAAAATGGCATTTCATTACATTCAAAGCTGGTTTTTTGGCAAAAGCGAGTCTTGACTCACTTTTTGGCCAAGTGTGTCGTTATTGTTGTATAGGTGGTTCTCCTTCCTCCCCGGTGCATGTCCATTGACTCTTCTCCGTGGTTAGTTAGCTTTAGGGAGCCACATGGGGTGGCTTCCTCCCAGAAACCCAGCGTTGAATGTAATGAAACTCGAATTTCTGTGTGAGATGGGCTCCTTGACACTCTCCCTCTCTCCCCTTTCTAAATTAGTTTTTGGAAGCTGTGGGTTGCTACCTTGTGATTGTTATGCTGAAGTGTGATGGGGGTGGTGGTTCCATGTAAAGCTGCTACACTATGTAGTGCGGTAGATATGATTAATAGATGGGTGTTTTTTTAATATCTTCAATCTGTCATTTCATGTATTGCTTCCCTATTTCATTTTAGCTAGTGCTTCCCACCCCAACAGTAAAATAATAATATTAATCTTTATTTTTTTTAACAGCCTCCAGAATCCAAAGGCACAAAGAAGAGCCTTTTTAAATTCAACAGATAGCCAAGCAGGTGTTTTAATTTGTAAAGGTGACCAAGTGGATATGTAAAGGAAATCTTAAATGTAATAATAAATATATATTGCATTGTATTGTGCAATAACTCCCATTTCATTGTGATAAGAGTATTATATTGCTTATTTTATGGCCTTGAAATGTAGACAGTATTAACATTGCTCACAATCATATTTAGCTCATTGTTTCTTGTATTATCACTATTTTGCAATAATAGTATCTGTAACCTAACACTGTGTGAGATAAATCAACAAGTTCTTTCTCGAATGTTCCAAGACACTATGTTATGTTATTATATAAATTAAGTAATATTTTTACACTAGTTACCAACCATTTAATAGATTCTTCACCCATTCTTCATCCAGATTCATATTAATTTCATATTTTAATTTATCATGCATTTAGAGTTGTCTTATAGATTTCATATAAATCTACTAATTAAATAATTTTGTTAAATATTAAGATAAAGATTTCATTAAAAGTTTAAAAAGGCTTTGTCATGTTTTTTATAAATATTAAAGCTGTATATTGTTTAGCTCCTGCACTGTGCCAGCCAACATATTAAGGGGTGTGGTGGTGGTGCACCAGCCCACATGTGATCATGTTAGTATATCAGAAGATTCGAAACTCCAATTAATACAAGTGGCTCACATATGATTCCTCAGGCCTCCAGTAACCATCCCCCATATTGAAAAAAATCCAGAGCCCCTCACTTTTCTTCTATGGCCCTAGTAACATGGTCTGTCCTGTCTTGAGTATTGCTCGGTGCTCACTTCCCCTTTCACACCAGCAGAGATCTCTGAATTAGAGAGAATACAGAAAACATATACGGCATGCATGGAAACGATAAGGCATCTAAATTATTGGGACCGTATCAAAGCTCTCAACATATACTCTTTGGAAAGGAGTCGAGAAAGGTATCAAATAATATATACATGGAAGATACTTGAAGGCCTGGTCCCAGATTTGCACAGTAGAATAACACCATACTGAAGCAAAAGACACGGAAGGAAATGCAGAATAGAACCAATGAAGAGTAGAGGTGCCATAGTCACAATCAGAGAACACTTAACATCAGAGGTCCACAGCTGTTCAATACCCTCCCAGCAAGTATTAGAAATATTGCTGGAACAAAGGTGAATGTATTCAAGAGGCACTTATATAAGTTCTTGCAAGAAGTTCCGGAGCAACCGGGCTGTAGTGGATATGTGGGCCTGCATGCTGCTCCAAGCAACAGCCTGTTGGACCAAGTTACCACAAGTCGAGCCTGGCCTCAGGCCGGATTAGGGGAGTAGAAGAACTCCCAGAAGCCTCTTCAGGTATGCTCCAGGTATGCCTATGTTACTAAGGCCTTAGGAACATGCAGAGCAGCAATACTTTGAGCCACTTAAACTTTAACAGCAGCAAATTAGTGGTTACCATTATAAAGTGGGGCCTCGATTAATGACTAATCCGTTCCGGCACCGAGCTCGTCATGTGGAAAACTTGCCTTGCGAAACAACAACATAGATGTCGTCGTATGTGTCGGAAAACAAGTGGGAATGCTCGTTAATCGAGCGAAAGCTCGTCAGTCGAGACATTTTCTGCGAGTGGCGCCGCTCGTAACTGGAGCCGCTCGTCACTCGAGGTTCCACTGTATATTTCAGGCAAAATGTGTGCTAAGTCCTGTTATAAGATTTAGGCTTATATATAGGCCTATATATATTATTATGAATAAATACATGGTGTGCATATATTTATATACATACACAGTATCTGTATAGTGACACCTTGGATTACGAATGCCCCTCTTTACAAACTTTTCGGGTTATGAGCCCAATTTCTTCGTAAAATCCGAATCGAGTTACGACTTTGCCTTGGATAACGTAGTTTGTTGATACGCATATGGCCGACCTAGCGTGTGGTGGCACAGTGACCGCGCCTCAGTTTACCAGTGCCTCCCGCCTAGTGACAATCACGCCTGAATTCTTTGTAAAGAATTTCAGTGTTTTTTGGATTTTTGGGTATTTGAACATATAAGTAATTATTATATATATCGCCATGGGTCCCAAGAAAGTCAGTGGTAAGGTTCAACTTAAGAACATAGTTGTGAGTAGAGGCAGTAGAGGATGTCCCTTCCTCATTAAGAAAATGTGTGAAGTATGGGAAGAACTGCAAAGTTTTGTTGAAAAAATTACCTAGATAAAGCTGTAGCAGGCCATTGCATTGACCTTTTAAATGACAATGTGATGTCTCACTACAAACATGTGTTAAATGTAGGGAAAAACAAGTGTCTTTGACAGATTCTTAGTAAGACAGCAAGCAGTGAGCCACAACCAGGTCCTCGTGGTACTCCTGCAAAACGTAGGGGAGAGAGTACCCCAAGAGAAGTCCTCACTGCCTGATGGTATATTGTAAGGGGACAAATATAGTACTAACACTTCTTCTCCTCCCCACCTCCTCACTCTCTTCCTTATGCCAACAAGAGTCATCAATAAAGATTATGTACAAGCAATAACTTGTACATAATTTAGTACTAAAGATTTGGGTAAATTAGGCATAAAATTTACTTTGAAGTTAATATTTTTGGGAGTGTGGAATAGATTAATTCAATTTACATTATTTCTAATGGGAAAATTCACTTTGGTTTACGAATTTTGGGGTTACGAACCGTCTTGGGGAACGGATTAAATTCGTAAGCTGAGGTACTACTGTATATATATGTATATTTTCAAAGTTATACATAATGAACACCATCTTTGACACATAGATACAACTTATTAGAGCCAAAAAACTAAATAAATAATGAGGGCAGTAATCAGAGGCAATGTATCGGAATGGAGAAATGTCACAAGTGGAGTACCACAGGGTTCAGTTCTTGCACCAGTGATGTTTATTGTCTACATAAATGATCTACCAGTTGGTATACAGAATTATATGAACATGTTTGCTGATGATGCTAAGATAATAGGAAGGATAAGAAATTTAGATGATTGTCATGCCCTTCAAGAAGACCTGGACAAAATAAGTATATGGAGCACCACTTGGCAAATGGAATTTAATGTTAATAAATGTCATGTTATGGAATGTGGAATAGGAGAACATAGACCCCACAACCTATATATTATGTGAGAAATCTTTAAAGAATTCTGATGAAGAAAGAGATCTAGGGGTGGTTCTAGATAGAAAACTATCACCTGAGGACCACATAAAGAATATTGTGCAAGGAGCCTATGCTATGCTTTCTAACTTCAAAATTGCTTTTAAATACATGGATGGCGATATACTAAAGAAATTGTTCATGATTTTTGTTAGGCCAAGTACTGTATAATTATTAAGATCACTTAACATGTATTCCTGCACACGCACACCATAGGCTGCAACTCGCAGTTGAAACTTCTAGCAACTGCAGCTTACTAGCAGCTGCAAAGTTGCAAATAATTTTCCAGCAGCTTCAGTTACAAATTACAAGCAACTGCAGTTGCAACTTTGACATGCAACTTGCAGTTGGAAATATTTTATAATTAATAAAAAGATATATTGCCTATGATGTTTGATTTCACCCAATGCACAGAATAGATGAACTTGCCGTTGCCTCCCTGAAATCCAACAACTCTATTCTTATCCTTCCTTCCGACAAAGGCAATTTGGTGGTTGTCTTTGACCATGTGTTGTCTTTGACCATGTTTGACCATTCAAACTAAGTTTGAATGTAGAAGTCGGAGGCCCATTATATTGAAAATAAACGGTAAAAATATAGAGTTAATATATATAAATATTTAGGCATATATGTTGGATATACCCATGAGAGTTTGGAAGCTGAGATGAACAGACTGTTGGGTCAATGTAGGAAGAGATTACAACCTCTGAAGGCCCTTCCCATGCTACGAATGATATACTTGAGTACTGTAAGATCTCTTATTGATTATGCTGCACCTGTCATTCCTTGTTTTGGTAAAGGTAGGATGGGCAAGTTGGAGAAGGTACAAAATGAAGCCATGAGAATTATCTTAGGATGCCCAAGAAATGCTATGATAGAGATAATGAGGATGGAGTTGAATCTGCAGAGTATTGGGGATAGAATTGTAGAGATAAATGTAGCCTCTGCCATTAGATTAATGAGAGGTGGGGGAGCTAATGAATTAATCCTCTCGGTTCAAAAGGTGGGAAGTAGTGAACAGTGTATGATGAAGAGGAGAGTATATATGAATAACTTATTTACTAATGTTATAAAGTATGATGTTATTACAGAGTGTATTGTTGTGCCCAAGAGAAAATTCACACCACCATGGGAGGATTGTAATGTAGATGTAGTAATTACTCCCTTGCAAAAGAAAAAAAGTATGTATGAAATAGGAGAGCTGAGGGCAACATATGATTGTATAATTAGAAAACTGCCTACAGAAAACACACTACATGTATATTGTGATGGGTCAGTAGCTAGGGATGGGAAGGCAGAATGTGGAGTCTTGATCAGGGAGTACACTGACATCGGCACTGTAGATACTGTTATTGGACGCCGCTTAACTGACAATGTCTCTTCAACGCAGGCTGAACTCCAAGGTGTATTAGCAGGATTACAGGAAGTAGTCAAATGTGGTAAAAATGCTTGCTTCTTTATTGACAGCAAAGGAGCATTAGAGTCTTTAAATAGCAGACGCCCAGTATATCAGAATATTGTGATAGAGTGTAGAGAGAATGTTAAGAGACTAGAAAAAACTGGGTATAAAGTAAGATTCATGTGGATCCCTTCACATGTGGGAATGCTGTTGAATGAGGTAGTTGATGAGATAGCGAAGAGAGCCATGGAAAAAACTCTTGTTGATGTTGTATGTCAGTTAACCTTGAAACAAATAAAAAAGAGAATCAAGGTGACCCAAGAGGGTGAAGAAATGATAGAGAATGGCAATGGTGGACAGTAGTAACACACTTAAGAATTATTTAATAATAAATACAAATTCGTCCTTCACTTATGGTAAAGGAAAGTCTTCTTGGAAGGATTCAATTTACATGAGATTAAGATTAGGATACAAATATATCTGGCAATACGGTGTTGATGTCAGTGAAAAAGATAAGGAGTGTAAATTATGTAGTATGCCGCACGCCCACACCTTAGAACATTATGTATTAGAGTGTCAACTTCTTGATAACTATAGAAATAAGGAAATAAATAGTGTACCACATCAAATTGTTTGGATGTGTGATAATGGTATGATAGACAGTATACTTAGGAGCTACAAGAATTTTGCCCCAAGAGTGTAACAATTATATGCTGTACTTACTATATTAACCTGCAATGTTAAATGGGATTCTTGTAATGTTATTTGTCTATTTGTACTCAGAGCATTTGTGCGCCCCTTGAGGGACTTAAAGTAGAGTGGGGTAGAAATAGCCCAAGCTACTCTATCCCTTTGAGATGTATTTATTGCTTATCTCAATAAACATACTTGAACTTGAACTTGAATCTGACCAAACCTCCTGCGGTAAGTGGCCCAGTCAATCAGGCTGTTGGATGCGGCTGTGATTTGTACACATTATATTATAAAAAATCATAAATAATCATCACTGAGTTTCTTAACACTAATAGCTCAAATTAGACCAACTTGCATTTTAATTAGCCCCAAAAATCGCAAGTAGCGAAATTCAATATTTGGGAGCGCGGGGCTCTCAAAAGTTGCCCAATTGACTATTTGTAGCCCAATGTGGCAAGCCTGTCAGGACCGATCATGTCAGGACATGTATTTATTGCTTATCACAATAAACATATTTGAACTTGAACTTGACCGATCCCACGATCGTCGTCGCCCCTAAATCAACAACATTTGAACCACCCTTGTCAATGCTTAAATATGAGTCTGCAATATGCAAAAACGAAGTTGTCGATGCAGACGATGATCTTCTTGATAATCTTCCACTGTGAAGTCGTGGAAAGACTCCACACCCATTATGCTTCATACAGTAAATATTGGTAAGTTATCCAATTGTCATATTTGTTTCATTATACTTTTTTTCTATCCACTGTATACCCCCTCCCCAAAAATAAATTTAAAACCACAGGTTTGAAGTATAGAACTTTTATACACTCGCACCCACCATAGGACTCGAACATTGGGCATCAAGATGACAGGTACGCACTTGTATCCACTACACAATACTTCAGAGCCCTTTAAAACTCACACCCCAGAAGTGACTCGAACCCATACTGCCAGGAGCACTCTGCATGTGGCGTACACGACACCTTAACCACTCGACAAACACGATTTATTATACTTGCCCGAAACGCTATGCGTACTAGTGGCTTTAGGTATTGTATGTACTACCTCTATATATAAATCCAACATTATGTTTGTAAATCAACTATATGTATGTACTTTCCTGAATAAAATTTACTTTACTTACTATATATATGCAGAGATAATATTAATAAAACAATTAAAATCGTGTAGTGTACTTTATATATCAAAATATATTACTTTGAAACCCGTATCAGTCACTAAAAAAAAAATTGGGCTACTATTTTTACCAATTGGCTACTTTTAGAGCGCCAGGTCGCTACTGTCATCAGTTGTGAGGTGAGAGCCGTGGTGGGCAGCACGTAGGGTTGGCCAGCCTGGCGGGTGTAAACACTGGAGGACGGTCTGCACCTTGTTGCTGGGGCTCCACCACCACCTGTCTCCTGCCCTACGGTCATCACCTTGTTGCTGGGGCTCCACCACCACCTGTCTCCTGCCCTACGGTCATCACCTTGTTGCTGGGGCTCCACCACCTGTCTCCTGCCGTACGGTCATCACCTTGTTGCTGGGGCTCCACCACCACCTGTCTCCTGCCCTACGGTCATCACCTTGTTGCTGGGGCTCCACCACCACCTGTCTCCTGCCCTACGGTCATCACCTTGTTGCTGGGGCTCCACCACCTGTCTCCTGACCTACGGTCATCACCTTGTTGCTGGGGCTCCACCACCACCTGTCTCCTGCCCTACACCTCCCAACAACTACACACAAGTATAACTTCACTATCTAAACTTTTGAAGAATTTGCCGTAAACGTAGTGTTGATACATAAATTTTTAGGTTTTATATAGAAATTAATAAATAGTTTATTCAGGTAAAGTACATACAAACAAGGTAAGATACAAAACATTGATGGATTTTTAGATGGAGCTAGTACATACAATGCCTAAAGCCACTATTACGCAAAGCGTTTCGGGCAGAAAAAACACTAAGACTAAAACTTAATACTAATTGAGATTAAAGTATAAATTGTGGTGAGGGTGTTAGTTAGGTAGTGCTTCGTTTTTATCTTAAACTGGTTGAGAGAGGTCTTTAACATGGTTGGGAAGGTCATTCCACATTCTTGGTCCCTTGATTTGTAGAGCATTTCTAGTTTGATTAAGTCATACTCTCACCTCCTTCACCCAAATTGCTCCTCCCACCATAATCCTTTTGCTGTTATTACACTAATACACACATTATATATATATAAGTATCTACATTTGTGTTCACCATAGAGAACCACTGAGCTTGTATGGTGAATGCAGACAATAACAGGTGACCACACAGTCGGTAAACGATCTCCCTCCATCCCTCAGCATCACTCCTCCCACAGCACTAATTATTACAACAATCCTGCTATTATCACAACCCTGGTTATTTATATCACAGTCAGGGGTCATCTGTAATATTGTCATCGCTAAATAATAGCAATTATATATTTATTTTGACATTTTTCGGTGATGCTGTGGTTACAAGCTGAACAGCAATGCTGTTTGCTCATGCTGCATGCACCAGCCTTGGTTGCTCCAGCAGTACTGTGCCTCTCACACCTGAAAATATTGCCCACAATTTAAAAAAAAAAGGGTGTCTGTTTACAAGAGCTCTGAGGAAGCTAATGTGAACCCCGTGTAGCCGCGGGCCATTTTTTTCAGGGCACAACAGGAGTCACATTTAGCATGTGTGCACTGCAAGGGTTAATGGCATGCTATACTTTATTTGTGTAAGGTTATCATTGAATTTTTATTACAAAATTTGTTGCATAACATTAGCAACTGTAATACAAATAACTACAAGTGAATATACTGTATTGATATTTCAATTAATTCCATTTACAGGTCTGTGAAACATGTCTGAAGAAGATAACTCTGAGGTTCTTCACTTTAAAGAAGAGGAGTGGGAAGAGGAGGTGATTCCTCCTAAAAGAAGAAGAGGACGGCCAAAGAAGTCATCAACCAAATCTGAGGATACTGGATCTGAAGCACCTGAGACAGATTCAGCACCTTTAAGAAGTAAGAGGGAACGAAAGAAAAAAGCTCTTTACTTTGACAATGATTCTGGTAGTGAGGATGAAGTTATGTACCATATTCCAGCCAAAAAACGGAAGAGGCCTGGCCGACAGAAGGGACACACTCTAGATAGTGGTAGGTTTTTATGAACAGAATAGGAGATAGAGATCTTGTAGTAAGTGGTTATGCTTTATTGTTGTCACTGATATAGGATAAGAGGGCTAACAAAAATTTAATTAATTCTCAAGCTGTTAGGCCATTTTAATGATTTAAAGTAATATATATAATGTACAACAATGTATGTATATTTTTAGGAAATTTTGTACTGATTGACTTGTAAATTTATCATGCTATTATTTAACTGTAATTCATAGCCATTATTTTATTCACTACTTCAAGTTTTTTTTAGGTAAACATGAAGCTGTTGCAATACTATTTTTGTTAAAGGTACATCCTAGGACACTAACAAAAAATCAGTCAGTTTAAATTTCCATTTTTCAATATTATCATTCTAATGGCATGTTTCAGTATGTTAAAAATAATATTTATTCCGATCTTTTATGCTTGCTGCTTCCTGTGTTTATATCTTAACATGCTAGGGGTATAATATCCTTTGCTCCCCACAGGTGCATGTAATTTTGAAAAAAAAAAAAAAAATTCTTCCTAACCTGTTAACACTTTGGCGTACCCCGCGCGCCACCCCTCAACTGTGCGATTTGGGTCCCAGGGTTTCACGGGAGCACGCGTAAATTCTGAAAAGTGTATACTCTCTTCAACTTTGTCACCTTAATTCTCGTCCTACGAGATTAAATTTGGCATCATTGTGTTCGCAATAGAATTTTCTACAGCACTAAATGCATATAAACTCCAAAAGCCCGGCTAATTACCCGCAGCAAACAGAGAAAGTGCGAACGAGTTACCCAGGAGCGCGCAAACGCGATAAAATGTTTTCACTATTTTTACTCTGGTCACCTCAATTTTTGTCCTAGGTCTTTCATTTTGGTCTCAATGGGTTTGCAATAGAATTCTCTAAAGGAACATTAGCATATAAAATAAAAAACCTGGTCACGCTCCAACCGCCGACGAGTTGAAGACGGGCCACGCGTTAACTGTGAGGGAGCGCTCGGACGCCTTCCAGCTACACTCCCAATTCCCGCCCTTTTCACGCCTTTCTTTCGCAATTTTCTTCCTGGAGGGGCCTTGTTCATGATCACTATCCATCGTGGAGTAAGCGTAGATAGTTTCTAAAGCCGCAGTAAGAAATCTAGCCACGGAAAATAGCCGAAATTTTCACACGTTTGAGATGCGAGGGGAGGCGACACCGGTCACAACAGTGGAGCGAAAACAATGGGCCGACGGGGTGTGCCAAGCCGCCTGCGGGCCTCGATTGTTTCATCATGGATGAAACACAAATGTAAGGATGTAACCTAACACAAATTTTTTCAATATTTCTTATGTTTCTTTTTACTGTCGAAAATATTTCTTATGTTTCTTTTTACTGTCGATGGTAATTGAAAAATCAATTCTCCAAAATTCATTTTTATTTCAAGTCTGACGCAACGCTTGAACGCGTTTCGTAATAACTTATTACATTTTCAAAGATTTTAGTTTACACACACACACAACTGTAACCTGAAAACACTAAACAGAGTTTTACTTATGCTAAACACTTGTTGTTGTTGTTGTTAAAGCTTTAGCTACTCAGGACGAAGTGTCCATGTAGCACGGGCTATGGTGAGTAATTGAGTTTGGTTATACATGATAACCTTTTCCCTGTGATATTTGGGTCTAAGTTTAAAATGGAGGAGAGGACTTCTCCTTTTTCCCTGCTTATTTATCGCTTCTGTTTTAGTGCACTGGTTTTAATCTTGTTTTATTAACATTATCTTGGTGGCGGATGTAGATGCAGAATGCTCACTAATGAGTCCCATTCCTCAACAGCTTTTCTAATCATTGTAGTCGCGGTGGAATGTGCATCTAATGCAGCTGCTGTCGTTGGATTAATGTTGAGTTTGATGCGCAGGGGTTCAGTAGCTTCACATTCCAGTAAGTAGTGCAATAGTGGCGCCTCTGCTTCAGTTTCACAGATGTGACACTCTTTAACTATTGGGTTCATTACCTCCCAGCAGCACTTGTAACCAAGTCTGAGTCTGTGTATGGCTACTGCAATGTCTCTGGATATCTTTTTGCCAGGCTTGAAAGAGGAGTAACCAGTGGCTTGTTCGTACCATATCGCAGTGGATCTTCCTTCCGCTACTTTGGCTCTGTGGAGACTTTTGATAGTTGAGAATATTTTCTTCTTGATTTGCTCCTTTATCTGTGAGAAACTTGGAGGTATTTGAACCTGTACAACAGGTAGAGCAGTGGCAGTTTTTGCTAGTGAGTCTGCCTTTTCATTACCATCTATGTCAATGTGACTTGGTATCCAATTTAGGGTGATTGGCAGCCCTCGATTATGGGCATCTTTTCCTATATGTTGAATTTCTGTGAGGAGTTGTATATTATCTCTGTGCTGACTGGATAACAATGCCTGGAGTGAAGATTTAAAGTCTGTATGAATGATGACATCATGTAAATTATTCTCGATTGTATAGTTTATTGCCTCCTTCAGGGCATATAATTCTGTTGCTAAACACTTAAACAGCTTGTCTTATATACTCACATTTGGGTGAGGTGATTTGTTGCAACAGTTTTGGATGAGGTGAACAAACTTTTGACCAACACAAGACAAAACACGGAACATTGGGTATTAATTGGATAAATGAGAGAAAAGAATGGAAATAACTGCAAAGGGCCTATTGGCCCATACTTCCTTTTGATGCTTGTATATTGGTACGGATTCTTGAAGTGGGTAGAATATAGTTGTGCATTAATTGGCTGTTGATTTCTGGTGTTGACTTTTTGATGTGTAGTGCCTCGCAGATGTCAAGCCGCCTGCTATCGCTGTATCTATCGATGATTTCTGTGTTGTTTGTTAAGACTTCTCTGGTGATGGTCTGGTTGTGGGAAGAGATTATATGTTCCTTGATGGAGCCCTGTTGCTTTTGCATTGTTAATCGCCTGGAATGAGATGTTGTTGTCTTGCCTATATACTGAATTCTTTGGGGCTTACAGTCCCCATGTGGGCATTTGAAGGCATAGGCAATGTTAGTCTCCTTTAAGGCGTTCTGCTTTGTGTCTGGAGAGTTTTTCATGAGTAGGTTGGCCCAATTGTTCGACCAATTGATGGGGTGATGGGGAGGAGGCTGGCGCTGTTCGTTCACGCCTGGTCCCACGATTTGTGGGCGTTTCGGGTCTTTCCTTCAGCCTGCGGTGGCGTTGGGTGGGCCCCATATCCTTCGGGGAATTCGGAACTGGCGGGGCAAGCCTCTTCCCCCTGTGCTCTGTCAGGTCGTCTTGGACTGGGTGCGCTTGGGCGTGGTCGAAACAACGACGTCCTTCAGATGGGTTTCCTGTCTGTTCCCAGTACCAAAATGGGACTGTGCGGACCTGAGGTTCATTCTGGACTTGTCCCGTCTGAACCCCTGGGTTCATTGCTCCTCCTTTCGGATGACTACATTGTCTCAGGTTCGGCTCCTGTTGGCGCCGGGCTCTTGGATGGTGTCCCTGGACCTTAGGGATGCTTATTGGCATGTCCCGATTCAACCGGGGTTCAGGGACTGGCTTGGCTTTGTTGTGGGGTGTCAGGGGTTACCGCTTTTGTTGTCTCCCGTTCAGGTTGAACCCGACACCTCGCGTGTTCACACACCTTACCCGGGTCGTTGTGGCCATTCTGCGTCTTTTAGGTGTTCGAGTGTTGGCCTACCTCGATGACTGGTTGGTTTGGGCTCCCAGCCAGTCCTCTTGTCAGCTAGCCAGAGATTTGGTTCTTTCCCAGCTCGCTGGGTTCGGGTTCTGGCTCTTGGTGATTTGGAGGAAGTCCCATTTGGTTCCCTCCCAGGTTCGGACCTGGCTGGGTCTTGTGTGGGACTCTCGGACCGCTTCCTTGTCTCTTCCTCCGGAGTCTCTCCTGCGGCTGCGGTCCCGCATGAGCCTGTTTCTGGGGGGGCTCCTAGGTCACCCGGTGGTTGCTCGAAGGTCTGTGCAGGAGCCTGAACTTCGCAATGTTGGTCTATCCACTGGGTCGGGTTTGGCTTCATTGGATGTTCTGGGTCCTTCGGGGACATCCCTTCCGCCTCTCTCGTGATTGCTGGGTTCGGACCCCGGGGGGCCATGCATCGGTTGCTGCAATGTCGTCTTCCTTTTTGGATTTTTCGGGGTTCAGTGCCTTGGCGCCTGCCCGAGCCCTCACTCGATATGTTCACGGACGCGTCGTCTATCGGCTGGGGCTTTGTGACCAGTGCTTAACAGGCCGGCCAGGGACGGTGGGGTCCGTCCTCCTATTGGGCCCACAGTATGATGTGGAAGTTCGCGGCGGTGTGGTTTGCGCTGCGGTGGGTTCAGGTCGCCCGCGGATCGACGATCCAACTCCATTCGAACTGCTCTCCAGTGGTTCATTGCCTGAACCGGGAGGGTTCGATGCGGTCCTTGGTTCTTTGGAGCTGGTCGCTTCGGGTGACTCGTCTGCTGAGTTCTCGGGGTTTAGCTCTCCTGACTGTTCACATGCGGGGAGTGTCCAACGGCCTGTCTCGTTTCTTTCCCCTTTCCACGGAAAGGACAGTCGACACCCACTCCTTCCTTTAGCTTTGCTGGACATTCGGGTGCCCTGAGGTGGACCTCTTCGCGTCGGCGTGGTCAAGGAGCCTTCCCATATTCGTGGCAGTCCTCCCTAACTGGGAGGCCATCGGGGTCGAGGCCTTTCGGCAGGACTGGTTGAGGTGGGGGGTTCCTGTACCTCTTTACTCCGGTTTGGCTGTTGCTCCAGGTCCTGACTCGCTTGGAGACTTACCATGGGAGAGTAGTCCTCTTGGCCCCGTGGTGGCCGGCCGAGCCGTGGTTTCTGGCGCTACTTGCTCAGTGTCTGAACCCGGAGGTTTTTCCGCGGCTCTTCCTGTTTCAGCGAATCGGACCTGTGCGTCACGTGGCTGGTTCGATCTTCTTCTCGAGTCTTCGCATATGGTGTTTTTGACTTGGGTTTATCATCATCTCTATGGTGATCAGGTGGCTTCCTTGTTAGTGTCCCACCTGTGGGCTTCTTCTAGGCGGCAGTATGAAGTTTCCTGGTGGTCTTTCAGTTTCTTTTAGCGTCTTTGTCGTTATGTTTCGCTGTCTGTTAGGGTTGTGTTGTCCTTTCTCTCTTGGTTGTTCCAGGACCATCATCTTGTGCCTAACACTGTCGCCTCGTATCGTGCAACACTAGTGGAGCCGTTTCAGCTTGCTTTCGGTATTGACGTTACGTCTGAGCTGTTTCGCAAGCTGTCTCGTACATTGTTTCACCTCTGGCCTGCTCATGCGCCGCCTGAGCTGTCCTGGTCGCTGGACAGAGTGCTTTCTTTTCTCTCTTCTTTGCGGTTTGTTGTGTGTCCTTCAGTTCAGGATTGCTTCTTGAAGACTCTTTTTCTGTTGGCATTGGCCTTTGGGGGTCGGGTTGGTGAGCTTCATGCTCTCCTCCGGCACAGGGGTTTCTGCTGTTTCGGTCGTAGCGATCGGTTTGTCCATCTGCAGCCGTCTCCTATTCTGGCAAAGAATGAGACTGTTGCTTTCCCGAGGAGTCCTTATGTTTTTGCTGCTTGGTTGGTCAGGCCGGGGGGGGGGGTGCATCATGTTTTGTGTCCGGTTGCGGCCCTTCACCTTTATTTGCATGCCACGGCTTCTGTATCCGGGAATGCCCTTTGGGTTGATCCGGTTTCCCTTCTTCCCTGTTTGCAGGTGCGGGTCTCCCAGGTCGTCAGCAGGATTGTTAAGGCTAGCCAGCCTGTGGTCTATCCCCTTCCCCCTCCCGGGGAGGGGGCAGCTGCGCAGACAGCGGTGTGGCGACGAATGACGTCATGGGCGTACACTTGTTTCTTTTTGGGAAGTTCTATCCACTTGTTCGGCTTTTGGTATCATGACATTTTCTTAAATATTAGGTTTTGTAACATTTAAAAGGTTATAAATATGTTTAATTTTATATTACATTTGTTTTATAGGAACTTGGGTTGCTAAAAAGCCTTTGGGCCGACCCCGGTTATCTCAGTTTGAGAATGCTAGGAGAAATGAGAAGTCTCCAAGTGAATTAATCTGCGAGCTGGGCCAGATTTTCTACAGCATGGGCTGGATTAGTGGTACTGGGGGAGGAATCAGCATTAAAGATGGGTAAGTTTTAAAGATAAAAATATTTAATTTCTGGGTTTCTAAAATCTTTTTAATACCAGGTTTATCAGGAAGAGGAATAATATATGGTTTAGATCAACCAATTAGTTGACCAATCATCAGAGTAGAGTTCCCTTTCTGTGGGGAACTATCTCCAGGATAGTTCCAGAGGTTATCTCCCAGAGATAGGTCTAACTACTAGATCGGATCAGCTGTGGAGTTCAATTTGACCTACTGGGAACCAGCGCCAGATCGAGAGGTGCAGGAAGCAGGTGATCCTCCACTACCTTACCAGGGAAGGCACCCAGAAAGTTTGCAAACCAATACATACCACTGCTGGGTTCAAGAGAATCTGAAGCCTCACAACCCACTGAATGAACTCCCCAACAATGTAAACAAACAATTGAAAATCTCATGAAACGAGCATGTGCTTGTTCGCCCCACCACTCCCACTCATTTGGGGGAGGGGGCTCAACATTGGGCCCAACATTGATCACTGCACCAGTGATTGCTGGTGCAGTTGGTCAATGTTTAGTGTACAGTCAGTGGCTAATTAGTTATAGTACAGTATTGGACATGCCAAGGAGCATGGAGGCCCTGGCTGACCGGATTCAAATCCTTCAGGGGACAAGAGTTTTCTGATGCATGTTGGCTTGGGGACCATTCAAACTTGTATGCATATATATATATATATAAATATATAAAGTATCCACTCGGTAAGTGGACAACACAACAAGTGAACCACCTTAACCCTTGTATGGCGCCTGGCTATTTAGCATTTGTCACCCACAGGCACAGACCAAAAAAAAAAAAAAAATTATATTTTTTCTTCTAAACCTGTTAATTTGTGTTCACTGATCATGGGAAAAATAATAAAAAAATCGTAAGTGGCATATATTGCCCGCTATAGGGTGGGGAATTCTGGCAAAAAACAGGCGCTGACCCAGCGTGCGTCCCAGAGGGTCTGTTGCTCCCAGCTGTCAAGCAGGAATGGCCACAAAGAGATAAATGCCTAATTATTTCAATGTCTCTGATTGATTTTTTGTATTTTTCTGGGGGAAGCCCCTACGGCTCCCTGGAGCTATCCATGGCTGATATGGATACCCTAACTATTTTGCATCAGTCGATGTGGGTGGAGTTCTAGGCCTACCGGGGACCACCAGCCAGAACCTGGCCCCCTCAGAGAGGCACGGGGAGCAATGGCCCATAGAAATGCACATGTGATTTGGAGCATTCTATATCTGCCATCGACCGGGACAGGCACCCAGAAAGGTAAGCGCCACAAAACAAACCCCTATTCTGGTTAACAACAAAAATCGACAAACGAGTGGACAGAACTCCCCCAGGAAAACAGACTAACAAGCATGACATCACACGAGCCGCACCGCATGTCTGCGCAGCTCCCCCCTCCCCGGGAGGGGAAAGGGGGTGCCCCAGACCCCCGCGCCAACGATCCCCGCCTCAGTTCCTCGGCTGATGGGATAATGCACGGTCGTGTGGCTCCAGCTCCGGTCTTGTCTCTTCAGTGCTGTGACTTGTTTGCAGTGCTGCTCTTACGGTGGTCGTGTGAGCTGGGAGTAGTATTCTCAGGTACTCGGGCTGCATGTGCTTAGGGTCACCTTCCCTGAGTGCCCTGTAAGTACTGCCCTTGGGGCTTGGAGTTGCCTTCCACAAGTCACCTTGGGTCTACCTCTGTTGGCTTTTCGCTGCTTGGCGTTTGGCCGCCCCGAGGGTTTGGGGGTTTTACTCCCTTGTTTACCTTGGGGTAAGTGGTAGTTATAGCACTGGTGGGGCACAGGGTACTGTGTAGCTAGTTTTCACCTATGACAGCGGCCGGCTCTGTTCCCTCTGGGTACGTTGTCCACTTGTGTGGTTTTTCTTTTATATTTGTTTTTGCCTGGTAGGGGGGTCTGCCTTGTGTTCCCCCCCCCCTTATATTAGGTTCGTTTGTGTGGTGGCACCCCCTGCTTTGCCCTCACGGGTGGACGCGTCCCATGGGTTCAGTTTTAGCAGTTTGCTTGGTAGTTTGGGGCGCCGGTTAGCAGTGCCCTGCCTGGGATAACCCTTAGCAGACCTAGTCTAGGGGCCCTGGGAAACCCCCCGGGGGCTCTCGGGTCCGACAGTGGAGACCCTTGCGTCCCCTCTCACTTTGTGCGAGTTGAGGGTTGCTCTGTCCCTTTGTGTCAGAGTGACTCCTTGTTTTTGCCTCTGTCATGCTGCCTGTTGGGTCGGTGACACATTCGACCCTGAGTCCTGCGAGCTTTGTTGCTTGTTCGTGACTCCATTCACCCAGTCTGCTGATGAATTCCCGTGGGTGCAGGCAGCTCGCGCGTTGCAGGGTAGGATGTTGCAATGCGCTCAGGTTTGTCGCTTCCCCGGACGCCCCGATGCTGCCCCGCTTGTGTAGGGACCCAGACTTGGGGGTTTTGGTCGCTTCGGCCTTGGTTCTTCCACGCCCCCCCTTGTTTTTCCCCTCCTGCTTCCGGCCCCTACGCATCTGCAGGCTTCGGGGTCGGGGCGGGGTTAGAGGTTCTGAGACTTGGGCAGTTTCGGGGGTTGCCCCATCTGGGGTAGCTGCAGAGGCATTCGAGTCTGTTCCTCCGGCCGATGCTCCGGGGTCTGACCAGTGGGCCCCTTCTCTTTCAGCTCTCTCGGCTGCCCCGGCTTTTTCTTGTGGGGCCGGAGCTTTGGAGGTCGACTCGGTCCCGGGGCCTGGTGTAGAGGCTCCTGGGGTTGGGGAGGAGCGGCCTTGGGGGCCTTGGGCTCCATTGTGCCCCGCCTGGATTTCCGTCCTTCTGAGCGGGGCTTACTGTTAGACCAAAATGGCAGCTCCCAACTTATTCCTATTACTGTTATTACACTCTATACACACGTTATATATAAGTATCTACTTTTGTGTTCACCATAGCGAACCTCTAAGCTGGTTTGGTGAGTGCAGTCAATAAAAGGTGGCCACACACAGTCAGAAGACAATGCCACCACCCTCTCTCCCACAGCATTACTCCTCCCTCCATGGAGCACAGCACTAAATATCACCACAATCCTGCTTTTATCAGAACCCTGGTCAGTTTTATCGGTCAGGGGTCTTCTGTAATAATATCATCGCTAAATAATAGCAAGAACTTGTATATTATGGCATTTCTAGGTGATGCTGTGGTCACAAGCTGAACAGCAGTGCTGTGAGCTCATGCTGCGTGCGTCAGGCTTGGTAGCTCACTCAATACTTAGGCCCTCACAACCAGGAATTTGGCCCATGATTTTTTTTAAATGGCGTCTGTTAACAAGAGCCCTGATAAAGGTGTGGTGAACCATAAGGCTATGCTTATTGGCGCGGCAGTAAAGTGTGATGTTTGCTTGTTTCCTTGTGATTGTAGGGAGTATCTACCTCTCTGTTCGGTTTTTTGTTTTTTACCATGTGGGGTTTGTTTTGTTATGCCTACCTTTCTGGGTGCCTAACCCCGGTCGATGGCAGATAAGGAAAACCCCAACCACAAAGGGGTTTTCCAGGGCCATTGCTCCCTGAAACCTCTCTGAAGGGGCCAGGTTCTGGCACTGGTCCCTGGTAGGTCTGAACTCCTTAGCTAATGTCCCGGTCTAATATAACATACATTAGCCCGATAAGCTCCAGGGAGCCTCCGGGGCTCGCCCAGAAAATGGCGTTTCATTACATTCAACACTGGTTTTTTTATTTTTTTTTTTATAGAAAATGGAGCAGCCTACCTGACATCCACTGAACGAACCTTTTATACATTTTTTCTTATTTTCAAATTTTTTCAATATTTGTCTGTAGTGATGCATCACAGTGTCATTGAAAAGGTTAAAACAACGGCCTACTGCAGCTTGATTTGGGCGAGTCGTTTCGGCAAAAGTTTGCAATTCTTCCCATGCTGCTGCACACATTTTCATAATAAATAAGGAAGGGACAACCTCTACTTCAACAACCCCTCATCCCATTTTCATGTTTACGAATTATCTCTTGTTTTTCCTCTGGGGGTCATCCTCGCATGTGTTTTCTTAGGTTGAACCTTACCACTGACTTTCTTGGGACCTATGGCATGATATATAATAATTACTTTTATGTTCCAAAAACAAAAAATCACCAAAATAATGGAATTTCTTAAAGGCGCGATTGTCACTAAGTGGGTGGCTCTGGTAAACTGAGGCAGGTCTGCCCGCGTGACCAGGAACCATGCTCTTGGTTGACCCGAATGTGTATCAACGAATATCGTTAGTCTATCGTAAATCGAGTCGCATTTTCTGATGAAATTTATATTGTAACTTGAAATTATCGTAAGTCAGGGCAATTGTAAGTCGAGGTGTCACTGTACCTTGAGAATACTTCATTCTTGGGCTTCACAAACAGTTCAGTTTTGGATTTTTCAGCCGCATCATACGTAGTACTGTATCAGCTCGTTAATCCACACTATATGGGAAGGACCCCCAGCCTGATTATCACATTTTCCGAATTAACATACTTTTTCACCTCGGAGTCCAAAAGTAACATTTTCAAACAGGGTCCTGGCCGCATGCTACCTAGTAGGGCCTGTGTTGCGTTGGGTCGGTGGTTGCAGCCAGTTGTCTCGACTTTGTGTTGAGGAGAGAGGACTGACTGCCTCCCGGGTAAGTCCCTGTGTTTTTCCTTGTCTTTGGGTAGTTAGCTCCGGGGTGCCGACGGAGCTCCCTCCAGAAAACCAGCGTTGAATGTAATGAAACACCATTTTCTGGGTAAGACCTGGAGGCTCCCAAGCAACCCTCCCTCCCTCCGGTCAGCAGTTTTCGCGTATTTTGATATCCGGCCTCGGAACTGCAGGGTGGATCGCAGGTGTGGGAGGTCTGGGACTCCTACTTCCCCCTCCTGGGATGGGGGGAGCTGCGCAGATGCGGCACGGCTCGTGTGATGTCATGCTTGTTTGCTCATTTTCAATTGGGGAGTTCCGTCCACTCGTTTGCCTTTTTTCATTGTTTTTAACCAAACTAGGGGTTTGTTTTGTGGCGCTTACCTTTCTGGGTGCCTGTTCCGGTCGATGGCAGATACAGAATGTTCCAAAATCAAATGTGCATTCTATGGGCCCTTGCTCCTTGTGTCTCTCTGAGGGGGGGGGGGGGGGGGGGGGGGGGCACAGGTTCTGGCTCATGGTCCCCGGTAGGCCTAGAACTCCACCTACATCGATTGATGCCAAAAGTTAGGACTATCCCTATCGGCCTGAATAGCTTCGAGGAGCCTCCGGGCCTCACCCAGAAAATGACATTTCATTACATGCAATGCTGGCTTTTTATATGTGATTCAGTTAATGAGTGTAAATAATTCTATATATTTTTAATTCACAGGGAGCATATTTTTGTTGCACCGTCTGGTGTCCAAAAAGAACGTTTGAAAGTAGATGATATGTTTGTCCTTAACATGAACGGAGAGGAAGTTGATGGTCCAAACCCTGAGAGGAAATTGGGGAAGTCGCAGTGTACCCCACTCTTCATGTTAGCCTACAAAAGTAAGTTGCAGCTGTTGGCTATGGCACTTCTGTTTCAGCCCCAATACTCTTCTCGAGTCTAAAAAAAAAAAAAAATTAAGTAAAATTTTGAATTTATTTGTAAAATTTGTAGTAAGAAAATTAGGGGTACCTGATTTTCCAGTGGTAATATTTACAAAAATTATAAAAAATAAAATATAAAGTTTTTATCCCCTATTTTCTAATTAACAATATGTTCTAAGGCTATGTTCTAAGATATAGAATATCATTATAATTGTAACCAATAAAAAAAATTGCCAAATATTTATTTTCTGGGTATCACCTAAGTAACTTCCTGTTTCTTATAGCACTGGCAGGTTAGAGGCATGGTAGGCATGCTAAGCTTCTGAGAGGATCTCTGCCTACTGGGATCAAATGCCATTTCACATTGACTTGCCCTTGCTTATCATGGACTAGTAAGGGTCAAAGATTAAACCCATCATCAATCACAACCACCCTAATATAAACAAAAGGTCTCAAAACAACCCAAAAAAATTTCAAGAACTGTTTAACCTTTGTGCTGTATGGCTTTTATTGTGACAATCTGGTGGTGTGCCACAATTGAAGTGCTTCCCTCAATTTGTTTTTCTTTGTATATTGTTAAAATCCCTTCCCTGAACATGTACTGTACATGTAAAAAGAAATTTCAAACACTTCTTACTTTGGCTGTGGTGATGTAGAGAATATGAGGCGCAATGTCACCATAACATGATTGCCCGAGCAGGAAGCTCCCTGAGGTGGTCGCAAGGGTATTTCAAGACTCGCGAGGTGCGACAAATATATTTTCATTCATTTTCTGGGAAAACCAGCTAGCTATCCACACCCCTGGTTATGAGGCTGGATGTCAAAACCCACGAAAACCGCTGACCGAGAGGGGGAGGAAGGGGTGCTGGGGAGCCTCCGGGCCTCATCCAGAAAAGGGCATTTCATTACATTCAGCGCGGGTTTTCTGGGGAAAGCCCATTTGGCTGCAGCAACCTAAAACGTGAATGCAGTGCCGAAGCCACCTGTACCCGAACATCAAGATCAGTGGATTGGGTGAACTGGAGTACAAGCAAGGAACACCATTCACAGGACTCTGGGTAGAAGGTGTCACCAACCAAACAGGCAGCATGACGGAGGCAGAACAGGTGATTGTCACCCTGAGACAAGGGGACAGAGCATCCCTCAAACTCGCACGAAGCGAGATGGGACCCAGGGAACGCATCCATCGGACCACTAAGCCACAGTGCAGGTTTCCAGGGTCCTTAGATGCTCTGCTAAGGGTAAGCCCAGGCAAGATACTATTAAGACATGCCCCAAACTACCAAGCAAACTACTAATTGCAGAACCTGTGACATGTACACAAACAGGGACCTAGCAAAGGACCACCAAGGATACAGAAGTATAAGGGTCAACAACACCACAGGGCAGACCCACCACCAGGCAGAAAATAAAAATAAAATAAAAATCCTGCACGGTACAATGTCACCAGGCGGAACAGAGCATGGTTAGGGCGTCAAGGTGTTGCACGACCTGCCACCTAAGCGGCGACAGGTTCCTGTTGCCTCTGGAGACGGTGTACTTTTGCGGGGTTTTTCTTTTGTTTTTATTTTCATTTGCCTGGTGGGGGTCTGCCTAGTGTGGCTATAGTTCCACTGGTAGTGTTTGGTGGGCCTCAGCTAGGCCCCCGTGATTGTACACGTCGCAGGGGTTTTCAGTGCTATCCTCTACCCTCTTGTTTTTTGGGGGGTTTCTTAACTGGTTAGCAACACCTTGCCCAAGCTTCCCGTAGCGGTCAGCCTACAGGCCCTAGAAACCCCTGTCTGGGCTCGGTGAACCATTGAATGTGTCTTCCGGGTTCCAACCCGTCTTGTACGGGATCGTTGGTTGCTGTGCCCTTGTCTCCGGGTGACAGTCGCCACTTTTACCTCCGTCATGTTGCCTGTTGGGTCACTGACACCTTGACCCGGAGTCTTGTGAGATAGATTCTCTGCTTGTTCTCCAGTACTCTCCTGATGTTATTACTGTTCGAGTACGGGCGGCATCCGTGTTGCAAGCTAGGTTGGGTTGCTGCAAACACGCTAGGTTGGGTTGCTGCAACATGCTAGGTTGGTTTCCCACTCGGATGCCCCGAGGCCGCCCCGTTTTGGTTAGGTGCTGTTCGGCCCTTTCCCTCCCTGTTCCCGGCTCCGGACCGTCTGCGGGTTTCGGGGTCGGGGAGGGGTTTAGTTGGGGCCGAGACTCGGGCGGTTTTCGGGGGCTGCCCCATTCGGGTTGGGGATGGAGGTTTTCGAGCCTGTTCCTCCTGGCAAGGCTTCTGGGTCTTACCAGCAGCCCTTTCTTGCTGCCTTTCCCATGGACTCTTCCTTTTCTTTAAGGGCGGAGGGCTTGGAGGACGGCTCTGCTCTTGGGCCTCTGTTGCGGGTTCCCGGGGCTGTGGGGAATGCCTGCTAGTAGTTCTTGGGCAGTTTGCCCCTACCTGGGTTTTCTGCTTCTGGGCAGAGTTTTTCACCCATCCAGTCTGCTTGCTTCCCACTTTTGCTGGCCTGTTTTCGTATCTTTTGCGTCGATCACAGCCCTCTGTTCTGGTGGCTATTTTCTTCTGCCGGTTTCCCGGCGTGGCCACCAGGGCGGCATTGCGGTTTGTTTACATGCGCCTGGGTGTGCAAGCGAGCGTCTTGGGTGAGTTTTTCACCCTTTTTCATGGGTTTTATTCTCCTGTTGTCGTTTGTTTGCTTTTCTGGCGTTTTCTGTCCGTTTCCTCTTCTTCAGAGAACGTTTGAGTGTTGATTTTGCACCGGGTTTTCCATTTTTTCTGTTTTGGGCTCAGTGTCCCTGTCTGTTATGCTTGCTTCCCCACCTTGTCCCACCGGTCGTTGTCTTTTTTTTTTTTCACGTTGGTTGAAGCTTAGCTTCCGAACTGATGCTTGGTAGCCGGCGCGGTAGGTCCAGGGCTTCCCCCTCCCTCTCTCGGGGCAGGGAGGGCTGCGCAGACAATTGGCGCAGCAGTAAAGTGTGATTTTTGCTCGTTTCCTTGTGATTGTAGGGAGTTTCTACCTCTCTGTTCATTTTTTTTTTGTATTAGTTTTTTACCATGTGGGGTTTGTTTTGTTATGCCTTCCTTTCTGGGTGCCTAACCCCAGTCAATGGCAGATAAGGAAAACCCCCAACCACAAGGGTTTTTTCCAAGGCCATTGCTCCCTAGCTAATGTCCCGGTCTAATATAACATACATTAGCCCGACAAGCTCCAGGGAGCCTCAGGGGCTCACCCAGAAAATAGCGTTTCATTACATTCAACGCTGTTTTTTTACTCTTACTGCCCTTGGCTGTCTATCTTTGAGAGTCAGGCCCAAAGGATCTGGTGATTGAATAGAACCTTTCCAGGCAGGTATATTCCAAATCTACCATGTCCCTTCTGCAGGTGTGTTGTCTTGGGGGATCATTTCTCATCATTCTTATACGTCTGGTCCTCTGTCTCTTTTGTGGCTTATGTAAGACCTTGTTGGTTTGATTTCCATAAACTGTAGACTTGAACCATAGAGAGATGGCACAGGCCAACAACAGTGGGACCTTGCTAAAAATAAAGCACTGAATGGAATGAAATGCCATTTTCCGAGTGGCACCTGGATTACTAAGGGCTCTGCCTCTTATTTCTCATCTACCCCAACCAAGTTTGCTTTAGTGGAGTAGGCTTACTGAGGATGACCTGATACCCCTGACAGAATATTATGATTGTTCTGCCATCTAGTGGCAGCTGGTGTTGGGGTAGTTGCTAGCCATGTAATTTCAGAACATTTCTTAGCTGTCTTCAAGATCCCAATGGTAGTTTGAGGGAAGGTGTTAAGTGGTTCAATATGTTCTTTGATGTTATTGCAAGGGGTGGAATGAGGTACAATATGCTCTCCACTGCTTCTTGTCTCTGGACTGTGGTAAAGACAATTTGTAAGGTTACTTGTCTCGGTGGGGTTTGCAACCTGGTGTACTAGCATTGGTCTGGGGTGGCCCAATGCTATGGTTCTGAGAAGCAGAGGTGCTGCTCAGAATGGGGTATTTAATTCTACTTGACACTTTATTTCATTTTCAGTGTGTGGGGCTGGTGCTGTGATTCACAGTCATTCTAAAGCTGCTGTTTTGGCAACCTTGGCATTTGCTGGCACAGAATTCAAGGTGACTCACTTGGAAATGATAAAGGTTAGAAAATTACCTGTATCCCATTTTTATGTTTATTTATGTGATGCTTTATTCTGTAATTGTGGTATACAGTTGAATTTAAATTTTACACAAGATGATTAAGTGCAGTCTGTCTTTACACCAGAAAATATTGGAACCATTTGTCAATATAAACTACAGTATCAACTTTTAATTCTGCATGACAATGTATGGTGATATTACCTCAATTATTGCTTTATTTATATTAAAATTGAGGATGTAAGTGAGGATTCTGAGGGGGGGGGGGACCCCTTTGGCTCCCTGGAGCTAACCAGGCTAATATGGATATTAGACTTCGGCATCAGTCAGTGTGACTGGAGTTCATAGGCCTACCGGGTACCATGAGCCAAAACCTGGCCCCTCTCAGAGAGGCACGAGGAGCAATGGCCTATAAAAATGTGTGTGTGATTAGGAGTATTCTATGTCTTCCATTGACTGGGTCAGGCACCCAGAAAGGTAAGCATTTTAAAACAAACCCCTATTCTGGTTGAAACTACTATTGAAAGTCAAACGGGCGGACAGAAATCCCCAAAGAAAAACGAGCAAACGAGCATGACGTCACCACATGCCACCTTCTGCTCAGCTGCCCCATCTCCCCAGGATGGGGAAGTGGGGAGTCCCAGACCCCTCATGCCAGCTACCCACACCTTCAGTTCGTCAACTGATGTGAATGGTACTGTTCATTGTGGTTCTGGCTCCTGATTTTTGTCCTCTGCTCTGTGCCTTGTGGTTGTGGTGCAAGTCTTCTCTGGTGGTGCATGAGCCAGGAGTACTCTCTACAGTTCTTGGGCTGCATGTGCTTAGGGTCTCTTTCCCTAGATGCCCTGTAAGTACTGACCTTGGGGCTTGGGGACACCTTCCACAAGTCACCTTGGGATCTTCCTCTGCTTGTTCTTTTGCTACTCAGTGATCGACTGCCCTTAGTGCTGGGGTGTTTTCTGCTCCCTTGTGTGCCTTTGGGAAGGGGTAGTTTGCATTGGTAGGGGGTGCGGGGTACTGCACGGCTAGTTATCGCCTCTCATAGCGGCCGACTCTGTTCCGTCTGGGTACGTTGTCCTCTTGTGTTTTTTTTGTTTTTGTTCACTGCCTGAGGGGGGGGGGGTTCTGCCTTTTGTGTTAGATTGTTACCATAGTCTTAGTGGTCCCTCCACTAGGTCCCCATGAGTGGACACATCCCAGGGGTGCAGCTTTAGTGGATCTCTTGGGTATTGTGTGCCGGTTAGCAGTACCCTGCCTAGGCTTACCCTTAGCTATATCAGTCTAAGGGCCCTGGGAAACCCCGCAGCCATGAGGGTCCAATAGAAGCAACCTCTTAGTCTCCTCTTGCTTAGTGTGAGTTTGAGGGTTGCTCTGTCCTCTTGTCTCAGGGTGACTCTCACCGTTTTTGTCTCCGTCATGCTTCCTGTTGGGTCAGTGACACCTTCGACCCAGAGTTCTGTGAGTTTTGTTGCTTGTTAGTAACTCGGTTCACCCTGTCCACTGATGTTTATCTTTGGGTGCTAGCAGCGCAAGTGTTGCATGCTAGGTTTAGATTGCAGCAACGTGTTTGGTTAGTTGCTGTCCTGGAAGCCCCGAGGCTGCCCCATTTTGGTTATAGGGGTCCAGACTTGGGGGTGGTGGTCGCTTCAACTCACTCACTCACTCACACTCTCTCTCTCTCACACTCTCTCTCTCTCACTCACACTCTCTCTCTCTCACTCACACTCTCTCTCTCTCTCTCTCTCTCTCTCTCTCTCTCTCTCTCTCTCTCTCTCTCTCCTCTCTCTCTCTCTCTCCAGAGAGAGAGAGAGACAGAGAGAGAGACAGAGAGAGAGAGACAGAGAGAGAGACGGACAGATGCCAGACCTGTCTCCTGCAGCACATATCAAGCGGATAACATCAGCGGCATATGCCAGGCTGGCCAACATACGAACGGCATTCAGAAACTTGTGTAAAGAATCATTCAGAACTTTGTATACCACATATGTCAGGCCAATCCTGGAGTATGCAGCCCCAGCATGGAGTCCATATCTAGTCAAGGATAAGACTAAACTGGAAAAGGTTGAAAGGTTTGCCACCAGACTAGTACCCGAGCTGAGAGGTATGAGCTATGAGGAGAGACTACGGGAATTAAACCTCACTTCGCTGGAAGACAGAAGAGTTAGGGGGGACATGATCACCACATTCAAGATTCTGAAGGGAATTGATAGGGTAGATAAAGACAGTCTATTTAACACAAGGGGAACACGCACAAGGGGACACAGGTGGAAACTGAGTGCCCAAATGAGCCACAGAGATATTAGAAAGAACTTTTTTTAGTGTCAGAGTGGTTGACAAATGGAATGCATTAGGGGGTGATGTGGTGGAGGCTGACTCCATACACAGTTTCAAATGTAGATATGATAGAGCCCGATAGGCTCAGGAATCTGTACACCTGTTGATTGACGGTTGAGAGGCGGGACCAAAGAGCCAGAGCTCAACCCCCGCAAACACAACTAGGTGAGTACTGACAGACAGACAGACAGACAGACAGACAGAGAGAGAGAGAGAGAGACAGAGAGAGACTTGGATCTTGGCTCTTGGTAGGTCAATGTGATCCCAGTAGCCTGGCACAATTCAGCACTTAATTACCTTAGAGCTGCTGAAAACCTTTCAAAATGGGTGTTTCACTGCATTCAGTGCTAAATTTGTATTTGGACAATCGGTATTTTGTAGTAGCAAACTCGGCAGCTAACTATACATTTGCTTTTCAGGGCGTAAAATGTGCATCGGAAAATCGTCAATTGCGTTATGATGAAGAATTAGTCGTGCCAATTATTGAGAATACTCCTTTCGAAGCAGATTTAGCTGATAGTATGTCTCAGGTAAGTTTAAACAGTTTATTATTATGTTTGGCTTGAATTGCATCTACTCTTTTGTTCACTGACAAAATAATTTAACATTATAAAACCTGTTAATAAAAAAAAAACATGAAAAATATGATAGATGCAGCTAGAGTGTTGCTTTAAGGAATGTTAGTGCAGACTTTTATGTACGCTCCGCCCATCAAGAACATCAATCTCAAGATGATGTTCTATGGGTACAGGCAGCGCAGGCACTGCTTGCTCGTTTTAGGTTATTGCAACACTCTAGGTTGGTTGCTCACCCGGATGCCCCGAGGCTGCCCCGTTTTGCTTATAGGGACCTGGACTTGGGGGTGGGTGTCGATTCGACCTTGGTTCAGTCCGCATCCCCTCGTTCTTTCCCTGCTCTGGTGAGTCCTGGTTCCTTCCGTCCCCGAAGCGTCTGAGGGTTTCTGAGTAGGGGCAGGGTTTAGATGGTCCCGAGTCTCTGGGGATGCCCCTTCCGGTGTGACTACGGAGGCATTCGAGTCCGATCTCCCTGCCGACGCCTCTGGGTCTGACCAGTGGGCCCACTTCTGTTCAGCTTACTCGGCTGTGCGAGCTTTTTCTTTAGGGGTCAGTGCTCTGGGGGATGACTCGGCCCCGGGTCCCAAGGAAGGGAATCTTGGGCTGGGGAGGGGCTGACTTGGTGGCCTTGGATCCCGCTGGACCCCACCTGGGTTTTTCTACCCACAGAGTGGGGCTTATTGTTACAAGGAGTGGCCTCACCCTCCCCCATACACCAACACCACTCCTCCCTCCCTCCCTCACCCTCCCCCATACACTAACACAGCTCCTCCCTCCCTCCCTCCCTCCTCACCCTCCCCCATACACCAACACCACGCCTCCCTCCCTCCTCACCCTCCCCCATACACCAACACAGCTCCTCCCTCCCTCCCTCCTCCCCCTCCCCCATACACCAACACAGCTCCTCCCTCCCTCCCTCCTCACCCTCCCCCCATACACCAACACTCCTCCCTCTCTAATCAATCACCGTCTCCCATATGCCATCAAGAGTCCTCAGTAAAGGTAAAGTGCAGTTAAATATTCACTTATTTTATTTATGGTTTATATTTATACCTGATTGTTTCGTGTATGAATAATATGAGTAGTATTCTGTATAAAATGTATTTTTTTATGTTAATACTTTTGGGGGTGTGGACTGGATTAATTCAATTTACATTATTTCTTATGGGAAGATTTGTTTTGGTTTACAAATTTCTGTTGTATGACGCGTCTCTGGGAATGGATTAGGATTGTAAATGAAGGTACGTTTAATTTGCACAAAATATTTGAATTTTTTTTAAATTTGCATAACCCAGAGAAATATAATTAGGAAAGGTGCTGAACAATATACAGTACAGTGGTACCTTCATTTACGAATTTAATTCGTTCCCAGAGATGGTTCGTCAACCAAAAATTCGTAAACCGAAGCAAATTTTCTCGTAAGAAATACTGTAATGTAAATTGAATTAAACCGTTCCACACCCCAAGAATATTAACTTCATAATACATTTTATGTATAATACTACTCATATTTTGTACTACAGTATAGTATATATATGTACCTTTATTGAAGACTCTTGTTGGCATATGGAAGACAGTGAGGAGGGGCAGAGGAGAGGTGTCCCCTTCCATTATAACATCGGGCAGTGATGCCATTTCTGGGGATACTTTCTCTCCAACGTTTTGCAGTCACACCACTAGGACCTGGTCGGGCTCACTTCTTGCTGGTCTTACTAAGACCTTTACTTTTTCCCATGCCCCACAACACTATGAATACCAATTCTTTTTCTAAATTTCTCAAACCATCCCCTGCTCGCCTTAAATGCTTTAATATTTGCATCACTCGTTTGAGGGTTTTCTTTATAAAATCTTCATGCAATAGCCTTGCTTTTTCACAAATGATGCCCTCTGAAACGCTTTCAGAGACCTATGGCATGATATATATATAATAAGGACTTTTATGTTCAGAAACCGAAAAAGCACAAAAACAATAAAATTATTCACAATGAATTTAACGCGTTCGTCACTAGGCGGGAGACACTGGTAAAATGAAGCACACCACGTGCTAAGTTGGCCCATATGTGTATCAACAAACCCGTCAAGCGAGGTAAAGCTCGTATACCGAGTTGAATGTTAAGAAGAAACTGAGCTCGTAAACAGAAAAATTCATAGAGAGGGACGTTCGTCAACCAAGGTTCCACTGTACTGTGGTTTGATTGAATTTTCAGGGTAACACTGCATGCTGTACGTGTTTTTGCTCATCACCTTTCTGAGAATGAAGGAAATTAATTTTTAGAGCAAATTAGCAGAACATAGGTGCTGTACATCATTAACTATTCAGGTATTGTTAAAAATTGCATGTTAAATGATATTTTTGTATATAGCATAAGCAAATGTTTATTCTCCCTTTGCCCCATGTAAAATGATGTTGAGCACAAGAAGAGATTGGCTAGTCAGGAGTATTAGGTTGATTTGTATACCGGTAATTATTCTTTTGTAATTGTACAGAATAGACATTAAATGACTTAAGGTTTTTCAGGAAAAAGATTTTAATTTATGAATATGTTTCAGGCTATAGAACATTATCCGAACACAAATGCAGTCTTGGTGAGGCGGCATGGTGTTTATGTTTGGGGCGACTCATGGGAGAAGGCCAAGACTATGTAAGTACAGGTACACATCAATACAGGATAAGTATAATGATAAGAGGTGCTAACAATAAAAAAGCACCAGCATGTTTTGGACAAGTTTTTGTAAAATATTTGTGTAAAATGGAATATTACTATACAGGGAAACCTGAGTAAATTATGCAATAGTAAAGCTTTACTTCTTTCCTAGTTGGACTGTGACTTTTAAATCTCTGTGTAAGTGAACATCAAAAGAATTAATATTTAAAAAAGGGTATGTAATTTGCGAGGATACAACACCAAATTTCCAGGGTGTAACCAGATAATAGGATCGATGGTCTTGGACAAAGGAGGGGAACTGAAGAATACGTTGTTTATTTGGATTTTTTTCTAAGTATTTTTCTAGCTGTATATTAATACTTCTTTAGGTCTTTGCCTCTTCTAATGAGTGTCATTTTTGGGTGTTGTGGAAAGGTGCCTCTCTTCTGGTTGGGGATTTTTTGCTCCAGCCCTTTGGTGGTGCTGTGGAGGAATGCTCAGCCCTTTTTGCCAGCTTCTGGACCCACAATGCATGGGACTTGTAATTACTGTACATGCACCTAAGTGTAATTACAGGAAGAAAGTTACACTCATGGTGTCCTGGCTTCCTAGTACTCTATCATATTAGCTTTGAAACTATTGATGGCTTTGGCATCCACTGCCTTCTCACTTGTTCCAGTTGCCTACCACTCTGCAAAAGAGAATTTTGTAATATTTTTTCATCACTTTTCTCATCTTGAACCTATGACGTCTTGAAGTTGCAGGTTTAAAAAATTCCTGTCAATTGTGTAAGATTCCCATTACTGTTTTGGACGTAGTGATCATGTCGCCTGTTTTCCGTCTTATCTTATAGATTTGGCATATTTAACATCTCTCGCCTCTCTTTGTATTTCTTGGTTTTTCAATTCCAGAATCCATTTAGTAGAATGTCTTTGCACCCTTTCTATTTTATTGATGTGCTTCTTGAGATATGGGAACTGTACAACTGCTGATATTGTAATTTTTATGTGTTCCTTTGTATCTCTCTCATTTAAAAAAGTTGGAGTCTGTCATTGTCTACACGTTCAATTCCCCATTGATTACTTTGTGAATGGAGTAACAGATGGCAGGGAAATTCAGTGAGAGTAAATGTCACTTTATGGATTGTGGAATAGGAGAAAGTAGGCCATACAACCTATAAATTGTATGAAAAAACATTAACCCTTAAACTGTGCAACACGTCATATGACGATGACGTGTTGGAGTACTATGCAAGATTTAAATGGCCCGCGGATACACAGGGTTCACCTCACCTTCATCAGGGCTCTTATAAACAGACACCATTTAAAAAAAAATCATGGGCCACATTCCCGGGAGTGGGGTCCTCAGTACTGAGTGAGCCACCAAGGCTCGTGCATGTAGCATGAGCTCACAGCACTGCTGTTCAGCTTGTGACCACAGAATCGCATAAAAATACCATAATATATATATACGTGCTATTATTTAGTGATGATAGTATTACAGAAGACCCCTGACTGTGATAAAAATGACCAGGATTCTGATAATAGCAGGATTGTTGTGATAATTAGCACTGTAGTGGGAGGAGTAATCTTGGTGGGGAGGGAGGTAGCATTGTCTGCTGACTCTGTGTGACCACCTTTTACTGTCTGGACTCACTATACCAGCTTAGTTGTTCTCTATGGTAAACAAAACATGCAGATACTTATATATAACATCTGTATATAGTGAATAAAAGCAAAAACAATATGGTGGGAGGAGAAGGGTGGCGAGTCAGGTGAGGTGAGGGAGGGAAGGAGTGACAGCCAGTGACAGGTTGCTACTGCCACTCAGCTTAGTGGTTCATTATGGTGAACACAACTGTAGATACTTATATATAGTGTGTATATAGTGTAATAACAGCAAAAGGAGTGTGGGGAGAAGCCATTTTGTTGAGGGAGGTGGCTACATCTGCACGATTTATCATGCTGGGTAGGGGTGGTCACTATGCTGTTTGGGCACTATACCAGCTTAAATGAACAGTTATGGTGAACAGAACATGTTGATACTTATATATAACGTCTGTATATAGTGAATAAAAGCAAAATCAGTATGGTGGGAGTAGAATGGTGGCGAGTCAGGTGAGGTGAGGGTGGGAGGGAGTGACAGCCAGTGGCGGGCTGCTATTGGCTGTCACTGCCACTGCCACTCAGCATACCAACTTTAGTGGTTCGTTATGGCGAACACAAATGTAGATACTTATATATAATGCGTATATATAGTGTAATAACAGCAAAAGGAGTGTGAGGAGAAGCCATTTTGGTGAGGGAGGTGGCGACATCTGCATGATTTATCATGCTGGGTAGGGGTGGGCACTATACAGGCTTAGATGAACAGTTACGGTGAACAGAACATGTAGATACTTATATATAACGTCTGTATATAGTGAATAAAAGCAAGAACAGTATGGTGGGAGGAGGATGTGGGCGAGTGAGGAGTCATTGAGGGAGTGGCGGTGAGAGGTTGACTGGCAGATGTGGTGGCCACACCTCGCTGCTTTTTGACTTGCAACATCAACTTAGTGGTTCATTATGGTGAACAAAACATGCAGATACGTATATATAACCTGTGTATATAGTGTAATAACTGAGAAAGTATTTGTTTATTGTTTTATGAACACAATAATCGAATCAATAATATGCACACCATAATTTTAAGTACAACGATGATTCACACATTTGATTATACAGTACAACCTCGATTCAACGTACCCCGATTCAATGAATCTCCGGCTGGTTCGCACACTTTTTAGGCCGGATTTACTCGCCCAGTTCGTCGAATAATGGTTTGCCGAAGCGGGGGATGTTCGGATTTGCTTACGATGTCGAGACAGAGTTCACAGACTGGTGGAAAACTTTCCCATTATATCACAGATTACAATTAATAATTCGCTCATATGAGAAGTTCGATCACACAAGTGGACCACACAAGTGGACCGCACAAGTGGTCCACAAGCTTACGATTTTGGGACAGAGTTCACAGAGTGGTGGAAAGCTTTCCCATTCCATCACAGGTTACAGTTAATAATTCCTTTATATGACAAGTTGGATCACACAAGTGGACCACCCATGTGGGCCACACAAGTGGACCACAAGTGGTTCACAAGCTTACGATGTTGAGACAGAGTTCACAGAGTGGTGGTAAACTCATTCTATCTACAATTAATAATTTTCTTCATAACATAATAAGTTGCATTGTAGCTAGTGAAGTTTTTTGTATTTTCTTAAGATTGGCACCAATGATCTCATTACATTGCCACATACACTATACTGTTATCAGTTCATGACAGTATATGTTTCTAGTTGTAGTGGTGTAATAAAAGATTTCTATCAAAAATGTCTGAAAGGGAAAATTTCATATCCTTAGTTATATTTGTTATATAACCGCATACAAACAACTCCACAAGAGCCTTGATGAGGGTTTGAGCATACACACAGGATGTTCCCAGATGCGCCTTAGTCAACTGTATCACCACATGGTCAAAAGAATTGCAACCTGGAGTGCTTCTGTCCTCACGAGGATCCCGAAGTTTCTCTGAAGCCTAATTGTATGAAACATGGGGGAATTGTGTGAAACCCCAGTTAGGCTTCGGAGAAGCTTTGGGATCCTTGTGAGGGCAGTAGTACTTCAGGTTGCAATTCTTTTGACCATGTGGTGATACAGTTGACCAAGCGCATCTGGGAACATCCCATGTGTAGGTTCGAACCCTCATCAATGTCCTTGGGAATTTGTTCATTTGATATATCATGTTATTGTGATTTCTGTGTGAACTGCATATAAATACCAAAGAGGGAGTCTCACTTAATTGAGTAAACAAACATAGCCTCCACATGTGTATCTCACACTTCACATGGCTTCCACAGTATTCACATTACACACCACATGGCTTCCTCCATGTGTTCGCATTACACACTACATACTTAATTTACGATATACTCCGTCTTAAAACCTAATGTGTATAGAATCATCTAACACATTTCAAAATCACTGTCCTTATGTATCACTGATAAAATTCTATTTCCTTTAATCAGGGCTGAATGCTATGATTACTTGTTTGACATAGCAGTTCAGATGACAAAGTTTGGACTTGATCCATCAAAACCTCCAGAGGATGAAAACACACAACAGGTGAATGGTAAATAATATCTTCTGTTGATTAAAGCTTTTATTGACTGGTGTACAATATGAATACAAATAATTTGCCTTTAGAAATGCCCAGGAGTTTAGTGTTATGAGCCTCTGCTATTATTTAAGTTGATTTTATAAGATTACATTTCCTGTTTTTCCTAGACAGTTCATGGAATTTGTAATGTATGTTACCTGTATGTAGCTTTATTGGTATTCTAGTTAGGGAAATTATACTACTGTATATAATGTGCTTTATTGATATTCTAGTTAGGGAAATTATACTACTGTATATAATGTGCTTTAATTTTTTAATGCTATGTTGTGTGGTTTAATACAACAGCATCTGTATTTTTTTTTTTTTTTTTTGTGATTGCAAAAATTACATTAATTTCCATGTTCATTTGATACCAGATCCAACCCTACTAAAAATAAAACTGTAATACTGTAGATGTAATGCGTTGATATAAGGAGACTACCTACCTGTTGAAGATTCTGGGGAACAATGTTCCCCCACAGCCCAGTCTCTGACCAGGCCTCCTGGTTGCTGGTATGTTCCACCAGGTTGTTTGATGTGGCTGCTCACAGTCTGGTTGATCAGGTATCCTCTGAAGGACTAATGTTTTAAAATAAATGTATGCAGGGCCATTTAACCAACGAGCTAATTGGACTTCAGCCTCGGAAATGGGCTCAAGGAATGCTTGCAGCTTGATTTTCTAAGATGACCCCCTCAATAGTTCCCCAAGCTTCATTGCAGTTGTAGCCAAGCCTTGGAAATCACACCAGGCCTCTGCAAATTAAGTAGACCTAGCAAGTAATTATCAAAAGAAGGCACCAAGCTGGGAAGGCTACGTAGCAACATAAAATGTGCGGGATATTCAAAAGGCGCTAAATATCACTAAGGATGCCAACACGAGAACAAAAGCTCATAAGACGACCGATATCAAAGGTATCCGATTCACCTTTCACCACCACCTCGGGAACAGTCGGGATGAAAGACGCACGTACATCCTGGAAGTCAGGACATTCAACAAGGGTATGCACGACTGTAAGAGAGAATGCAGTCTGGATAATAACGAGCAGGATGGCGCTCCATTAAGTGTCCGAGAGTTAAATGTGCAAGGCCAATACATAACCTCGCCAGAGCCGTTTCCCACCGCCAGATACTGTGGTAGAAGGAAGGCTATGGGGGACACACTACCCTTAAGAGTAGTGTACAAGAATCTGTTTAACAGTAACAGAAGACCAGCAATCCTGCCAACAGACACAGATTGAGGAATGAATAACTGGCCAGAAGTCAAAATAAGGAGCACCTTTGTGGAAAATGGGACAAGTGCATATTGCCTCCTTAGCAGCAGCATCCACATTGAATTTCAAGTGTCCGGGCACAGGCAACACGCACAGTTGTAGCCAGGAACTTACACGGAATAACTTACACCGTCGGCAGACTTGGATCCATCTGTGAAGACTGAAATGAGGGGGGGTGTGTGAAGAAAAGTGAGGAAGGAAAGAAAAGACATTTTATAACTAGGAGGGGTAGTGGGTCAAGGTTTTACAAAACTTAAGAAGAGGCAAGGACAGAACTTGTACTACTTGCTCCCCTCCATGGAGGCAAGGACGGAATGACATCAGAAATATTGGCAACAAGAAACCGAGGAAGAACCTTGCATGCAAAACAATCGGACAGATAGGGGATGGTGATGAAAGGAAACAGGGTCTACAGGAGGGGTAATGGTGAAAGTACAACATGAGTGAGGGTGTTGTAGGGACCACACAAAGTAGTAAAGACAGTAGCGACCACTACAATCCTGTATAGACGGGATGCTGGTTTCAACATACAGGCTCAGGGTAGGAATTGAACGAAAGGCGCCAGAGTCGAGGTGTAACCCAGTATGGGGAAGAGCATCAAAACAATGAAGAGTAGAAAGAGAGGCAGACAAGTAAGCAGGATAGCCATAATTGAGTTTAGATAACACGAGAGAGGAATGTAATGAACATGCACCTATTAGCTTTCCAGGAAGTATGGGACAAGACCTTAAGTAAGTTAAGGGCCTTAGAGCATTGAACTCGGAGGAAAGTGATATGAGGCGACCAAGACAAACAAGTGTCAAAGATTAACCCCAGAAGTTTAGCAGAATCTTTATACAAAAGAGGATTACCATAAAGCGAGCGACAAAGGGGGACAAGTAATTACCTACTTCCGAGTAAAAGACACGACATTGCAAGTTGAAGCCACCGTTGGAGGAAAGTAGTCTTCATCTTGACAGTAGAGGGAAAATCATCAACATAGAGCTGAGAAAATGCCAGAGGGAAGGAAGGAAGGAAGGAAAAGACCAATGAGAGCAACCAGGAAAATAGTAGTGCTCAGAACACTACTTTTGGGTACACCTTCGTATTGCTGAATAGAGGTAGAGTGGCACAAAGCCTCGCTCTAAAGGATCGACTAGAGAGAAAGCTTTGGAGGAAGACGGGGAGATTACCACGAAGGCCATTACTCACGAAGCATCTGGCACCAGTAAGAATTACAGAAGATGGAAGGGACCTATTATCAAAATTGATCTTCACTAGGTGAAGAGGCTGACAACAACGACCACGAGTGGGTTGAGTGAATGTATCAATCTGGAAGATATGGCCTTGGGCCTCAAGGATATGTTTAATATCCTCGTGGCAGTCTTTCAGTTCCTAATCACCAGGTGCGGGAGAATAACTGCAAATTCTGGCATTTAACAGGGCATTTTTTTTTTTTTTTTTTTTTTAGATCCAAACAGATGTCTTTAATGCTTGCTAATGACATGGGTCTATAATTTAAAGGTTCCACTTGATTACCATTTTTATAAATTGGTACTTAGTTTGCCTCTTATCATATATCTGCTAATATTCCTGTGCACAAGGATGTCTGGAATATCAATTGGAGTGGAATGCTCAGCTCAGTTGTACATTCTCTCTGCACCCAAGGTAAAACTCCATCAGGTCGAACCACTTTACAGTATTTCTTCCTAGCCCCACGAGTAATTTTTCCACTTTGTCTCGAGATAACTATGTATTCTATTGCGTGTGGATTGGCATTCCTGTTCTTCACAGGCAGGCTCACCTTTGTGTGTTTAGTGCTGATTTGGCTTTGTCTTGGTTCAGAAACTTCCACCCCCTTCTGTGGTTGTTCTGTGTTGTGGGTGAAAGAGAGGTGTTCACAAGGGCAGCAGGCAATGTAATAACATTGCCTGCTGCCCTTGTGAACACCTCTCTTTCACCATTCATACCAGCTAGTTTTCCAAGTTGTCTTTACCGACTGGCCTTATTCCTGCTGCTTTGTTTCAGTCTCTGTAAACAGTCATTCATTCTTCATGTTCTCTACATTTAGCTCGGATCAGACTCTCGTATCTTCATCACAGGAGGACCTCCATTTCCAGTATTATGTCAAATGGGGTGTCGAGTTTTAAATTGTCCTCTTTTATGTCATAGAAAATGGTGTTTTTGGTAGGGAAGTAAATATAATTTCCTGTCTTTCCACTTCACCTAGGTAATAAGATCATTTGAAAAAGTTTCTCATTGCCATGAACATAGGCCATCAGAGCCCAGTGGAAAGATTGTGCTCAGAGTGGACCCAGGCCATGACTTGGGGAGTGACTGAGGGTCTGCAAAAAGAAGTTATTACATGTTACATTTTTTCCCTTCAAAATTATAATTTCCTACCTAATTAACTTTCTAACTGCTTTCTTCATTTGTAGCTTGGGATAAAGTTATTACTAAATACAAGGCATAAACCAGAGGCTGTTGCAATCTATTTGAGCAAGCTAACTACAATATTAGTTTGTCCAACTTGCTTGCCATACCAACCAGTGTTGAGATGCTGTGCATTTTCTGCTAGCTGCCCAAGGTGTTGTATGATATTACTCGACCTAAGCTTTTGATTTGATTACGTTCCTTGAGAATTATTTGAAAATACTAAATATCCTGTCATCATATCAGCAAAGACACATTAATGTGGCACTTACAATTTTACTACTGTACAGTACTAGCAAAGAGTACTGTACAGTAGTTCACCCTCTCTGGCAAATTTTCAGCTTGTTTAAGAAAAGAGAGAAGGCTTAAAGAAGATCTAGCATCACTAGTAACAGCTTCTGGAAATACAGGAAAGATGAGACAAGTTATAGAGGATCCGAGGTAAAACTCACCAGAGTCTTCAAGTGTGTAGAAGAATTTAGATAAAGGTGGTGATTGAGCTGCAGGACTGACAAAAAGCAGTGGAAAAGGAAGGAAAGACAACAGAGGACATAATTAAATTGGTAGAGAATGAGTTGAAAAATAAGAAACAAGATATATTTAATAAGTATATGTAATAGTGATGGATTGGCTTTTATTGCAATTTGGCCTTCACTAGCATTCCCAACAATATACAACAGTTCTTGCACTTAATGTGAAAATGAAGCTATTTATTTTAACTTGACTGTTCTATAAATTGTTCATATCCTAATATATTGTAAAATTTATATATTTTTTATCACTGACTACCCTTCATAGTATATGTATAATAGTTTTATTTACAAAGTGCTTGATGGATATTGCCCTTTGATCTTATTGGAAATATGTTTGGAAATTTAAATGTTCACGAGTTCTGTAAACTCTATAATAAATAAGCTTTTAATATTTTCTTCATAAAGGATGTTTATATATGCAAGCTAGTGTTATTGTGTCAGCTGGCAAACATTTGCCAAGTGATTTAAGTAGCTGAAATAATGTGATTATGTACATTTTGCAATATTAAATTAAAGCAGCTAAAAAATATGTAGACTAACTAGATTTATAGTTACATGTAGTAAATAAACTTTATACTGTATTTACATAGCATTATAAATAAATTTTCAGTGCATACGCAACTTCTTGTGCTTGTTTCCAGAACAGAGATGTCATTTTATATCCAAAAAAGTTGTATTCACAAAAGTATAATGTTTCATATACTGTACCAATAAGTTTGATTACAATCTATCTAATTTTCATTGAGGATCATTCTTTTTTCAATATAGTGGTGCTCAGTTTAAGTTACAAGAAAGGAAAACTTTCTTGTAGGGAATATTATGTTGTTATGGTTGATGATCATGATAAAATGCACATTATTATTTGGGGATGTTGGCATTAACTGACAGTTTCAACAACAGATTAAAAAAAAAAAAAAAAAAAAAAAAAAAAACTGTTTAATTAACCACTGCACCTCTCAGGCTTAATGTAATAAAACACATATTTGGGTGACTCCCAACTATTAGATTGCATCAGCTATGGAGTTGTGTTTTGTGTACTGGGGACCAGAGCCAGAACCTGGCCCTCTCACATAGGTGCAGGAAGCAGGTGGCACTCTGCCACCTCACTGGGGGAAGGCAACCAGAAAACTAACCAATACAGAGTACTGCTGGGTTCAAAGAGACTGAAGCCTCAAAACCTGCCAAAACAAGCTGCCCCAACCATGTAAACAATAGTCTCTCGAAACAAGCATGTGCTCATTTGCCCTACCCCTGCCACTCGTTTGGAAGAGGGGCACGTATTGGGCGCCTGGAGAGACTAATTACTTTTAGATTACTCTGGAGAAGATGCATACACAAAATACCTCAACTGACGATCTGGAAAGGAGGAGAGAATCGGGGAGTTTTTTTTTTTACTATAGTAGTGGTTTTCTAGTGGTAGCCCCTTGTGGTTTGCTAAAGCTAAATACCCATGAAGAAAAACAAGAACACACCAAGGAAGAGGATCAATGAAACAGAGTATCCAGGCTGAGAGACTTGATTTGCAACACAAGGATGACAAGGTCCAGGAACCACACCAAGGAGGAGAAGAAACGAAGAAGAAAAAGCTTCTCCAATGGTTTTGTTGAAGACATCATAAGAAGGAAAGTGAAACGCCATGCAACCTCTGAAGAGACAACTAACACAACACCTATACTCATAAAATGGAGGAAAGGGTCCTGAAAGATATCGTTAATAGAAACGTTATCCCTACAGACAAAAATCAGAAGATACAACTGACGATTTACTATAAAACCAAGAAAACGGCCAGTAAATACAAGGCATAAACCAGAGGCTGTTGCAATCTATTTGAGCAAGCTAACTACAATATTAGTTTGTCCAACTTGCTTGCCATACCAACCAGTGTTGAGATGCTGTGCATTTTCTGCTAGCTGCCCAAGGTGTTGTATGATATTACTCGACCTAAGCTTTTGATTTGATTACGTTCCTTGAGAATTATTTGAAAATACTAAATATCCTGTCATCATATCAGCAAAGACACATTAATGTGGCACTTACAATTTTACTACTGTACAGTACTAGCAAAGAGTACTGTACAGTAGTTCACCCTCTCTGGCAAATTTTCAGCTTGTTTAAGAAAAGAGAGAAGGCTTAAAGAAGATCTAGCATCACTAGTAACAGCTTCTGGAAATACAGGAAAGATGAGACAAGTTATAGAGGATCCGAGGTAAAACTCACCAGAGTCTTCAAGTGTGTAGAAGAATTTAGATAAAGGTGGTGATTGAGCTGCAGGACTGACAAAAAGCAGTGGAAAAGGAAGGAAAGACAACAGAGGACATAATTAAATTGGTAGAGAATGAGTTGAAAAATAAGAAACAAGATATATTTAATAAGTATATGTAATAGTGATGGATTGGCTTTTATTGCAATTTGGCCTTCACTAGCATTCCCAACAATATACAACAGTTCTTGCACTTAATGTGAAAATGAAGCTATTTATTTTAACTTGACTGTTCTATAAATTGTTCATATCCTAATATATTGTAAAATTTATATATTTTTTATCACTGACTACCCTTCATAGTATATGTATAATAGTTTTATTTACAAAGTGCTTGATGGATATTGCCCTTTGATCTTATTGGAAATATGTTTGGAAATTTAAATGTTCACGAGTTCTGTAAACTCTATAATAAATAAGCTTTTAATATTTTCTTCATAAAGGATGTTTATATATGCAAGCTAGTGTTATTGTGTCAGCTGGCAAACATTTGCCAAGTGATTTAAGTAGCTGAAATAATGTGATTATGTACATTTTGCAATATTAAATTAAAGCAGCTAAAAAATATGTAGACTAACTAGATTTATAGTTACATGTAGTAAATAAACTTTATACTGTATTTACATAGCATTATAAATAAATTTTCAGTGCATACGCAACTTCTTGTGCTTGTTTCCAGAACAGAGATGTCATTTTATATCCAAAAAAGTTGTATTCACAAAAGTATAATGTTTCATATACTGTACCAATAAGTTTGATTACAATCTATCTAATTTTCATTGAGGATCATTCTTTTTTCAATATAGTGGTGCTCAGTTTAAGTTACAAGAAAGGAAAACTTTCTTGTAGGGAATATTATGTTGTTATGGTTGATGATCATGATAAAATGCACATTATTATTTGGGGATGTTGGCATTAACTGACAGTTTCAACAACAGATTAAAAAAAAAAAAAAAAAAAAAAAAAAAACTGTTTAATTAACCACTGCACCTCTCAGGCTTAATGTAATAAAACACATATTTGGGTGACTCCCAACTATTAGATTGCATCAGCTATGGAGTTGTGTTTTGTGTACTGGGGACCAGAGCCAGAACCTGGCCCTCTCACATAGGTGCAGGAAGCAGGTGGCACTCTGCCACCTCACTGGGGGAAGGCAACCAGAAAACTAACCAATACAGAGTACTGCTGGGTTCAAAGAGACTGAAGCCTCAAAACCTGCCAAAACAAGCTGCCCCAACCATGTAAACAATAGTCTCTCGAAACAAGCATGTGCTCATTTGCCCTACCCCTGCCACTCGTTTGGAAGAGGGGCACGTATTGGGCGCCTGGAGAGACTAATTACTTTTAGATTACTCTGGAGAAGATGCATACACAAAATACCTCAACTGACGATCTGGAAAGGAGGAGAGAATCGGGGAGTTTTTTTTTTTTACTATAGTAGTGGTTTTCTAGTGGTAGCCCCTTGTGGTTTGCTAAAGCTAAATACCCATGAAGAAAAACAAGAACACACCAAGGAAGAGGATCAATGAAACAGAGTATCCAGGCTGAGAGACTTGATTTGCAACACAAGGATGACAAGGTCCAGGAACCACACCAAGGAGGAGAAGAAACGAAGAAGAAAAAGCTTCTCCAATGGTTTTGTTGAAGACATCATAAGAAGGAAAGTGAAACGCCATGCAACCTCTGAAGAGACAACTAACACAACACCTATACTCATAAAATGGAGGAAAGGGTCCTGAAAGATATCGTTAATAGAAACGTTATCCCTACAGACAAAAATCAGAAGATACAACTGACGATTTACTATAAAACCAAGAAAACGGCCAGCCTACTCATGAGAAACTCTCCAGACACAAAGCAGAACGCTTTAAAAAAGAGACCAACGTCATCTATGCCTTCAAATGCCCTCTTGGGGACTGTAAGCCTCAAAAAACTCAGTATATAGGCAAGACAACAACATCGCTTTCCAGGCGTTTAACGATGCATAAGCAACAGGGCTCCATTAAGGAACATATAATCTCTTCCCACAACCAAACCATCACCAGAGAAATCTTAGCAAACACAGAAATCATCGATAGATACAGCGATAGCAGGCAGCTTGACCTCTGCGAGGCACTACACATCAAGAAGTCAACACCAACAATCAACAGCCAATTAATGCACAACTATATTCTACCCACTTCAAGACTCTGCTCCAATATAGAAGCATCAAGAAATATGGGCCAATAGGCCCTCTGCAATTACTTCCATTCTTACCTTCAATACCCATTGTTTCGTGTTCTGGCTTGTGTTGAAAGTTTGTTTTCACCTCATCCAAAACTGTTGTAACATATCACCTCACCCAAATGCAGGTATAAGAAATCGAAGATGTTTAAGCTCTATTCAGTTATAAGTTGTGTGTGTGTGTAAACCAAAGTCTTTGAAAATGTAATAAGTTTTATGAAACGCTCTCAAGTGTCGCGTCAGACTAGAAATAAAAATGAATTTTGGAGAATTGATTTCTCATTTACCATCAACAGTGAAAAGAAACATAAAAAAGATCGAGAAAATTTGTGTTAGAATTATTAATCTTACTTTTCCGGTCATATTTAATAATATATGTCTACAGGAAAGACTGCTACCAAAATATACTAATGTATATTATATATTATATATTAATATATATATAAAACATTGCTCTCTGATGCCTTTCCAGAAGAATTTAATGCTGCACTATACAGTACTACACATCAATATTAGTTTGTCCAACTTGCTTGCCATACCAACCAGTGTTGAGATGCTGTGCATTTTCTGCTAGCTGCCCAAGGTGTTGTATGATATTACTCGACCTAAGCTTTTGATTTGATTACGTTCCTTGAGAATTATTTGAAAATACTAAATATCCTGTCATCATATCAGCAAAGACACATTAATGTGGCACTTACAATTTTACTACTGTACAGTACTAGCAAAGAGTACTGTACAGTAGTTCACCCTCTCTGGCAAATTTTCAGCTTGTTTAAGAAAAGAGAGAAGGCTTAAAGAAGATCTAGCATCACTAGTAACAGCTTCTGGAAATACAGGAAAGATGAGACAAGTTATAGAGGATCCGAGGTAAAACTCACCAGAGTCTTCAAGTGTGTAGAAGAATTTAGATAAAGGTGGTGATTGAGCTGCAGGACTGACAAAAAGCAGTGGAAAAGGAAGGAAAGACAACAGAGGACATAATTAAATTGGTAGAGAATGAGTTGAAAAATAAGAAACAAGATATATTTAATAAGTATATGTAATAGTGATGGATTGGCTTTTATTGCAATTTGGCCTTCACTAGCATTCCCAACAATATACAACAGTTCTTGCACTTAATGTGAAAATGAAGCTATTTATTTTAACTTGACTGTTCTATAAATTGTTCATATCCTAATATATTGTAAAATTTATATATTTTTTATCACTGACTACCCTTCATAGTATATGTATAATAGTTTTATTTACAAAGTGCTTGATGGATATTGCCCTTTGATCTTATTGGAAATATGTTTGGAAATTTAAATGTTCACGAGTTCTGTAAACTCTATAATAAATAAGCTTTTAATATTTTCTTCATAAAGGATGTTTATATATGCAAGCTAGTGTTATTGTGTCAGCTGGCAAACATTTGCCAAGTGATTTAAGTAGCTGAAATAATGTGATTATGTACATTTTGCAATATTAAATTAAAGCAGCTAAAAAATATGTAGACTAACTAGATTTATAGTTACATGTAGTAAATAAACTTTATACTGTATTTACATAGCATTATAAATAAATTTTCAGTGCATACGCAACTTCTTGTGCTTGTTTCCAGAACAGAGATGTCATTTTATATCCAAAAAAGTTGTATTCACAAAAGTATAATGTTTCATATACTGTACCAATAAGTTTGATTACAATCTATCTAATTTTCATTGAGGATCATTCTTTTTTCAATATAGTGGTGCTCAGTTTAAGTTACAAGAAAGGAAAACTTTCTTGTAGGGAATATTATGTTGTTATGGTTGATGATCATGATAAAATGCACATTATTATTTGGGGATGTTGGCATTAACTGACAGTTTCAAGAACAGATTAAAAAAAAAAAAAAAAAACTGTTTAATTAACCACTGCACCTCTCAGGCTTAATGTAATAAAACACATATTTGGGTGACTCCCAACTATTAGATTGCATCAGCTATGGAGTTGTGTTTTGTGTACTGGGGACCAGAGCCAGAACCTGGCCCTCTCACATAGGTGCAGGAAGCAGGTGCCACTCTGCCACCTCACTGGGGGAAGGCAACCAGAAAACTAACCAATACAGAGTACTGCTGGGTTCAAAGAGACTGAAGCCTCAAAACCTGCCAAAACAAGCTGCCCCAACCATGTAAACAATAGTCTCTCGAAACAAGCATGTGCTCATTTGCCCTACCCCTGCCACTCGTTTGGAAGAGGGGCACGTATTGGGCGCCTGGAGAGACTAATTACTTTTAGATTACTCTGGAGAAGATGCATACACAAAATACCTCAACTGACGATCTGGAAAGGAGGAGAGAATCGGGGAGTTTTTTTTTTTACTATAGTAGTGGTTTTCTAGTGGTAGCCCCTTGTGGTTTGCTAAAGCTAAATACCCATGAAGAAAAACAAGAACACACCAAGGAAGAGGATCAATGAAACAGAGTATCCAGGCTGAGAGACTTGATTTGCAACACAAGGATGACAAGGTCCAGGAACCACACCAAGGAGGAGAAGAAACGAAGAAGAAAAAGCTTCTCCAATGGTTTTGTTGAAGACATCATAAGAAGGAAAGTGAAACGCCATGCAACCTCTGAAGAGACAACTAACACAACACCTATACTCATAAAATGGAGGAAAGGGTCCTGAAAGATATCGTTAATAGAAACGTTATCCCTACAGACAAAAATCAGAAGATACAACTGACGATTTACTATAAAACCAAGAAAACGGCCAGCCTACTCATGAGAAACTCTCCAGACACAAAGCAGAACGCTTTAAAAAAGAGACCAACGTCATCTATTTAATAATATATGTCTACAGGAAAGACTGCTACCAAAATATACTAATGTATATTATATATTATATATTAATATATATATAAAACATTGCTCTCTGATGCCTTTCCAGAAGAATTTAATGCTGCACTATACAGTACTACACATCAATATTCAAAACAGTTTCCAAGGTATTAACAGTACTGCTCAATGGACAAAAAAATCAAGCTAAATAAAATCAATAAATTAATATTAGATCATTAATAGTTCCAGGCAAACAAACTTGTGAAGTCATTGCATACAATAGTACAGAAAACACCCATTGGCATACAACTTAACTTTCATTCACAATTATGACTTCTGGCCATTCAGATTCTAACCACATGCCATTTTCTTGAACATTAGGTGGGCTAGATTTCCAATCCCATTGTTTCACAGGAGTAAACCATGATAATCCATAATTTGATTTGATGTACTCTTCTGTTTGACATGGAATGCGCACCTTTAGATCAAGGAATTCTGTCCAGCAAAGCGTAAAAGCTGAAAATGAGTATCTGAAAAAAGTAATAATAATATTAATAATAGTTTTTACACTCGCAAAAAGCACAGGTGGCTAACACTCGCACAGATTACAGAACTGCAGGGTCATATCATTATCTAGGTGGTAGTACAAGAGAGAGCTATGCAAGTGGTGGTCCCGATACCATAAATATACCGAGATAAGTAATACAAGGTGGTGACTGGGGTTTGTTGACACACACATTTGAGAATGATTTGAAACAAAATGGTCGGCACAATGGGTTTGTCAGTGTCCACTGCGGCATCAACAAGTGAAGAAAACTTCAACTTGTTTCAACAAAAGTGTCAACAAGAGTTTCACCACAGAAGAAATGGGATAGGAGGTTTCCTTGGCAGGTAAGTTATGGTTGATAATTTGGTAAAGATATAAAGACTAAACCACACACCAGAAGATGATGATGTGGTTCCTGGACCATTATCATAGCTTGTGGTCCATGACGGACAGAAACGTTGTCATCTCCTTATCTTCTGGTAGGTGCTTTAGTCTTCATATCTTAAGCCATGTTATTGTAACTCAACTCTCCAATTTGCTAAAGATTTATGAAGGAAAACTTACAAAGATAATAATGACCTTAAGTTAGGATAAAAACCCATTGAGTATTTGTGAAATTTGTGTAAGGAATTTACACCAAGTCAAGGTACGAGTGTGTGATTAGAACGAGACTTACATCTCGACGCCTAATAACAGTTTAATGTCTTTTATCCTATGTTGTTATATCTGTGAGAAGACATTACCATTACTTAATGACCTTAAAGGTAAAACTGATATTTTACAGTAGCTTGAGGAAATTACAAGCTTGACTGACAAGGTAGAGAAACAGGTGGTACAAATCAAGGAACTAGTGAAAGAAAATGAGATATGGAAAATGAAAGGGGCTAATTTTAAGAAATAGGAAAATAGATATATATGAAGAACAATTCAAAGCAACCCTACTGACTAGCCAAAACAGAGAGGCAAGGATATGCTAATATAAACTTCCTGGACAGCTCAAAGAGAGCTGGTTACTAAATGATAGGAGAAGTGCAAACAGCAAATGAAAGTAACATATGCACAAGTTGTAAAGGAGAAAGAAATCTAACAAATATGTTTGGAAACCAAAAAGAGAAATGAGAAACAAGAAACAGACATTAGACAAGCAAATAGGAAAGAAATGGTTACCCGCAATAAATTAGTACAAAACACTGAATATAAGTCCACAATATTTTTGGGTGGATTTACAAAGGAGATACCACCTAGGATAAACAGAGCAGCAGAAGATAAAAAAAAAAAGCACAGAGAAAATAGTAAGTTTAGGATAAGGCCTTATAACAAAGAAAATTTTGAGGTGATTTTAGAAGAGGCAAATTATGAAAACGATAAGAATCACCCCTTAAGGGTGACATTTAATGTTCTGAATCAAGTAACAGAAGTGCTTAGGAATGACAGGAAGTTACAAAAGGAACCACACCAAGGAGGAGAAGAAACGAAGAAGAAAAAGCTTCTCCAATGGTTTTGTTGAAGACATCATAAGAAGGAAAGTGAAACGCCATGCAACCTCTGAAGAGACAACTAACACAACACCTATACTCATAAAATGGAGGAAAGGGTCCTGAAAGATATCGTTAATAGAAACGTTATCCCTACAGACAAAAATCAGAAGATACAACTGACGATTTACTATAAAACCAAGAAAACGGCCAGCCTACTCATGAGAAACTCTCCAGACACAAAGCAGAACGCTTTAAAAAAGAGACCAACGTCATCTATGCCTTCAAATGCCCTCTTGGGGACTGTAAGCCTCAAAAAACTCAGTATATAGGCAAGACAACAACATCGCTTTCCAGGCGTTTAACGATGCATAAGCAACAGGGCTCCATTAAGGAACATATAATCTCTTCCCACAACCAAACCATCACCAGAGAAATCTTAGCAAACACAGAAATCATCGATAGATACAGCGATAGCAGGCAGCTTGACCTCTGCGAGGCACTACACATCAAGAAGTCAACACCAACAATCAACAGCCAATTAATGCACAACTATATTCTACCCACTTCAAGACTCTGCTCCAATATAGAAGCATCAAGAAATATGGGCCAATAGGCCCTCTGCAATTACTTCCATTCTTACCTTCAATACCCATTGTTTCGTGTTCTGGCTTGTGTTGAAAGTTTGTTTTCACCTCATCCAAAACTGTTGTAACATATCACCTCACCCAAATGCAGGTATAAGAAATCGAAGATGTTTAAGCTCTATTCAGTTATAAGTTGTGTGTGTGTGTAAACCAAAGTCTTTGAAAATGTAATAAGTTTTATGAAACGCTCTCAAGTGTCGCGTCAGACTAGAAATAAAAATGAATTTTGGAGAATTGATTTCTCATTTACCATCAACAGTGAAAAGAAACATAAAAAAGATCGAGAAAATTTGTGTTAGAATTATTAATCTTACTTTTCCGGTCATATTTAATAATATATGTCTACAGGAAAGACTGCTACCAAAATATACTAATGTATATTATATATTATATATTAATATATATATAAAACATTGCTCTCTGATGCCTTTCCAGAAGAATTTAATGCTGCACTATACAGTACTACACATCAATATTCAAAACAGTTTCCAAGGTATTAACAGTACTGCTCAATGGACAAAAAAATCAAGCTAAATAAAATCAATAAATTAATATTAGATCATTAATAGTTCCAGGCAAACAAACTTGTGAAGTCATTGCATACAATAGTACAGAAAACACCCATTGGCATACAACTTAACTTTCATTCACAATTATGACTTCTGGCCATTCAGATTCTAACCACATGCCATTTTCTTGAACATTAGGTGGGCTAGATTTCCAATCCCATTGTTTCACAGGAGTAAACCATGATAATCCATAATTTGATTTGATGTACTCTTCTGTTTGACATGGAATGCGCACCTTTAGATCAAGGAATTCTGTCCAGCAAAGCGTAAAAGTTGAAAATGAGTATCTGAAAAAAGTAATAATAATATTAATAATAGTTTTTACACTCGCAAAAAGCACAGGTGGCTAACACTCGCACAGATTACAGAACTGCAGGGTCATATCATTATCTAGGTGGTAGTACAAGAGAGAGCTATGCAAGTGGTGGTCCCGATACCATAAATATACCGAGATAAGTAATACAAGGTGGTGACTGGGGTTTGTTGACACACACATTTGAGAATGATTTGAAACAAAATGGTCGGCACAATGGGTTTGTCAGTGTCCACTGCGGCATCAACAAGTGAAGAAAACTTCAACTTGTTTCAACAAAAGTGTCAACAAGAGTTTCACCACAGAAGAAATGGGATAGGAGGTTTCCTTGGCAGGTAAGTTATGGTTGATAATTTGGTAAAGATATAAAGACTAAACCACACACCAGAAGATGATGATGTGGTTCCTGGACCATTATCATAGCTTGTGGTCCATGACGGACAGAAACGTTGTCATCTCCTTATCTTCTGGTAGGTGCTTTAGTCTTCATATCTTAAGCCATGTTATTGTAACTCAACTCTCCAATTTGCTAAAGATTTATGAAGGAAAACTTACAAAGATAATAATGACCTTAAGTTAGGATAAAAACCCATTGAGTATTTGTGAAATTTGTGTAAGGAATTTACACCAAGTCAAGGTACGAGTGTGTGATTAGAACGAGACTTACATCTCGACGCCTAATAACAGTTTAATGTCTTTTATCCTATGTTGTTATATCTGTGAGAAGACATTACCATTACTTAATGACCTTAAAGGTAAAACTGATATTTTACAGTAGCTTGAGGAAATTACAAGCTTGACTGACAAGGTAGAGAAACAGGTGGTACAAATCAAGGAACTAGTGAAAGAAAATGAGATATGGAAAATGAAAGGGGCTAATTTTAAGAAATAGGAAAATAGATATATATGAAGAACAATTCAAAGCAACCCTACTGACTAGCCAAAACAGAGAGGCAAGGATATGCTAATATAAACTTCCTGGACAGCTCAAAGAGAGCTGGTTACTAAATGATAGGAGAAGTGCAAACAGCAAATGAAAGTAACATATGCACAAGTTGTAAAGGAGAAAGAAATCTAACAAATATGTTTGGAAACCAAAAAGAGAAATGAGAAACAAGAAACAGACATTAGACAAGCAAATAGGAAAGAAATGGTTACCCGCAATAAATTAGTACAAAACACTGAATATAAGTCCACAATATTTTTGGGTGGATTTACAAAGGAGATACCACCTAGGATAAACAGAGCAGCAGAAGATAAAAAAAAAAAGCACAGAGAAAATAGTAAGTTTAGGATAAGGCCTTATAACAAAGAAAATTTTGAGGTGATTTTAGAAGAGGCAAATTATGAAAACGATAAGAATCACCCCTTAAGGGTGACATTTAATGTTCTGAATCAAGTAACAGAAGTGCTTAGGAATGACAGGAAGTTACAAAATGATAAGATGGGAAACTACAGTCATTAAGTTGAAACCTTTCAAAGGAAGACAAACTAAAATTAAACTTTGATAAACTGAAATCTAAATGACAGTAGGAATAAAGAAGAAATAAATTTTATTTTCTACAAGGTGATAAGAATTAGGAAGCCTGTGAAGTAGTACATAAATACAAACCAACAAAATCATTACAGGAAGGGGGTTTTAAAGGACATAGGGAGAGGAAACATGTTCCTGAAAATCATATATATTAACACAGTGAGATAAAAAAAAATCAGCGTTGAATGTAATGAAACGCCATTTTCTGGGCGAGACCCAGAGGCTCTCTGGAGTTTATCGGGCTAATGTATGTTATATTAGACCGGGACATTAGCTAAGGAGTTCAGACCTACCAGGGACCAGAGCCAGAACCTGGCCCCTTCAGGAGAGGCACGAGGAGCAATGGCCTAAAGACACCCCCGTGTAATTGGAAGCAGTCTTTGTCTGCCATCTACCAGGTCAGGCACCCAGAAAGGTAGGAATTTCAAAACAAACTACTGCTGGGCAAAAAATTGCAAACCGAAAGCCGAAAAAGCAAACAGAACTCTCCAATCAAAAACCAGGAAACAATTACTCCCACACACTGACTTCTGAATTTTACCAATGAGCTAACACCATCTCTGGGTATGTCACTCATATCAACATTAAAGATTAACCCTACTAAAACTCTTATGTATCAGAATTCATCATTACCACAACTTTAATTTTCAATAATTTCAGCATTCATATAATTTTCCATTACCAAGTCAAAACGCTTTTGGGTCTTTACCAATCTCAAGATCAAATCCCACCTTTCAGCTAGACTCCTTTAGTAGTACAGAACCTAATTCCTTAGTTTTTTAAATATAAATAAATTGTACTTACTTGAACTTTTTTCCTGTTTTGGCTTGAGTCCCTCCATTCCACATAGTAGCACCTTCAGTGTAAAAAAAAAAGATGTCTAATTTTATATCTTCTTCTTTAAAAGAAAGCTCAAAACTGTCATGAACTTTCCCAAATTTGTGTGAAAGTTTTAATTCTTTTTTTTCAAATTCTGTAATGATGCTTGATTTGTAGTCTTCAATAAAAATTCCAATGTCAACATCCATAGCCCAAGAAATTATGTCACACTGACGGTAGAAACCTGAAAGATAAATTATCAATTACTGTACTGTACATAGGGAGAAATGGTGATAAAAATGGTGATAAAATGGTGTCAGAGGGGCATTGGTGAGAGAGGTGTTGTGAGGAGGCAAGTGGTGTCAGTGGTTAGGGTTTTTTGTTAGGGGGCAGGTTACCTTGAGGTTACCTTGAGGTGCTTCCGGGGCTTAGCGTCCCCGCGGCCTGGTCGTCGACCAGGCCTCCTGGTTGCTGGACTGATCAACCAGGTTGTTGGACACTACCGATGGACGCGATGACACTACCTCCTACCCAAGGTCAAACATGAGTAAGAACCACCCCAGCTGAACCTCAAGGGTGGACAATTACCGAGCAGCAACAGAACCATGCTGAGGTAGTCTCCCAAACCGTTCATGAAGATAACCCTAAACAGCAAGGGCAGTACTTACAGAGCACCTAGGGAAGGTAGCCCTAGGTGCATGCAGCCCCAGTACTCCTGTGTTACTTCTGGCTCGCACACTAACAACGCAGAAGAACAACACAGTTATGGACAGCACTGCTCTAAAGGATGGAGCCAGAGTTGATTTACAGCCTCCAATCACAACAGCCTGTGAACTGAAGTCTGGGACTCCCCTTTCCCCTCCTGGGGAGGGGGTGGGGGGGAGCAGTTTGCAATTTTTAATCAGCAGTAGTTTGTTTTGGAATTCCTACCTTTCTGGGTGCCTGACCTGGTAGATGGCAGATATAGACTGATTCCAATTACACGGGGGTGTCTGTAGGCCATTGTTCCTCGTGCCTCTCTGAGTGGGCCAGGTTCTGGCGCTAGCCTCCGGTAGGCCTAGAACTCCATCGACTGACTGCTGCCATGGTCTAATATATACACATCAGTCCAATATAGCTCGGGGAGCTGAAGGGGGCCTCTCCACAGAAAAAAAACTTCCCCAGGCCTCTACAGCTAAACTACAAGTGGTAAACTTGGATTTTCATGCTCTTGGGAGCAAATTAACATTATCAAAAGAAAAAAAAAGACTGTTTTGGGAACAATTTACAGCTCCAATAGGCCTCCTGCAATTCCTTTGTTCTTATCGTATTCCTCATTACAACCATATTGAGCTGTGAAAACCGCATAAACATAATTGATATACAAATCATATACTTAGTAAGGAATTTTATTCTATGACTACTGCTGCATTGGCATAGTGACATTCATGATGATAACAATCATTTAATGATAACAATATTTTTCATGGTCTAGGAAAACTCTTCTACATTTGTATACAGCTATTATATCCATATAGCATCATGGGTATAAAACCAAACATTATCTAAAATCAATATATAATGACAACTGCATTTCCAGATGAATCAATGTATTATGATAACAGCACTTTATGGATTAAGATGAGATAACAATACCAAGAACATTATTCAGATGAATAGCAAGAAATTAACACAAAGAATAATACAAATTCTGTAAAGTATTAATCTTTGTAAATCTATCTTACCAAGAAGAGTTCCACTGCTAAGCCAGAAGGGAATTTTCAGTTGATCAAGAAGTGTTTTAGCTTTTGATAGCAACTTCCAAGCTTTGTGTTTAAATCTGAAGAAAAAATTAATGAATAAATGTTTACAAAATGACACCATAATACATAGTTCTTGTACTAACAATAAATTATGCAGTTATTTGCTGCTTCTAAAGTATAATGGAAAGTTTTTAAAATATTTTGAAGTTTTGTGACTTTGCTATGCTTATGGAATCACCTATTTTATTTATTTATCATCATAATGGCCTGCTACAATAAATTGAATTCCTTTCATATGATAAAACATATCTGAAAAACCCAGCAATGACTAATTAAATGCCTCTTTCTGGAGGAGCCCCAGTGGTTCCCTGAAGCTATCTTGCTGAGACTGCCCTATAATAAAGGTCACTCCAGTTGTAGAAGCTCTGTTTGGCCTACAGGTGGCTAGAGCCAGAACATGGCCCCATCACAGAGGCGCAAGTGATGGGGATTGTTAAAATTACCCACACTGAGAAACCATCCAGAAAGTAGATGAATACAGACAACTACATGGTTCACAAAAATGATGCACCAAAATAGCCTACAGAATCTGTAAGCGACTTATTTAAGACTAAAATGGTCCACCCGAAAGCTTCACTTTACAGTAGAACCTCAAGTGACGATCACCTCAAATGGTGACCATTTTGGGTAACGAACACCCCAATCGCCAACAATTCATCTCGTTAGGTGACCGCTCGTTTGAATAACATCAACACCACATGGTGAGGTTGGGGCTGCTTTTCGCACATTCTCGGATGCCACCGACGATGCAAATAAATTATTTTGTTTAAAGCTGCTACTGATGCTGGGATGTTGCAAAGCATTGAAATTTTTATAGAAAAACAAAATTAATTTTTTTAAAGAAACAACAAATGTCAAAAAGGTTCGTTCGGTGTTCAGCAGGTAGGCTGCTTCTGGTTTCTTAAATAAAAAAAACACGAAAAATAAAAGAAAACAGCGTTGAATATAATGAAATGCCATTTTCTGGGTGAATCCCAGAGGCTCCCCATTGTTTACTAGGCTGATATGCTAATGTTTTGGCGTCCCAAAACAAACCCCTATTCTGATGAAAATTGCAACCAAAAGCCGAACGAGTGGATAGAACTCCCCAAACAGAGCAAACAAGTATGACGTCACCTGTCGTCGCGCTGCTGTCTGCGCAGCCCCCTCCCTCTCCCCTAGAGGGGAAAGGGGTAGCCCCAGACCCACTGCACCGGCGATCCACACCAGTTCTGAGGCTGGATGTCAAAGCAAGCAAGCAAGCAAAAAAAAAAAAAAAAAAAAAAAAAAAAAAAAAAAAAAAAAAAAAAAACGGGAGAGAGGGATGCCAGGAGCCTCCGGGACTCACCCAGAAAATGGCGTTTCATTACATTCAACGCAGATTTTCTGGTGGGAGCCCCTATGGCTTCCCGGAGCTAACTACCCACAGAGGAAAAGAAAAAGGACTTACCCGGGAGGCGATTGCTGCTCACTCCTCAACCCGAAGTTGAGACAATTGGCTACATCCGCCGACCCAAAGCGACACAGGCCCGACTGGGCTCAAGAACGTTTACAAGGTAACAAGCAACCGGGACCCTGTTCGACCTCCAAAATCCCCGCGCCCGAATGTCAGCCCAGGACATGTTGCCAAAGACAACGGTAAGAGCTGCGAACTTGCGGACATCATAGCCACGGGAAAAGATCGCAGGCTGGCTAGCCTTAATAACCCTGCGGACGACCTGGGAGGCCCGCACCCTCGAACAGGGAAGAAGGGAAACCGGATCAACTCAAAGCGCATCCCCGGACACAGAAGCCGTGGCGCGCAAATAACGGCGGAGAGCCGCAACCGGACACAAAACATGATGCAAAGCCTCGTATACCGGTCTGGTGGTCGATATTACCGACAGTGGGTATTGGGTTTGTTTTGGCATCGGCAGCCCCTCACATGGCGACCAGGACACCGACCTCGATCATCCAGAGTGGTATATTAAATCTTAACTTTCTTTTAAAATGATTCAGTTTTATGAAGAAAATTCTAAATTATTGTTAATAAAATATTTTAAAACAATTGTTATTAAGCAAAATTCTTTGTTTTCTTATTAAATACCTTTTATAGTATAGGCAATAGGTATTTTTTCCCCACGGACCTAGAATGTACTGCGCCTGGCCATGTGACCGCATTGTTTACTGTGAACTCGCGCGGCTGAGAGCAATGTCTCGGAATATTAGCCAGAGAAAATCAGATTCGGACAAAAATAGATAAATTCATGATTTCAATGGTTCGTGAAAGCACCCACAGGGAATTCAACAAGTCATGCAGCATGACATGAGATACCAAATAATATACACATGGAAAATACTGGAGGGCCAGGTCCCAAATCTACACAGTAAAATAACAACGTACTGGAGTGAACGATATGGAAGAAAATGCAAGATTGAACCAATGAAGAGCAGAGGTGCCATAGGCACAATCAGAGAGCACTGTATAAACATCAGAGGTCCGCGGTTGTTCAACGTCCTCCCAGCGACTATAAGAAATATTGCCCGAACAACCGTGGACATCTTTAAGAGAAAACTGGACTGTTTTCTAAGAGAAGTTCAGCCGGGCTGTGGTGGGTATGTGACCCTGCGGGCCGCTCCAAGCAACAGCCTGGTGGACCAAACTCTCACAAGTCGAGCCTGGCCTCGGGCCGGGCTTGGGGAGTAGAAGAACTCCCAGAACCCCATCAAGCAGGTATCATCCGCTGGCAATGAGTGCCCTATAAGCCATGCTGCACCTGCCGATGCTGAATTCCCATCAACACGTCGTGCAGCCTCCGCCAGCAACGAATGCTCTGCAAGCTATGCTGCACCCGCCGATGCTGAATTCCCATCGATAAGTTGTGCAGCCTCCACCAGCAACGAATGCTCTGCAAGATATGCTGCACCCGCCGATGCTGAATTCTCATCGACAAGTCATGAAGCATCCGCCAGCCACGAATGCTCTGCAAGGCATGTTGCACCTGCTGATGCTGAATTCCCATCAAAAGTCGTGTAGCCTCCACTAAAGATATAAAATATGATTGAAAGGCATATAAATTACTTTAAGAAGTGTTGATAGAGTACAGTATTGTAAGTGTTAATGATTATTTAAGCCTTGACAAAAAGATACTGTACAGTGTAAATATACAGTAGAAATAATTTTCAATTGTGAATTAGAATTAGAACTCATGTGAATTAGTAATAAGGCTAGCTGTTGTGTGAAGTGAATGCCTGAAAATAAGTGTACATACTGTATGTACCCAGTGTTCGCACATCATCCATGCAGCAGCCACCAGCTGGCTTAATCGTCGACGTGGCACATTGAGTGGATACTGTACAACGATGAAGACGTAAGATGACCCAGAAGGACCGCCAGGAAACTTCATATTGTTGCCAAGATGAAGCCCGCAGGTGGGACACTAATAAGGAAGCCACCTGATCACTATAGAGATGATAAACTCGAGTTAAAAATACCATACGCGAAGACTCGAGGAGAAGATCGAACCATCCACATAACATACCAGTCCGATCTCTGGAAGAGGCGGAGCCGCAGAAAAACCTCCGGGTTCGGACACCGAGCAAGCAGCGTCTGAAACCATGGCTGGGCCGGCCACCACGGGGCCAAGAGGACTACTCTCCCCTGGTAAGTTTCCAAGCGAGTCAGAACCTGGAGTAACAGCTGAACCGGGGGAAAGAGGTAAAGGAACCCCCACCTCAACCAGTCCTGCCGAAAGGCGTTGACCCCAACGGCCTCGCAGTCAGGAAAGGGCGCCACATACAGGGAAAGGTGCAGTGACCATGCCGACGCAAAGAGGTCCATCTCGGGGCATCCAAACGTCTGGCAAAGCCAACGGAAGGAGTCGGCGTCAACCGCCCATTCCATGGAGAGGGGAATGAAACGAGACAGGCCGTCAGCCAACACTTTGGACACTCCCCACACGTGAACTGCCAGGCAAGCCAAACCCCAAGAACTCAGCAGACGAGTCACCCTAAGCGAGCAACGCCAAAGAGCCAAGAACCGTATTGACCCACCCCCACCCCGGTTCAGACAATGAACCACCAGGGAGCAGCTCGAATGTAGCCGAATAGTCGACCCGTGGGCAACTCGAAGCCTCCGAAGAGCAAACCACACCGCAGCAAACTCCCGCACAGTGCTGTGGGCTCGACAGAAAGATGGACCCCACCGTCCCTGGCCGGGCTGGTGCGCACTGGTCACAAAGCCCTAGCAGAGAGGACGACGCGTCCGTGAACACATCGAGCAAGGGCTCGGGTAGGCGCCAAGGCACTGAACCCCGAAGAACCTGAAGAGGAAGCCGGCGACACAGCAACCGACATAAAGCCCCCATGAGCCGAACCCAGCGATCGCGAGAGAGGCAGAAGGGACGTTCCCGAAGGAACCAGAACAGCCAACGAAGCCAAACCTGACCCAGTGGGTAGACCAGCATCGCGAAGTTCAGGCTCCCGCACAGACCCTCATGCAACCAAAAGGCCCCGAGTGCGCAAGTCCTCCGCCACCTGCGCTGCCAAGAGAGAGAGGGAACCTGTACATGGAGCTGAACGACACCAACATCCCGGGAAAGGGCAGGAGCAAACAAGCACTCATTGAGTTGCTCAAGGTCGCCCCCCCAGGAAAACCTGAAGCACCGTCGAAGCCTCCAGCACTGTCGAAGCCTCCCCCCACTCAAGCGTGCGGGATCGGCAGGAGTGCCAAGCCTCCAAGGCAAAGACAGGACAGTACGCCAGCCAGGACGACTCCGGAACCTCGTAACGGAGCCAGAAAGGGAACGAAGTCCCAGACCTAAGAGCCAAAGGATCCATTGCCGAGGCATAATCAGAATAGGCACTGTATATACTTTAGGCTTCTATAAAGGTCCTCCCCCCCATCCAAGGTCGAACCCTCCTCCAAGGATGCAACTCCTAGATGCCCATTTACCCGAGGTGACCCGAGGCATTAAGCGAAAGTAAATATGTCCATTTATTTCTGCTACTATAAGACCCTACTATCTTACCTTATTTCACTTGGTGTCTCATTCTTTAGATACTTTAGATTGTAATATGCTGCTCTTGACTCATTACAATGGATGAAGTGAGAATTCTTGTGGTCAGCAACAAATGCTTCAATATTGCTTGGAACAGTCAACTCCACTTCATCTATTTTCACTTCTCTGGTGCTAAATCTGTCAGGATTATAAAATTGTTGTTTAAAACTTAATCCTTACCCAAATAAGTACAAAGGAATTGTAATAAGCATATAAAAAACAGCAAATTAAAAAAAAAGAGACAAAATCAGGAAAGAATGTACTTGAGATATTCAATATTAGTTAATTAATGACCAAATTAAAGCAAAACATCAACCAGGAACAGACTTGTGTTCAAAACTGTAGGCCATACAGAAAAACTTTGTACCTGCCACATTAGAAATAATGTGGCAATCACTTACATTATCCCCCAAGCTATGCCACATTCCAAGAAATTCTATTGCAAGCAAATAAAGTTCCCATTAATCCATCATGACATCCACAAATTTATGCACCAACCACTAATAACATCTGTAATATATTCTCACAATACTAATCCTGCAGTGGCCAGGCAAGCTTTCCCATCAGCCAGTTTACAGTGGCCTGGGCATGGAAACCAGGTGACCATGGATAAAAAGGCCTGGCCATGGAAACCAGGTGTGCATGGATAAAAAGGTCTGGAAATGAAAACCAGGTGAGCATGGATAAAAAGGCCTGGGCATGAAAACCAGGTGAGCATGGATAAAAAGGTCTGGAAATGAAAACCAGGTGAGCATGGATAAAAAGGCCTGGGCATGAAAACCAGGTGAGCATGGATAAAAAGGCCTGGGCATGGAAACCAGGTGAACATGGATAAAAAGGCCTGGGCATTGAAACAGATCAGGTGAGCATAGATAAAAGAAGGTTAGAAACATAGCAACATCTAACTTCACCAATAGATTAGTGACTATTGCTCTGGATATATTACAATCAATCTACAAAATGCCATCAGCATAGTCAGTCTAGTTCTAACTCTCTCTAGATGCTACAAGCCTTGCTACAGAGCAGATGGCCAATCCCAGCTTTATTTGAGCTCTTCTATCCCACCCTCCTTTGAGCTCTTCACTCTTGCCCTCCTTTGAGCACTCGATCCTGGTCTCACACAAGCTCTCTGCTCTAAACCTTGCACAAGCTCTCAGCTTCTGGCCATTTTCAGCACTTCATCCGCTAGCAGCACATAACAAGCATCATCATCTCAATCTATCATGACATCTCCAGCCACCTGGAGATGTGTCATGATGACACATCTCCAAAACGTGACTGAAAACAGTCACCACACTCTAGGTACAGTGCTGAAACAGCCACTGGAGCCGGAGCACACGACCGTTGCCCATAGCATCAGCCTCAGAACTGAAGGGTGGATAGCCGGGCGGGGGTCTGGGGCTACCCCTTTCCCCTCCTGAGGAGGGGGGAGCTGCACAGACAGCGCCGCGGCGACATGTGATGTCATGCTCGTTTGCTGGTTTATTTTTGCGGAGTTCTATAAACTTTTTCGGCTTTTGGTATCAATTTTCACCAGAATGGAGGGTTTGTTTTGGGACACTTGCCTTTCTGGGTGCCTGACCCGGTCGATGGCAGACATAGAATGCTTCCAACCACACGGAGGTTTCTATAGGCCATTGCTCCCCATGCGTCTCTGAGGGGGGGGGGGACAGGTTCTGGCTTTTGGTCCCTGCTAGGCCCACAGAACTCCATACACATAACTAATGCCGAAGTCTGACAATAGCATATCAGCCTGGATAAGCTCCGGGGAGCCGAAGGGGCTCTCCCCAGAAAGACACTGGGTTGGTCCCATATAGTGCGTTGAATGGAGGTTGAACTGTAATCGGCATAAGACGATGGTCCTGCAACAGCTACGAGAGAAAGGACAAAACGACCTGAACAAAAAATGAAGTACACCTACAGAGAGAGAAAAAAGAGAAGGAAGGACTGCCAGGAAACTTCATACTGCCACCGAGACGAAGCATGCAGGTGGGACACCATTAAACGAAGCTACCTGATCAGTATACAGATGGTGATAGACCCGAGTAAAAAATACCAGACGCGAAGACTCGAGGAGAAGATCGAACCAGCCATGTAATGGACCGGACCGATCATCTGAAAGAGGCGGAGCCACGGTAAAACCCCTGGGTTCGGACACCGAGCAAGCAACACCTGCCACCAAGGAGCCAAGAGGACCACTCTCCTCTGGTAAGTCACCAAGCAAGCTGGGACCTGGAGTAACCGCGGAACCGGGGGAAAGAGGTACAGGTAACCCCACATCAAAGGTAACAGGTACAGGTAGAGGTACAGGTAACTCCGCCGAAAAGTATCGACCCCGATGCCTCAACCATGCCGACACGAAGAGGTCCAACTCCTGGAGGCACAGAGCATTCGCCTCGCCAACCAGACAAAGACTGGTCCGAAGACGGGTCCAAAGGCGGTGCCGACCCAGAAACTGCTACCAGCACCCTACGATGAGAGGAATCGCAAGCCCAGGCACAACCCTTTTGGGAGGAACCCCCATTCTCCTGGGATTCCCGAAGGACTAACAAGTCCGACAACTGACAACAAATAGAAGAGGCTGCTTGCAGAAACTGCCCAACCACAGAATCTGCAAACAGCAAGGGACAATATGGTGACGAAAATCAGAACCCAGGCAGATTCCTACGAGGAAGCGAGCACCGCTTGCCGACACGCGAGATGCTAAGCGAAAACAGTGATACCACATCCCGCAGGATCTGCGCAAACAGCTTCAGCAGCGCAGACGATGCTTGTGCCGCCGAGACCAAGGCACCAGACCCAAGAACGGCCCCAAGTGCCTCTACATCCTAATGAAGCCAATCCTCAGACAGCTCCAGGAGGAAAAAGAACAGCAAAATCGAAGTCAGCAGGCCACGAGTGTGCAATTCCTCAGACATCAGTGCAGCCGAAAGGGAGGGGAACCTGCACGTGAAGCTGCACCACGCCAACATCCCGCTGAAGGGCAAGGGCGAACAAACACGCATTGAGGTGCTTGAATTCGCCCCCAGGTAAACCTGCACCATTGTCAATGCCTCGCACCACTCAAGCGTGCGGGTATGACAGAAAGTACTCCTAGCATACAACGACAACACCGGGCAGTCCGATAGCCAGGACGACTCCGGAACTTCATAAAGAATCCAGTATGGAGACGAAGACCCAAACCTGAACGAAAATGGATCCATTATAGAGGCACAATCTGGGTCGTGCAGGCGGTAAGCCACAATGGCCGCCCGGACCTCGGTCAGCGAGATGCGGGAAGCCAAAAACCTCCAGAAGGACGGAACCAATGGACTCAAAATGACACGGAACCAAACTCAGGAAGGAGCCGATGCCAAATCCAACTTGTACGCAGGGAGGGGGGGGTAAGAAAACCCCACCCCTTGTCCCTTGTAACAGTAAGTCCCGCTCGGAGGGTAGAAAAACGAAAGGCAGAGTCCAATGGGGCCCAAGGCCCCCATGTCAGCCCCTCCCCAACCCTGGGAACCTCCATACCAGGACCTGGAGCCAAGTCGTCCTCCAAATCCCCAGCCTCACAAGAAGAAGCCGGGGGCAGCCGGAAAGGCAGGAAGGAAGGAAGGGGGCCCACTGGAGTACCCAGGCAGAATAGAGCCAGTTGCTATAATAGGTGATAACCAGCTGTGCAGTACCCCGTGCCCCCTACCAGTGCAAACTACCCCTAACCCCAAGGTAAACAAGGGAGGAGGAAACCCCCCCCAGCACACTCAGGTCAGTCAATCACCCAGCAGCAAAAGGTGAAACAGAGGTAGACCCCAAGGTAACTTGTGGAAGATGGTCCCAAGCCCTTTGGGCTTGGGACCTTACAGGGCACTTAAGGAAGGGAACCATGCAGCCCATGCAGCCCGAGTACCAGTGAAGATTACTCCCAGCTCACACACCACCCTAAAGATAGCACTAAACACAAGGCACAGCATCGAGACAAGAAACAGGAGCTGGAATCACACGACCAAGCCTCAATCACATCAGCCAAGAACTAAGGTGTGGGTAGCCAGTGTGAGGGGTCTGGGGCTCCCCCTTTCCCCTCTCTGGGGAGGGGGAAGCTGCACAGACGGCGGCGCAGCAACATGCTAACATCATGCTTGTTTGCTTGTTTTTTCTTTAGGGAGCTCTGTCCACTCGTTTGACTTTTAATGATAGTTTCAACCAGAATACAGGTTTGTTTTGGGATGTTTACCTTTCTGGGTGCCTGAACTGGTCGATGGCAGACATACAATGCTCCAAATCACATGTGCATTTCTCCTTGTGCCTCTCTGAGGGGGGGGGGGGGGGCCATGTTCTGGCTTGTGGTCCCCGGTAGGCCTAAGCACTCCATTCACACTGACTGATGCCAAAGTCTAATAGTTCTATATCAGCCTGGATAAGCTCCGGGGAGTCGATGGGGGCTCCCCACAGAAAAGTTCATAAACACAGCACATACAATATGTATAATGTACGTACCGCTCATATGCACGATCAAACTTCATCTGATTCCAGGCATCCTTTGTTATATACTGCTTAACCTGGGCAACATTATGGGGAGGCCCTTCCAAAGCATACTGTCTTAAGAAACCTGCAAAAAAAGATTGCACTGTAAAAATTCTAAAAATATACAGGGCTGTATCTACATGCAGTAAATATCATGTAATATTCATCAAGTAGGATACCCACATAAAGACATGCCTCCTTGTCACCCTATACTTCCAAAATTCTAAATGGTTCAGTATTATAAAAGCAGCAAGCCATGTGCTGCAATACAGTACTATACAAATGCTGCATTAAACATAAAAATCAAATATAATCCTTTTAACCTATCCATACATAAGATTTTAACCCCTGCACTGCACACCTGTTACATGTGACAACCCTCTGGTGCACAAGAACAAAATTCATTCCAAATTTTTTTTTCATTCTAATATTGTTAAAATGAGTTCATTGATTATGGAGGAGGGAAAAATCGTAATTCTTTGGCCGTAGCGAAGCAAAGAAGTCTTATGATGACATCACCAATTCAAAATCACTTCTGCAGCAAATGCCCTGGGCAAGTCGCACGGGCAATTCAAGCAGAGTTCCCAGGAATATTTATTTTCTGTTTTATTTCAATGACATTGACAGTATTTTACTACATTTTTGCACTGATATGGTGCACCAGGGTTTCATAATCGTTACTGATACTATAGTGTAAAACGTACAAAACACCAATGCACACACATTCACCTACTTAAATACTTAGATCAAATAATGACATTTCTCTCCTTCATGACTTTACTGTGCCACATAATCCAGCTTGATGGTCAAGTAGGAACCTAGTTAGCATGGGGCTGGTATAGTAATTGTCTGTATATTAAGTGTGATCCCTTGATCAGTGGAGCCATCAGCGTTTTTACTACAGTGCCTGAAAACACCTGAGAATCATTATTGGGAATGTGTATGTCTGTACCAGAATAAAGTATCATGTCTATCACCATTTCTATTTCACAATCACATAGAAGAAAGAATTTGAGTCCAAATCTGTGGTGTTTGGAGGGAATATATTGCTTGAAAGCAAGATATCCCTTGTACAAAAAAATATAGATTTGCTCCTCCCTTTCTGGAGGAGCCAATCTGCAAGTCCTTCGCACATACTATGTACAGGCAGTCAGATCAGTGATCGATTATGCCGCACCTGCACTCACAAATCTATCACACCAACAGTGGAAAAAGCTTGAAGTTGCCCAAAACAATGCTATGGGAGCCGCACTAGGAGCCCCCATGTGAACCAGGCTTGAAACTCTTAGACTGGAGACGGGTTTGCCCTCTCTACAAGAAAGAATATCACAAAGGACAGCTACAATTATCAGTAAGATAATTATTTCTTCTGATCCAATCCCAGTACGGCAGGCCTTGGTGGTTGGACTAGGCCAAAACAATGGAAACTCTTGGGCTGCAAGAGCAGGAAAAGTCGTAAACAGACTACATTTAAAAAGCATGATTCTTGATAGAGAGGGTGATCATCCACACCCAAATTACACTCCTTCTGCACCGTGGGAAGAGCCTACTTTCAAAATAGTAATGGAAAGTCTCCCAATGAAAAAGGCTGCCTATGATCCGACAATCCTAAGGTGCATAATAGAAGAGCAAATGTATAGCACAGCAGTTGCAGGAGCCACCCACATCTTCACAGACGGATCGGTGGACACAGAATATGAGAGTGCTGGCGCCGCTCTTTGCACAGCCAGTGTACAGGCATATTGGAGACTGGGAGGACTAGTATCATCAACCCAAACTGAGCTGTTTGCCATACAACAGGCATTTGCATATGTGATTGCACAAAACACTCAAAATGCAATCATACACACAGACTCAAAAGCTGCACTTCAAATACTAGGACAAAAACTGTGGAAGGATAACGTGGAAATAATTACCACCATTTTGAATCTTGGAGCAGTCGCTAAAGGCAAAGGACTCAACATAACCTTAAACTGGATCCCATCCCATGTTGGAATCCCATTAAATGAAAAAGCTGATGAAATTGCTAAATTGGCAACTCATCATCCAATGATACATAAAACAATTCAACCCAGCCTAGAGAACATAAAAAACATCATCACCAAAAAACTCTCACATCTCAACAAAGCCTACCTACACCAGAGAGTAGCTGAAGGTTCGCCATCTGCAACATGGTATCTTCAGGCAACCAAATTAGAAAGGTTAAATATCCCAAAAGGAATCCACAGGAAAATAGCAGTTAGGTTATATAGACTACATCTAAGTTACAGATGCAACTGGGAGATTGGTGAACCCCCAACAGAGAGTGCATCTTCTGCCAAACTGTCACAGAAAAGCCATTACTTCACTATCTTCTGGAATGTGAAGCAACCAACGACCTTAGAAGAGCTTTAAGAGTTCCTGAATCTTGCAGTGGCCACCCTGAAGCCATCAACACAGCCACTCTCCTGGTCAACAAAGGTGTCCAGCAGCTGGACACCCTCATAAAGACTGTGAAGCAGTATCCTCCCCCGCGATAACAGCTAGATGGTTAAATGCAACCTCAGAATACTGAAAAAAAAAAAAAATTGTACCACTTATGGGCTATTCATGCCCGTGCCACCTCTTGGGTGGCTTAATCTTTATCAATCAATCTTCCTCATCACAATCGACTTGAGAATGGTCCAGGACCGAAACGTCGTCATCCCTTCACCTTCTAGTGTGTGGTCTGGTCAACCCCTTCAATGTTTTCCAGTTTCCACATCAACTTTTTATTTGGAACTCCGTCAAAAGCCTCTTTTTTTAGGTCCAGATAGTTGCAGTCAACCCAACCATCTCTTTCCTGTAAAATCTCTGTGGCTCGATCATAGAAACTGAGTAAATTCGTTACACAGGATTTTCCAGATCGAAAACCATACTCACAGTCTGATATTATATCGTTTCTCTCCAGGCGTTCTACCCATTTAGTTTTAATTATTTTTTCCAATATTTTGACCATTACACTTGTCAACCATACTGATCTATAATCGAGAGGGGTCTTCCCTGCCGCCACTTTTGTAGATTGGAACTATGTTAGCCTTTTTTCACGTGTCTGCTACAACTCCTGTACACAGGGATGCCTGAAACTCCATTCACTTGACTGACACCACAATCTAATACATTCATATCAGCCCAGATAACCCCAGGGAGCCAAAGGGGCTCCCTCCAGAAAATATATTTAATGCTACCTGATTATATCAAATGATACCTGATTAACCAGGCTGTGACTCATATGTCAGGCTGTCTAACAGCCTAGTTGACCACTCACCAACCAGGAGACCTGGTCAGAGACCGAGTCACGGGAATACTGATCCTCGGAATCATCGACAGGTATACGATTCCCTAGTCTGCCTTGCTGGCGATCAAAATTTGATAATGTCATTGGGACTTCATCGCTTCACCACACCATAAGACACAATTTTATGTAATTTTCCAATGATGACAGACATTTGAACAACATAGGAAGATAAAATAATTTTTTAAATTTTTGTTTCTTGTGCATACAAAAAGTACCTACCTCCTTGCAGCACAGGGGTCAGGCATTTCACAACAGATTACAGAATTTCTCTCGTATAGTAGAATGCAGAAATCACTACAAAAAACATGACAACTACAAAGTATCCTTAATGTATTATAATTAAGAGAGCTATCAACTGCCTCTTGGTGACATAGAATGATGCTTTTAATTTGTTTAAACGTAAAAGCAAAAACTGACCAGAGGACTGCAGATGAAGCACCACCAAATGTAGTGGAGATCCATGCCTCATCAAGAACACATGTGACTGCTGACCCTCAGGACTCTCAAAGAGTATAATGGTGAAGCCTAGTTGAGCAAGGCGTGACAGAAATGTTGGCTGCAATAGTAAAAGCCAGCGTTTAATGTAATGAAACGCCATTTTCTGGGCGAGTCCTGGAGGCTCACCGGAGCTATCCAGACTGAATGGATATGTATATCTTTCTGGTATCAGTCAATGTATGGAGTTCTTGCCTACCGGGGACCACAAGCTAGAACCTGGCACCCTCTAGAAAGGCACGAGGAGCAATGGCCTATAGAGACCCCCCCCCCTGTGGTTGGGAGCATTCTATGTCTGCCGTCGACCGGGACAGGCACCAAGAGAGGTAGGCGCCCAAAAACCCCTATTCTGGTGAAACTATTGCGACCGAGGGCCGAACAAGTGGACAGAACTCCCTAAACAAAAATTTGCAAACTAGCATGATGTCATCATGTCGCCGCGCCACTGTCTGTGCAACCCCCCGTCCCTGGGAGGGGGAAGTGGGAGCCCTAGACCCACTCGCCGGTGACCCAACCTTCAGTTCTTAGGCTGGATGTCAAAAAGCGCGAAAAACACCGCCGACCGGAGGGAGGGAGGGATGTTGGGGAGCCTCCGGGACTTGCCCCAAAAGTGCCGTTTCATTACATTCAACGCTGGTTTTCTGGGGGGAGCCCCGTTGGCTTCCCGGAGCTACCTCACCACAGATAAGAAAAAGAAGGAAGGATCCGGGAGGTGGACGCCACGTGCCCTAACATAAAAACAAGATCACAGACGAAACGAAAAGTCCTTACAGACAACCCGGGAGACCCGAACCCCAGAACAGGAAGGAAGGAAGAGAACACCGATGAACCTCAACCGAACAACAGAGGAAGCACCCCCCGGCCAGACCAACAGAGCAGCAACCCAAGGACCCCTCCGGAAAACAGCAGACCCAAACGCCACCTGAAAAAGAGAATGCAATAAACGAACAACCAATGACGAGGACCAAATGAGGCAGAAAAACATGGGCGCCGGAGAAGAGCCGGAAACTCCAACCTGCCCCTAGAGGTCACCATCAACGGAAGAAGGAGACCTGAAAAAACAAAACAAAAACACACCAGAACCGAAGGGATCATGACAAACCAAGGAGAAGAAAGAAAATGACCACCCAGGTCAATGACCAGGACGGCACCGGAAGTGCTAGAGCTGGCCGGAGGTGAAACAACGCCCATGACAGCAAGCGGAATATAGCAGAAGGAACAGCAACACCAAACTCAAGCTGGTGCGGCTCTGCCAGCACCACCCAAGAGAGGCAACAGTACACGGCACCAGACAACGGTCCCGGAACAATGCTGAAGGAAAAGACAAGACAGGAAAACTACACAATGCTACCGAGATGAAGCACGCAGGAGGGAGACCAACAACGAAGCCACTAGTGCCCATCCATGGGTTCGGTTTCATACCCATCCATGGGATCCATGGGTTCGGTTTCCTGGTGAACTGGAGGCCTACCTTGAGGTTACCTCGAGGTGCTTCCGGGGCTTAGCGTCCCCGCGGCCCGGTCGTCGACCAGGCCTCCTGGTTGCCGGACTGATCAACCAAGCTGTTGGATGCGGCTGCTCGCAGCCTGACGTATGAGTCACAGCCTGGTTGATCAGGTATCATCTGTTTCCGTTCCATCTGTTTCCGTCCCGGGTTCGGACCTGGCTGGGTTTTGTTTAGGGCTCTTGGGCCGCTCCTTGTCTTTCCCTCCAGAAGCGTTGCTGCAGCTGTGGTCCCACCTTCGGCTGTTTATGCTAGGCAGCCGGTGCGGTGAGGTCCGGGGCCACCCACCTTCTCTCCTTCTCGGGGCGGGGAGGGCTGCACGGACGATCAGCGTGGCAGTAAAGAGCGATGTTTGCTTGTTTCCTTGGGATTGTAGGGAGTTTCTACCTCTCTGTTCGTTTTTTTGTTAAATTTTTACCATGTGGGGTTTGTTTTGTTATGCCTACCTTTCTAGGTGCCTAACCCCGGTCGATGGCAGATAAAAAACCCTACCACAAGGAGAGATTTTTCCAGGGGCCATTGCTCCCTGAAACCTCTCTGAAGGGGCCAGGTTCTGGTGCTGGTCCCTGGTAGGTCTGAACTCCTTAGCTAATGTCCCGGTCTAATATAACATACATTAGCCCAATAAACTCCAGGGAGCCTCCGGGGATCACCCAGGAAATGGCATTTCATTACATTCAATGCTGGTTTTATGGCTGCTCAATTATTACTGTGCATACATACATATAAACATTTTCTATAATATAACAAATACTGTTCAAAACAAATACATTATTATATAGATAATAAAAGTAATGTAAATTGTTACCTTGTCCCTGAGCTGAGCAGCAGTAACCGCAAAAGTGAGTGGGCCTATGACGTGACACAAAAAAATACACACACCAGGTGCAGCTACATGTGAATTGCTGCTCCATGCATTAAGAATAACTGGATCAAAGAGAAGAGTTGTGACAGCAGCATCTTCTCCAGCACGCAATAACTGACGAACATCGTCTACGTGCAGAGATCTTTGAAAGTTGGTATTGGGTGTGGACAGCCAGATATGAAGATAAATCTGGTCTAAAAGTATAATACCAACCACAATGCCCACACCCAAAAACACTTTCTTCCTCATATTTCTAATGCCCCACATCCTGAATGTCTGAAGTGTAAAAATCGAAGACTATATATAGTATAGTACATTCAGTTAATGAAGCTTACAAAAAATTTATATTCTGGATGGTACAAATATATTGTCATACAGTATACCACTATTACAACAATAAATCACAAACAAAATATAGCAATGAGTGTAATGACATACCTCTTGCTGAATGGTCCCTCAGTAGGGTGAAGTCACTTCTACAGTACTCATTTCGTCGCAGGTCCTTAGACATCAGTGGTTTAAATAATCATTATTTCCTGCCTCTTTCACCAGAGCATCTGCATATATATACCACAATGACATATTAATATGGAAGATATCCATACATGAATATTTGAGAAACGTATTTGTGATCAACATTTTTACACAAAGGTGCATGCTCCTAACTCGAATCATAAGGAAAATAATATTACCATCATCAAAATAAAGATGCATAAAGTTAAAACAATTTTCCTTTCGGTCAAATGTAAGCTCATACAAGTCAAGGATAACAGAATGGTAGACACCTAATAGGAGTAATACTCAAATGTCACTCCTATTTTCAAAAAGGCAGAAAGAGCTCAGCAGAAAACTACCATCCAATCAGCTTTACATCACACATTTGCAAGCTCATGGAGAGAATTCTAAGAGAAAGAATCATTTACCATCTCAGTGAACAATCTTATTTACCATCTTGGTGAACAATCTTATTTACCATCTCGGTGAACAATCTTGTAAAATCGATGCAACATGGGTTTGTTAATGCTATCACTCACCCGACACACGCGTGGTCAACTTAGAGGTCATGGACCCAACGTGCGGGCAAGCGCACGGTGACGCCTAAATGTGTATACTCGTTTCAGCTTTCTCACCTTAATTCTCGTGCTACGTCGTTCGTTTTGGTGTCATTGTGTTTGCAATTAAATTCCCTACAGGTGTGTATGAATAATGCCCAAAAGCCTAGCGTGACTCCCAACAGCAAAGCCTAAAGTCGGCAAAAATTACCCGTGAGCGCACAAAATCAGTAAAATGTGTATACTCGCTCCATTTTTCTCACCATAATTCTCGTGCTACGTCGCTCGTTTTGGTATCATTGTGTTCACAATTAAATTCCCTACAGATGTGTATGAATATAATGTACAAAAGCCTGGCGAGACTCCCCGCTGCAAAGCCTAAAGTTACCCGTGAACGAGCACCAATTTGTACACTGCAACCTAATGTGTAAACTCGTTAAGTTTAATAACATCAATTTTCGTGTTACGTCTTTCATTTTGGTATCAAATTGTTCGCAATAAAAAGGTGTGCATTATAAAACTAGTCCCATAATAATAGAGTAATAACTGTAATTTTAACAAATATTTTAATTCTGGAAGCTCCTCATCACAAAATTATTTATATCTTTCCAGTGTTCTGACATAAATTTTTGTGTTACATCTTTCATTTTGGTATCAAATTGTTCACAACGTAAAGGAGCGCATTTTAAAACTAGTCCCAACATAATAGGACAATAAAGATAATTTTACCAAATATTTTAATATTTTGACCAAAAATCTATTTATAATCTTTCGTGTTCGGACATCAAGTTTCATGTTATATCTTTCATTTTGGTATCAAATTGTGTGCATTCTAAAGGCGCTTATTTTGATACTATCCCGAGGTCAATCGGATAAAAAATGAATTTTATACAAATATTTTTGTAGTGGACGCAAGTCATGTCCAAAGTTTGGATTCAAGAGAAAAAAATTGGACGAAAGTCAGGTCCAAAGTTTGCGATACTGTTAAAAATAGATCCTGCTTTACAAACCTGCTCAAATTTTTGGAAATGGTAACCAGCTATTCAGACAAAGGACTTCCAGTAGTAGTAGTAGTTTACATGGATATTTAAAGCATTTGATAAGGTACCACCTGAAAGACTAGCAAAGAAATTACTGACACATGGAATAAATGGTAGAATACTAGAATGGATAAAACAATGGTTAAAACAAAGAAAGCAGAACCAATGCCGAAAGTATCTCATGAGTGACCGAGCCTACCTAGCCAAACCTGTTCCAAGCTTACTCTTTGTTGGTTAAAAAATGCTCTCTCATTCATACAAGTTCCTAACTTCTCAGTAATGTCTCCATGTATTTACGTAAACATCTACCTCAGCGTCTTAGCAAAAGCCTACTCGTTTATTCGTTGATATTATTACATCTATTACCGTTAAGTTTAATGGCAATTTAATTAAGATGAATTACCAATTAGAATTAAGAATATATTAATTTTATGATCATAATTTTATAGTTAATGATCATTAAGATTATATTAATCAGTGTAAATTAATTAAGACTAATTTTTTATTAAATCCATACCCTTTGCATTTCATCAACTGTGCCTACTCTCAAGCAAAATGCAATTTCTTTCATCCAAAACCTGCTTCCAACACTAGTAGCACTGTACTATGCCTTCCCTTCATATTTGAACTCAAAACTTTTACCAATACCTTTCGTCCTCTTGACATAAAGTTCGCCTTTCGACAAACTAACACATTTCGTAGCAATCTAGTTCACACTGCTCGTCCTGCTTCTAATGCTGCTGGTGTCTGCTCTATTTCCTGTTCGTCTTGTCCTCTCCAATACTTTGGCGAAACTGGCCGTACACTGAATGACAGACTTAAAGAACACAAGAGAAGTGTTATGTCTGCAGACACTAACAATGCTCTCTTCTGTCATGTGAGGGATTCCAATCATCCTATTGATTGTTCTTCCTCCAAAATAATCTTTCCTGCCTCTACTCTACACAGGCGCCATCTTGTTGAATCGGCTCTAATACACAATGTACTCAACATGAACTTGAGTTCTGGCTTTGTTGCTGTGGACTCTTCCCTTTCACAGTATATACTTAAATGCTCTAATTTTTCTAACAAACGTGACCTAACATAAGCTTACCCTTCCATTTATCTTTCTTTCTCTTTCTTTTTCTTTCTCTCTTTTCTGTTTATTGTTTTCTTTACGTTCCCTTACTATCCTCTTCTTATTCCTATTACTATCTCCTCATTCGGTGGTTATAATAGGAGCTGCCTCGTATGGGCCAATAGGCCCTCTGCAGTTCTTATTCCTACTACTATCTCCTCTACTACACTTTGCTCCTCACCTCTCTCTAGCCTATTTATTGCCTGCATCTACTTCCTCATCACAATCGACTTGAGAATGGTCCAAGACGGACCGAAACGTCGTCGTCCCTTCACCTTCTAGTATGTGGTCTGGTCAACTTACTTTAGCCACGTTATTGTGACTCATCGCCTGCATACCTGCTTGATGGGGTTCTGGGAGTTCTTCTACTCCCCAAGCCCGGCCCGAGGCCAGGCTCGACTTGTGAGAGTTTGGTCCACCAGGCTGTTGCTTGGAGCGGCCCGCAGGGACACATACCCACCACAGCCCGGTTGATCCGGAACTTCTCTTAGAAAACAGTCCAGTTTTCTCTTGAAGATGTCCATGGTTGTTCCGGCAATATTTCTTATAGTCGCTGGGAGGACGCTGAACAACCGCAGACCTCTGATGTTTATACAGTGCTCTCTGATTGTGCCTATGGCACCTCTGCTCTTCACTGGTTCAATCTTGCATTTTCTTCCATATCGTTCACTCCAGTATGCTGAGAATTGAGAATTGATGCATGAGAATTCCGGGTTCAAATCCCGGGTGGGAATTAAATGGTTGGGCACATTTCCTTTCACCGAATGCCTCTGTTCACCTAACAGTAAGTAGGTACTCGGAAGTTAGTCAGCTTGTTTTGGGGTTGCACCTGGGCAGGATCAGTAATTCGGCCTTTGGGGAGGCCTCGATAAAAGTCAAACGTGTGAATACACTCTGGCTTGCTGTCCCCCCCAACACAATGAATTATTATTTATTTATTTATTTATGCATATACAAGAAGGTACATTGGGAATGTGAGGATACATAATATGGTAATTACAATCTTGTAAAGCCACTAGTACGTGCAGTGTTTCGGGCAGGTCCTTAATCTAAGAAAATTTTAAGTAGGTAAATACTTGCAAAATTTATAAAAAAAAATGATAAGTTACATGGCAAGAAAAAAAAAAAAAGATGAAAGAAAATTGTAGGTACAGTATATTAAAGCACATAGGTAGCTAAGATTGATTGCAATGACAGCTTGAATGGTAGTTGACAAAAATTGGTAGGCACAATACAGCATATGGCTAGTACATAAAAGAAGACAGCAATGAACACAATGATAAGGTTGTTTGGGTTAAATACATAAAAATTAGGAGATTGGGTAGCACTAGGTACAGAGCAAATTTAAAGCTCAGTGTAGGAAACTAAGAAGATGAAATTAGTTACTTTTTAGTTTTGCTTTTAAATAAGGCAAAAGTTTTACAGTTTTTCAATTCACTAGGGAGTGAGTTCCATAGACTAGGTCCCTTAATTTGCATAGAGTGTTTACACAGATTAAGTTTGACCCTGGGGATATCAAAGATATATTTATTTCTGGTGTGGTGATAATGGGTCCTATTACATCTGTCCAGGGAGAGTTTCAGAGCATGGTTTGCATTTAAGAACAGGGTTTTGTAAATGTAGTTGACACAAGAGAATGTGTGGAGGGAGTTAATATTTAGCAAGTTTAGGGATTTAAACAAGGGAGCCGAGTGTTGTCTGAAAGCAGAGTTAGTTATTATTCTGATAGCAGATTTTTGCTGCGTGATGATGGGCTTAAGGTGGTTTGCAGTGGTAGACCCCCATGCACAGATACCATAATTAAGATAGGGGCAGAGTTAGGAACATAATATCTGATTTTGGAGAGTATACCAACTGTCTTAGAGACTTTCTTAGTTATGTGTTGAATGTGGGTGCTGAAGTTGAGTCTCTTGTCTAGGAATAGGCCAAGAAACTTGCCATCATTTTTATTACTGATGTTAGTGTTGTCTATCTGTAGCTGAATTGCATTTGATGATTTGCTTCCAAATAAGATGTAGGAAGTCTTTTTGATGTTTAATGTTAATTTGTTCGTTGACATCCATAAGTGGACTTTTTTTAATTCATTATTCACAACATTATTTAGTGTATGTGGGTTGAGGTCTGAATAGATAAGGGTAGTATCGTCAGCAAACAATATAGGTTTGAGAATATTAGAGACATTAGGCAGATCGTTCATATATATAAGAAATAGAAGAGGTCCTAAGATACTGCCCTGTGGCACTCCAACGGTAATTGGTAGAGTGGAAGTTGTATCATTGATGGTTACATATTGGTGTCTGTCACTAAGATAGGATTGGATGTAGTCAAGGGCAAGGCCTCGGATTCCATAATGCTGGAGTTTAAGTAAGAGGTAGTTGTGATTAACAGTATCAAAGGCTTTTCTTAGGTCAATGAAGAGTCCAATCGGAAACTCATTTTTGTCAAGGGCTGAGTAGATTACGTCAAGGAGACTAATGATTGCATCGTTGGTGCTCTTTTGGGACCGGAAGCCAAACTGGCAGGGGCTGAGTATGTCGAATTTTACGAGGTAGGAATAGAGCTGTTTGTAAATAATTTTTTCAAATATTTTTTATAGAATGGGTAGATTTGATATCGGTCTATAATTGTTTATATTCGCCGGATTGCCTCCTTTATGGACTGGCGTTACTCTTGCTTTTTTGAGGATATCAGGGAAGGTGTGACACACTATAGATTTGTTGAACAGTAGGGCTATGGGTGGGGCAAGGGCATGGGAGGCTCTCTTGTATACAATGGACGGAATTTCACTGGTGTTCCCTGCCTTCCATTTTTATTATAAAAGAAAATGTTTATTACATATAAATATATATAAAAAAACCTAATAATTGCACCAGAGGTGGTACCCCCCTATAAATAAATATCCTGCAATAAACTCCTTGGTGAATCTGATTCCTTTGACATCACTTATCTTTTGTCTTTTTGCTGTCGTATCGACATCTTGAATGGTATCTATCAATCAATGTTTATTCAAAAGAATGTGTACAAGGAACATAAGAGTAAAGAGTAATGTACAATTGTAGAAACAGGAATTGCACATACTATTAAAGCCACTATTACGCAAAGCATTCCTAGAACCCTTTAAATATCTCCTAATAGATGGTCCTATTATGTCTTCTGTGCTTGTTGTTTTCTATTGAAAATAATTTGTCTCACACAAATACGCATGCTTGGGCGACAATTAAGGGGCATTCTAAATGGTACAACTAGATGAATGTGACAGAAATAGTAGTAAGTTTTTGTGGTCTCAAATCCCACCCAATCCTTAAAGCCACCAAAGTGTACAGGAGGCTGATATGCCAGCTCTCAATACACAACATATCTGGGATAAATCGCTCAACAACAGTGGCGCATAAATCGCTAAATTCCTACGGCATCACCTGCCATATAATTTTTGTCTGATTTTGTTATAAAATAGTACTATTTCTGAGTATTAATATTGTTTTCCTCCTTTTGATATCCAACACCATTATTATAGTGTGTAAATACACAACATTTCTTCACTACTTATGTAATGCTAAGGGGCTTTGGGTAATTTTACGGACCAGCTGTGGCTGTTGTTACTGCAGCAATGTCTGCTGACAAGGGTTGGGTCTTGTGTTGATGGGGTCTTTCTTCTTCCTCTTTGCAATGCAACTAGGTGAGTATGTGCAGTTTGCAAGAAGGTTTTTCCTTTCAACGATTGCACGAGTGATTGATAATGTTGAAAAACGCGTAGCTCACAGTGGCACATCAATGTTCATAATTTGGCAGAGTTTGAAAGTTATCAAGGGCGTCTATTTGTGTGAGGATAATGACAAAAATAAACATGAGTGGAACGTGACTCTGAATGGCAAAGGTGAGTTGTGTTGATGGTGGTAGCAGTGTTACTGTGTTATGGAAAGCGTGTGGTTTAGTCAAGAGACTGAGTTTGTGAGTTTAAGTATATTTGGGAGTCAGTCCCAACTTGGAATAGGTTAGATTATGTTAAGTAACGTACGGTTAGTGTCTATAAGGTTATGTTAGGTTGGGGTAGAGTAGATTAAGATTTATAAATAAATAAATAAATAAATATGTTTATTCAGGTAAGGTACATACATACAAGTGATGTTACATTAATGGATTGATATATAGATAGAGCTAGTACATACAATGCCTAAAGCCACTATTACGCAATGCGTTTCGGGCAAGAAAAACATTAATATCTAGAACTTAATACTAATTGAGCATAAAGAATAAAAAGTGTTGAGAACAAATACAAATAAAGATAAAAAAAAAGGGGGAACATGACTGAAAAAGCAGCACAAATACAATAGGTTGACAAACAGTGTTGATTAAAAAAAAATAACAGACATGGGTTGACAATAGAGGAGTGAGGTAGGTTACAGGGAATTTATTAGGTAGTGTTTAGTTTTTATCTTAAACTGGTTGAGAGAGGTACAGTCTTTAACATGGTTGGGAAGGTCATTCCACATTCTGGGTCCCTTGATTTGTAGAGCATTTCTAGTTTGATTAAGTCGTACTCTAGGAATATCAAAACTGTATTTATTTCTGGTGGTGCTCATGGGTTCTGTTACACCCTTCAATGAAGCTTTTGAGGTCAGGATTGGCATTACAGTTCAGCGTTTTATATATGTATTGTTAGGTTTTATATTTGTTTGGTTAGGTTGTTGTATTGCGGATCTTTACGTCTGAGATGTCTTCCTGGATGTGCTAGTAGTACAGCGTGGCACATACAGGTCACTGGGAGATGGTTGGAGTATGTGTTGCAGGAGTGTGGGATTTATGTAGTTTTTCAGTCAAAGTGCTAGGTTGCTGGGAGGTTTGTACAGATGAGGATTTCTAACTCTTAGTACCGGTGGTTGTGGTTTGTAACAAATCAGCCTGGGGAGTGACATGAGTAAGGCGTGCTAAGTAGTAATTTAAGAGTTTGTCCAGCATCAGTTAAAACGTTTAGTGTACAGCAATGCTAGCTGCGTTATATCGGAAGTCATTGTCTGTAGATATAGATGGGATGTGTGTGTTGGGTCAGTCTCAGGGATGGGTTGGATTGTGCAAAAAATTTAGTTAGGAGTTGGTCCAGTGTCTTTTTTAGTGCATTTTCAATGCGAGTGACATGAGGTTTCAACAAGATCGGGACTCGGTTGTACATTTTGTGGGCGGTCCGTCTAATTACCGCAAGCTACCACAAGCTTCACAAAGCTTCCTGGCAATACATTAGTAATGAATAAATATGATATATTTACTCATTATAATGTTGGTGCTGAATGTACAACACGAAAAAACATAATTTTAATCTGAAAAGTATCTTTTTATAAAGAAATTAGACGAAAATAAAGAGCTGGTGACGCCAAATCAAGTCGACGATCCAAGCGTGGGTTTGGTTTGGTTTGGTTAGGTTAGGTTAGGTTAGGTTAGGCTAGGTTAAGTTAGGTCAGCCTAACCTAACATATCATATTTATTCATTACTAATGTAATGCCAGGAAGCTTTGTGAAGCTTGTGTAGCTTGTGGTAGCTTGCAGTAATTAGACGGACCCTTTTGTGGGAGATGATCGGACTCTGGGGTTGCTGGATGGTCAGTGACAGATATATCAGGTACATGCAAAGGTTGTGGTTGAGAATGTAGTAACGATGGATGACAGACTGAGTTAGGTTGTTTCAGTGCACTACCGTTTGAACAGGTTAGTATAACTGACACACAGTCTTGTGTGTAATGGGAACTAGAGCATTTCCCACAATGTCTTTAGTGCCGCCTTTTGAGGTATGATTAAATCCATTACATTTAAAGCATTGAGTGGGATACGGTATGTACACCTCTAGTTTATGAAGTAAGCCGTTAATCCAAACCCAATTAGGGGAAAAGGAGTCTAGAAAAGTAAGGCAGTGCCTGTATCATTCAGCTGTCCGTTTATTCTAAGCATATATTTGTTGACTCCGAGGATCGGAATGTCATCTGCCTGAAGCTGTGCCTTGATGTCGTCTGCACTAATGTCTGCAACATGTCGGATTACATATTTCGCTAATCTGTCACCTAGTGGTTGGTAGCATCTGACTTTGTAGCCACAAATGTCAGTAACTTCTGATAACTCTAGTTCCTCGCTGTGTTCGTGGTCCACTGTGCTTAAGTCCCTTTGTTTGTTGGGTCTGATATCGTGCACTTTGATATCTTGGGAATTGCATGGAACAGGATACTTTGTGCCCTGCTATTTCCAGAAACACTTCTATCCTCGGATGTATCGTCATCAAAGGCAATGATGAACGTTAAAAAAAAAAAAAAGAGAGAGAGAGAACTGCACCTACCTTCTTGATAGTAGGAGCAGTTTACATGAAGGGTTTATCCTCCCGATGACTGCACCAGTACAGGTGTTTGAACACGCATTTATGGTGAGGATGATAAGAGTTTCAAAAGTGTTTGTTGCGTTGTGCTGTAGACAGAGGAGCGGCGACTTAAACAGAAGTGTACATTAGAGGGAGACTTGCCGCACCGTAAGGCTGGCGCCCGGGGGTGGTGGTGGTGGTGTGGTGTTGTGGTTTACGGCATCAGCTGATGGCCCCGCCACGGCCACCGGTCAAATCGTTACTGCAGTTTCGTATACCGTCGGTTCACTATACTTTGAGCTTTGATGTTTAAAGAGCAGGCCGTCCTCCAAACAAAGATCCAAAAGTGATTCCAAGCACCCGCCAAACCCCGTTTATGAATGAAAAGCAGTTTACACACGACTCACAACTGCTGACGTTCGAACATATCCGGAACAAGTGCTTCACTGCCGAATTTTGTTCGAACCCAGCCCGTCCTCCAAACAAAGATCCAAAAGTGATTCCAAGCACCCGCCAAACCCCGTTTATGAATGAAAAGCAGTTTACACACAACTCACAACTGCTGACGTTCGAACATATCCGGAACAAGTGCTTCACTGCCGAATTTTGTTCGAACCCAGCCCGTCCTCCAAACAAAGATCCAAAAGTGATTCCAAGCACCCGCCAAACCCCTGTTTATGAATGAAAAGCGGTTTACACACGACTCACAACTGCTGACGTTCGAACATATCCGGAACAAGTGCTTCACTGACGAATTTTATTCGAATCACAACGCTGTAAATGCTTCACCCACGTCCTACAAATACAAATAATCACCAACAGAACCTAAACACCTGACCTAACCTAACCTATGCCTATTTATACACAATATGCTAATATATTATAATATTAATTTATACTTGAGAAAATTCCCGTTTTGAATGAACAGCATGTTAAAATTTATGAATGCGTCTGTGGGGTTGACCGCTGAATGTAATGGACTTGAGTCGAGGATGGGTTGTCAAAGAGCTTGGGAGGAAGAAGGATAGGGCGGTGACATTATTTATTTATTACTTTATTTATATATATAAAAGAATGTACATTGGGATTGTGAGGATACATAGTATAGTAATTACAATCTTGTAAAGCCACTAGTTCGCGCAGCGTTTCGGGCAGGTCCTTAATCTAAGAAAATTTTAAGTATGTAAATACTTGCAAAATTTATAAAAAATGATAACAGTTACAAAGGAAGAAAAAAATATAAGATGAGAGAAAATTGTAGGTATATTAAGCACATAGGTAGCTCAGATTGATTGCCATGACAGCTTGAATGGTAGTTTAACAAAAATTAGTAGGCACAATACAGCATATGGCTAGCACATAAAAGAAGACAGCAATGAACACAATGATAAAGTTGTTTGGGTTAAGTACATAAAGGTTGGGAGATTGGGTAACACTAGATACAGAGCAAATTTAAAGCTCAGTGTAGGAAACTACGAAGATGAAATTAGGTACTTTTTGGTTTTGTTTTTAAATGAGGCAAAAGTTTGACAGCTTTTCAATTCACTGGGGAGTGAGTTCCATAGACTAGTGTGACGGTGTTCCTTCCCCCTTATATTTCTCCCACGCCAGCTGTAAGAGTCATATCCATATCCAGTCATATACACGAACGTTCTCTATCTTCCAGAGAACAATTTGACATATGTGGGAGCATGAGGTGTTCTCGCGTTGGCGCGAAATTAGCCAAAGAAGAGTGTTTTGGCCAGTGGTTTAGGCCCTTTAGGACGCCAAGATGGCGCCGGACCCTACGTTTTCCCGCCAAGACGGTATGACGTCAGTGGCACCAGATTGGTCAAGAACGGTGACGTGGCACAGGGAGCCAATGAGAAACGTCCCTGGCAAGTATGGCATCACGAGTGCAGGGGGGTCCGGACGGCGCGTGCTGTGGGTGGTGGGTGGCACCAGCAGGGGAGGTGGGTGGCACCAGCAGGGAGGTGGGTGGCACCAGCCGGGAGGGGGGTGGCACCAGCAGGGAGGGGGGTGGCACCAGCAGGGAGGGGGTGGCACCAGCAGGGAGGGGGTGGCACCAGCCGGGAGGGGGGTGGCACCAGCCAGGAGGGGGGTGGCACCAGCCGGGAGGGGGGTGGCACCAGCAGGGGAGGGGGGTGGCACCAGCAGGGGAGGGGGTGGCACCAGCCGGGAGGGGGTGGCACCAGCAGGGAGGGGGTGGCACTAGCCGGGAGGGGGTGGCACCAGCAGGGGAGGGGGGTGGCACCAGCAGGGATGGGGTGGCACCAGCAGGGAGGGGGGTGGCACCAGCAGGGGAGGGGGTGGCACCAGCCGGGAGGGGGGTGGCACCAGCAGGGAGGGGGGTGGCACCAGCAGGGAGGGGGGTGGCACCAGCAGGGGAGGGGTGGCCAGCCAGCCAGCCCCACAGTTGGTGTACACTGGTGGTGAGAGACGGTCGTCGCCGCTCCGCTGGCCGCCGCCGCCGCCACAGGATATACCGGGGCCGCTGGAGGAGGTCCTCGGGCAGCAGCACCAGGCCGGGCGCCCTCCTCACCATGCTCCTCCCACCTCACCTGCCTTCCTCATGTAAGTTATTACACCAGTTTGGGTTGATAGGCACTCTATGTACTTTATATGTGGGCAACTCTGCACATGTCAACATTCTCAACAAGTTTATTAAATGAAAACTTTCCCTTTCGATTATTATCATTATTATTATTATCATTTTTATTATTATTATCATTATTATTATTATAAAACAACTCTAAGTTAAACCCAAGAGACAGTACAAGTTGGCTTCGTTCCCTACTCAGTCTTTGATCCCGAGTTCGATTCCTGGGAGGGACAGGGCTCTTTGGGAACGTTTCCAATCAGGTGATGCGTGTGTTGACCCGAGAGTAGTGAGGGGGGGGGGGCTAAGGTGTGGGCTTCCTCCTGGGGAGGGCCAGCGGGTCACTCCTGGGGCGGGGAGGGACCTCATACAACCCTCAAATATAAACACAAAAGCTTCCTGTATTATGTATACTAATAAATAAAAACATAATATATAACTAAATAAATAGTTTATTTAGGTAAAAGTATGTATAGATGCATACTGAGTTGGGAAGATAATGTTGGATGTGTGGTGAAGGAAGTAGAATACCCGCACTCTTTACCGCTACATGTGCCGGCACAACACTAACCCTAACACTTAACACTAAGTCACATCAAAAGCATGAATTAAACTGAAGTAGAAGAAAGAATGGCAATAATTACCAGTTGCATTAACTGCAGCAATTGTAACAGAGGAGCAGATAGTCATTTGGAATAAACAGAAGATTACAAATTTCTTTAAGATTATACATTGGCAGATATCAGCAGTTAAACAAGTTGGTCAATAATCAATATTGTTTGAATATAGTAAGACATGGGTTGACATTTAGGGGTAAGGTAGGTTACATGGAGGTAATTAGGTAGCACTTAGTTCTACTCTTAAACTGGTTGAGAGAGGCACAGCCTTTGATATGATTGGGAAGGTCATTCCACATTCTGGGTCCCTTGATTTGTAGAGCATTTCTAGTTTGATAACGGGGTGAGACTAGCTTGAGCTGCTTCATCCCTTTGTATTTTACCTCAATAAACTTATTTCAACTTCTAGTTTGGATAAGTCGTACTTTTGGAAATATCAAATAGGTATTTGTTTCTGGTGTGGTGCTCATGGGTACTGTTACAACCTTCTAGGAAGCTTTTAAGGTCAGGATTGATATTACAATTCAGAATTTAAATATATAGAGTACACATGAGAGGATGTGCAGTGACTTAATATCTAACATATTCAGAGATTTGAGTAGGGGTACCGAGTGATGTCTGGGGCCAGAGTTGGATATTGTCCTAATAGCAGCTTTGTGTTGAGTAATTAGAGGACGTAAATGATTTTGGGTAGTAGAACCCCAAGCACAAATACCATAGTTGAGGTAAGGATAGATGAGAGAATAATAGTGTAATATAGTTCTAACACACACATATACGTTTTCTATTTACTGCTAGGTGAATAGAATCATCAGGCGAAATAAACTCTACCCATTTGTTTCTGCCACGGCTGGGAATCGAACCGACGGAATCCCGTGTACGAGGGATTCCCTACATTTGTACATTTCTCCGGCATCTTTGTTTAGTTAGCATAAATTTATAACCTCTTGTTCTTCAAGCTCCGGGTCTCAGGAATTCTTCCCTATCAATTTTGTCGATTCCTGTTACTATTTTGTACGTAGTGATCATATCGCCTCTTTTTCTTCTACTAGTTTCAGCATATTTAATGCCTCTTTACCTGTCCTCGTAACTCTTGTCTCTCAGTTCCGGGAGCTATTTAGTGGCATGTTGTTGCACGTGTTCCAGTGTGTTGATGTGCTTCTTAAGATATGTAAGATATGGCCACCACACAACCGCTGCATATTCCAACTTTGGTCTAACAAAGGTAGTAAGCAATTTCTTTAGTATTTTACCATCCATGTATAAAAAGTAATTTTGAAACAGGAAAGTGTAGTATAGGTTCGTGGCACAATGTTGTCTATGTGGTCCTCAGGTGGCAGGTGTCTCTCTACATCCACGGCCACTACATCTATTTCTTTATCATAGTTTTTTCACATAATATCCTTTATTATTAAAGAAAAGAAGGCAGTGATTCTTGTGGGAAACACTGTGTATTAGTGGCTGTAGGTATAGTATGTACTAGCTCTATCTTGACCTTAGTGACTGTAGGTATAGTATGTACTAGCTCTATCTTGACCTTAGTGACTGTAGGTATAGTATGTACTAGCTCTATCTTGACCTTAGTGGCTGTACTAGCTCTATCTTGACCTTAGTGGCTGTAGGTATAGTATGTACTAGCTCTATCTTGACCTTAGTGGCTGCAGGTATAGTATGTACTAGCTCTATCTTGACCTTAGTGACTGTACTAGCTCTATCTTGACCTTAGTGGCTGTAGGTATAGTATGTACTAGCTCTATCTTGACCTTAGTGGCTGTACTAGCTCTATCTTGACCTTAGTGGCTGTAGGTATAGTATGTACTAGCTCTATCTTGACCTTAGTGGCTGTACTAGCTCTATCTTGACCTTAGTGGCTGTAGGTATAGTATCTACTAGCTCTATCTTGACCTTAGTGGCTGTACTAGCTCTATCTTGACCTTAGTGGCTGTACTAGCTCTATCTTGACCTTAGTGGCTGTAGGTATAGTATGTACTAGCTCTATCTTGACCTTAGTGGCTGTACTAGCTCTATCTTGACCTTAGTGGCTGTAGGTATAGTATGTACTAGCTCTATCTTGACCTTAGTGGCTGTACTAGCTCTATCTTGACCTTAGTGGCTGTAGGTATAGTATCTACTAGCTCTATCTTGACCTTAGTGGCTGTACTAGCTCTATCTTGACCTTAGTGGCTGTACTAGCTCTATCTTGACCTTAGTGGCTGTAGGTATAGTATGTACTAGCTCTATCTTGACCTTAGTGGCTGTACTAACTCTATCTTGACCTTAGTGGCTGTAGATATAGTATGTACTAGCTCTATCTTGACCTTAGTGGCTGTACTAGCTCTATCTTGACCTTAGTGGCTGTAGATATAGTATGTACTAGCTCTATCTTGACCTTAGTGGCTGTACTAACTCTATCTTGACCTTAGTGGCTGTAGATATAGTATGTACTAGCTCTATCTTGACCTTAGTGGCTGTACTAGCTCTATCTTGACCTTAGTGGCTGTAGGTATAGTATCTACTAGCTCTATCTTGACCTTAGTGGCTGTAGGTATAGTATGTACTAGCTCTATCTTGACCTTAGTGGCTGTACTAACTCTATCTTGACCTTAGTGGCTTTAGGTATAGTATGTACTAGCTCTATCTTGACCTTAGTGGCTGTACTAGCTCTATCTTGACCTTAGTGACTGTTCTAGCTCTATCTTGACCTTAGTGACTGTACTAGCTCTATCTTGACCTTAGTGACTGTTCTAGCTCTATCTTGACCTTAGTGACTGTTCTAGCTCTATCTTGACCTTAGTGGCTGTACTAGCTCTATCTTAGTGGCTGTACTAGCTCTATCTTGACCTTAGTGGCTGTACTAGCTCTATCTTAGTGGCTGTACTAGCTCTATCATCCCACCCTCTCTATAGGAGAGGGTGGGATGGGAGAGGGTGGGATGGGAGTGGGTGGGATGGGAGTGGGTGGGTGGGATGGGAGTGGGTGGGATGGGAGTGGGTGGGAGAGGGTGGGATAGGAGAGGGTGGGATGGGAGAGGGTGGGATGGGAGAGGGTGGGATGGGAGTGGGTGGGATGGGATGGGAGTGGGTGGGATGGGAGTGGGTGGGATAGGAGTGGTTGGGATGGGAGTGGTTGGGATGGGAGTGGGAGGGATGGGAGAGGGTTGGAGAGACAGCCCCTCTCTGACCGCCAACTGTTGCGTTCGATATTAAGGCTGATGATTTCTACAACTTTTGTGAAAAAGTCTGCTGTCTCGCCACCCACCTGGGGCGGCCCTGCTGCCTCGCCACCCACCTGGGGCGGCCCTGCTGCCTCGCCACCCACCTGGGGCGGCCCTGCTGCCTCGCCACCCACCTGGGGCGGCCCTGCTGCCTCGCCACCCACCTGGGGCGGCCCTGCTGCCTCGCCACCCACCTGGGGCGGCCCTGCTGCCTCGCCACCCACCTGGGGCGGCCGTGCTGCCTCGCCACCCACCTGGGGCGGCCGTGCTGCCTCGCCACCCACCTGGGGCGGCCCTGCTGTCTCGCCACCCACCTGGGGCGGCCGTGCTGCCTCGCCACCCACCTGGGGCGGCCGTGCTGCCTCGCCACCCACCTGGGGCGGCCCTGCTGTCTCGCCACCCCCCTGGGGCGGCCCTGCTGCCTCGCCACCCACCTGAGGCGGCCCTGCTGCCTCGCCACCCACCTGGGGCGGCCCTGCTGCCTCGCCACCCACCTGGGGCGGCCCTGCTGTCTCGCCACCCACCTGGGGCGGCCCTGCTGCCTCGCCACCCACCTGGGGCGGCCCTGCTGCCTCGCCACCCACCTGGGGCGGCCCTGCTGCCTCGCCACCCACCTGGGGCGGCCCTGCTGTCTCGCCACCCACCTGGGGCGGCCCTGCTGCCTCGCCACCCACCTGGGGCGGCCCTGCTGTCTCGCCACCCACCTGGGGCGGCCCTGCTGTCTCGCCACCCACCTGGGGCGGCCCTGCTGCCTCGCCACCCACCTGGGGCGGCCCTGCTGCCTCGCCACCCACCTGGGGCGGCCCTGCTGCCTCACGCCGCCTTAACCACACGTCTCCATAACCACACGTCCCCTTAACCACACGTCTCCATAACCACACGTCCCCTTAACCACACGTCTCCATAACCACACGTCCCCTTAACCACACGTCCCCCTTAACCACACGTCCCCCTTAACCACACGTCCCCCTTAACCACACGTCCCCCTTAACCACACGTCCCCCTTAACCACACGTCCACCTTAACCACACGTCCCCTTAACCACACGTCCCCTTAACCACACGTCCCCCTTAACCACACGTCTCCTTAACCACACGTCCCCTTAACCACACGTCCCCTTAACCACACGTCCCCTTAACCACAC